ATTGTCCCCCTTTGAAATAAACTAAACTAAAAAAAAAAAAAAAAAAAAAAAAAACAAGATCATAGGGAACCTTTGAAAACAGCTCATGTTTGTGTGTTCTATGCAGGATGCTCTTGATCATTCCCTAGAAAATAAAGATAAATACAAAGGTGTTTGAAATTAGAGCATTTTCACAGAAGGGTTGGGGGATGATACTGATAATATAGTGGACGGAGGTAAACAGACTTGGAACAAATAACAGATGAAGTGAGTTTAAGTCACTCACATTGGGCGACACTCTGGTTCCCGATGAAGAGAAGGCACGAGACTGAAACACAAAGATAACTGTGAAAGTGTTTTAACAATTTCAAAACACTTTCATAAAATCTATTTAAACAATATAAACATAAAGGTTCTTAGGGATCAGTGTGTGGAGCCTCATGTTGCAGTCTGCTGCTCTCTGGACTTTAGCAGAAGATCTGTCTCTGAGCAAACAGCAGCTCACACATGAACCCTGTGACTGAGAGGACCCTGTGACTGAGAGGACCCTGTGACTGAGAGGACCCTGTGACTGTGAGCACCCTGTGACTGAGAGCACCCTGTGACTGAGAGCACCCTGTGACTGAGAGGACCCTGTGACTGAGAGGACCCTCTGACTGTGAGCACCCTGTGACTGAGAGGACCCTGTGACTGAGAGCACCCTGTGACTGAGAGCACCCTGTGACTGAGAGCACCCTGTGACTGTGAGCACCCTGTGACTGTGAGCACCCTGTGACTGAGAGCACCCTGTGACTGTGAGCACCCTGTGACTGAGAGGACCCTGTGACTGAGAGCACCCTGTGACTGAGAGGACCCTGTGACTGAGAGCACCCTGTGACTGTGAGCACCCTGTGACTGAGAGCACCCTGTGACTGAGAGGACCCTGTGACTGAGAGCACCCTGTGACTGAGAGCACCCTGTGACTGAGAGCACCCTGTGACTGTGAGCACCCTGTGACTGAGAGGACCCTGTGACTGTGAGCACCCTGTGACTGAGAGCACCCTGTGACTGAGAGCACCCTGTGACTGAACACCCTGTGACTGAGAGCACCCTGTGACTGTGAGCACCCTGTGACTGAGCACCCTGTGACTGAGAGCACCCTGTGACTGAGAAGACACTGTGATTGTGAGGACCCTGTAACTGTGGGGACCATCCTGTAGACCTGAAAGATGCACAAAGTCTCTGTCGGACCAAAATGTCCCGTGTGCTTTCCCTTCCACTTTCCTGATGCTGTGGTTTGGGTCTGTGTGGACCCTGTGACTGTGAGGCGTGGGTGTATTTGAGGGTTGTGTTTGTCTGTATTGTGGAGACTGTTAAGGGCAGGATTTTGGACCTCAAACAGACCCCAAAATTCAATCAATGAAATCAAAAATATTTCATGCTTAATACTGTGAGGCGTGTTTCTCTGTATTGTGGGGACCCTGTGACTGTGCAACGTGTGTCTGTAGTTTGGGCTGTGACTGAGGCCTGGTGCTTTGGTACAAGTAAGCGTTCCATATGAGCATAACTGATAAGGTTCTGTTAATCTTCGACTAGTCCTTTTTTATCTGTTTGATTATAGTATTTTGATCTAACTTTTATTCACTCACTCACTCATCTCACTCGCATTCTGAAGTCCACAGAGGCTGAACTTGGCTGGTCTGAAAAAAATACTTCCCTGTAGCGTTGGGCCAAGAACCGACTTTTAGACCATCCTGTAAAGTCGTTTTTGAGAGGACAAAAGACATCATTAGAATGTAATGGATATTTCTGTTTCCGGGTACACGACCAACGGCAAGCAGTGAGATTGCAATCTTGGCATGGACCTTTTTGAGCCGGGACCCGCTCCCACTGGTTCAGACGACTTCAGACAACAGACATTAGCGAACGTGGAAAAAGCTGATCACTCTTTGGATGGTATACTTGGTTATAAAAACGAACGGATGGAAGTGTGGATGAGAGCGGAGTTGGGTGCAAGTCATTCGCATATCACCGCAGCACATCGAGCTCAATGGTAATATCCTGTCAGTCGATTTATAATTGTGAGGACAGTGGTGATGATCCTATATGAACACTACCTGCAGAAGTTCTCCGACGACTCCGCCATCGTGGGCTGTGTGTCTGATGGGAACGAACTGGAATATCGGTCGGTTATCAAGGACTTTGTCGACTGGTGGGAGCGCAACCACTTGTGCTTGAACACCAGTAAGACCAAGGAGATGATCATCCACTTCAGGAGAAACCACTTTCCCACACGCTGCTGAACATCCAGGGGGAGGACATTGAGCTGGTGGACAGCTTCAAGTACCTGGGTGTTCACATTAACAATAAACTGGACTGGTCCCATAATACAAACGCCCTGCACAAGAAGGGCCAAAGTCGCCTCTTCCTTCTGAGGAGGCTGAGGTCCTTCGGAGTGAGCAGGCCTGGAGATGTGTCCAAAAGCTCTGGACTTTTTATGACTCTGTGGTGGCTTCTGCGATTTACTACGCTGCCGTGTGCTGGGCCCCGGGCAGCACAGAGCGGGACAGAAACAGACTGAACAAGCTGGTCACGAGGGCCAGCTCCACTCTGGGCTGCTCCCTGGACTCTGTGGAGGAGGTGAGGGACAGGAGGCCCCTGGACTCTGTGGAGGAGGTGAGGGACAGGAGGGTGCTAGTCAAAGCCACCTCCATCATGAACAATACCTCCCACCCACTGCACAGGACTGTAGAGGAGCTGAGGAGCTCCTTCAGTGGAAGACTGAGACACCCTCAGTGTAGGAAGGAGCGCTACCGCAGGGCCTTTATCCCCACCGCTGTCAGACTGTACAATAAGTCACTTTAAATTATCACTGTGTGAAAACCTGCACTACTATTGACACTGTTTCCATTTGACACTTGTCACTTTTGTTGCACATAATTATTGTCACTTTTATTGTACAGATATCCTGCATGTTTGCACATTTCCTCCTTTTCCACAATCTGAGTGTCCTATCCATGCCAAATGTGACATGTACATTTCTCCTATGTGAGATAAATAAAGCACATCTTATCTTATCTTATCTTTATGGACATTGGTCATCTGCCCTTTACAGACCCATGGCTTCTACGTGTTTGTGATTATTGCATTTCCTGTGTGTCTTGAGTGAAGGTGGTGCCCTCTTTTTCTGTAGTGATAGAAACAAGTTTTAGAGCCAGGAACTAGTGACATGGAGTTCTATTTATGTTGTCTGAAAGTTACATACCCCAACTTTAATTGAGCAAGTTATGATTGGCAACAGAGTGCAGTGAGCCCGAACAGCCACTAGGAGTCGCCATTGTACAGCACAGGAGGCACTGATGCCGTTCTTCTGTTGAGAGCCTAACGTTTATTTACATATAAATTAAAGGACAGAGTCTGTTGCCATGGAAACTTGCCATCAGTAGTAGCAGTATCAGTTATAGAAGCAGGAGTAGTAGTAGGTTAACTAAGTAAGTGAGTAATATTTATTTCAGTAGCACATTTCACAGACCAAGATCACACAAAGCACTTTACAGTTTTAGTGTCCCATTGATTTCCATTCTCTCCACTGCTGACAGAAGCGAGAACACCCATTCACACACTCATTACACTCATTCCTATACTGCACACATATTTAGGGGTATAAACTGGAGCACCTGGAGAGAAACCTACAAGGAGTACATACGAACTGTGACATCGTGCCATGTGGCAGTAGTAGTAATTCTAGCAGTAATAGTAGCAGTTATAGTAAGTAAGTAAGTAAGTAAGTTATATTAGTAATAGTTTGTGTGAGCTCAGTGTGGAGCTCCGACACTTTCTACAACATTTATGGACATTTATCAACATGTGTTCTATAGTCTTTGTGTCATAACTGTTGATTCTCTGATCTGAGTTGGTGATTTCAATGGTTTTGTTAAGTCCTGAGATGATACTGTTGAGATTTAGGGCGATACAAGAATAACATTGTATTGTGTAATAGCAGTTATAGCCACTGTAATAGTAGTAATAGTAGCAGTAATACTAGCAGTAATCGCAGCCATTGTAGTAGTAGTTTTAGACTGTGTTATACAGGTTGGCTGCTTTCTGTACCACTGCAGAATGTTTTCCTCAGGGGTTGTCAGCCCTTGACCTGACTCCAGCTCGTCGCCGTAACAGACTTAAGTGGGCAAATGCTCACATTCGATGGAGTCTGGCATGTTGGAGAGGAGTTCTCTTCACGGATTAATCTGGGTTTGCATTGTTCAGGGCAGAGGGCAGACAGTGTGTGGCCCACGGGCAGGTTCTGGTCGAAGAGCTCAGGTGCATTGTGAATGAACTGAGATACTGAGATCCTGAGGCCCATTGATACATCCATGTTTCAGCAGATACTGCACGGCGCCATGTTGCAAGGATCTGTACACAATTATTGGAAGCTGAAAATGTCCTAGTTCTTGCACTGCCACTCTACTCAGCGGACATGTGAGGAGTGGACCAACATTCCACCATTGACATCTGATAAACCGAGGTGCGGTTGATTTTTAAAACCCGAGGGTCCCAATCCAATTACAATATAAAAAACACAGGTGAGTATCTGATTTAAATATGACAGACGTGAATAAAAGTTTAAAATGTTTATTGATAAAAGGTAAGATCCTGCTTTAAAAAACAAAAAAAAGGAAGTGGACAAACTAAATTCAGAAAAGGTCAATTTATTTAACAAATAAATTGAGTAAAAAAATTTATTGAAAAGTATTAAAATAGTAAAGCTGAATCTAAAAAGGTAGTAGTATAGTAGTAATACTACTATACTACTACATCATCAGTGACAATGATGAATATGGAGCTTTCGCGAAAGTTCACTGTGGTAGACCCGGCTGCTGCTGCCCAGGCCACAGGCTGCTCTTCCTCGACTCATCATACCAGCAACGCCCACATCCAGTCAACCAATAACCACCAGGACAGCAAGTTAAAAGCCGGAGACGCCCACTTCCCGGCCTTCTGAAGTCTGCAAGTGGATAGATGCTGAAACGCATCTATCCACCATGCAGTCTTCGCCCCGTGCTCGTGCGTCCCCGGCTGTTTCGGGCTCGACGCCTAGCTCCCTGAACGATTTGTTCGTTCCCCCCTCGCCTGTGCCCGACCGGTCCCGGAGGAGCGCGCGCCTGGCGTCCCAGGATGCTGGGTCCGTCCGCACCTTCCTCGCGGCCCGCGGCGTTGTGCCAGGTCCAGGTGCAACCCGCTGCAGCTCCAGCGCCGCTGTCGGCGGATTCCGCCTCCCCCCCCCGGCTTCGGACTCCCCTACTCGCAAGCGTCGTCGCAAGGCCAGGCACCTGCAGCCAACGCGCGCCTGCCCCCCCTCCTCTGCGCTTGAAGGGCCCCTGCTTCCCCCGGCTTCGTCGGCCTGCCCCGTGCCCGCCCCAGCGCCTTACCTCATCGACGTTTCCCAGGCCGCCCCTGCGGTTCCCGGTTTGCCCCCTCCCCAGCCGGATCCTTCCGCTGCAGTCTTCGCGGCCCACGTGGCAGCTGCGGCCCAGGATTGTGATTTCCTCTGTGCGCGCACGGACGCCATCCTGTCGCCGGTTTTGTCTCTCCAGCGCTCGGTGGCCGCGGTGTCCGGCCGGCTCCGCGTTGTTGAGTCCCAACCTTCCACCCCCGCCGTGGCTCCGGTGGCTGCTCCTGCCGCTGCGCCTCCCTCGTCTCCCAGGCCAATGTCATAGTAGACTGGGCGGTCTTGGATACTGAGGTTCTGCTGCTGTCCGTTGGCGGTGCCCCCGCGGTCTCCTGCTCCCGGTGCGCACTGCCGGGCACAGCTTTCCCCTCTGACCCTCTGTTCCGTTCGACACCGCCGCTGGTCAAGCACCTAGCCCCCGCGCGCCTTCATTCCCCAAAGAGGAGGTACATCATCGAAACCCCGTGTGGCGCTCGTTCAACGCAATTGTGTGCAGTTTTCCATCGTGCGCTTACCTCCACGTTTGTAGTCTGTGCAGGGAGGCCCATCCACGTTCCGTATGCCCGCGTCGCCCCCGGCAGGACCGCCGTTCCGCGGGGCCTTCGTACAGGCCTTGATCACCACCCACCTCTCAACCCCAGTCTCCGTGCCCGCGCTGGCCCACGCGCTCACGCTCCATCCTGATCGGGCCTTCGTTGATTTTCTGCTGACAGGCCTGGCCCGGGGCTTCCATGTTGGCGTGGCGGCTCTCCCCTCGGCCTCCTACGTGTCCCGCAACCTGCAATCCGCTCTCCGCGAGCCCCTCGTGGTCACGCGGCTCATCGCGCGGGAGGTGTCCAAGGGCTACATCATCGGCCCCTTCTCCAAGCCCCCCTTTTCCCCGTTTCGCTCCAGCCCGCTGGGGGTTGCCACGCGTAAATATTCCGGAAAAAAGCGCCTTATTTTTTATTTATCCCACCCCCGCTCCGGGCCCGTCCCGAGTATTAACAGTCTCATCCCTCTTGAGCCTTTCTCCCCGCACCGTGGATCACGCAATCCGGCTGGTGAAGGCCTTCGGCCCTGGGTCCTGGCTGTCAAAGGCGGACATCACGGACGCCTTCAAGCTGCTGCCCATTCACCCCGATCACTGGCACTTGTTTGGGGTAAAGTGGCGCTCCAGTTTTTATTTTGCTGCGCGCCTCACGTTTGGCTGCAGGAGCAGTCCTTCCTTATTTAATAATCTTTCTGAGGCCTTGTGCTGGATTCTGTTGAACAATGTCCGGCTCCCCTCTGTCCTCCATCTCCTAGATGACTTTCTCCTCGTCGATCCCCCCGCGAACGGCTCCGGGGACTTGCTCCGCAGGCTGAAATCGGCCTTCTCGGCCTTCGGGGTCCCCCTGTCCGAGGAGAAGACCGTGGGCCCTGCCACCGCCCTGGAGTTTCTCGGTATCCGCCTCGACACGCGCGCCATGGAGGCCTCCCTCCCGCTGGAGAAGCTCCAGCGCGCCGTGTCGCAGTCTGCCCTGTCCTCTCCCTTCATCACAAAGCGCGAGCTGCTCTCCCTGCTCGGGCACCTCAATTATGCCATCCGCATTGTTCCCCAGGGCCGCTCTTTCATTTCGCGTCTTCTCACCCTCGCGGGTTCGGCCCCCTCCCTGCACGACACAGTCACCCTAGACCAGTGGTTCTCAAAGTGGGGTCCTCGGACCCCCAGGGGTCCGTGGCCCAATATCAGGGGGTCCGTGAAAAGGGTTGGTTATTAATAAGAAAAATATATATTTTATATTATTTTAATATATAATAATAATAATATAATGATATATTATATATTATTTTAAATCGTGTACATATTCACAAACCTACACTAAATTTAATCTGCAATTTATTTTGTGAAATATAAAAAAAGAAAAAAAAATAGATCCACATAAATCACGTCCACTTATCAGTGACGAGCTTTGACGCGCGCAGGCTCTGCCTAGCTACTTAGCCATGGATGCGTTTTTAACACCGTCAACTTCATCTAATGGGTGAAAGACATCGAAGCAGAACTACTGGACAGACTGCATTCATGTGAGCAGTTTTCAATTCAGCTGGACGAATCTACGGATATATCTAATGCCGCTCAGTTAATTGTGTTGGTGCGATATCCATGGGAAGATATTGTGGAGGATTTCTTGTTTTGTAAAGAGCTTAAGAGAACAACGGGCGAGGAGGTATTCAGACTTGTAGATGCTTTCTTGACAGATGCTCGTCTGAGCTGGGACAGGTGTGTGGCTGTTTGCACGGAAGGTGCAGCCGCTATGACAGGGCGGAAAAGTGGACTTGTTTCGCGCATTAAGTCTGTCAACCCAAACATCATAGCGACACACTGCATGTTACATCGACAGGCCTTGGCAGCAAAAGACGCAAGAGACCCGGATCTCCACTCTGTTTTAAATACTGCTGTTTCTGCTGTAAACTTCGTGAAGTCAAGTGCGCTACAGTCCCGTTTGTTTGGACAACTTTGCCGGGACATGGATGCTGAGCATGAAGCGCTGCTTTATCACTCGGAGGTGCGCTGGCTCTCTTGTGGTAAAGTTTTGCAGCGAGTCTTTAAGTTACGCTAAGAAATGGGAGAGTTTTTAAGAGAGCAAAAAACTGACCTTGCAGAGATTTTCACTAATCCAGAGAGTGTATGTAAATTGGCCTATCTTTCGGATATTTTTAATACATTGAATGGCCTGAATCTCTCCATCCAAGGAGCGCATACATCAAGCCTTCATGAAGAAAACGGACCTCTGGGCACGAAGGATACAAGACGGAATAACGGACATGTTTCTCCAACTGAGTGACTTTCTTCATGCTGACGTCACTGTGCCAGCACTTCCGCTTGTACTTTTCTGAAGTGAACACTGATGCCTGGGACTGGGTGCGCGACCCCTTTGCACCTGGATCACCCAATAGCCTAACAGGTGAGGCAGAAGAGCAACTGCTGGAAATATCATGTGACAGGACACTGTCAGATTCCTACAGGTCAGTACTGCTAACTTTTGGCTGTCTCTCAAACAAGACTATCCAGAACTGATAACTAAATCTTTACAAATATTGCTCCCCTTCCCAACCACGTACCTATGTGAGTCCTCTTTTTCCACTTTGACTGCAATGAAAAATAAATACAGGGCACGTTTGCATGTAGAAGACAATCTGAGAGTTCGTCTGTCCTCCATTGCTCCAAGACTGTGTAGTCAGAAGCAGGCACATTCATCTCATTGACTTATTAGTTTTTTTATGATATTGGACTTTTTCGAGTCAGAGAAATGTTTGAGGTTGTGTGGAGGCAATATTGCAACATAGCACCTTTTATGATGTTGTTTTTGTTGTTGTTGACAAAACATTCAGTTAGCAGCAGTCTTTTTTGGGGGTAGTTGACCCAGTTTGTCTGTTTTGAAGAGGCCTGCTATGTTTAATTTTCTTGTTGTGGAAACTTTAGCATAGCTGAAAAGAAGCAAATGTACTTGGTGTTCAAATATTTGAATAAAAAGTGTTCTTAAATCATTTAAATGATTTACTTTTTGCTTTCCTCAAAAAATTGTGTTAAGGGGTCCTTGAAAATTTTGCTTACCTAAAAGGGGTCCCTGAGTCCAAAAAGTGTGAGAACCCCTGCCCTAGACGACGGGTGCCGCTCCGATCTGGACTTCTGGTCGCGCCTACTGGACCGCTGGAACGGCGTTTCGTTCTTTTACGACGATATTGTCCGGTCCTCCGACGATCTCCGCTTCTACACAGACGCTGCCCCTTCTGTGGGTTTTGGGGGGTTCTTCCAGGACCAGTGGTTCGCCGGGCCGTAGCCCGCTACTTTTCCCCGGAGCATCTCCTCGGCCCTACACGAAATATTCCCAGTGGTCGTGGCCTGCGCGCTCTGGAGTCACACGTGGCAGAGAAAGAGGATCTCTGTCATGTGTGATAATCTCGATGTAGTGGAAGCGTTGAACAAAGGTCGCTCTTTGTCACCCAACATAATGTCCTTTCTCAGACGCATCACTTGGCTCTCCGTTTTAAACAATTTCATCATCACTGCACGCCACGTTCCCGGTCACCTTAATCAAATCGCTGACTGTCTTTCTCGTTTTAAATTTCAGGAGTTCCGGCGCCTCTGCCCCTCAGCCTGCACGGAGCCACGCGCAATCCCTACCATGGATCAACTAACCCTGGATTAATTTCACCTTCCCTCTCTCGCCTCCTCTCCTCTGCTTCATCCTACATGAAAAAGGGCCTCTCCCCCTCTACTCTGTTTACATACAGCTCCGCTTGGAAAGCCTATTCCCTCTTCTGCCACGCTCACAACATTTCTTCGTTACCTCCATCTGTATCTGCTGTCATGGCTTTTATAGTCCACTGCTCGGACAATCTCCATTACAAAATAACTTACATCCGCACGCTGCTCTCTGGCATTCAGTTTCAGGCCCGCTGTCATAACCCCGCCTTCTCCTCTCTATTCTCCGAACCCTCCATCAAACTCCTCATCAAAGGCATTCACAAATGTACTCCCCACTCTTCTGATCACAGGCTCCCCATCACGCTGCCCATCCTGGAACAGCTCTGCGCCACACTGAACTCTGGCTCGCTTTCCAAGTACACGTCTGCCCTCCTTCGCAGCGCGTTCCTGCTCGCCTTCTATGACTTTCTCCGCATAAGCGAGTTCACCACGGCTCACTCGACTTTTAATGCGGCCCTATAGACATTGCTTTTTCCGATCTGTCCTACTACCCTGACCACTTCAACCTTCATCTCAAACATTCAAAAATCAAAGGTGCCTGCAACATAATAATAGCTTGCTCCGACACATCTCTCTGCCCCTACAGGTCCATGATGCGTTACACTCGCCTCCGATGCAAAAAAGGAGATTCTAACGGACCTCTATTTCTCACTCCAGACAACCTTCCCATAACAGCAACCTGGTTCAGAGCTCAGCTAAGATCCCTACTGCTCCTCTGTAATTTGTCTCCCCAGCTCTACACAGCCCACTCCTTCAGGATAGGCGCTGCCACGCGCGCAGCCTCGCTGGGGCTCCCCCTCTCTTCTCTGCAACAGCTGGGGCGCTGGTCCTCTTTGGCTTTTTCCACCTACATCAGGCCAGATGCGACCGCTATCCTGGCAGCCCAACGTCAACTGGCTTCCTCGTAAGCTCCCAGCAAAGCAATGCAAAGCAAAAGTAAGTAAAGCAATAAGATTCTGGTGGCGGCACCAGAGATTCCTCTGCTTCAGCGTCTAGCTGAATATGAGCACGCTCATATTCTCAGCTCGCTCTGCCTAAACACACACGGGCCCCAGCGGACGCAGCCTGGCTGAGCGACCGTGCGAGAAGCCTCTCACTCATGCTCTCAGGCCCGCGCAGTGCGTCCTGCTATCCCAATCGCAGGCCCGCTTTTTGGGGATTATGCACGCGAGCAAGCGCCGTGCTCAACAGCATCCCTCCCGGGCCTAGGGCGCCAAACATGCTCAATCAATAAACATGCTTAAATCTAATAACTCTAACGGCATTTTCCTCATGGGTCTCTCCAAGGTGAAATGGAGCTTTCGCGAAAGTTCACTGTGGTAGACCCGGCTGCTGCTTGCCCAGATCTACAGGCTGCTCTTCCACGGCTCATCAGACCAGCAACGCCCACATCCAGCCAACCAATAACCACCAGGACAGCAAGTTAAAAGCCTGAGACGCCCACTTCCCGGCCTTCTGAAGTCTGCAAGCCTCCGCCGCCCCACCTCCTCCTTCTCTCATCGAAGCGTGCTTGCCTACTGCCTCTGCCGTCACCAGTGCCTAGGCCCCGGGGGGGATTATGCGCGCGAGCAAGCGCCGTGCTCAACAGCTTCCCTCCCGGGCCTAGGGCGCCAAACATGCTCAATCAATAAACATGCTTAAATCTAATAACTCTAACGGCATTTTCCTCATGGGTCTCTCCAAGGTGAACCTCTTATAGAGCAGAGATACAAAATGTGGTTCAGTGGAGTCAAACTAACAACCTCCAGTTGAACGCATCCAAAACATGTGAACTGGTCTACGACTTCAGTCGCAGTAGTTCTCATTTGCCTGTCGTAATCGACAACTCCCAGGTGCAGATCGTAGAGGAGTGCAAGTTTCTGGGTTTAACTCTGTCTAACCTGAAATGGGTTAAAAACACTGACCGAGTCGTTAAGAAAGCTCGTCAGCGTCTCTACTTTCTGCGTAAACTTAGAGAATTTACCACTAACTCTAAGATTGTGCTTAACTTTTATCGCTGCACCATTGAGAGTTTACTTGTTGGTTCTGTGTCTGTGTGGTTTGGAAACATCACAGATAAAGAAAAGAGAGCTTTAAACAAGGTGCTCCGCTCTGCAAAGAGGACTGTAGGCTGTGAGCTTCCTGTTCTGGAGGTTCTTTATAAATCCAGACTTTTAAACAAAGCTCTTAGGATTGTCAATGACTCTTCTGGCCACCCTGGGAAAGCCATGTTCCAGCTTCTTCCCTCTGGCAGAAGATATTGCTCTCTGAGATGCAGGACATCTCGTTACGCTAACAGTTTTTATCCACAAGCTGTTATCAGTGTGAACAGAGCACTTTAATGATTTGCACTTGTTTTGAAACTGTTTTAGTCGATCGATTTCACAGTGACATTTGTTTACTGTTTTATTTGTTTTATTTCTGTCTTTTAATGTTGTTTTATGTCTGTATTTGTCTGTGCACACTGGAGACTTTTGCTAATATATTCCAATGTGGTGTTTTTACTGCAAATGGAAAATAAACTGAATCTGAATCTGAATCTAATAGTAGTAGTAATAGTAGCAGTAATAGTAGCAGTAATAGCAGTAGTAGCAGTAGTAGTAACAGTAGCAGTAATAGTAATAGTATCAATCGTTGCTCTGCTCTCAGTGAGTAAATAATGTGACGTCAGGCTCCTCCCACTCTTATCTATTCATGTGAAGTGGAAATACATCAGGAGCAGAGAGAGGAGCAGAGAGAGGAGAAGAGAGAAGAACAGGAGCAAAGAGAGGAGCAGGAGCAGAGAGAGGAGCAGAGAGAGGATTAGAGAGAGCAGGAGTAGAGAGAAGGAGCAGAGAGAGGAGCAGAGAAAGATCAGAGAGGTGAGTACTCGCAATGTGTAAATTTTATTAGTTTTTCTGTCGCTTTGGTGCATTACTCAGACTTAAAGTTCTCAAAAGTATTAGTTCAACCTCCACAACACTGAGTCATGTGTGACATCATCTCAGCAGTTTCTCCTTTGCTTCTGTCCTGTCAGTCAGAGTGAAACATATCACTTCTGAATAGTCTTTCTCTATAAAACCAATAGTCCTCATTTCATCGCTTGAGTCGTCACATACAAAATTGTTGAACTAGTTTAAAACCAAAATCTGTCAGGCTAATTTCAAACATTCCTTCCCTTAAAATATTTCCTTAATTGAACAATTTTTCTCAGGTGAATTTCAGCTTCTCTCATGAGGAGGTGTGTGTTTTATTGTTTACATTTGTCACAGTTCTATCATCATGATATTCTGTATTTTCTACGAAAATACTGTAAGTGACTAAGTATTTTTGTTGCACAATGCTGTAGAATTGCAAAGAGCATATGCAGCATATATGTGACACACACACACAGACACACACGCACACACAGACACACGCACACACACATACACACAGACACACGCACACACACACACAGACACACACACACACACGCACACACACACACACGCACACACACACACACACACACACACAGACACACAGACACACACACACATACACACAGACAGACACACACACACACACACACACATACACACAGACACACAGACACACACACACATACACACAGACAGACACACACACACACACACACACACACACACAGACACACACACACACACACACACACCTTGTACTCAGTTACGTCTCTAAATACGGTCATGTATAGTTTACTGTAGTTTTCAGCTGTACAGTGTATACTGCTCACCAGTGTCACCGAGATCTGACTTTCTTACAATGAAAACACAGAGTAAAGTGTCACAATGAAAACACAGAGTGGTGCCGGTTCTTACTTGTGAGTTTGAAGCAGGAGGTGTTAGAACAGTGAGCACAGGGTGGAACTGGCGACGTGTTTTCCTCCAGGTGCTCCGGTTACCTGTACTACCTTTACTTCCCTGCACACACACATGGAAATGAAAGACATCTCCGGTCACCACTGTTTTCTTTTGGTTCAGAAACCGTGTAAACCTGAGCTCAGCCTCGTTCAGAGACACCTGTGGACAGTGGTCCTCCCGCTCTGTGGCTCCTACCAGTTTGTTATTATTGTATTTCCTGTGTGTGCTCGAACTGTTGGATTCTCCTATCTGTTGTTTTCAAATCAACAACTTTGGAACGACGACAGCTGTTCTCAATAATTGGATTTGCTGCCACTACTGCTACTGCTACTGCCACTACTGCTACTGCTACTGCCACTGCTACTGCCACTACTGCTACTGCTACTGCCACTACTACTGTTGCTACTGCCACTACTGCTACTGCTACTGCGACTACTGCCACTGCTACTACTGCTACTGCCACTACTGCCACTGCTACTGCCACTATTGCCACTGCTACTGCCACTACTGCTACTGCAACTACTGCTACTGCAACTACTGCTACTGCTACTGCCACTACTGCTACTGCCACTACAGCTACTGCTACTGCCACTACTGCTACTGCCACTACTGCTACTGCCACTGCTGCTACTACTACTGCCACTACTTCTACTGCCACTACTGCTACTGCCACTACTGCTACTACTACTGCCACTACTGCAGGGGGCTGGACTTCTGCTGGTGCCAAGAGTCAGAACTGGACATAGGGAGGCTGCGTTTCAGATTCATGCAGCTAGAGTCTGGAACAGTCTTCCTGAGAATGTGAGACAGGCGTCTACTCTGGCAGTTCTGTTTAGCTGTGCATACAACTGAATGATTTTATCTTTAATGCACTGTGGCTATTTACAGTATGATTTTAATCCCATGTGTGATTTTAATGTTTTCAGGTTTTTAGCTACTTGTGTGATTTTATATTTCTTAATGTGTTTGTTTTAATGTTTATGTAGATTCTAATGTTTGAGTTGTGCCTGATGTGATGTGGGTTGTGTGGCGAAAAGCAACGTTGCCTTGTGTAGGAAAGGCGCTCTACAAGTAGACGTTGATTGATTGATTTGAAAGTTGTTCTTTTTGTTCCAGGGCAGAATCTGAGGCAGTGGTTATGGAACTGACTCCAAATGGATCCAGACAGGTGAGACTCCTCCCTCTACGTGTGAGGTCAGAGTGTGAGGAGGTCTTAGCGTGAGGAGGTCAGAGCGTGTGAGGTCAGAGTGTGAGGAGGTCAGAGCGTGAGGAGTTCAGAGCGTGAGGAGGTCAGAGCGTGAGGAGGTCAGAGCGTGAGGAGGTCAGAGCGTGAGGAGGTCAGAGCGTGAGGAGGTCAGAGCGTGAGGAGGTCAGAGCGTGAGGAGGTCAGAGCGTGAGGAGGTCAGAGCGTGTGAGGTCAGAGCGTGAGGAGGTCAGAGCGTGAGGAGGTCAGAGCGTGAGGAGGTCAGAGCGTGAGGAGGTCAGAGCGTGAGGAGGTCAGAGCGTGAGGAGGTCAGAGCGTGAGGAGGTCAGAGCGTGTGAGGTCAGAGCGTGAGGAGGTCAGAGCGTGAGGAGGTCAGAGCGTGAGGAGGTCAGAGCGTGAGGAGGTCAGAGCGTGAGGAGGCAGAGCGTGTGAGGTCAGAGCGTGAGGAGGTCAGAGCGTGAGGAGGTCAGAGCGTGAGGAGGTCAGAGCGTGAGGAGGTCGGACGCCTCTTTACGGCTCCGGGTCATAATCTGCTCTTCTCTCGTAAACTCACACCAAAGTTCAATGTGTTTTTCAATCCGAGGTTTTTACTTCACTAAACGATCTTTTACAACAGCAGAATGTTGCTGTCACTGGAAGAATGTATTAGTTTGAACGTTTACACAATGAACATGTTCATCCTCATGTCCCTGTGGGTCTTTCCCCAAAGCTCTAACCAATCAGAGCTCTGACTGAAGACACTGCTCCCTCTTCCTTACTAGAGGTTTTTGTGTCACCCCAAATTAACAGACGTGTGTAACAGACGTGTGCTACAGACATGTAACGGAACACTCAATGTACACACACCGCACTGTGGAGTAAAGTGTCTTTGTAACCTGTTTGTGTGCGTGTGTGTGTGTGTGCGTGCGTGCGTGCGTGTGTTTGTGTGTGTGTGTGCGTGTGTGTGCGTGTAGGGTCCAGGGGCCACGGTCAGTTTCCACAATATCCACTACAAAGTCCAACAGGGAGGATGCTGCCGCAAGAAAACAAGCAAAGACATCCTGATCGACCTGAGGTACTGACCACACCGGACCAGAGCGAGACTAAAGAGAGACCAGAGCGAGACTAAAGAGAGACCAGCGCGAGAATAAAGAAAGACCAGAAAGAGACCAGAGTGAGACTAAAGAGAGACCAGAACGAGACTAAAGAGAGACCAGAGCGAGACTAAAGAGAGACCAGAGCGAGACTAAAGAGAGACCAGCGCGAGAATAAAGAAAGACCAGAAAGAGACCAGAGTGAGACTATAGAGAGACCAGAGCAAGACTATAGAGAGACCAGAGCGAGACTAAAGAGAGACCAGAGCAAGAAAAAAGAGAGACCAGAAAGAGACCAGAGTGAGACCAGAAAGAGACCTGAGTGGGACTATAGAGAGACCAGAGCAAGACTAAAGAGAGACTAAAGAGAGACCAGAGCGAGACCAGAGAGGAGAGAACTGTAAAGTAAAAGCAAAATTATATGTGACTTTTCCAAAAATAGAAAACCGAAAAGTTAACAACAATAACAGTTTTTTGGGGTATGACAGGATTTGCACCTGATCTCAGGTCTGGTTTCTGGTCTCTAGTCTCAGGTCTGGTCTCAGGCCTCAGATTTGGTTTGTTTGTGAACGTGCTGCGTCTCAGTCTGAACCCGAGCATCAAACAAAGCCGAAGGAACGTAGACAAAGGAGGAGGCAGGAAGGAGGTGAGGGAGGAAGTGGAGAGTGAAACCCCAGAGGAGGAGGAGGAGGAGGATGTGGGACAATCACCTGCAGCTTCACAGCAGCTTCAGACCAGAGCTCAGGGACAGAAGTGCTTTGGTTAGAGCTCAATGCTAACCTGCTAGCTCAATAAAGCCCAATAAGGAAGGGCTCGTGGTGAAGTTTTGCTGGTGAACCACTTTAGTTTGCATCTGCCCCTGTTACGGGCAAAGCAAACACCATTATAACAAACGCCCATGTGAGGAAAGAGCAGTGGTCCCCAACCTGCGGTCCACAGACTGGTACCGGGCATGGGCCAAGGAAAGAATCAATATTTTCAGTTTTTATTATCAGAGTCTGAACAATCCTCTTATTATGAAAACTGCCCGGTTTCTCTCCGACATGTCTCTCAGCGGCACGCAATAAATACAACTCACTGTATCTTTGTATAGCCCAAAGTAACAACAGGGATTATACTGGATCTACTTTGACTTCTCTTAAGGACATAAGCAATAGTTTATGAATCACTTTATATTTCTCATTCAGCTGCTGGATGGTATTGACATGTGAAGACATCAATAAAGCCAATGGTTCATTAAAAAGCTGAGTCCAGGTCCAGACGGGTTGGGTAACGAGACAAAGTCATTCTATGTCTATTTCAGATGTAGGATCAGGAAGATGAATCAACGCTTCATGAGGCAGTATTTACTATGTTTCCTAAAATAGTGAAGAAGCTGGAACTCATACATGTACATGCCAATTCATATCAAAAGGTCCTGGACAAAGTACTAGCTTTGAACGGTTGGGTTTTTAATGTCAGAATGATCTCCCAGTTACTTCTGTATTCTGTTAGTGCTGTTCTGCTGTCACCCACAACTCTCCTTCTTCTAAGACAATTATCCTACAACTCAAACTATGATGAAACTTTTTTTAACAGGTTAAGAATTTGTCCATTTCATCGAATCAGTCTTTCCACCCAGTTATAAGTTCTCTGAAAGGTCTGTATTTGAACACCTTTGAGCAACAGAACAGTCATTTCTCCAGATATCTCCAGATACAACGCTATATTCAATATCAGAGCAGTAAATCAAATGCATTGGATCAGTGTTTGAGTGAATGTCAAGAATCTCAGAGAATTTCACCTCATTCTGTCACGTGCTGGGAAGGATGAGGACTCAAAATTGCAGAAAAAAAAGAAGAAGATTAATTTAATTATGAAAAAAATAGTGCAGATGAAAACAAACTCTAAAATCCAAAAACACAAGGAACCAGGAACAGGGCCGAACGGAACAGACAAAGACATGAACAACACAATGGACCAGCAACATGTGGAGAGGAGCACAGGTACATATAGACACGGAGACAGAGGTGAAACACATCAGGGCACACAATCAAGACAGGGGGAAACAGCACAGGAAGTCAAAACCACAGAGAAACAATGTCAAAATAAAACCAAAGCACAAAAATAAAAGCCACACCATGACACATTTTTCACGATGAGAGAAGACCATTCCATCTACTGCTCACATTAAAGCCCCTCTACATGCTTTAACAAACAACAAGCTTTACAAAAAAGAAAGGTTACCCCTATAAATGTCGGCCATTGCTTAATCCAATATAAAATAGTTCGTAGGTTACATTACACGAGAGCAAAAATGAATAAATATGCACTTTGTCTAAATGTTCAGGGTTTTCAGTTCCATTATTAGTTCCATGATAATATTAATCAATCTTTACTTGTATGGCATTTTTTTAAAACAGTGTTTACAAAGCGCTGCAGTCGGCATAAGGCAGTAAAACAGTCAAAACAGTCTGGTCAAAAACAAACACAGCAGAATAAAGCAGACAGACAACAAGAAAGACAAAACAAAGACAAAGCAGACGGTAAAATACAACATGTGAAGTTTAAAGCAAACAGTTAAAGGCTGTTCAGTAAAAGTGGGTTTTAAGAAGTGATTTAAAAGAGGAGACTGATGGTGCTAGGCTCGTCTCCTCGGGCAGGTGGTTCCAAAGTCGAGAAGCACAGACAGAGAAGGCTCCGGCACCTTTTGTCCGGAGCCTCGACCTACCCGAGCATCTGAGGCTTTGGGGAAGGGCTCGTAGGGGGTTTAAAGTAAGTAAGTAATGTTTATTTATATAGCGCATTTTACAGACCAAGGCCATCCAAAGCGCTTTAAAGTTCACAATTATAGCTGCGTGCCAGACCTAAAGGAGCTTTAAAAGTGAACAGTCTTAAATCTTAAAAAATCAATTCTAAAACACAGAGGGAGCCAGTGGAGGGACGCTAACACAGGGGTGATGTGCTCCAGTGAGAAGTCTGGCTGCTGCGTTTTGAACCAGTTGTAGGCGAGAGAGGGATTTGGATTCAAGACCAGAGAGGAGAAGTTTCACTAATCCATGTTGGAGAAGATGAGGGCGTTGATGACTTTATGCAGATCAGGAGGAGTGAGAATGTTTTGAATCTTGGAGATGAAAGAAACAGGATTGGTAGGTTTGTTTCATGTGGGAACGGACGGTGAGATGAGAACCATAAATGACACCGAGGTTATGGGCGGAGGGAGGCATGTTGGAGGATAGGGGGCCGAGGTGGGTTTGGATGTGGGAGGTTCTCGAGGGCGGGTTGATGAGGAGGACTTCTGATTTGAAGGTGTTGAGCTGAAGAAAGTGATGGGCCATCCAACTGTTGACATGGTTAAAACAGTCGATCGCAGCAGAGGTATATCTGTGTGTCGCAGCAGGGGGAGCATATACAAAGAGAATAAAATGGGACCTATAATGGAGCCTTGCAGCACACCACAGGTAATGGGGCCGATGAGGAGGTGAAAGTACCAATGTTGACCGCAAAGGTTCTGTCCAAAAGATAAGAATAAAACCACTGGGTTGGTTTTATTCTCTGATCTCTGTATCCCTGATGCCCACCCACGTTTTGAGGCGTTCCAATAAAATCTTTTTGGTTGTGTTGAAGAATGAGCTTGGGTCTAAATGGATTAAAATGGAGCACTCTTCTCTAACTGTGATTAAAAGAAGGTCATTTAAAACTCTAAGGAAGGCTGTCTCTGTTCTATGTTGTGCTTTAAAACCGGATTGGAATTTCTCAAAGATGTGGTTATCATGAATACAATCTAAAATCTTAATAGAATCATGCCCTGAATATGAAAATTGCTCCAAATCCAGTTAGGGTAAACTGCGTCCCTTCATTTAGAGAAAAAACACTATACTATAAACAACAGATTGATTGAATTTGAAATAATCTATCAACACTTGATACTCTTTCGTAGAGATGACTGTTATGGGCAGTCACTTGGGGTTTGGGAAAAGACTGGCTTTTGTTTCATTTTAGGATTATTTTTTCTTTTTGTTTTGAAAATCAGAAATATGTCTTTAAAAAAACGTTGCTGAATACTTTCAATTATTATACTTAAAATAACTTGAAACCACTATTATTTAACTCTTCTGTAGTTGATGTTGAAGTCCTCTGGCAAATGGGCGTGTCATTTGTCAAAGGGGGCGTGTCACTTGTCACATAACCTCCTTATGAAAGCTAAATGGGCCCGCCCTGTGTTTGGGCCAAAGGTCAGCTGTTTATCTTAACAGAGAGAATGATTCACAGATACAGATCCATAAAATTCAGGCACGCCGGCTTTAGCACCGCTGGACACGTGTGTTAAACATTGTGTTGTTGCAGAAGTCCAACGTGTCTGCTTTAGTTTCACTTCCTTTCAAACTGTGAGAAAGTGTAAAAAACAACGATGACTTGTGACTTGTTCCAGGTCAAATGACTTCAGAGCAGTGAGATTCTGGAGCCCCAACTTTTTCCCACAGGTTTAAAAATAGTTTAAGAATAGGACAAAAAAACGTTTAAAAGTGATGAATTTAATTATACAAGTATGTACAAAGCCCCATGTACAGCACATAAAATAAAATATGTTTAAACGTGGTTGTTGTCATAAAAAAAACTTGCCCCAGCTGAAGAAGTCTTCTAGGGTCCAAAATCAACCTCTAAAGCACGGTTTTGAAGCATGTGGCTTTAATTTGACTTTCTAAAATATTCAAGAAATTCTCAATAATAATGGCTCGATGTCATGTGATGACATTGAATTGAACCCAAAAAGCAGGAATGCCAAAAAATATGGGTTTAATTATTATAAAATAAAAGACAACTCAAAATCCACAGGCACAAGGAACACGGAGCAGGAACAGGACGGAACAGACATTGGCAATACAATGGACGGGAGACAGGAAGTCAAACTAAAACCAAAGTTCAAAATAACAAAATCCACACCATGACACCCGACAAGTGAGGCAACCAGTGTGTTAGATTAGTTTAGATGAGAAATGTGTCTTGGACCAACAATGGGAGCAAGAACTTGACAAAGGACAAGAGCATGATCACCACCATCCACTCATACGCACACCAGACACTGAGTGAAGTGTCTTGCCCAAGGACACAACCACAGATTGGCACTTTACAGCTGCACCAGAGGTCTCCCATCACAGTGCTAACCAGGCCCAGCTCGGCACAGCTTCAGAGTTCTGATGGGATCTGACTTTCACATGCCTTCATGTCTGACCTCACAAACGCCAAAGGTCCTTGTAGCTCCACGGTTCTGGCCAGCTCTGGTTCTGGTGCACAGTCGTTCTACTTTTGCAAAACCAAAAGGCAACATGTGTGCAAGAGCGAGCAGAGTTTGTTTGCTTTAGATTTAAAATGACAAGGGACTCTCAAATTTGTAGAAAGCCGTAGGTCAGCTGACGGCAAGTCGTTTATGGGGAAATCTCCTGTACCACATGAAAGAGCTTAAGCTGCAGATTTCCCTTTGTCTTATGCGGAGACGGGTTTCAGCAGCAACACAAAATATTATGCATCCATGGCCAAAACAGACTGGATATACTTTACTTTAAACTTCACAACAGCCGTATCCACTTAACCGTCTAATAGACCTATATCAGGAGTGGATTTATCGAGTGTGATGTCCCCGTAGTGTTTCTGAATTTCCTTAAACCATCAGATCTAAATACAGCAGCAGAAATTGACTAAGGAGTTCACGTTTCATCTGATTGTAAAACTAACGTGATGGATCTTTGTTCTCAGTGGGATCATGAAGCCCGGCCTGAACGCCATCATGGGAGCCACCGGCAGCGGGAAATCCTCGTGAGTAAAACAATCAGACTTTTAAAACTACAAAGTCGGGGTTGGGTTTGAGTCCAAAGGTTTACAAAGCTATGTCCTGTTTGTGCAGCTGTGTGTGAAAGTGCACACACCTACAGTATTCTTTTGTCCATAATCCAGAGATTAGGAATGATTACCCAAACCTCATTGTTTGTGGTTGTGTGAAGCCAATCAACCAAGTTTTATATATTCAAATTATAGTTACGACAGTGGGCGCTGGTTTATCACTGGGGCTGATCCGCAATAAGCAAAATCTGATAAGTAGCAGAAGTATGTTTTACGATTATAAACCCCTTCACACAAACTTCAGACCTGAACCTCCCGACTGTGCGATTGTGGAGATATCAAACTTGTTGGTTGTAGGTCTGAGCGCTGCTGCGGCTGTCAAAAGCTGTGCAAAACTACATCCGCAGAGGACACCGCGCTCAGGGAGAGGAGCAAATGTTGTTGGACATGAGTTTTATTACACCTTTCAATTCTTGGGTCTGCAGTGTTGTCTGCAGATATGACGTGGTCAGTTAAGTTAAGTTACTTTTTACAGAAATGTGTACTCTGCATTTGAGCTCAGCTGGATCAGAGCTCGACAATTTCACTTATTATACATGTTTTTATTGGTTTGGAAAACTGGAGGAAACCTACACAGAAGTTGATATGCAAAATAAACTCCTCTTCTAACCCTGATCAGAAGTCTCCATCCCCCAGTGCTCATAAGTCTCCATCCCCCACTTCTCTGTAACGTAGATAGATCAGTTGTCCGTTGTACAGTCTGACAGCCTTTTAACATGTACGGTATGACAGCGTGGGAGTAGTTGTGGGTGATCCATTCCCTGTAAGCCCTTCAGTTGGTTCTCTCTGGATGTGTGCAGGTTCCTGGACGTGCTGGCAGCTCGCAAAGACCCATCTGGTCTGAGTGGAGAGGTTCTGATCGACGGCCGACCGCAGCCGCCCAACTTCAAATGTCTGTCGGGATATGTGGTCCAGGTGAGTCCCAGAACCCTGAGGGTCTGGAGTCACTTCAATCAAATCTGTTTTTATACAGCTCCAAATTAAACCAGTAGTTATCTTGTTGATTTGTGAGAATCAAACACATGAAATACAACGACAAAGAAACAAGCCCCGGTGATCCAAGATGGCGGCCTTTTCAAATCAATGGCTTGTGCTCAGTAGCGCATGGGACGGCCATAGAAAGATTAGCGGAACTCACCCATATTTGAACATTGTCTGGTCCTCCTAGTTAGGCGCAGTGGACGAGCTCCCATGATGCTTTGCACCAAATATGCATGTGGCTCCCATGTACGTGCACAGAGGGGTTCAGCAGCGCTCTAACTAATCAGAGCTGCTGATCAGAGCAGAGCTAGTGCGGGAGACAAACGAGCAGAGTTTGTTGCAGTAAAGTCTAGATTTATAGAAACCGAAAGATTTAACAACAAAAAAAGTTCAGGATGAGTTCTATGGGACATTTTTCAAGGTACGTGAATTTAGTCTGCGGTACCTCCGGCGCCCCCTGTGCCCATTGGTGGGACAGCTATAAGCTGTTAATTCTCTATTCAGATATTATTATAGATCCATGCAAAAAGTTGGTCAATAAGAGGCGGATGACCAATGTCTATTCATGTTGATGAAGTTCATAAATGTTTAAGGCAAGTGAGCCCGATCGGACATTAGTTAGAATAAAGTGAATCAGCAGCAGTCCTCAGAGATAACTACTGTTCTGATTCAATTCAGTTCAATTTATTCTTGTATTGCCCTAAATCACAACATCTCAGACATCTCAAAGGACTTTACAAAACTGACTCCCTGCTCCAGAGGGAACGCTCTCTCCCTGCTCCAGAGGGAACGCTCTCTCCCTGCTCCAGAGGGAACGCTCTCTCCCTGCTCCAGAAGGAACGCTCTCTCCCTGCTCCAGGGAAGAGGGAACGCTCTCTCCCTGCTCCAGAGGGAACGCTCTCTCCCTGCTCCAGAGGGAACGCTCTCTCCCTGCTCCAGAGGGAACGCTCTTCCTGCTCCAGAGGAACGCTCTCTCCCTGCTCCAGAGGGAACGCTCTCTCCCTGCTCCAGAGGAACGCTCTCCGAGGACGCTCTCTCCTGCTCCAGAGGGAACGCTCTCTCCCTGCTCCAGAAGGAACGCTCTCTCCCTGCTCCAGAGGGAACGCTCTCCCCTGCTCCAGAGGAACGCTCTCTCCCTGCTCCAGAGGGAACGCTCTCTCCCTGCTCCAGAGGGAACGCTCTCTCCCTGCTCCAGAGGGGAACGCTCTCTCCCTGCTCCAGAGGGAACGCTCTCTCCCTGCTCCAGAGGAACGCTCTCTCCCGGAACGCTCTCTCCTGCTCCAGAAGGAACGCTCTCTCCCTTCTCCCTGCTCCAGAGGAACGCTCTCTCCTGCTCAGAGGAACGCTCTCTCCTGCTCAGGGAACGCTCTCTCTCTGCTCCAGGGATCTCTCCTGCTCCAGAGGACGCTCTCTCTGCTCCAGAGGAACGAACGCTCTCTCCTGCTCAGAGGAACGCTCTCCCTGCTCCAGAGGAACGCTCTCGCTCCTGCTCCAGAGGGAACGCTCTCTCCTGCTCCAAGAAACGCTCTCTCCTGCTCCAGAGAGGAACCTCCTCCCCTCCTGCTCCTCCCTGCTCCAGAGGGAACCTCTCTCGCTCCTCTCTCTCTGCTCCTGCTCCAGAGGAACGCTCTCTCCCTGCTCCAGAGGAACGCTCTTTCCCTGCTCCAGAGGGAACACTCTCTCCCTGCTCCAGAAGGAACGCTCTCTCTCTGCTCCAGAGGGAACACTCTCTCCCTGCTCCAGAAGGAACGCTCTCTCCCTGCTCCAGAGGGAACGCTCTCTCCCTGCTCCAGAAGGAACGCTCTCTCCCTGCTCCAGAGGGAACGCTCTCACTCTGCTCCAGAGGGAACGCTCTCTCCCTGCTCCAGAAGGAACGCTCTCTCTCTGCTCCAGAGGGAACGCTCTCTCCCTGCTCCAGATGGAACGCTCTCTCCCTGCTCCAGAGTGAACGCTCTCTCCCTGCTCCAGAAGGAACGCTCTCTCCCTGCTCCAGAGGGAACGCTCTCTCCCTGCTCCAGAGTGAACGCTCTCTCCCTGCTCCAGAGGGAACGCTCTCTCCCTGCTCCAGAGGGAACGCTCTCTCCCTGCTCCAGAGGGAACGCTCTCTCCCTGCTCCAGAGGGAACGCTCTCTCGCTGCTCCAGAGGGAACGCTCTCTCTCTGCTCCAGAGGGAACGCTCTCTCCCTGCTCCAGAGGGAACGCTCTCTCTCTGCTCCAGAGGGAACGCTCTCTCCCTGCTCCAGAGGGAACGCTCTCTCCCTGCTCCAGAGGGAACGCTCTCTCCCTGCTCCAGAGGGAACGCTCTCTCCCTGCTCCAGAGTGAACGCTCTCTCTCTGCTCCAGAGGGAACGCTCTCTCTCTGCTCTAGACTAAAACGTGTGTGAGAGACGAGGGGAACTGGGCTCGTGCAGGCTCTGTTTACAAGTCACTGTACAAGTCACATAAACTGACTTTCCAAGAACAGTGGCAGACCTTGATAACTTTTCTTGGAGTGATTTGAAATGGATTTTTCCAAATAGAATCCAAACTTTACTTGTTGAGTTGAAACTTCACGACTAAAGCATCAGTGGAAGTCCAACCTTTCAGCGCACGCCATCATGAGAAAGAATCTCCCAAAAACACTTTGGTCTTGTTCTCATCGTCTCACATACTTCGAAGACACTTTGTGTCTTTCTCTGTGAAAACTGCAACCTTGCTGAAGGCAAAGCTCACCATAGACACCCGAAAATGAAAGTGAAATCTAGCACGAGCACAACGGCCTTACCTCGCATATATATATGTATATATCCAGGATGATTGACAAGTAGGACCAATAGTCTTCATGATCCACGCAGAAAAAGAAAATCTTCCTAAATTCCTTTAAGATAGTTAGTTTCCATCCGCAGTCGCTGGTTACAGAGAAATAAAGAACAATATTCAATAAGAAAGTGCATCATCTGTTCTCTATCGCCACACAACACTGTCTTTCATTCATGTCCTAGGGTTATCTATGTTCACAACTATATTAACACACATTAGGAAATGAATTGAATTGACTCCTGTCGCTTGTGAGGCTTGTGTGTAGAAGAACCTTCTTAATCTGTGTTCTTCAGGACGACGTGGTGATGGGCACGCTCACGGTCCGAGAGAACTTCAGCTTCTCTGCAGCTCTGCGTTTGCCTTCGAACATCTCACAGCAGCAGAAAGACGAGAAGGTGGAGAAGCTGATCCAAGAGCTGGGGCTGGGGAAGGTGGCCGACTCCAAGGTGAGGCCGCAGTGGGACAAGAGAGTCCCACCAAAGCTGTTGTGGAACCACCTCTTCTCTTCTTTAGTCCTGTCTAATGATATAGAACCATAGATGTATAGAACAGACTAATGTAAACCTGTGCTGTGATTGAGGTGCTAAATACCAGAGAGATGGATGGAATGATTTCTCTTGCATGGTTTCTGGTCTCTCTCTCTCTCTCTCTCTGGTCTCTCCAGTCTCTCCCTAATCTCTCTCTGATCCCTTTCTCTGGTCTTTATGATTTCTCTCAAGTCTCTCTCTCTGGTCTCTCCTGTCTCACCGGCCTCTCCCTAATCTCTCTCTGTGTCTCTCTCCGGTCACTCTCCAATCTCTCTCTGGTCTCTCTCCGGTCACTCTCCAATCTCTCTCTGGTCTTTCTCCGGTCTCTCTCAGCTGTGATTGCCTTGGTGTTTCAGGTGGGCACACAGCTGATTCGTGGGATCTCTGGCGGTGAGAGGAAGCGCACAAACATTGGCATGGAGCTCATCATGGATCCCTCCGTCCTGTTCTTGGACGAACCCACGACCGGACTGGACTCATCCACCGCCGGGTCAGTGCTGCGGCTGCTCAAGAGGTACCAGCCACACACTCCCACAGGAGAATGCCCGGGGTCCAGTCTCTCTTTGGTCCTTCTCTATGATCTTGGTCTCTCACTGGTTTTGAGTCACAGCGCCCTCTGCAGAGCGGCGTGTGTTTATTTCAATGACATGATGTCTTCATTATGTCATATTAAGAAACACAAAGCATTGAGTCTGAAATGTGTCGTTAAATGTGTCGCCAACTTCTGGACCATCCTGTAAACCCATTTTTGAGAGGTAAGAAGTTATGTACATTAGCATTGAATAATTTTTATTCCGGGTCCATCCCCATCGGCCCGGGTTGGGATTGCAAACATGTCAGCGCACGTCATTTTGGACATTTTTTGAGCTGGGACCCGCCCCCACTGATACAGACACATATGATACAGACAAATATGTTAAAGTTAGATATCTCAGCTTTAATGTTACATACCCCAGCTTTAGACTGCTGTCTCTGTGTTTTCTCAGGATGGCGGATCACGGTCGCACAATCATCCTCTCCATCCACCAGCCGCGATACGGAATCTACCGTCTGTTTGACAGCCTCACACTGCTCGTCAACGGGAACCAGGTTTGTAGTATAATCCAGATAACAGGGTTTGCCATAGTGACTTAAGCAATTATAGCAACAATTGCCATGGTGACAAATGCCATAGCAACGGTTGCCATGGTGACTATTTCCATCAACCATTACCATGGCAATTGTTGTCATGGCAATGGTGATTGTTCCCATAGTGATGGTTGCTAGGGTAACAGTTGCTCTAGTGATTGCCATAGAACGCCATCACTATAACAACCGTTTCCATGGTAACCGCTGCTATGCAATCATTATGGCAACAACCCTGGAACTGGCAACAACCCTGGAAAAAATAAGTTAAAAGAAATTTGCAGATGTTGAATCTTGTTATTTTTTTAAACAGTTGCCATAGTGAGGGTTGCCGTGGTAACAGTTGTCATAGTAATTGTTGCCAACGTTACAAGTTGTCATAGTAATTGTTGCCAACGTTACAAGTTTCCATAGTGATTGCCATAGCAATGGTTGTCATGGAGTCTGGTACCATGGCAACTATTACTATGACAACTGTTACCATGACAGTTCCCATCCATGCTAACCATTGCCATGGTTACAGTGGGTTTCCTGGCTGAATTTATGTGCTATGCACCTGCAACATTTTTGCACCTCCAAAATCGTTTTTGATGAAACATTTACATATACTCACGGCCCAGGCCTGGAACTAGGTCCACCAGTTGGGGACCCCAGATCTAGAGTATAATCCAGAGAACCATGTCTAGATTATAGTCCCAGAGAACCAGGTCTATAGTATAGTACGGAGAACCAGGTCTAGAGTATAGTGAGGAGAACCAGGTCTAGAGTTTGGTCCAGGGAACCAGGTCTAGAGTATAGAGTCTGGAGTACTGTCAGGGGTCACATTGGGGCAGCTGTGGCTGTAAAGTGCCAAACTGAGTCTGGTGTGTGTGTGAATGGCAGAACATGACCATAAACCCTCTGTGTCCTCAGGTGTACCACGGCCCGGCGCAGGAGGCTCTCGACTACTTCTCAGACATCGGTACAATACTCAGACACAGTTAGAGTTCACATCACAGACAGGATTCAATTACATTTATTTTTGTTTAGCCCAAAATCACAACAGTAGTTAATTCGGAGGATTTTACAAAGCTGTCAATTCGCCAACACAGATCAGAGAATCAAATACAAAGATTAAAAAAACACAGACAGCCATCGTTCCATAAGGGACAGACACTAATGTCCACAAATGTCAAGTATCCTGGATCATCAACACTGTTTTCACCGTATTTATATAATTTTTTTTTTTTTACTTTGTCATTAAAATTATTATTAGTATTCAGAATACATGTCCCATATGATAATATTGTATTTTATAAGAGACCAGAGAGAATTCCAATGAAGCTTTGCAAACGTTTTCCTCTTAATAAGAGACAAACAAAGATCAGAGCCAACTCAAACACGCTCTTTGAGCTCATTTCTGCCAAATGTTGATGGTCGCGACAACCGAGACACCAAGAGGCGATAGGAGCGGCTCCGGTCTGTCTCTCTTTGCACTACTCTCTGCTAAAGCCAAATTTGTGGACAGAAGGCATCTCATTGGCTCGTATCTGGATGTACAAAGACAATTTCAAAGTATGAATAAACATAAATCATAGCTGGCGGCTGGCGCTAAACCATAGATTTGTTTAAGCCAAAAATGCTGAGGGAGACACAAACAAGTTCAATAGGAGCCAGAGCGAGTTGGAGCAAAACTTCACTATGAGCAAGTCTCTATTGGGCTTCGTAAGCTAGCGGGTTAGATATACAGGCTAAAGCTACTCCTTTTACAGTCTGACACTCTGTTTTTTTGTCATGTGATCATGTGTCAAGCCGGGACAAGAGTTGGAAAGACATATTGTTTGCATCTGTAACTACACTTGACTACATCTCTTCCTGACTCTGTTTCCCAGGATACACCTGTGAGCCGCACAATAATCCTGCAGACTTCTTCCTGGACGTGATCAACGGCGACTCGACGGCGGTGATGCTGAGCTCCGACCACAGCGGTAAGCGGCAGTGCTCTTCATCTCAATATCACGGTCAGATTCTGAACGGAGTGTTTTCAGGGGAGCGGCCCTCGGCTCAGGCCATCGAGCAGAAGCTGGTGCAGGAGTACAGGACCTGCAGCTACTACAAAAAAACTCAGGCTGAACTCGGTAACTACACCACAACATTAGGCCGATGAGCTGCAGACCTGTGTTTTTAGACCCGTGTCCAAATGCTGTGGGGTGGGAAAGGGTGGTGTGTTGTTTGGACTGTATCTGCGGCTACACCTGTAACTACACCTGTAACTACACATTATACAACAAAACAACAAAGCCAGCAGCATTGTCAATCCTGGTTTAGCTCTTGTTTTGGTTGATTTGGAGCTTGTGACTCCATGAACATTGCTGCTTTCTGATTAGTTGCTGCACGTTCGTCGAGCAAAAAAATCCCTTTGTCTGTTCACACATTTCTGCACAACTGAGCACGTCCATTAAATCCCTTATTGGAAGTCTGGTCTTGATTCTGGTGCATCACAGCGCCACCAACAGGCCTGGCATAGATTCACAGCGTTTCCAGGCGTATTGACTTCACTCGTGTTGACACAAACATTTACTGAGCTGACTCTTTTACTGTAAGTGTTTTAGGTTTGGATGTGACCACAAGACTAACCACAAAGACTGAATTATCCCAGAATCCTCCTGTGACAGCTGTTGCTCCTGTCTCTGAGTTGGAGAGTAGAAAATATCTGTAGTCCCTGTGTTTAGGTTGCAGTACCACATGTGGCCTCTAGGCATGAGGGGTCAGGCTGCAGTACCACATATGGCCTCTAGGTGCGCCCTCAGAGGGTCTGAGCTGTGACACACATTCAGGGCCTTTCTCTTCTTCTGCAGAACTGTAAATGGAGCCTCTGTATTTTCCTTCAGAGCAGATTGTGGTCGGAGGAAAGCAGGCGCCCTCTATTGTCCGCTCCAGGACCATCACCTACAACACTGGCTTCTGCACTCAGTTTAGATGGGTCCTTAGGAGAACTTTCCAGAACCTAGTGCTGAACCCACAGACCTCCGTGGCACAGGTACCAGTACAAGTGCAGTACTACTACTACAACTGCTCTTTCTACTGCTGCTACTGCTGCTACTACTATTAGTACTGCTACTACTACTACCGCTGCTGTAGCTGCTACTACTACTACTATTATTCCGATGTGGTTTACATCTGTGACTGCTACTACTACTATTACTACTACTACAACCACTGCTGCTGCTTATACTTGTTTGAAAGGTTGCTGTAATACCGTGCTCCTCCTGCAGGTGGCGGTCACCGTGTTCCTGGCTCTTGTAGTTGGAGCTCTATTCTTCGGCGTTCAGAGTGATCGCAGCGGGATCCAGAACAGGTGAGAATATTGGCGCCCTCCGTTGGAGTCAGGGGGAACTACAACCCCAAAAGTAACAAATGCACAGTTTGATTCTTGAATCTATTTTCAGATTTGGAGTTTTGTTCTTCATCACAGTGAACCAGTGTTTCAGCTCCTTGTCCTCAGCAGAACTCTTCATCACAGAGAGAAAACTCTTCATGTGAGTGACAGCAGCTCTTGTATCTGATTTCATTCAGTCGTGTCCATTACAACAGCTCTTCTATCTGCTTTCAGACATGAGTACATCAGTGGTTACTATCGTGTCTCTGTGTATTTCTTGGCAAAGATCTTGTCTGACATCATCACGCTGAGGACCATCCCCGCCATCGTCTTCTCCTGCGTCGCCTACTTCATGATCGGTGAGAAAAACAATGTCTGGTAATTGGCAATTGTTGTGTTTTGTTTGTATTGTGAAAGGACTGAGATCTATTAGTGTCATTGTTCTGCTCTCATTGTTTTTCCAAGACCAATTTCTCCGTCACAAGACAAAAAAGACTAATCTAATTCAACCCAGAACAAAAATCCAAAAATGTTGGATTTTTGCTTCCATTTCATATCACCGCGGCCGCTGCTTTTTTTATAGTGTGCTTCTCATGTGCCGGGTGCATACTCCAACAACATCATTTTCTACATCACAAAACCACTGGTATAACATGACAGTTTCCTTTATTATTAGTCCAAAGAAAACTTGAGAGGGACCTGCTCTTATGACCCTGTAGATCCAAGACTTAGGCTGTTGATCCAGTACTGAGGCTGTAGATCCAGGACTGAGGCTGTGGATCCAGAACTGAGGCTGTAGATCCAGGACTGAGGCTGTGGATCCAGAACTGAGGCTGTGGATCCAGGACTGAAGATCTGGATCAGGCTCTCTGGAGGTGATAGGGGTGAAGGCCCTGTGTCCGGGCCGGGGACGACCAGTTCATTGGTGCCGGGAGAGATTGTCAGAGTGAAGAAGAAGAGCTCAGTGAAACATACACATAAACAGTTGAACCATGATAAATAGAAACATTAAGTAACGTAGCCCAACTTTAAAGGGCCCGTCTGATCTGCTCTTCCTCAGGTCTGAAGCCCACCGTCGCAGCCTTCTTCACGTTCATGCTCACCGTCGCCCTGGTGGCCTACACTGGGACTGCAATGGCGATGGCGATCTCTGCTGACCAGACTGTGGTCGCCATCGCCAACATCTTCATGACCATCTCCTTTGTCTTCATGATGGTGAGTCTTCCTCAGTGTATGTCCCACTGCTCCTCACCATAGTCTTCCTCAGCGTATGTCCCACTGCTCCTCACCATAGTCTTCCTCAGCGAATGTCCCACTGCTCCTCACCCTAGTCTTCCTCAGTGTATGTCCCACTCATAGACTGTAAATATTAACGGACGTAGTCATGCCTATGAAAAAACGCATCTTTGCATGCGTCAGCTGCACTAGCTCCATTTGTTCAAAAATTCACAGCGAGTAAACTAGAGTGGTCCAAAACACCCCCCTCAGCATTGACACACATGTGGGACGGAGCTTTGGGCCAAGAGCCGACTTTTGGACCATCCTGTAAAGACGTTTTCGAGAGGAAAGAAGATGCTATATGTTAGCATTGGCTAATTCTTATTCCGGGTCCACCTCATGGATGTATTATATTAACTGGATAGGGTATTACTAGCTTGGAGCTGAATAACTCATGTGCTCGGGGGATTCTCGCGGTACTGCAGACAAAACCAGACTAAATTCACGTGGGCTACCCAGAAATTTTCCCCATAGAACTCAATGCAAATTAAAACAGCTCAACCTCAGCTGACAGAGAACCTACAGCTTTCATAAAGGTCGGATTTTGTGGGGATTTTAGTGTCCCTTGTCATCCTGAACTTTTTTTCTTCTTAAATCCTTCGGTTTTGTTTAAATCCACATTTTAGTGCCACAAACTCTGCTCGTCTGGCTCTCGCTCTAACTCCCGCTCTGATGAACTGCTCTGATTGGTCAGAGCGCGGCCGAGCCCCTCTGTGCACGTGCGTGAGACCCGGTGTGAGACCCACACACGCGTGTTTGGTGCAACGCATTATGGGAGATCATCCACTGCACAGAACCGGGAGGACCAGACGATGCCAAAATACAGGCGAGTTTCCCATAGATCTTTGCGAGTTCCAGGCAACTTCCGCTAATCTTTCAGCCCCCATGCCGTCACAAAGCGCCACTGAGCACAACCATTTATTTGAACAGGGCGCCATCTTGGATCGCCGGGGCTTGGTCCACCCCCATTGGCCCGGGGTGGTATTTCAAGCATTTTGGCTACTTTTGAGCCGGGACCTGCCCCCACTGGTCCCACTGCTCCTCACCATAGTCTTCCTCATTGTCCTCCAACAAACCTGAGCTTTACCTACACAGAGTGCGTCACAGCCCATTTCACATAGGACATAAATAATCACATATAAATCATAAAAAAGAAAATAAAAAAAATTGAATCTTGCAGGGCATTACAAACAAAACATAAACTCTATTTTCAGTGAAGTCATGGTCCTGGCCCAAAGCCAAAGTGCTCCTGAGTGCTTGGCCTGTGAGATGAAAGATGGACGGAGTAGCATAGGAAAAATAATCAATTATGCAAGAAATCCCAGACTGACCACTCAGTGTTTGAGGCATGGGCCGACAGAGTGGACTGCAGTCTCTCTACATTATTGCAGTCTCTCTACATTATTGCAGTCTCTCTACATTATTGCAGTCTCTCTACATTATTGCAGTCTCTCTACATTATTGCAGTCTCTCTACATTATTGCAGTCTCTCTACATTATTGCAGTCTCTCTACATTATTACAGTCTCTCTACATTATAGCACATTATTGCAGAAGTACATGAGATACTCACTAAAAGAAACAGGGAGGGGTTGAAGAGTTATTTAACAAATGTCCTTTTGGAGAAACCAGCTAGACTTGCCCCCAGCTTCAGCACTTGTCTGCTTTGGCACAGTTCAGTGTGTTTGGCTCCTGAAAACCGCTGAGCTCCGGGGTTCACCGCTGACAGACGCAACATGATGTTTCTGTGAACGCATTAATTCATTTCTGTGTTTAGTTTTCCAAAGCTGAAGTGCAGCCGGAGTTCTAACACAAAGACACACGTTTACACTGAGTCTCATCTAAGTTCCTCACCAGTAATCTATCTTTTACATGTAGAGCGAGTTCCCTACAACCAAATAAACAATAGATAAATACAAATAAAAAAGTAAATCATAAACATTTAAAACACAGGGAAAAAGAAACAACCATCACACAGAATATTGAAAATGTTAATCAAAATCTCTTGAGGAATTAAAAGCAAATATTAAAGGTTTATAGAAAGATTTTCCCACATTTTAGAAAAGAACCGCCCTCTCCACTTTTTGAACCAAACTCTCTGGTCTTATTGGACGAGCTCGTATCACCAGAATGATTGACAAGTGGGAGGACCAATAGTTTTGATGATCCACCCGAAAATAGAAAAATGTCTTGTAAACCATAAAGATCACATTAAAATCATAAAAAAACACAGTGCATTGAAAAGAGTAGAGATACAATTATTCAGTTGTATGCGCAAAAAAATATCTTGAACCTGGATTGGAACCAGGGCCCGGTGATCCAAGATGGCGACCTGTTCAAATGAATGGCTTGTGCTCAGTAGCGCATGGGACTTCATGGAGACCGGGAGATTAGCAGAACGCCTTTATTATATGACTTGGACCGTACGCGCGCTCTGATTGGCTGATTACCGGTCTAATATTTTCCCATCTCGGACCGTTACCATGACAATTGGTCCGAACAGCGCGTATCACACAAAACCAAGTCGGACATGAACATACTTCACAAATATCTCAAAAGCATTGGTAAAGACACAGACCAGAGTCATATCATAAAACATTTATTAACCTCGCTTGCTCGGTCTGTGCAGAGAAATATCAGACATTGGCCTTTTTGCACAGACCTCGCCACGGCTCGGTCTGTACATTAAGTCTGATATTTCTCCGCACAGACCTCGCGCTCGGTTAATAAGCTGTTAATATTTGGGCATCGTCTGGTCCTCCCGGTTCTGCACAGTGGACAAGCTCCCAGGATGCATTGCGCCAAATACGCATGTGTGGCTCTCATGCACGTGCACAGAGGGGCTCGGCCGCGCGCTGACCAATCAGAGCTGCTGATCAGAGCGGAGTTAGAGCGTAGCCAGAGGGGGAAGGAAACGAGCGGAGTTTAAGATAAGAATTCCTTTATTCGTCCCACAGTGGGGACATTTCAATGTTGCAGCGCACAGACAGGACAGTAGTAAGAGCACACAGGGATCACACACAATAAATACAAATAAGTAGTAGCTATGTTTCTTAACTAACATAACTAGCTGTAGATGCTGAAAATGCTTCAATACCAGTCAAAGTATATATATGTAGTAGTGCAGTTATATACTGTACAGTTAAATAGTGCAGGATAAAAAGTATATAAGTAAAGTGACATGAGGTAAAGTGACATTGTTCTGTGACATCCTGAAATGCAGTATTGTACATTGCACATGATTTAAGAATTTACTTCATTACAGATGAATGAAATTTACAGGCTCAGCAGTTCTCATTGTACAGTCTGACAGCAGCAGGAAGGAAAGACAGTGGTAGTGGCAGTAAAGTGTAGATTTAAAGAAAACCAAGAAAATTAAGAAGAAAAAAAGTTCAGGATGACAATGGACACTAAAATCCCCACAAAATCCGATCTTTATGAAAGCTGTAGGTTCTCTGTCAGGTTCTCTGTCAGCTGAGGTCGAGGTGTTTTAGTTTACATTGAGTTCTGTTTAGCCCACGTGAATTTAGTTTGCAGTACCACGGGCGCCCCCTGTGCCCGTGGGTGGGACAGCTATAAGCTAGTAATACCCTGTCCAGTTATTATTATTGATCCATGATTGGAACACTGTCAGAGAAGAAGCCTGTCTCACATTTTAGAGGAGATTTTCCAGATTTTAGCTGCATAAATCTGAGCCACTGTCCCCCATACTTAATCCTGCCTCTGGGACCAGCAGGAGGCCAGTCCCTGTGCTCCTCAGAGTCCATCATCTTCCTCTCTTCCTTAATTAGCCTTTTATTAAAGATGGTCATATCATTAGTCTAGCGCCTCCTACTGGTGAAAACAGCAATGATTACAGCCACGTGCGCTGAGTTCGGTCGCACCATGTTTTATGTTAGTCCATGAAAGCAAAGTGTGTGATCCCTCTGGTCCTGTCTGCAGATCTTCACGGGGTTACTGGTGAACCTCCCCACCATCGTCAGCTGGTTGGCCTGGCTCAAGTACCTCAGTATTCCAAGATACGGGTTTGGGGTGAGCCAAAGTCACATGACCCACTCTGCTCCCACTGACGCCCACACCAACACTGATGTTTCTGTTTCAGGCGCTGCAGATCAACGAGTTTGTGGGACTGGAGTTCTGTCAATCTTTGAACACAACCACAATGTAAGACACACACATTAACATAGAATCATGCACACACACACATGTACTTACACACACACACACACACACACACACATACATACACACACATACACGCATACTTACACATGCATGCACATACACACATACACACACACACATGTACTTACACATGCACACACACACACATGCAAACAGACACACATACATATGTACGCACACAAATACACACATACACACACACACATGTACTTACACATGCACACACACACACATGCAAACAGACACACATACATATGTACGCACACAAATACACACATGCACGCACACACATACACAGGCACATGCACACACACACACATACACAGGCACATGCACACACATGCACTTTTGAAAGAACACACTCCTGTTCCAAACCAGTCTGACCGCTGTGAGGTCCAGTCGTGTACCTCACAGCAAGAAGGTTCTGTGTTCGATTCTACCTCCAGGCCTCTCTGTGTGGAGTTTGCATGTTCTTCCTGTGTCTGCGTAGTTTTCCTCCAGGTGCTGCAGTTGCCCCTACCACTTCAGGAGGGAGGGTCTATATCATCCAATGACATACAATTCAAATATAAGCTTGGCTTCTCCCTGTGCTCTTAAATGCATCCACCGGCAGCGTCTCAGTAGGATCCGGTATCCATGGTTACATGCAGCATAAACGCCAAACATACCCCATCAGACCTGAAGCTAAGTAGGTCAGAGCTTGGTTAGTACTGTGATGGGAGACCTCTGGGAACACCAGTTGCCAGTGGTGCGGCTGTAAAGTGCCAAACTGTATTTGTGTCGTTAGGCAAGACATGAGAATGAGTCTGGTGTGTTTGTGAATGTTTGGTGGTGGTCAGAGGGGCCAATGGCACAGACTGGTTGTCTCGCTTCTGTCGGTGTGCCCAGGGCAGCTGTGGCTACTGGCTACAGTAAAAACATCATCTGAAGCGTCTTTGAGTGTCCTGAAAAGCGCTATATAAAACCAATGCATTATTATTATTATTAAATGTAACCCCTCTTCTTTGGCCCCACCCCCTTTCTGCAGCTGTCAATCCGGGGAGAGCGTGCTAGCGGAACAAGGCGTGGACTCGTCGCCATGGGGACTGTGGCAAAACCATGTGGCGCTGATCATCATGTCGGCCGTGTTCCTGACCATCGCGTACCTTAAACTGCGCTTCATCAAGAAGTTCACATGAAGCTGTTTCAAATCTTCTGTTGTTTTGTTTTCTGTATCTGCACTGGAACTGCACTAACGTCGTGTAAAGATTCACAAATAATAAAATAAATAATGAACATGAGGTGTGTCTTCTTTACCCGACCATGAACGACTTTGGGCCGTGTGGTTCTCTCGAGCCTTCAGGATGTCTGCTCATTCAGGTCGATTGGCAGTGGTTAGCCGTTCACAGCTGCGACCCCTGAACTGCTGTGCTTGCTTCTCAAATCCCATTATGCTTTTGGGGCGTGGGGGGTCTCACTATGCAGGCGGTAAGGAGGCTGAGTGGATAGCCCTCTCGCCTCCCAGCAAGAAGGTTCTGGGTTCGAATCCCGGTCGGAATGGGGTCTTTCTGGGTGGAGTTTGCCTGTTCTTGCTTGCGTAGGTTTCCTACTAGTGCTCCAGTTTCGCGTACCATTATATGCGAAATATGCACACTAGGTCAGATCCTCCAGCTCCGGTAGTCCTCTCCAATCTGGAGATGGGTTCCCGGATGCTGTTACTACGGCGACCACTGCTCCTGACGTAAGCCTTAGTGGCATCAGGATCTGGGTCAAATGCAGAGGATGAACTGCCCTACGGGGATTAATAAAGTGCATCTTTACATTTAGAAGTTGATGACTTTGTTAATCCTGCAGTGGGAGGTGTAGAAGGGCGAGTCCTGATTATCACAAGGACTCCCAGACTTCTGGAACTACTACAACTCCCAGAGCAGTCAATTTAACTGTTCCCATTAAAATCAATGGAATTCTGATAAAGTTAGTTTTACACTTTTATTAAAATGAAAGAATTTATTAGCTAAACCTTTGAGAAAACTGTAGACGGGGCATGGCCTTGAGTTCTATTATTGTCTGCCCCAGCTTAAAAGTAAAATACCCCAAGTCTAAAGTTACGTACTCCAGCTTTAAAGAAACATACCTCCAGCTTCAAGGAAAGATTACCACAGAGTCTGTTCCACGGTGAGAATCAAATCCCTGTGTTTTGTGTTTGGAAATGACTCATGAGCCGTGGTGCAACTTTAACCACAGGCGAGTTGGAACAGACTCCAGTCCCAGACCAGACTCAGACTCAGACTCAGACCCAGACCAGACTCACTCTAGACTGCTCTTGGTTCATTCCATCATGCTCCTCTGGGTCTCCGTCGTCTTCTTCACAGTGTGGAGCTGGCACCTCGTCCACAGTGAGTACTTCAGGATGTACTCAGAATACTGCATCATATACTGTACATGTGAGAGTACTTCTAAAGGCTGTAGCTACTGTAGTATTAGTGAATATGTTTTATCTGATCTTAATGTATCTTATCTTGTCTTGGTTTTTGTAAAGCAATAGATCTGTGCTATACAAATTGCCTCACTTCTTCCAACCCATTACATCATCTGCGCAGTGAGGCTGAAAAACGTCTGTGGTTCAAAGTGTATTTAGAGATACTTTGTTAGTCCCACAGAGGGGAAATATCAGTGTTGCATCCCCAGTTAAAGAAGGAATGAGGGAGGAGCACACAGCACAAGATGAATGAACAATTATTCTATACAAAAATGACAAAAACTCTAACTTAATCATCAAGAAGAAGCAAGAATAACATCTCTAACTTTAGCCTAATAAAGAAGTAAGGATTAAGTATAAAATCTCTGATTTTGGATTGACTTATGTGTGGGACTTGTTGTAGTTTTGTAAATAAAGAGAATTGGATTGAATTGAAAATGACAACTATTTTTGAGCCGCTATGGGGCGGTCTGAAATGGGCAGTTCATGCAAGGCGGCCAAGGAATTTACTAGAACTGGAGGCTTTTTGCCGAGAAGAATATGCAGCTTTATCATCAAAGAGGATATCAGAGAGAGACCAGAGATCAAGAAGACCAGAGTGAGACAAGAAAAAGACCACAGAGAGAGCAGAGAGAGAGCAGAGAGACCAGAGATCCAGAAGACCAGAGTGAGACAAGAGAAAGACCACAGAGAGAGCAGAGAAAGAGCAGAGAGACCAGAGAGACCAGAAATAGACCAGAGAGACCAGAGAAAGACCACAGAGAGAGCAGAGCAAAGAGAGACAAGAGAAAGACCAGAGAGACCAGAAATAGACCAGAGAGACCAGAGAAAGACCACAGAGAGAGTAGAGCAAAGAGAGACAAGAGAAAGACCAGAGAAAGACCACAGAGAGAGCAGAGCAAAGAGAGACAAGAGAAAGACCAGAGAAAGACCAGAGAGAGACCAGAGAGACCAGGAAAAGACCAGAAAGACCAGAGAAAGACCACAGAGAGACCAGAGAGATCAGAGAGACCAGAGAAAGACCAGAGAGACCAGAGAAAGACCACAGAGAGAGCAGAGCAAAGAGAGACAAGAGAAAGACCAGAGAAAGTCCAGAGAAAGTAAGTAAGTAAGTAAGTAAGCTTTTATTTATATACCGCCTTTTCACTGCACATCGGAGTCTCAAAGCGGTTTACAATTGTTATTTTTTTGGGAGTGGGGGTGCCAGTACAGGAGGCACATGCCATACCTATTGTACATATTTTTTGTGGTAGGGGAAACCGGAGCACCCGGAGGAAACCTACGCAGACACGGGGAGAACATGCAAACTCCACTCAGAAAGGCCCTGGTCCAACCGGGATTTGAACCCAGGACCTTCTTGCTGAGAGGCGAGAGTGCTATCCACTCAGCCACCGTGCCGCCCAGAGACCAGAGAGAGACCAGAGAGACCAGGAAAAGACCAGAAAGACCAGAGAAAGACCACAGAGAGACCAGAGAGATCAGAGAGACCAGAGAAAGACCACAGAGAGACCAGAGATCCAGAAGACCAGAGAGAGACTAGAGAGACCAGAGACCAGAAAGACCAGAGAGAGATCAGAGAGAGACCAGAGAGAGACTAGAGAGTATAAAGAACCTGCATGTTCATACGCTGAGTAATTACACTTCCAAAGCCGTCAAAGTGACTGCTCTGGGAGTTCAAATGTTAAATTGGACCCAAGAACAGTTTCTTCCCATCAGTTTGACTCATGAACCCAATTACAATCATCTTTTTGAACTGATGCAAATTGACAGTTCTGCCACTTTATAACATCAAACCTCTGGACACTTGTTGATAATCTGCACTGTCATAAGTCTATTGTGTGTATTTTTCATTAGAGTTTTATACATGCCATTAAATCTATTTTTTGACTATTTTTCACCAAATATCAAAACAAATCTCTCATCTGTGACTTCATGTTACTTGGAATGGCAATACAATCATTCAGATTCAGATTCTGATCCAATGTGATTAGTAAACTGTGGCTAATCAAAGTAATAACTGGGTCAGGTATGTAAACTGATTGCACTTTGTTTACCAACAATAAAGGAGTCTGTACAAGCCCAGGGTCTCCAAGATTGATAGATAGATGGATGGATGGATGGATGGATGGATGGATGGATGGATTTATTTATTTATTGTTTATTTGGTTGGGACAGTACATGTCCCACATTCGCACTTAAAAAAACACACTCATTCACCCTGAACTATTGCACATGTTTTTAGTGGTAGGGGAAACCGGAGTACCCGGAGGAAATCTATTTTTTTATTTTTATTTATTTATTTATTTGAGCAATCTTAGTATGAACATGTTACATACATTTATACAGAATAATGTTGTAACAAATTAGCACATACATCAGTGCTGAGTGCTTGAAAGTGCTCAAAAAGGAGTAGGAAGAAGTGGGGACTTATAAACTCCTACCCCTTTCTCCATTCAGTGTTTTGTGTGACAGTTGTTGATTTTTCTATATGTTGTGTGTAACATTACAATATATGACGAGTTCTATACATTTGAGTGTTTAAAGATACAACAAGATTAGATTACTAATTATTAGTGATGGTCTCTGAGCTGTTACTTTTGTAGTTTACTATAAAATTGCAATTATTTATCTATATGATTGAAATGATCATCAGTGGCTAAATCGCATTTGGTACAAGAGATCTCGATGTAGTTTGATCCTTGAAATTTATTCAAATTGAGCTTTCAGTTTTACCCTTGATCAGCATATTGTTTGTAAATTAATTGCTTGTATAACCTCTTGAAAACATAGATATTTACACAGCTTTTTAAATCATCGTTTAGACTATTCCATAGATCAACTCCACATCGTGTAATACACATTTTTTTCAGTGTTGTCCTGGAAAAGTGTTTTTTAAAATTTTGAGTATTCCTTAAATTATAGTTCCCTTCTCTATTAGTGAACATACATTGTATGTTTTCTGGCAGTTGTTGACGCCTTGCTTTGTACAATAGTTGAAGTGTTTTGAAGTTAACCAAGTCAGTGAACTTTAGTATTTTGGATTTGAGAAAAAGCACATTAGTGTGTTCACAATAGCCTGCTCTATGAATTATTCTCACAGCTTTTTTCTGTAATTTGAATAGTGGATCTGTGTTAGTTTTGTATGAGTGTCCCCATACTTGGGCCCCATAACTCAAATAAGGCAGAATTAAAGATGCATACAATATGTTCAGAGAATGTTGGTCCAGGAAATGTCTTGCTTTACAGAGAATTGCAATACTTTTAGCTATTTTTGATTTTATATTTGTGATATGGGGTTTCCAACATAACTTATTATCAAGAGTCACTCCCAGGAATTTAAATGTGTTTACTCTTTCAATTTCAATAGTATCAATAAATATTTTAGTGTCAGATTTGACATCTTTATTTCCAAAAATAATACATTTTGTTTTCTTGATATTAAGTGACATTTTATTAATTTCAAACCATGTTTTCAGTCGTTTCATTTCTGTGGTAACCAGTGTTTTTAGTTGTTGTAGATCGTCTCCTGAGCATGTTATTGTTGTGTCGTCTGCAAATAGCACAAATTTTAATTTTGTTGAAATTAAACATAAATCATTGATGTAAAGTAAGAACAATTTAGGTCCTAGTACAGAGCCTTGAGGAACTCCGCAGAGGATTGTCTTGTAAGTTGATTTATGGTCTCCTATTTGTAGATATTGTTCCCTATTAGTTAGATAGGATTTGATCCAATTTAATGCAATCCCTCTAAAACCATTTTTTTCCATTTTTTCTATTAGTATGTTGTGATCAATGGTATCAAATGCTTTTTTTAGATCGATGAATATCCCTATCACGTATTTCTTCTTGTCTATGTCATTGGTTATGTTTTCTATTAGATCAACAAGAGCGAGTTCAGTGGATCTATTTTTTCTAAAGCCAAATTGGTTTGTAGTTTTTATTTGTATAAAATAAAGTTTGTATTTTTCAATAAATGTGTCCATTCTACTTGCAAACAGTTTTTCCAAAATTTTAGAGAGCTGCGGTAAGATTGAGTTAGGCCGGTAATTAGAAAAGTCATGCTTATCTCCAGTTTTGTAGATGGGAATAACTTTGGCAGTTTTCATGCCGGATGGAAATGTCCCAGTGGTGAATGATAAATTAAAGATATGTGTTAAAGGTTTTGAGATTTCACCAATTACTTCTTTGATTATTGTAGTGTCTAGATCATCAGAGTCTAAAGATGTTTTGGCTTTCATATTTTTTACAATATCTATTATTTCGTTTTCATTTGTTGCAGTGAGAAAAAAAGAGTTTGTGTTGGTCGGGGTTTCTTCCTCAGGTTTAGCATTATTTGGTTTGATTTCTGCTGCCAATTCTGGCCCGATGTTTACAAAAAAAGAATTTAGTTCCTCAACAATTTCCTCAGAATTGTTTACCTCTTTACCTTTGTTGATGAAGTACTTTGGTAAACATATGTTTTTGGACTTTTTATTTATAATAGTATTAAGTGCATTCCACATTGTTTTCATGTTGTTCTTGTTCTCGTCCAATAGACATTGGTAATAATGTTTCTTGCAATGTCTTATTATGTTTGTCAATTTATTCTTATATTTTTTATATTTGCTTTCTGATTCAATTGTATTTTTTGATATAAAGTTTTTGTATAAGATGTTTTTCTTTTTGCAAGCTCGCAGTAACCCTGTGGTCATCCAAGGATCTCTCTTTCTTTGTTTCTTTGTACAGACCACTAGGGGGCAGTGCTGATTATACAGTGTCTTAAAGATTTCAATAAATTGTTTATATGCTAAATCTACTTCTGACTGATTTAAAATACTGTACCAGTTATAATTTAGCAAGCTTGTTCTGAATTTCTGTTTATTTTCCTCATTTTTGACTCGTACATATTGTATGTTCAATTCTTCTTGATCCTTTCTTTTAAGATCAGTTTTAAACATTACAAAAATTGGCAAGTGATCAGATAAGTCATTTATGATTATTCCACTAGTCATATCTTGGAGAACATTTGTGAATATGTTGTCAATTAGAGACTGTCTATTTTGAGTTATTCTGGTGGGTCTGGTAATTTTGGGATAAAATGAATTACTATATAATGTATGAATAAAGCTTTCTATGGGTGAGTGAGAGTCTGTTTTGAGTAAGTCCAGATTGTAATCACCACAGATGAAGACCTCCTTTGATTCCATATTGGCAAACAATTTATCGATATGATCAATAAAAGGTTCTGTATTTGATCCAGGCGGCCTATATATGCAACTGATGAGTATATTTTTCCTATTTATCCTTTCTATTTCAAATGTCACACATTCCATTACATTGTCTACAACAGTAGTCATATTTTCCACAATTCGCCCGTGCAACTTATTACTTATATAAAGTGCCACCCCACCACCACCCTTACACACCCTGTCTTGTCTAAACATTTCGTATCCCACAATCACATAGTTGTTTTTATTATTTCCTTTAAGCCAAGTCTCTGAGATAGCAATAACATCAAAACTCCACTCAAGTTCATGCAGAAAATGTACAATATTGTCAAAATTTGCATTTAAACTTCTTGCATTTAGATGTATTATTGATAAAACTTCATCTCCAGTTTTAATAAGTGTCTGTACTTGTTGTTCGTGGTAATATTGACAGTTTACATGGTTTATGCTTTATGAAATCTAAGGGGACATGCAAACTCCTCTCAAAAAGGCCCTGTTCCGACCGGGATTCAAACCCAGTACCTTCTTGCTGAGAAGCAAGAGTTCCATCCGAGAGTTCCATCCACTCAGCCACCGTGCTGCCCGATCTGAGGAAAATTGGGCGGCACGGTCAAGATCAATAAGATACTTTATTGATCTTTACAGAAGAAGTTCGGGTGTCCAGCAGAAAGTGGTGAAGGTGGTGCCGGCGCTGGTGATGATCTGCTTCCTCTGGTTGATGTTTGCAGAGTCTGCTTGGTTTGGACCATTTTCTCTGCTCTCGTTCCGAGTGAAATCCTGAACTTTGTATTATCTTTCTTTTTTTTTTTTGAAGAGAGGACCGTCCTCTCTGCTCTGGTTTGGATCAGTGTAAAACCATGAACACTTTACTGCGGTAACATTTACAGGTAGAAAAGTGCCTTCAAAAGTGAACACAGGTTTAAGCAGCAAAACCTTATACAAACATTATTGTACGTCCACGTTAACATCTCATTTCTCTGCAGCTCAAGCGGAGGACTTCCTGTGGGGGTTTGAGCCGCCGCTGCTCGACGGCGCCCCCGTGGACCAATGTGGGAACATCCTCTGGAACATGGTCCCAAACAATGCTGTCGCCGTGGCAACAGGACACACTGTCACCGTAACAACAGAAAACCCTGTCACAATGAAAACAGAAACCACTGTGGCCACGGCAACACAACACGCTATCACCATGGTAACAGCTCCATCCGGTGTCTCCAAGGGGACGATGAGCAGATACCTGACACATGAAACCACGCCCACAGACCCTTACGAACCAATCAGACGCTTCCTCCATGAGCTCCTGTCTCAGTCAATCAGAACGCAGCATTCATCAGAGAGCAAAGAAGCGACAGCCAATCAGAGACGACTATACTCACAGACTTCCAGCTCCAGCTCAGAGGAAAGCAGCCACTGAAAGACGTGTGTGATGTCACAGATCAGACAGATTCAGCACAGAGCGGTCTGCGGGGACCAGCCTCAGTGGATGCAGATTATCGTAATTGGAACATTGATGTTATTTTGTACTTTGATTTGTTTTTGCGGAGCGACTTGGAACCTGTTAACAGGTCAAGATAAGATACTTTATTGATCTCACAATAGAGAAATGCACATGTCACATTGGCATAAATAGTATCACTCAGGTTGTGCAAAAGACAGGAAATGTGCAAAAAAAATTTAAGAATTAAAACGATAATAAAATATTATTTACTATAAAAGTTGAATACAGAGCATCCATATTTGTTAGTGGCTGCAGTTACATCAGTTGAATCCCCTCCGGCCAATCAGCGAGCGCAGGAGGCGGGTGTTGTAGGGAGGTGTTGGTGACGTTAAGAGTGTGCCGAATTTGTTGGTTGTAGTTGAAAGTTGGAAATGGTGAAGAATAAAGTAATCTGTTCTGGTTCAGCTCCAAATACCAAGAAATTGAAGCCGGAGCAAGTAGAAGGTTTAGCAAATGTTATTGCTGCAAAGATGTCATGGCTCTACTCACCACAGGCTCCGTTAGTGCCAAAAGAGATGGCTAAAGTTAGGCTAAATGCTAAAGCTAGGCTAAACTCAGATCCAATTGTTTCAATCTGCAAAAGGAGTAAACCCCTCTCACCTGTTAACGGAGTCAATGGAGCAAATCCAGACCTTTGTACAAAATTTAATTTGAAGGTCCTAGAATATCTGTCTGGAGCTGCACCACCTCCAGTTTTGGTACTTTTTGTTGCTTTTTGTTACTTTTGAAGCACATTGTTTTATTGTCTATATTTTGTTGCGTGTCACCTTGATTATTTTTGAAAATAAATGTACTTTTAAGGGAATGTTTCTTCAGACTCGCTAGCTTCCCCACAGACATTGTTATTGTAACTATTTTACTCATTGTTTTAAATGTTTTACCCTTTGAACGTTTTTGGATTTTCATTTGTATTTGTCTCATTCCCTTGTGGATCATGAGTTTGTCTGCAAGTCTGTTTTTGAGCAACAATGGAACATGGAAGAAGTGAAAATGAAAGTTTGTATAGCTTTGTTGTTAACCTAAAGTGAGAGACAGACTTTTCAGATTTAGTTTTACAGTGACATGTACAGATGTGGTCAACAACTTCACAAGCGCCCCCCTGTGGCTCACTATTATACATACAGCTCCACAGCACCCCCGTGGCTCAGTATTAAATATACAGAACACTGTAAATCTCATTGACCTAAAGTGCAGTAGACCAGTTTGTACATTTTCGACTTCAGACTTGTCCCGTTTAATACTTTAATACTCCTCGGATTAGGGTTTACGTCACCTGAATGTATTGTAGGGGGCGTGGTCTGATGGAGGGGTGGGAGGATCCAACAGGTGAGACGTGGAGACTGCCAAGGAGGCCATCTCAGTGTCCTGTGTAGGGACATTCTTAGAGTACATTGTAGAGTCCCATGCGGCGACCATCTTAGAGTCCTGTTCTAGCGTTTCCTTCAGTCCCTTCGACACAAATGTTAGATCCTGTGAAAGCTCCTCCCCCTTCAACAGCGAATTATCTTCTTTCAGATGTCTGCTGCGGTTTCCTGATGCTACCCTTGCTCCTCGCTGCAGGAGAAAGTTACAGGTCAGAGCTTTAATCCTCAGACAATTTGGATCTTCCTGGTCATGTTTGGGAGCTTTGGACAAAGACTGCAGTGAGATCTTCGACTGATTCTGAGCAGGAGACGACAATCTGACACTCTTCAAATCCACGAGTTTGGACAAAGACTCTTCCAGACTCTGACTAGACATATTTGGATTCGGTGAAGGATCGCTCTTCTTGGACGTGCAACTCTCCAGAGTCTGACTCGACTTTGAAGACCGTTCCATCTCACTGTTTTGGGCTGTGTTTCTGGCTTCATCTCGACTTTTCGCCAATTGATGCGTCACATTTGAATGGCTTCTCTGCAGATCACTCGCCACGTCCAACATGACCAGTTCTCCAGTGCTGTTGAGAACATTGAAGCTTGTTGTAATACTCTGAGCCTCTGAAACGTGTGCGGCCTTCTTCACAAAGCTCCTCACAGCCTTCTGCTCCTGCTGAAGGACTCTCGAAGGTTTGGAGCTGGGATTGCCGTGTTTGTGTTCAGGCGAAGGCACTCTGTTGGCTTTAGTTTTAACCATTAGGTTGTTGAGTTGAGGTTTGATGGACAAAGCGTTTTTTGTCACATTCTCTTTGGCTTCTGTGGTCTTTGAGGTCTTGGTGGAAAGTTCTGAAGAGTTCTGAGTAGCTTCTGTGATCTTGGTTGTCTTGATGGACAAGTTTGAAGCGTTGTTCATGGTTCCTGTGATCTTTGACATCTTAAGAGGCATTTGTAGATTGTATTTATTGGCTCCTGTAATCTTTGCCATCTTGGTGGGAATCTCCAAAGTGTTGTTATTGCCTTCAATGAGCTTTGAGGACTTCTTGGACAGTCCTAAAGGGTCATCTTTGGTTCCACAGGTAGAGGGTTTGAGAAACATTTCTGAATAGTTTTCCTTAGTTCCATTTGGCTTTAAAGGGTTTTCTGACACCTCTTCATTGTCCTTCAGTCCAGTGGTCTTGAAAAGCTTAGGAGACATATCCAAAGGGTTCTCACTAATTTTGACAACCTCTGCTGTATTTGTGGACATCCCTAAAGCAATCTCTGTGGTTCCAATGATCTTGGACGGCTTTGGAGACATTTCCAAAGCCTTATCCTTAGTTTCAGTGGTTTTCTGGGAACCAGGAGACAATCCTAAAGCATAATCCGTGGTTTCTGCAATCTGTGAGACCTTGGGACACATTTCTGGGCTGTTTTTATCGACTCCTGTGATCTTCGCCACCTTGGATGGAATCTCTGAAGCATTCTTGTTGAATTCAATGGTTTTCGTCTGCTTATTGGACCCTTCTTGAGCTGTTTGATTGGGTAAAGGTGCTTTCGTCTGCTTGTTGGACCCTTCTTGAGCTGTTTGATTGGCTAAAGTACCTTTCATCTGCTTGTTGGACCCTTCTTGAGCTGTTTGATTGGGTAAAGTACCTTTTGTCTGCTTGTTGGACGTGCCCAGGGACATGTCCTTACCTGCTGTGCTCTTTGTGGATTTGATGGACTGTTCCAAGGCGGTTTGATGTGCTCCCGTAGCCTTCGTTGCCTTTGCGTACGTCTCTGGAGCATTGTGAATGACTGCTGTGGTCTTATTGGACTTGTTGGACAGTTCTGGAGCATTGTCCTTGGCTTCTGTGATCTTTGCTGCCTTTGCTGCCTTCTCAGGACAGTTGTGGTGGGGGGCTGCATTCTTAGCGAACTTGGTGGAGGCCTCTGGGGGGTTCTGATGGGGTTTGGGAAGCTTTGCTTGTCTCCCGCCTTTGGTCTTGTCGTCGGGGGGGTCCTTGTCCTTCTTCGCTCTTCCTTTTTCATCCAAGTTCTCTGGAAGTCGCTGAAGTCTGCGGTCTTTCTCTGGGTCGTCTCTGCCTGCTCTCTGGGCTTTGGGGATCTTGGGCAGTGTGGAATTTTCACGGTGATGCTTCTGGATCTTTGCAATGAGCTCCTCGGAAAATCTGTCAAGAAAAGTGACAAGAAAATAAAAGGTTGAAGTAACGAACACTTGAGGTGTAATCAAAATATCATGATGCAGATTGCATTGTTTCCTATGATTAATAAATTAATACGGAGTTGTACCTGATGTTGAAGGAGTCGTGAGTGAAGAGCTGATGTTCTAACAGCTCCGAGCAGTGAGGCCTGAGCTCCGGCTCCATCCGCAGGCAGCTCTGGGACATGACAGGCTCATTATACAGGTATATATTATTATCATATCAATGTGTGTTTATGTGAGTGAGTGTGTATGTACCTCTGCCAGCCCGAGTGCCCATGGACACAGCTCGGGAAAGCGTTGGCTCAGAGGGACCGGTCGTGGACACTGAGGCAGACGGGCTCCAGAGAACAGAGGGTTAGAGTGGAACAGCTGCTGGTGATGACGAGTCAGATCACCTAAGGGGAGAGCAGAGTGAGAGGGGAAGGACAAGAGGGAGAGAGGAGGGGTGGAGGAAGAAGGGCAGGGTGGGGAGGAGCCAGAAAGAAGGTAGGGGATTATGGCGCTGAGAGGTGGGGCTTCACTGCTCACCAAAACACTGCACGATGTGGTGGATCTGGTCCAGGTCCGACTCTCCAGGGAACAGCGGCTGACCACTGAGCATCTCCATCAGCAGACAGCCAATGGCCCACACGTCCACAGGCCTGAGGTCAGAGAGAGCATGTTCACAGAGAGTACAATTCCAAAGGTCTAGTGAAACCGGAGCTCTCTTTTAGTCCAATTTAATTATGTAGAACCAGACTCATGTAAACTGTGCGGTGAAAAACTTGACTCTACTGAGACGCAGCCAGCAGATGCATTTAAGGGCACAGTGAAAAGCCATGCAGCCATTAGAAATGTGTGTACAGTATATGGCACTGTGTGTTTTTATCGTTGCATTTCTTGTGTTGAAGAGTTGACTCTCTGATCTATGTTCATTCACTGGTTTTGTTAAGTCCTGCTCGGAGATAACTACTATTGTGATTTAGGGCTATACAAGAATACATAGAATTGAATTGAATGGAGACTGGACCAGGGTCTCTGTACTCTGTAATCTTCTGCTTATGTAAACTCAGACCACTTAGGTCCTTACAATAAGTACACCCAGTTTAACAACCAACCTTTGTGTATCAGGTCTCTATTGTATTTTGTTCACATTTCTGTTTTGATTGACAATTGATTGTGTCATCACTAGACTGTATTTGTAGGGGGCGCTCTGGAGCCCATGACTTCAGCACTTTTCAGACACTCACACAGATTACAATAACAGATCAGGGGTTTTGATATAGCCGTACTTTCCGTAGTGCGCGTCTCCCACCAGCAGCTCCGGGGGGCGGTACCAGCGCGTGGCCACATAGTCCGTGTAAGCTCCGCCTTCAGACGCCACGATGCGAGCAAAGCCAAAGTCACACAGTTTGACCACGCCCCCCTGAGAGATCAGGACATTCTCCGGCTTTATGTCCCGATGGATCACCTGAAGAAGAGAGAACACGAGATGGAGGCTACTGCTGTGTGTGTTTCTTGTTTATCTGTGTGTGTAAGCGTGTGTTGTGTATAGGTGTTTCTGTGTGTGCGGTGTGTAGGTATACGTTTGTGTTTTGTGTGTGTATGTGTGCGGTGTATGCGTGTATTTATACCCGTATATATATGTATGTATTTGTATGTGTGGTGTGTGTGTGTGTGTGTGTGTGTGTGTGTGTGTGTGTGCATGTGTGTGTGTTGTGTGTCCATGTTTGTGTGTGTTTGCCTATGTGTGTGGAGTGTGTAGGAGTATGGTGTCTGGGTGTGTGTGTGTGTGTGTACGTTTTGCTGGTGGCAGAAGGCTGTGGCCCTCAGGATCTGGAACAGCAGTTGTCTGCAGGTCTGTAGTTCGAGTCCCTTCGGGTGCAGTTCCAGTTCGTCCAGCAGAGTGCGCTCTACAAACTCAAAGACCAGGAACCAGCGTCGCCGCCGCTTCCACACGTCCAGGAGGTTCACCAGGTTATCGTGACGGAGGAGCTGGAGACACACAACACATTACATATACTGTATACACAACACAAATATGCACAAACACACACACACAAAGGTCCAGGAGGATCACTAGGTTATTGGGACATAGGAACTGGAGACACACACACATTCTTTAGGGCCTTTTTCGATTGCAGAGCTACTTCTATAAAACAGAAAAGGCAGAGAGCTACAGTGCCTTGCGAAAGTATTCGGCCCCCTTGAACCTTTCAACATTTCGCCACATTTCAGGCTTCAAACATAAAGATATAAAATTTAATTTTTTTGTCAAGAAAAAACAACAAGTGGGACACAATCATGAAGTAGAACAAAATTTATTGGATAATTTAAACTTTTTTAACAAATGAAAAACTGAAAAGTGGGGCGTGCAATATTATTCGGCCCCCTTGCGCTAATACTTAGTAGAGCCACCTTTTTCTGCAATTACAGCTGCAAGTTGCTTGGGGTATGTCTCTATCGGTTTTGCACAGCGAGAGACTGGAATTCTTGCCCATTCTTCCTTGCAAAACAGCTCGAGCTCAGTGAGGTTGGATGGAGAGCGTTTGTGAACAGCAGTGTTCAGCTCTTTCCACAGATTCTCGATTGGATTCAGGTCTGGACTTTGACTTGGCCATTCTAACACCTGGATACGTCTATTTGTGAACCATTCCATTGTAGATTTGGCTTTATGTTTTGGATCATTGTCCTGTTGGAAGATAAATCTCCGTCCCAGTCTCAGGTCTTTTGCAGACTCCAACAGGTTTTCTTCCAGAATGGTCCTGTATTTGGCTCCATCCATCTTCCCATCAATTTTAGCCATCTTCCCTGTCCCTGCTGAAGAAAAGCAGGCCCAAACCATGATGCTGCCACCACCATGTTTGACAGTGGGGATGGTGTGTTCAGGGTGATGAGCTGTGTTGCTTTTACGCCAAACATATCGTTTTGCATTGTGGCCAAAAAGTTCGATTTTGGTTTCATCTGACCAGAGCACCTTCTTCCACATGTTTGGTGCGTCTCCCAGGTGGCTTGTGGCAAACTTTAAACGAGACTTTTTATGGATATCTTTGAGAAATGGCTTTCTTCTTGCCACTCTTCCATAAAGGCCAGATTTGTGCAGTGCACGACTGATTGTTGTCCTATGGACAGACTCTCCCACCTCAGCTGTAGTTATCTGCAGTTCATCCAGAGTGATCATGGGCCTCTTGGCTGCATCTCTGATCAGTCTTCTCCTTGTTTGAGATGAAAGTTTGGAGGGACGGCCAGGTCTTGGTAGATTTGCAGTGGTCTGATACTCCTTCCATTTCATTATAATTGCTTGCACAATGCTCCTTGAGATGTTTAAAGCTTGGGAAATCTTTTTGTATCCAAATCCGGCTTTAAACTTCTCCACAACAGTATCTCGGACCTGCCTGGTGTGTTCCTTTGTCTTCATGGTTGGAGACCTCTGCATTAGGGATTTCCGACAGGGGTGTGAAGAAAGGAGGAACAGCGGCTGAACGCAAGGCTCCTTTCCTGTTGTCATGGTAACAGTAGCTCACCTTCAACAGCCGGACCTCTATCACTGTTGTCATGGTGACAGTAACACAGCAGCCGGACCTCTCTCTGGGTCTCTGTCGTCATGGTAACCGTAGCTTACCCTCAGCAGCCGGACCTCTCTCTGGGCCTTTTTCGTCATGGTACAGTAGCTCACCCTCTGCAGCAGGACCTCTCTCTGGGCCTCTGTTGTCATGGTAACAGTAGCTCACCCTCAGCAGCAGGACTTCTCTCTGGGCCTTTGTCGTCATGATAAGAGTAGCTCACCCTCTGCAGCAGGACCGCTCTCTGGGCCTCTGTTGTCATGGTAACAGTAGCTCACCCTCAGCAGCAGGACCTCTCTCTGGGCCTCTGTTATCATGGTAACCGTAGTAGCTCACCCTCAGCAGCTAGACCTCTCTCTGGGCCTCTGTTGTCATGGTAAAAGTCGCTCACCCTCAGCAGCTAGACCTCTCTTTGGGGCTCTGTTGTCATGGTAACAGTAGCTCACCCTCAGCAGCAGGACCTCTCTCTGGGCCTCTGTTGTCATGGTAACCGTAGTAGCTCACCCTCAGCAGCTAGACCTCTCTCTGGGCCTCTGTTGTCATGGTAAAAGTCGCTCACCCTCAGCAGCTAGACCTCTCTCTGGGCCTCTGTTGTCATGGTAAAAGTCGCTCACCCTCAGCAGCTAGACCTCTCTCTGGGCCTCTGTCGTCATGGTAACAGTAGCTCACCCTCAGCAGCAGGACCTCTCACTGGGCCTCTGTTGTCATGGTAACCGTAGTAGCTCACCCTCAGCAGCTAGACCTCTCTCTGGGGCTCTGTTGTCATGGTAACAGTAGCTCACCCTCAGCAGCCGGACCTCTCTCTGGGCGATCTTCTTCACGGCTAGGTCCTCGTCTGAATCCAGGAACTTCTTGATGGCGACGAGGCGCCCGCTCTCTTTGTGGCGGCACTTCATTACGGAGCCGTAGCTGCCCTCTCCGACCGAAGCCAGGGTCTCGTACCGCTCCATCAGTGTGTACACTCTATACGACAGTCTGTGTGATGTAAATATATGTAAATGTACAGACAATAATCTATATCTGATCTTTTCTTATCTTCTTTTTCAGCACAATATCAACTATGGTCTCATTATTTTCTCAGTGGTGACAATTTTCAAAATGAAATGCATGATGTCGGCCTAGAGAAGGGACTCTCAGACTAATTAAATAAATTCCCATTTTTTTTGTCATTATTTTTTAATTTTGGGGTTCTGTAGGGAAGCCACCAAATCTGACAGTAAGAAACTTCAGGCGTCGTCCTCTCAAGAGCCACATTATATTCCAACACATCCAGAGCCAGGGTTCAAACAGCCAAATCTACATAATGTGGATTTCTGAGGGTCCTAAATCTGCTGCCACTGAGGCCCTTCAGGACAGGTTTGGACAGCCCTGGTTTAGACCATAGAGCAGGCATGTCAAACTCAGGCTGATGATCTTCAATTATCATTATTTACTTTGAGCATTGGATGGATTTGGGTTATTATAGCATGTTATACCTATGTATAAATATACCTATATGAGCTAGATATTCTAAATGGAGTGTAACATGAGGAAAACAACCATATAATTGAATCTGTTCTAAAATGTTAACTAACATGTTATTAGAAGTCAGTTATAATTTTGATATTAAATTATCAGTCTTCAAATACATCTCTTCTTGATATTTGGCTCAGTTGGTTGAATCCAAACCTGCCAGAAAATAACATACAAACTCATGTCAAATAATACTTTAATACTTTAAACCAGCTCCTATGCTTTATAATTCGGCCCCCGTCCAAAATGAGTCTGACACCCCTGCCATAGAGCATACATCAGAATCAGAATTAGAATCATTTTTATTGCCACAAAAGTAACAGGAAGTCACAGACTTGGAAATTGCTTTGTCTCAGTGCAACAGTCAGAAAGAAAGGTAAAGGTAGAGAAGGCATAATAAAAAATAAAATAAAAAGCACTTTTAAGTGCACTAAAACACACATTTTTTAGCCAAAAATGGAGAGTGTGACACAAACGTTTACTTTTAAATGTCAGTCAACAGGAGCCAAAGTGCGTTGGAGCAAAATGTCGCATGAGCATGTCAGCATTGAGCTTAGCATTGGTCCATCTGTATACAGTCTATGGTGTGTGTAAATGATTGCATAGTCATTTCTATTTTGTCATAACAGATTTTCTGTTTTTATATGATTAGGGCTTTTGTTTTGAGGGGACAGTAAACGCTCAGTTGATGAGGAAACAATGTTCATTAACGTAGTTTATTTAAATTTGTCCTTAAATACACCTAACTTTTTTTGTTTTGGTTAGTTGCACCGTTTTGTGGCGACTAGATGGCACCAGGTGGCAGTTAATGGTTCCATGCTAATAATGGTCATGTAAAATGGTTTCATTTATATGCAATTTGTATTCTTGTATATGTTTCTGTATTATATTGTGTTTTTAGACTTGTGTTCAGCACTTTGGTCAACTGTGTTGTTTTCAAAGTGCTCTATAAATAAAATTGAATATGATAAAGATAATTATTTGACACTTAAAGTAATTAATTTGAGTTTAAGGCAAATGTATTATCTGTCACACTGTAAGATTTTCTAATTGCCTGTTTTGTATTTCTTTGTAGCTCTTACAGTAGCGTACAGTGGTGCTAATAAAGCTGTGAACCATAAGGTCTGAGAAACCAGCTTAATCAACCAGGGATGCTACAGTGTGTAACATGGAAGACAATGATCAACCTCATCAATAACCCTGTATAAAAGAATCTTCATAAGTTCATAACCGTGGACCACTGATATACTCCTGCGGCCGCCTTTGGCTCGCGGGCCACGTGTTTGATCGTATGCTACGTCCATGGTTTGACCCTTGTCCTGAGCCTAGTGTTTTAACTGCGGCACGCTCATTGACGCTCCGCACTTGGACCCGGAGGACACAGAGTTATTATACAGTTATTATACAGTTATTATACAGTTATAGAGTTTAACAAAGACACACACCGTGAGACTCACCTCCAGCGCAGACGGTACTCCGTGTTTGTGTTTTGGTCAGAGCTACAACCGGACACCGGACACTCACGTTGCCATGGAGACAACCCCCAGGTTACAGGTCACGTGTCTGTACTATTTTATCATCTATTATTTAGGTACTATGAGTTACACCATGGCCAGTCCTTCTCTATTGTCCCATAAATATACAGCGTGACTCGTTAAAGGAGTCCCGGTTTGTTATGAACATAATTATAAAAATACAATATTCTGTCGGATTAATAAAATACTTCATATTTTCACCCGGAGCTTTTGTTGATGTAATACCTTCCCTCAGCAGCGGGGAGCGCAGGAGAGGCGGTTATGAGCCACTGCAGCTTCCGCGTGTTCGAAGTGTCCGAGCGGGACTGAGCCAGGACTGAGCCAGGACTGAACCAGGACTAATGCAAGCAGGAGATTTAAGCAGGTTTAAACAAGGACTGAACCAGGTTTAAACCAGGTCTGGACTGGGACCTAGCCACGGCTTTACTGAAGCAGGACTGATGCAGGTCTCAAGCAGGATTTAAGCAGATCTAAACAAGGACTGAAGCAGGTCTAAACCAGGTCTGAAGGAGGACTGAACCAGGACTGAGCCAAGACCCTCTTTGGATCGCTCTGATGGCAGGTTTGAAGCAGTTTCTGGATCGCTTCGGAGGCTGTGGTGACGCAGTGAGTGACCCGAGCCGGACTCCTATACACCTGCTGTGGATTTATGGAAATGCGAATATAGATACGAATTATTCTAGAGGAAAATTTGAAAATGAAGCTATGATAATGGAGATGAATATATCTCCTAAAATTCGGCATTGATAGATTTTACTTTTTTACTTTGTTTGAAATGAGGCAAAAAAAACTATAAAGGTTGGACCTGGAGTTATTATGACTAGACTCTATAACAATTACACTGGGCAACACCTTACCACTGCTACCATAGTTACCTGGAAAGTTGTTACAGCTAGTGGTGCAGGGAAATTATAGGCTCTTTGGAATGTCCTGATGTCCCATTAACAAGATTATTTTATAAGATTAATGATTTTATTATAACTAGTGGCTAATCTTGTCCCTGACCACTGACCCTAACTAAATTGTGTCCCGTTGCAGGAGGCTCAGTGGCTGCAGAAACTGTTTGTCTTTGTCAGAGATCACGTGTGTCCTGACTCTGCCCCCTCAGGTGAGTTCAGCCAGGCCCCGCCCCCTCAGACAGTCAGACCACGCCCCCTCAGACAGACCCCGACCCCTCAGACACGTGTTCTTTGTGCCTAGTGTGTGGTCTCAGTCTGGAGCTGGTCCGGGTCCTGAAGGAGAACAGCCCTTCTGGGACTTTACCCTTGTCCTACAGGTGTGTGTTCGTCCTCCTCCCCCTCCTCGTCCTCTCTCCTCAGTCTGGTCTCAGTCTCATTCTAGTCTCCCCTCTTCACAGTCTGGTCTCAGTCTCGTTGCAGTCTCCTCTTCTGCTTACTCTGGTAACAGTCTTGTTTTAGTCTCCTCTTATCTTATTTGGTCTCAAGCTCGCTCTAGTCACCTGTCTCCTCAGTCCTGGTCGAGTCTCCTCTTGTCCTCAGTTTGGTCTCGTTCTAGTCCCCTCTCTCCTCAGTCTCGTTTCAGTCTCTGAGCTGTTGTCGCAGCAGCGTGTTCCCTGCGTCAGTTGCCTCACTTGGTCGACCAATCAGCACAGAGCGTGGATGCGGGACTCTGAGCTGATTGCAGGACTCCGCCCACTGCCCCGGGTGAAGCTGCTCCTGATTGGATCGCTGGGAAGGGAGCGAGGTCCAGACTTGAGTCTAAAGGACGCGACTGGGGAGGTTGCCTGCCAGGTACGAATACAGGTCCCGGGCTTGTTCTAGTCTCCTCTCTCCTCAGTCTGGTCTTGACCTCGTTCTAGTCATTAATTTTGATTCTAGATGAAAAGTAATTTTAGCTCTGATGAACAGACATTTTGGCTCAGATGAAGTGTTGTGTCTCAGTCTCAGGTCCCCCTTCAGTCTGGCTCTCTGGACACGCCTGTCTTCTTACCACACTGGAACTACATACCCCATAATACACCAGGACTGCTTGAGCTTGTTGCTCCGCCCCTGCTGCTGTGCCCCGCCCCTCCACAGCAGCCATTGGACAGCGTCACAGAGGGGGTGGGGCATCTGACTGTCTATCAAGCAGCGGCTCTCCTCTTTCGGCATCAGAACAGGTCAGACCAATTTATAAAGAACTAATGTTGCTTTCAGACCGGATCATGTGTTGGTCGGCTTTCAATGCAAAGTCAGGGTTGACGCGCGTTTGAGCGTCAAAACGCAGGAACGTCTCGGGATGCACGAACGGACTACTCAGTAGAGACGCACGAAGTGCGCGGGAAAGTCGAAGGGGAGGAGCAGGAGCGGAAAATGGACGCCCACAGGAGATAAACTTTGCTCAACCTTTCCTCGGAACATTCGTGCAGCGACCAATCAGAGAGCTGCAAAGTGGTCACGGGGACATTAGTGGACTGAGCGAGCAGACTGAAAATACTTGTAAACAGCCAAAACAGGAGCTACACCACGACTTAAAAACAGGGTTGACAATGGGGGACATTGTGCTTGTGAACATTTGCGTTGTCATGCTCTCGTGATTTTATGCAACTGCTTCGAGCGTGTTCGCCGATGCGGAAATACCGTTTGATAATAAAATAAACTTATTGAGCACCTCCGTGAACACATACTACTGTTATATAAAGTCCGTGGAAGGTCTCTGAACACAGAGACCCTGCAGAGCTGCATTATTGGAGAAGATCTTTACACGAGAAGCCGCTAGCATAACTCTGTTAGCATCAGAGCCGGCCGGCTACTTCCGCCACTTCCGGCGCTGGTCAGGACGTTCTGGTGTGACGACCTGTGCGTAGGGCTGGGCGATATGGCAAAAAAGTAAAATCTCGATTTTATTTCCTGCTTTGGACGATATCGATTTTCATTAAAGTCACTCAAGACAGACTTTGCCCTTAAAATATTTGTTATCTTCCCGCTCAATATTTAAGTTTCAAAACTATTTACTATTTGTTTCTCCCAATACATATTATAAAAGTCTTGTACAGACTGTGCTGATATTGCAAGTATAATTGATGTGCTGCTGGAACTCTCACAATATCCCTCATTCGATTTCATGATTTTCATATTTTTCATGAATTCGATTATTTCAAAAGCCGATTAATTGTCAAAATTCGATTTATTGCCCAGCCCTACCTGTGCGTATGAAAACTAGAGAATGCGCGTCTGGTGAGCGAGGCGTCTGGTGAGCGAGGCTTCAGCGTTTGAGCGTTTGAGCGTTTGCGGTCTGAAAGCACCATTAGGTAGACCAGACCCAAGTGGACCAGACCCAAGTGGACCAGACCCAAGTGGACCAGACCCAAGTGGACCAGACCCAAGTGGACCAGACCCAAGTGGACCAGACCCAAGTGGACAAGAGCCAAGTGGACCAATCTAATGTGTTTTATCATGGTGGCAGTGGCCGTGCCCCTGATGGCAGTGGGCGGGGCCTCTGCAGAGGGGGGCGTGTCTCTGTCAGTGGTCTGGTCTCTGCAGTCTGCCCCCTGTTGGACATCAGTGGAACCTCATTCTTCATCTTCTGTTTGACACAAAACCAAACGAGCGTCAACGTCATCGTCAAGGTCAGAAACAGGACGCCACTTTCTTTAAAAAATATTCAAATTTAAGCCGAGGTACGTAACTTTAGTCTCCTCCAGCAGAAAGTCCTGTCAAAGTAAAATGTTGAGAACAAATCAGACCTCGAGATGCTGATGTGATCTTTTGTGTAAGAAAGAGAAAGAAAATATAAATAAATCTCTTAAACGTCACAATACCCTAGCTTTAAAATTATGCCATGTTTCTTTTACCGTTTCAATGTGATGTAAAAGTGACTGAGGTTCTGAAATCTGTGTCGGCCTTATAAAGCAGAATCAGCTCCGATCTAACTGCTGTTGTATCGTTACTACACAATCCCATCTTACGCACCCCAGCTTTAATGGTTCATAACAGCTGTGAAGTTACATACTCCAACTTTAATGTTGCATACATTATTTAGCACAAAACTGTTTTAAATTGTAAAATGTCTAAGATTTTTTGAAAACATGTGACCTCAGAGCTAATGTTTTTAATGACCGGAGACATGAACTACTACTACTGCTTTGAATCAAGATCTAAATGCAGTGGTCTTTTAATTAAACGCTTCCAGATGTGTAAATGTATGAAGGCCAAAATAAATCAGAAGGCCACAGGGGGTGCTACAGTGCTTTGTTGTATATGTTAAGATTGTATTGTTGTATTCAGTCAGGTCTGCCCCCTACAGGACAGTCTGTGGTGGAGCAGGAGCATGCACGTGGACATGAGAGTGCACGTGACACAGCTGAGAGTGTGCACGTTACGCAGCCGGAGGGGGGTCAGGGTCCTGAGCTCTACCGACCAATCACAGCTCTGCGTTCAGACAGAGGACCAACTAGAGAGCAGGGTTCAATCTCAGGACCAATCACAGCTCTGCGTTCAGACAGAGGACCAATCAGAGGGCAGGGTTCAATCTCAGGACCAATCACAGCCAGCGTCTAAAGACACGCAGCCTCAGAACCAACCTTTCGACCAATCAGGACTTAGGCGTTCTACAGTCATAAACTACAAGGTAAAACACACTTCTTCATCTCCTCTTCATCATTTCCTCCTCTCTCTTCTTCATCATCTCCTCTCTCTCTTCTTCATCATCTCCTCCCTCTCTTCTTCATCATCTCCTCTCTCTCCCTTAGTCTGCTCGCTCTCCTTTTCATCTCCTCTCTCCTTTTTATCTTTCCTTCTCTCTCTTCATCATCTTCTCTCTCTCCTCTTCATCATCATCTCCTTCTCTCTCTCTCCTCTTCATCATCTCCTCCTCTCTCTCTTCATCATCATTCTCTCTCCATAATCTCTTCCTCTCTCCTCGTCTTCATCACTTCCTCCCCTCTCTCCTCTTCTTCACCATCTTCTCCTCTCCCTCCTCTTCAAAATCTTCTCCTCTTCCTCAGGGCACTGTGACGGAGGTGCTGAGCCGGGGGGCGGGACTTTATGTGATTGACAGTAAAGTGGGTCTATGTTTGGCCAATCAGCCGCTGCCGACGAGACGCATCAGACCTGGAGACGTGGTCCAGGTGAGTCCTGGTTCTCAGTCCGATCACAGCTGTAAAGAAGCAAGTCGCCATGTCTGTGGAAACGGAAACTCTCTGAAACCTGGAGACTTTCAGATTCCTTTTATTTGCCATTTGCAGTAAAACCACATTGGAATACACGTGCAAAAGTACAAGACAAGTACATGCATAAACAAGATCAAAAGTACAGGACACTTTTGTCTCTGAAATCGATCGAAAAAAGTTTTTGATACGTGCAAGATCATTCAAGTGTTTTGTTCAAACTGTTGAAAGAAGCTGTTAGCATATTCAGATGTCTTGCATCTCAGCCAACGATATCTTCTGCCAGAGGGAAGAAGCTGGAACATGGCTTTTCCAGAGGCCCCTTATAAAGATTAAGAGATCTTTAATTCGTGACAGTAATGTCAGTGTTGCAAGATACAGACAGTAGTCTACAGACAACACAGCGCAAGATAAATGAATAATAACAATATACTAAAATACATTAAAATCTCTAACTCTTGCAGAAAAAAAAGCAAATATAAATTCTATCTCTTTTATAAGGAAACAATCCTTATTAAAGCTGCAATACCTCACTTTATTTTTGTATTCATCGCGAAAATGCAATCCATGTCCATGCAGTGCTTTGGGATATACGTCCTTTTAAAGAATAAGTAGCGACGGTTTGTGCTGGCGTGACATTATATTTTAGATCGAGTTTTCGTGCAACAAGGAAGAGAATGTGTTTCAGGTCCAGATTGTGACCAATCACAGCGGACCACTGGACCACACTTTATTGAGAAAAGCTACAAGTCTCTCGTTAGCACAGACAGCTGAGGTAAACAAGCGGCGGAGGAGGCTTACACAGCGAAACAGCCAAAAGAAAGTCTCGTTCCTCAGTCCTCCGCGCTTCCCGGTTCTATCGTTCTATGGTTACGCCATCCACCGATAGCTTCGTGGGTGCAGGGAGGGTGAGCATTCGAAAATTAAATTGAGTTAGAGCAGCTTTAATTTACAACTTTAGCATGATCAAAAAGCAAGATTTAAGTACAACATCTTTGACTTCAGCATACTAAAGAACAACAATGGTTCTATGTGTTTTTTTATTATTGCATTTCCTGCTTTTGAACTGTTTGATTCTCTGATCTGTGTTGGCAAATCGACAACTTTGTGCAGTCCTCTGAGATAACTGCTGTTGTGATTTAGAGCTATAAAAGAATTGAATTGACCTTTCCTGTAAATAACTTTCAGAGAGAATAAGCTGTCTATTATATACAGTCTATGGTTCAGACCTGATATGAACTACATCTGTTGTCTGGCCCTGGTTTAAAACCCTCTCTCTGGTCCTGGTTCCGGTCTACATCCGGTCTTAGGTCTCTAACGTGCACGTGTTGCGGAGGCCAAGCCCGGACCACGCTCCCATCATGCTTTGCTGCTGCCTTCGCTCTGGCGTCACAATCACGGCCTTCAGCCCCGGTTACCGCAGCGACGAGGAGGAGGAGGAGCCGTGTCCAGGAGACGGGGTGTTGCCGCGGATACTGCTGCAGAAGGAAGTGGATGTGGCCGAATACCTGTGGATGTGTCATGTGACTGAACGCCTGAGGAACAGGTAACTCCACCTCCCTGTGTTTCTGTAGCTCTCTCCTCTTCGTCTCGCTCCTCATCGCTCCTTCCCTCTCCTCTCTCCTCTCCCCTCACTTCTCTTCTCCTCCCCTCACCTCTCTCCTCACCTCCTCTACTCACCCCTCTCTCCTCAGCTCCTCATCTCACTACCTCTTCTATCTCCTCGCCTGGTCTCCTCTCCTCTCCTTTCTCCTGACCTCTCCTCTCTCCTTTCTCCTCACCTCACCTCCTCTCCTCTCTCCTCACCTTGTCTCCGCTCTCCTCAGCCTTTCTCCTCACCTCTCCTCTTTCCTCACCTTGTCTCTTCTCCTCTCTCCTCACCACCTCACCTCTCTCTTCTCCTCTCTCCTCACCTCACCTCCTCTCCTCACATCTCCTCTCTCCTCACCTCTCCTCTCTCCTCTCCTCTCCTCACCTTGTCTCCGCTCTCCTCACCTCACCTCTCACCTCTCACCTCACCTCTCACCTCTCTCCTCTCCTCTCCTCACCTTGTCTCCTCAGCCTCTCTCCTCAGGGTCAGTGCTTGTGCCTTGTCTCCTCTCTCCTCACCTTGTCTCCTCTCTCCTCACCTCACCTCTCACCTTGTCTCCTCTCTCCTCTCCTCACCTTGTCTCCTCTCTCTCCACTCTCTCCTCTCCTCTCTCCTCTCCTCTCCTCTCCTCTCCTCTCCTCTCCTCTCCTCTCTCCTCACCTTGTCTCCTCTCTCTCCACTCTCTCCTCTCCTCTCCTCTCTCCTCACCTTGTCTCCTCTCTCCTCACCTCACCTCTCACCTTGTCTCCTCTCTCCTCTCCTCACCTTGTCTCCTCTCTCTCCACTCTCTCCTCTCCTCTCCTCTCTCCTCACCTCACCTCTCTCTCCTCTCCTCTCTCTCCTCTCCTCTCCTCTCCTCTCTCCTCTCTCCTCACCTTGTCTCCTCTCTCTCCACTCTCTCCTCTCTCTCTCTCTCCTCTCTCCTCACCTTGTCTCCTCTCTCCTCACCTCACCTCTCTCTCTCTTCTCTCCTCTCCTCTCTCCTCACCTTGTCTCCTCACCTCACCTCTCTCTCTCTCTCTCCTCTCCTCCTCTCTCCTCACCTTGTCTCCTCTCTCCTCCTCCTCCACCTCACCTCTCCTCTCCTCTCTCCTCACCTTGTCTCCTCTCTCTTCTCTCCTCTCCTCTCCTCTCCTCTCTCCTCTCTCCTCACCTCACCTCTCTCTCTCTTCTCTCCTCTCCTCTCCTCTCTCCTCACCTTGTCTCCTCTCTCCTCACCTTGTCTCCTCTCTCCTCACCTTGTCTCCTCTCTCCTCACCTCATCTCTCCTCTCCTCTCTCCTCACCTTGTCTCCTCTCTCCTCACCTCACCTCTCCTCTCCTCTCTCCTCTCTCCTCACCTTGTCTCCTCTCTCCTCAGCCTCTCTCCTCAGGGTCAGTGCTTGTGCCTTGTCTCCTGGAGCATCCTTCAGTCTCTGACCACAAACCGGACGTCTCGCCGCCGTGACATCTACGGAGAAATGATGGACACGCCCCACCACTGCCCTGTCACCACGGTAACTATGATGGACACCTACCCCCATATTCTGTGTTTAGGAGTGCACCGACCGAGTGCTGGTGTCACTATAATCACTATACAACATCCGTCTATGGGTAATTCACATTTCGCCAAAACCTGTGCTTCTCCCCCTTTTTACGGTAAATCTTTTACTGGAAATTGTTCCTGTTTTTTGTGAAATTATACAAAACTAAACCAGACCAACCCTAGATGAATATGCAGACGTTTACTATTGTACGATTGTCATGCTAACGACTATAGTAACTACAGGCTAGCTTAGGGTACAAATACACCTCTCTCCTCACCTCTCCTCTCTCCTCACCTCTCCTCTCTCCTCACCTCTCTCTTCACCTTTCTCCTCCCCTCTCCTCTCTCCTCCCCCCTCTCTCTCCTCACCTTCCACTCTCCTTGCCTCTCTCTCTGCTCACCTTCCACTCTCCTCACCTTCTCCTCTCTTGTCCTCTCTCTTCACCTCTCCTCTCTCTCCTCCCCTCTCTCTCCTCACCTTTCTAGCTCCTCACCTCACTCTCATCTCTCTTCTCTCCTCGCCTCTCTCTTCACCTCTCCTCTCTCCTCCCCTCTCTCTCCTCACCTCGCTCCTCTCTTCTCACCTCTCATCTCTCTTCTCTCCTCGCCTCTTTACCACTCCTCTCCTCCTCTCTCCTCACCTTCCTCTCTCCTCACCTCTGCTGTCTCCTCACCTCTGCTCTCTCCTCTCCTCACCTCTCTCCTCTCCTCCTCAGTATGGCTCCGCCTCCTCGCTTCCGCACGTGCTCAGTCTGGAGTCTCTGCACGCTGGTCTTCTCGCTCGCTGCTGGTCCTCACTGTCACTGCGCTCACTGCTGCCCTCTGATGGACAGAGCATGAACTGCAGCCAACTCAACGCTGCGCTTAGCTGGTCTCAGGTCAGCCAGAGATCTCAGAATCCAGACCCGAAATTAGACCCGAGACCGGACCAGGGGTAAGTCTAGTGTCTCATGTTGCTATTTCCTTTATAAAGTTGTCTTTGTAAAAAATATGTTGGAAAGTTTCTCTTTTTAATTGTTATAATTCCATTATAATGGGATTTTCTCTGGTCTCTCTCTGCTCTCTCTCTCTCTGTGTGTCTTCCTGGTCTTTCCCTGTTCTTTCCCTGGTCTCTCTCTGGTCTCTCCCTGGTCTCTCCCTGGTCTCTCCCTGGTCTCTCCCTGTTTTTTCCCTGTTTTTTCCCTGTTTTTTCCCTGTTTTTTCCCTGTTTTTTCCCTGTTCTTTCCCTGGTATCTCCCTGGTCTCTCCCTGTTCTTTTCCTGTTGTTTCTCTGGTCTCTCTCTGGTCTCTCTCTGGTCTCTCCCTGGTCTCTCCCTGGTCTCTCCCTGGTATCTCCCTGGTCTCTCTCGTTTCTCTATTTAGAGTGGGAACCTTTTTTTGAACTATGGCAAAAAAGTTGACACAGATCTGCTGTTGTATGTACTGTAAAAGTATTTTGTTTGTTGCAGAGAGCGCCCCCTGGTGGTGGTGGGTCTGCTGCAGCTCCCGTCTCCAGAATCTGAGGCTCTGAGTCTGGTGCTACAAGACGCAACAATGGCTGTCCCATGTGTGGTGACCGAGGGGAGACTGCACCAGGGACCAGGCCAGGGACCAGGCCAGGGACCGGACCAGGACAGGAGGGAGCAGACCGCCTTCTTCAGCTCAGCCTGGATCGGTACAGTTCCAGTCTCTGTGGGGGAGGGCTGTACCTCAGACTGTAACTCTGGAAGTGTGATGAACAGTTTAGTGCTGAGGTCAGGTGTTACGGAGTATGAAGCCCAAGCCGAAGACTGGGATATATCTTTGAGTACTAAAAAAAAGAAATGTAAATGTTAGAATTTTAATAATTCCTTTTCAATTCCTCAGGTTTATTGGAACAACAAAACAGCTCAAATCGCACGATCAACATCGTCCTGGTTTTTATGCCCCACATTTATATTACTACTTTATAGCGACTCAAGTCCAGAACCTTTACATATGGCATAAAAATCAACAATAAACGTGCATCAATATGTGTCCAAAACACCATTCAAACATAATCTTTGACCATTTTTCAGTTTCTCTTTCTTACATTAATGTTCTTCAATCTGTGCTCTGATTGGCAGGCTGTCTGGTGTGTGTGCGTCACTTCACCATGGTAACGGAGCGCTTCATCCAATCAGATTTCCCCTCCTTCAACCACCTGGAGCAGGAGCACTTTATCAGCCAAAAGCAGGCCAGGTGACCCAGACCACGACTGAGACCCAGGCCACGATTGAGACCCAGGCTAACTGCTAATTTACACATAACGCATTACAGCACGTATGCGTTATACGTGCAGCAGACGCACGTAACTTTTTTCCATGTAAACCAATGGTGATATTTACACTACTAGCGTTATAAGCGCGTATGAAGGATGTATTAACACGAGGCTGCGCCTAATTTAGGATTGATTTCTAATTTTGTGCGCGCAGCAACGCGTCTCCCATTGAAAACACATGTGAAACAAGATTTTTATTGTGACCCTTGGATTTAGATCGCATCTACAAACACACAGCACTTGTATCTAAACATTAGCAGGAGGAGCAGCAGGTTTTACAGTGATTCTACAGTGATTTTTTTTTTTCATAAAGTCTGGCGTCTGGCCAAACCAGCGCACAGAGACCATGAAGACAAACACATGCATGTGATTTGTGTTGCTCTACATCAGTCCTCTGCCCGCACTGTCCTCTACACTGCTCCATAGACTACACAGGGAGAACCTCAGAAGCCTCAGACCTGCGCGCACGGCCAGTGTACATACAGCCAAATAATGTTACGCGCAGATGCGCGCAGTCAACGCGTACGCGCTGTTAACGCCTACTGTGTAAATTCCCTGTAAGACTGAGAGCCAGACAATGACTGTGAGCCAGATCACGACTGAGACCGAGGCCACGACTGAGGTGATGGTCTTGGCGATGCAGGAGGGTCTAAGGACAGTGGTGATGGTCCAGGACATTCAATATTCAACCACATTTATAGACATTGGTCATCTGCCCCTTATGGACCAGTGGCTTTTTGTGTTTATTTAATCATTGCCATTCCTGAGTTTGAACTGTTTGATTCTCTTATCTGTGATGGTGAATCCACAGCTTTGTAACGTCCTCTGACATAACTACTGTTGTAATATTAACAAAATGTAATATGAACTGAAGTGAATTGAACCACATGAACCTTCTCTCCAGGGTTTACCTCCAGTTCTCGCTGGACCAGGTGACCGTTCTCAGCCCCTCTGACTCCATGGCAGCGCTGCAGGAGGCGGAGTCAGAGGAACCCGATGTAAAGAAGAGAAAAACTGACTGCTCACAGGGTGGCGGAGTCACGGGCTGCGTCTCGGTGGTGATTCGAGCAGAGCAGAAACAGGGTGTGGCCTACAGGAACGTGGGGGCGGGCTCTACGCTGTCATTCAACCTCAGAGCTGCCGTGATTGGCCCGGTTGTCAGCTGGGGGCGGGACCCAAAGAACCGTCCAATCACAGAGAGAGAGATGACAACGACAGGAGAAAAGACGGTGAAAACACTTTGTTCAGTCTCATTTTAAAGCTGAGGTTCGTAACTTTAGTCTCATGAATAACATGTGTACTTTGTCTAACAGAAAGAGTCACTATTTGATTCTTTTGGGAGAGAGGTGATTGGCTGAGTGTGGGTGATCCTCTCTTTTTCAATGTCTAAAAATGCTTTTGTGCAAAAACTAGAGATAGAATCAAACTGTTTTAGTACCAGAAACTGGTGACATGGATTTTATTACAAAGCTCTGTTGTCGTGGTCTTAAAGTTACATACCCCACCTTTAATGTTACACACCACAGCTTTAATGTTACGTACCCCAGCTTTAACATGTCTCTCCTTCTCTCAGAACATGAGCCTGTCCTTCTCTGGCGCCTCCTCTCGCTGGTTCCCTCTGCTGCAGGACGACTGCTACTACAGACTGGTGGCTCCAGGAACTCAGGTTGTCTTTAAGAAACGACGAGACCATTCAGAATCACGGACTGAAGATATTCCAATGTTAAAATCCAAGGCAAGCTCTATACTCTCCATCGGATACTCGAGGGTTCATGGGAGTTCGTCCAACCTGTCCACATGTGCTTTGTGGATTTGGAGAAGGCGTTCGACTGTGTTCCCCGGGGTGTCCTTTGGGGATTTCTCTGAGAGTACGATCCCTGTATGACCGGAGCCAGAGCTGTGTTCGCATTGCCCGGCAGTAAGTCAGACCTGTTCCCGGTGAATGTTGGCCTCCGACAGGGCTGCCCTTTGTCACCGGTTCTGTTCACTGTGTTTATGGACAGAATTTCAAGGCGCAGCCAGGGGCCGGAGGGGGTCCGGTTCAGGGACCACAGGATTTCATCGCTGCTGTTGGCTGATGATGTTGTCCTGTTGGCTCCAACGAACCAGGACCTGCAACATGCACTGGGACGGTTTGCAGCCGAGTGTGAAGCGGCTGGGATGAGAATCAGCACCTCTCGATTTACCGGTCAATCTTCGTTCCCTCCCTCACCTATGGTCATGAGCTTTGGGTAATGACCGAAAGAACGAGATCGCGGATACAAGCGGTCGAAATGAGCTTCCTCCGCAGAGTGGCTGGGCGCTCCCTTAGAGATAGGGTGAGGAGCTCAGTCACACGGGAGGAGCTCGGAGTAGAGCCGCTGCTTCTTCACGTCGAGAGGAACCAGTTGAGGTGGCTCGGGCATCTGTTCCAGATGCGTCCTGGACGCCTCCCTGGGGAGGTGTTCCGGGCACGTCCCACCACGTTTTCTAAGCCATAGGTTTCACGTGGCTTTGGTGAATAAAGTTCTAAAACTACTACACAAGTCACATGATGGAATTATTTGCCTAATGGCAGCGTAACGAGCCGTGGAGCTGTGTTTGGGTGAGGTTTTGGCTTCTGTACACGCTGCTCTTTTCTTTATAAAGTTGTGTTTGTAAAAAATATGTTGCTCTCTCTGGTCTCTCTCTCTGGTCTCTCCCTCTGGTCTCTCTGGTCTCTCCCTCTGGTCTCTCTCTCTGGTCTCTCTCTGCTCTCTCTCTGGTCTCTCGGGTCTCTCTCTGGTCTCTCCCTCTGGTCTCTCTCTCTGGTCTCTCCCTCTGGTCTCTCTCTCTGGTCTCTGCCTCTGGTCTCTCTCTCTGGTCTCTCTCTGGTCTCTCTCTGGTCTCTCTCTCTGGTCTCTCTCTCTTGTCTCTCTCTCTGGTCTCTCTCGGGTCTCTCTCTCTGGTCTCTCTCTGGTCTCTCTCTCTGGTCTCTCTCTCTGGTCTCTCTCTCTGGTCTCTCTCTGGGCTCTCTCTCTGGTCTCGGGTCTCTCTCTGGTCTCTCTCTCTGGTCTCTCTCTGGTCTCTCTGGTCTCTCTCTGGTCTCTCTCTCTGGTCTCTCTCTCTGGTCTCTCTCTCTGGTCTCTCTCTCTGGTCTCTCTCTGGTCTCTCTCTGGTCTCTCTCTCTGGTCTCTCTCTGGTCTCTCTCTCTGGTCTCTCTCTCTGGTCTCTCTCTCTGGTCTCTCTCTGGTCTCTCTCTCTGGTCTCTCTCTGGTCTCTCTCTCTGGTCTCTCTCTCTGGTCTCTCTCATGTGTATGGTTCTGTCTTCCTCGTAGTGAAAAGCCTACTTGAGTCTAAACTACACGGATCTGGTCTGTCATCTGCTCAGGATCCCAGCGTTTTGATTGGCTGCACTGTTGCCGGGCAGACAGGGGTGGAGCTGCACGCTGACTCTGCCCTCCAGGTTCTCTCTGATTGGAGGATTCACACTGTGCCCCGCCCCCTGAACGAGGCACCAGAGTCATGTGACCTCGGCAGTTTGAGCAACGTCATCAGCTCCACGTGAGTTTAAGACCGACAGCTGCAAAGTGAAAGCAAAAAGGAAACAAGATTGTGGTATTTTCTAAAATCAAAAACCAAAAGTGTCTTGCTCCAGTGTTCATTAGCCCCGTTTGGACCAGCATTTCTTGGCCCTACTCTACTCGTAGTGAGTCGCTGCTAGCTTAACTCATTGATTGCATGCCGTTTTTGAGGATTCTCACTGAAGACCCACAGAATATTGTGTACTAAAACTATAAGTGAAATCTTAAATTCTGAAAGACTGGACTGACAGTAAAAAGTTATGAGTTCTAGCTTCTTTCGTTCTCCTGTCGTGCCCAGTCAAGTAGAGGGAAGTTTGAATGAAAGCCCCAGTCCCTGACAGAAAGACGTCAATGGCAGGCAAAGGAGTTAAATACATTATTCATTAGTGTGACTGTAGCGTCGCTAATTACAAAACCAAGTAAATTTTCTGTAGCTAAGCTCTTTTATTGATCAAGTAGCGCAGTAACGTCCTCAGAAGCTATTTTCTCCTGGACATTTCTGATGTTAAGTTAAGCCATAGACTGAAACACAAACACATTTTTGAAGACTGGATGTTTATGTGTCCTCAACAACACGCCGGGTACAAGCGCACGCGTAGGTGACGACAGACGCGTACACACACATGCACACACACATGCACACACACATGCACACTGTTTGAGGGAAAAGACAGGATGGCAGAGTCTCAGGATGTGACACTGTGGTCACACCTTCAAATGTACGACACATTAGTCGAGACGAGCGAAAAGAAATGCTTCCAGATGCCTTCTTTGCGGTGATGGGCAGGTGAAGCTCTGTAACACACCAAGGTCGGGGGATGGGTCTAAGGGCCAGAGCCTCTGAGCTCATAGTAGGTTGTAACACTGACATCTAGTGGACAAATTCAATAATTGCAGCTTCTTGAGTGCACAGCAAACACTGCACCGCTTTTAATAATAATGAAAAATGTTCACAAGCACTGTCCCCCATTGTCAGCCGTTTATCCTGGATGGTTTAATCCTGGTTTAGCTCCTGTTTCGGTTGTTTTCGAGTGTCTACGTCTTCTTGTTTTGACCGGCTTGTTTCCCAGTAACCACTTTGCTGCTCTCTGATTGGTTGCCACACGTGCATGGAGTGAAACTCATCTCTGGTGTTTGCCGCATGCGTCATACCCACCGCGCCGCAAAAAACATGTCGTACGTCACCATTGACTTTGCATTGAAACTCGCCGCAACGCATGATCCGGTGTGAACGCAGCTTTAGTCAGGTTCAAGCTTTTGGCGCAGAGACAGAGAGAGAGAGATACCAGTACATCTGACATTTAGAGCAATGTCAGATTAGCCTGGCTCTGCCAGACCCTTGTAGTTCCGCCATGCTCCAACAGAGGCGTTTGGCTGAACCACATGGGTCTAGTATCGAGCCCATAGCGAACGCCTTCCCCAAATAATTTTTTAATCGACCAATCAGGATGGCCGGTGTTACGTGGGGTTTGCACTGCCTTCTCACGCTTCTCTCATGCAGCAGCGAGAGGAGTCCAAGATGGCGGACGTAAAGTCCGCGAATCTTTTTAAAAGAATAAATACGATCGAATTAAGACACAGATGTCACTTTTAATGCAATTTGAGGCGAGATGTTGATGGTTCTATGTTGATATATGTGTGTTTTAAGAGTCAAATGTTCCTGTAAAGTTTGGTTGAAGCACTGGTTCAGTGTTCCTGTTTACACACTATGCAGTAGGGTTGCCAGGTTTGGTGGTTCCCGCATATTTTTTTTCCTAAAGACTTGTAGGTATTAAATAAACAGAAAGACAATAAACACAATCATGATAACCCAAGTTGATTATATTACGTTTTTAGCCAAAAAATCATTCTGAGTGTTTTTTTTGTGTGGGTATTCTTGCGGATTTTGGGTTGGAAAATATTGCTGGGGTTGTGGCAACCTATGGGAGTCGTGTGCTTTGATGTGAGTGGTTGAAAGCAGACTTCATTCAAGATAACGGACAAGTGGTCTATCCAATCACATACAAGGATTTTTTCTACAAGGCCCTGCCTTCTGAAATCCAACCACTATGGCTCAGTACCAGACTCATGTGTGAAGTGCAGCGGACTACATGGGTCTGGCCAGAGTCAGGCTAGTGTCAGATGTACCATTTATAAAACCAGATTGCAGTTTCCCACTTGTACCACCAGGAAGAGTGTGGCTCATCCTGATGTCTCTTACTGTGTTTCAGTTCGGCTCTGGTCAGCTTCACTGCTCTGGTCTCAGACAGAGTTGGAGTCAGCGACAGAAGCAAAACATCACAGACAGGTCTGGCTCCTCCCCTTCTTTACTCTCGCACACACTGCCTCTCCAAAGTATTAATACAGCTTGAACTGTACATTTTGTCAAGTTTACAACAATAAACATAAAGATTTTAAGCTGAATTGTTTACTGAAAGTTCACAACGGACGACTGTGAAGTGGAAGTAAATGAGATTCCTCCAGCTCGGCAGTGTTCGCTTCTGTCATCATGGTGTTTGGAGAGAATGGAAAACTATCTGAACTCTGAACAATTGTAAAACACATTGGGTGACGTTGGTCTGTAAAAAGCGCTACGTATATAAACAAACCTTACCTTACCTTACCTTACACTCTGCCCACAGCTCTGAGGCCTCACAGAACAGCTGCATTTATACTGAGAGTGGATTACACACATTAGAGCAAGGTGTATTCAGCAGTCAATTTAATTCAATTAAAGCAGTCAATTTAAAAACGTTTCACTTTTTAGAATAATAATAACAGAATCATGTCTCATTTTACTCTCACCTAACAGTTGTCTGTTACTTGTGTGTGAACTTTCATACAAAAAAAATACATATAAATTTGACAAAATGTGCAAAAGGAGACCAGAGAGTGACCAGAGAGTGACCGGAGAGAGACCAGAGAGTGGCCAGAGAGAGACCGGAGAGAGACCGGAGAGTGACCGGAGAGTGACCGGAGAGAGGCCTGAGAGTGACCAGAGAGAGACCAGAGAGAGACCAGAGAGTGACCAGAGAGTGACCAGAGAGAGACCAGAGAGAGACCAGAGAGAGACCAGAGAGAGACCAGAGAGAGACCAGAGAGAGACCAGAGAGAGACCAGAGAGAGACCAGAGAGAGACCAGAGAAAGACCAGAGAAAGACCAGAGAGAGACCAGAGAGAGACCGGAGAGAGACCGGAGAGAGGCCTGAGAGTGACCAGAGAGTGACAAGAGAGTGACAAGAGAGTGGCCAGAGAGAGACCAGAGAGAGACCAGAGAGTGACCAGAGAGAGACCAGAGAGTGGCCAGAGAGAGACCAGAGAGAGACCGGAGAGTGACCAGAGAGTGACCAGAGAGTGACCAGAGAGTGACAAGAGAGTGGCCAGAGAGAGACCAGAGAGAGACCAGAGAGAGACCGGAGAGAGGCCTGAGAGTGACCGGAGAGAGACCAGAGAGTGACAAGAGAGTGGCCAGAGAGAGACCAGAGAGAGACCAGAGAGAGACCAGAGAGAGACCAGAGAGAGACCAGAGAGTGACCAGAGAGAGACCAGAGAGTGACAAGAGAGTGGCCAGAGAGAGACCAGAGAGAGACCAGAGAGAGACCGGAGAGAGGCCTGAGAGTGACCGGAGAGAGACCAGAGAGTGACAAGAGAGTGGCCAGAGAGAGACCAGAGAGAGACCAGAGAGAGACCAGAGAGAGACCAGAGAGAGACCAGAGAGAGACCAGAGAGTGACCAGAGAGAGACCAGAGAGTGACAAGAGAGTGGCCAGAGAGAGACCAGAGAGAGACCGGAGAGTGACCGGAGAGAGGCCTGAGAGTGACCAGAGAGAGACCAGAGAGAGACCAGAGAGTGACCAGAGAGTGACAAGAGAGTGGCCAGAGAGAGACCAGAGAGAGACCGGAGAGAGACCAGAGAGAGACCAGAGAGTGACAAGAGAGAGACCAGAGAGAGACCAGAGAGAGACCAGAGAGAGACCAGAGAGAGACCAAGATTTAGACCAGAAACCAAAACAAATCAATAAAACACATGCAGAAGTGACTGTACTTCATCACACAATCAAAATGAGGAAGTGGCCGAAAGCCCAACGCACACCGAAACGCCTTGACGCGCGGCAAAAGAGCCGCCTCCTTTATTTTCTATGAGAGAACGCACACCAAGGTTGCAGTGACGCGCGGCGACGCTGGACCGGGCGCCACGATTCAGTTTTGTTGAATCCAGACGCGGCGCCGCGGCTGAAACTGTCCCTCCAAGCACCCGTAGTTTTCTTCTTCTGCGCTTCTTATCACGTAGCTGTGAGCGCGGTCTCAAATTTACACACTTGTCGGCGCTATTGCTCAAGTAAACCGGTCACAATGGACGAGGAAAGCTTGATAACCCAAGTACAGCGTTACCCAGAGCTATTTAACCCACAGAATCCTTTTTATAAGGATATCGTGCGAAAGGAAATTGCCTGGAGAGCAATTTCACTTGAAATTGAATGTACAGGTAAGCTAACAATAGGTAATTGTAGCTATTTTTATTGGCTATATTGGCTATATCAGCTGGAAAAGGACGCTAGCCAAGGCGTTCCGGTGTAATTTGACACATGTCATGAACGCGCGTCAAATGACGCGCCGCGAGGCGCTGCGTTTCGGTGTGCGGTGAGCTTAAAGGTTCTAAATAAATAGACTTCTAATGGCAGCATGACTTTTCCCTGTGCTCTTAAATGCATCTGATAGCCGCCTCTCAGTAAAATCCTGTTTCCGCAGTTACATGCAGCCGAAACAATATATATATCATTGAACTGGAAACTTACTCTCTCCTCAGGGGCACGTCTCACGGTGTGTGATGACGGAGGGCGGAGCCTGCACGTGTACCTGGACACAGGCCACGCCCCGTTCATACCTGGACTGTTACCTGGCAACCGACTGCGCTTCAGCCGCCTGCAAAGGAAGGTGTCTAGGTAGGGTTCAGAAGACCAGCCCCATTAAAGCTGGGGTGTGTGGGGAAATGTCAGTGTTGCATCACCAGGTACAGAACAGTGGGAATGAGGAGGACACAGCACAAGATAAATAAACAATTACTCTATACTTTAAAAATAAAATGTCATACTAGCATAATAAGCAAGCAAGTGCAACATCTCTATCTTTAGCATAATAAAGAAGCTAGTATAACATCTCTAGCTTTAGCATAATAAAGAAGCTAGTATAACATCTCTAGCTTTAGCATAATAAAGAAGCTAGTATAAAATCTCTAGCTTTAGCATAATAAAGAAGCTAGTATAACATCTCTAGCTTTAGCATAATAAAGAAGCTAGAATAACATATCTAGCTTTAGCATAATAAAGAAGCTAGTATAACATCTCTAGCTTTAGCATAATAAAGAAGCTAGAATAACATATCTAGCTTTAGCATGTAACATTAAAGCGTGCTCTTAAGCCTTTGCTTCTATGACTAGCTTTTACATCCATGTATGTTTGGCCTCTGTCACATCTTTAAAGAAGCTTTTTCAGACTTAAAAGTGAAAAAGAGAAGACAAGCATCTCTCAGCCAATCAGCTCTCAGCCCAAACAGTCCAATAGTGACTCACAGGGATCTCTCTCCCTCAGGGCCGGGTCGGTCTACTGCTGCTGGCTCCCGGTCTCCAGCGTCTGCATTGTCTCCACACAAAGGTAATAGTCTGCCCCAAACCAGCAGAGTCCAGAGAGAGCGAGAGTCCGGAGAGAGCGAGAGTCCAGAGAGCGAGAGTCCAGAGAGCGAGAGTCCGAAGAGAGCGAGAGAGTCCCGAGAGAGCGAGAGAGTCCCGAGAGAGCGAGAGAGTCCCGAGAGAGCGAGAGAGTCCGAAGAGAGCGAGAGAGTCCCGAGAGAGCGAGAGAGTCCGGAGAGAGCGAGAGAGTCCCGAGAGAGCGAGCGAGTCCGGAGAGAGCGAGAGTCCGGAGAGAGCGAGAGAGTCCCGAGAGAGCGAGAGAGTCCGGAGAGAGCGAGAGTCCGGAGAGAGCGAGAGTCCGGAGAGAGCGAGAGTCCGGAGAGAGCGAGAGTCCGGAGAGAGCGAGAGTCCGGAGAGAGCGAGATAGTCCGAAGAGAGCGAGAGAGTCCGAAGAGAGCGAGAGAGTCCGGAGAGAGCGAGAGAGTCCGGAGAGAGCGAGAGAGTCCCGAGAGAGCGAGAGAGTCCCGAGAGAGCGAGAGAGTCCGGAGAGAGCGAGAGAGTCCCGAGAGAGCGAGAGAGTCCGGAGAGAGCGAGAGTCCGGAGAGAGCGAGAGTCCGGAGAGAGCGAGAGTCCGGAGAGAGCGAGAGTCCGGAGAGAGCGAGAGTCCGGAGAGAGCGAGAGTCCGGAGAGAGCGAGAGTCCGGAGAGAGCGAGAGTCCGGAGAGAGCGAGAGTCCGGAGAGAGCGAGAGTCCAGAGAGAGCGAGAGAGTCCAGAGAGCGAGAGTCCGGAGAGAGCGAGAGTCCGGAGAGAGCGAGAGAGTCCGGAGAGAGCGAGAGTCCGGAGAGAGGTCAAAGAGCAAGACCAGAGAGAGGGACCAGAGAGCAGGACCAGAGAGAGGGACCAGAGAGAGGGACCAGAGAGAGGGACACCAGAGAGCGAGACACCAGAGAGCGAGGCACCAGAGAGCGAGGCACCAGAGAGCGAGGCACCAGAGAGCGAGGCACCAGAGAGCGAGACACCAGAGAGCGAGACACCAGAGAGCGAGACACCAGAGCGAGACACCAGAGAGCGAGACACCAGAGAGCGAGACACCAGAGAGCGAGACACCAGAGAGCGAGACACCAGAGAGCGAGACACCAGAGAGCGAGACACCAGAGAGCGAGACACCAGAGAGCGAGACACCAGAGAGCGAGACACCAGAGAGCGAGACACCAGAGAGCGAGACACCAGAGAGCGAGACACCAGAGAGCGAGACACCAGAGAGCGAGACACCAGAGAGCGAGACACCAGAGAGCGAGACACCAGAGAGCGAGACACCAGAGAGCGAGACACCAGAGAGCGAGACACCAGAGAGCGAGGCACCAGAGAGCGAGACACCAGAGAGCGAGACACCAGAGAGCCAGACACCAGAGAGCGAGACACCAGAGAGCGAGACACCAGAGAGCGAGACACCAGAGAGAGAGCGAGACACCAGAGAGAGTGGGACCATAGAGAGGGACCAGAGAGAGGGACCAGAGAGAGGGACCAGAGAGCAGGACCAGAGAGAGGGACCAGAGAGAGAGACACCAGAGAGCGAGACACCAGAGAGCGAGACACCAGAGAGCGAGACACCAGAGAGCGAGGCACCAGAGAGCGAGGCACCAGAGAGCGAGGCACCAGAGAGCGAGACACCAGAGAGCGAGACACCAGAGAGCGAGACACCAGAGAGCGAGACACCAGAGAGCGAGACACCAGAGAGCGAGACACCAGAGAGCGAGACACCAGAGAGCGAGACACCAGAGAGCGAGACACCAGAGAGCGAGACACCAGAGAGCGAGACACCAGAGAGCGAGACACCAGAGAGCGAGACACCAGAGAGCGAGACACCAGAGAGCGAGACACCAGAGAGCGAGACACCAGAGAGCGAGGCACCAGAGAGCGAGACACCAGAGAGCGAGACACCAGAGAGCGAGACACCAGAGAGAGAGCGAGACACCAGAGAGAGTGGGACCATAGAGAGAGGGACCCTTGTGAAGAACTGAAATGCAGTTTTGTGATTTTTGTTTTGTGTCCTCTGGTTTGTAGTCAGAGTGCAGCGCCGCCTCAGTTTCCCATGATGCTCTTGGGCCTCTGGATGCAGGAGGGTGGGGTCAGTGTGGCACGGGTCAGAGGTCAGCTGGTCTGTGTCCTCTTCCTGCAGCTTCAGTGGAGCTGCTCCCTCTGCGAGCGCCGCTTCACCACCGTGAGTTTGAACACACGGCGTCGTCACAGAAGGGAGAGGGGGACGTGCCGAAACCAGAGAGGGCGAGACCAGAGAGGGCGAGACCAGAGAGGGCGAGACCAGAGAGGGCGAGACCAGAGAGGGCGAGACCAGAGAGGGCGAGACCAGAGAGGGCGAGACCAGAGAGGGCGAGACCAGAGAGGGCGAGACCAGAGAGGGCGAGACCAGAGGGGGCGAGACCAGAGGGGGCGAGACCAGAGGGGGCGAGACCAGAGGGGGCGAGACCAGAGGGAGCGAGACCAGAGAGGGCGAGACCAGAGGGAGCGAGACCAGAGAGGGCGAGACCAGAGAGGGCGAGACCAGAGGGGGCGAGACCAGAGAGGGCGAGACCAGAGGGGGCGAGACCAGAGAGGGCGAGACCAGAGGGGGCGAGACCAGAGGGGGCGAGACCAGAGGGGGCGAGACCAGAGGGGGCGAGACCAGAGGGGGCGAGACCAGAGGGGGCGAGACCAGAGGGGGCGAGACCAGAGGGAGCGAGACCAGAGGGAGCGAGACCAGAGGGAGCGAGACCAGAGGGGGCGAGACCACCAGAGGAGGCGAGACACCAGAGGAGGCGAGACACCAGAGGAGCGAGACACCAGAGAGCGAGACACCAGAGAGCGAGACACCAGAGAGCGAGACACCAGAGAGCGAGACACCAGAGGGCGAGACACCAGAGAGCGAGACACCAGAGAGCGAGAGAGACCAGAGAGCGTGTGTCTAAAGTACTGTAGTAACAAATACTTTCTCCTGGTTCCAGAACTGCAGCGGCCCCCAGTGCACCTCCTCTTCTGCAGTGTTTCAGGCTAAAGCAAAGTCAGTGTCTCTTTATTATTTAATAATTTGTTATTTTAAACATATAAAATAATGTAAATATATATAAAATAATGTTTAAAAAAATATAAATAAAATAATATAAATATATATAAAATAATGGAATGTAGCCGCGGATCTTGGACTTCCGGCCCGTTACCATGGTGTCTTTCACCATGACACTGGCACAGACCTGTCTCTGTCCCCTGATTCTGGGGACAGAGACATGTCCCATATATAGGATAATGTGTATAGAATATATATAAAATAATGTGTATAAAATTCTGTAAATATGTATAAATAATGTTTATAAATGTGTCCTTCTCAGAGTGGTGCTGGAGGATGGTTCTGCCGAGGCTCACGTCTTCTTCTACAACGCTCTGGTGCAGACTGTGCTCCGATTGGACGACTCGCAGTGGGCGGGGCTTCAGCGGGCGGTCAAGGTCAAAGGTCACATCCAGGTCACGCCCAGAGGGAGGGGCTTATCTGTGGTGAGCACCTCCTCCAACATAATCCACCCCTCAGACAGTCCTGCAGCTCCTCCTCTCCTCTCTTCTCCTCCTCTCTCCTGTAGCTTCTCTCTCCTGCAGCTCCTCCTCTCTCCTGCAGCTCCTCCTCTCCTCTCTTCTCCTCCTTTCTCCTGTAGCTTTTCTCTCCTGCAGCTCCTCCTCTCCTGCAGATCCTCTTCTCCTCCTCTCTCCTGCAGCTCCTCCTCTCCTCTCTTCTCCTCCTTTCTCCTGTAGCTTTTCTCTCCTGCAGCTCCTCCTCTCCTGCAGATCCTCCTCTCCTGCAGATCCTCTTCTCCTCCTCTCTCCTGCCTCTCCTCCTCTCCTGCAGCTCCTCCTCTCTCCTGTAGCTCCTCTCTTCTCCTCCTCTCTCCTGTAGCTTCTCTCTCCCGCAGCTCCTCCTCTCCTGCAGATCCTCCTCTCCTGCAGATCCTCTTCTCCTCCTCTCTCCTGCCGCTCCTCCTCTCCTGCAGCTCCTCCTCTCTCCTGTAGCTCCTCTCTTCTCCTCCTCTCTCCTGTAGCTTCTCTCTTCTGCAGATCCTCTTCTCCTCCTCTCTCCTGTAGCTACTCTCTCCTGCCGCTCCTCCTCTTCTGCAGCTCTTCTTTTCTCCCCTCTCCTTCAGCTCCTCTTTTCTCCCCTCTCCTTCAGCTCCTCTTCTCTCCCCTCTCCTGCAGCCCCTCCTCTCTTCTTTCCTGCAACGCCTTTCTCCACTCTCCTGCCGCTCCTCCTCTCTTTTCTCCTGCTGCTCCTCCTCTCTTCTCTCCTGCTGCTCCTCTTCTCTCACCTCTCTCCTGCAGCCTCTCTTCTCCTCTCTCCTGCACCTCCTCTACTCTCCTCTCTCTTGCAGCTCCTCCTCTCCTCTCTCCTGTAGCTCCTCTCTTCTCCTTCTCTCTCCTAAAGGGCCTCCTCTCTCCTCTTGCCTGCAGCTCCTCTCTCCTGCAGCTCCTCCTCTCCTCTCTCCTGTAGCTCCTCTCTTCTCCTCTCTCCATAAAGTGCTTCCTCTCTCCTGCAGCTCCTCTCTCCTGTAGCTCCTCTCCTCCTCCTCTCTCCTGCAACTCCTCCTCTCCTCTCTCCTGCAGCTCCTCCTCTCCTCTCTCCTGTAGCTCCTCTCTTCTCCTCTCTCCATAAAGTGCTTCCTCTCTCCTGCAGCTCCTCTCTCCTGTAGCTCCTCTCCTCCTCCTCTCTCCTGCAACTCCTCCTCTCCTCTCTCCTGCAGCTCCTCCTCTCCTCTCTCCTGTAGCTCCTCTCTTCTCCTCTCTCCTGCATCTCTTCCTCCTCTCCTGCAGCTCCTCTCCTCCTCTCTCCTACAGCTCCTCCTCTCCTGCAGCTCCTCCTCTCCTCTCCCCTGTAGCTCCTCTCTTCTCCTCCTCTCTCCTGCAGCTCTTCCTCCTCTCCTGCAGCTCCTCCTCACCTCCTCTCTCCTCTCTCCTGCAGCGCCTCCTTTCTCCCCTCTCCTCTCTCCTGCACCTCCTCTTCTCTCCTCCTGCAGCTCCTCTCTTCTCCTCCTCTCTCCTGCAGCTCTTCCTCCTCTCCTGCAGCTCCTCTCCTCCTCCTCTCTCCTACAGCTCCTCCTCTCCTGCAGCTCCTCCTCTCTCTCTCTCCTGTAGCTCCTCTCTTCTCCTCTCTCCTGCAGCTCTTCCTCCTCTCCTGCAGCTCCTCCTCACCTCCTCTCTCCTCTCTCCTGCAGCGCCTCCTTTCTCCTCTCTCCTGCACCTCCTCTTCTCTCCTCCTGCAGCTCCTCTCTTCTCCTCCTCTCTCCTGCAGCTCTTCCTCCTCTCCTGCAGCTCGTCTCTCCTGTAGCTCCTCTCTTCTCCTCCTCTCTCCTGTAGCTCCTCCTCTCCTATCTCCTGCAGCTCCTCTCTTCTCCTCCTCTCTCCTAAAGCACCTCCTCTCTCCTCAGACTGGTCCAGACCAACTCCTTCTGCAGCTCCTCCTTTCTCTTTCTGCTGAAGTTCTGTTCGGCTCTGTGACTCTGACCTGTCGACGCCAGCGCTCCTCCAGACCTGGGGGTAACCACGGTAACGCACACAAACACCCCTGCCTCTTCTGTGCAAATGCTCAGCTCTCAAACTCGTCACTGATGGATGTTTGTTCAGATCTGCGGCGCGTGGTCCGAGGAGACAGAGACTTTATGACCCGAGTGACTCCGCCCCTTCAGCTCACCTGTGACTACCTGGAGAGAAGCTGACCAATCACAGGGCAGCTGAGAGGAGCTGACCAATCACAGAACAGCGTAGAGGAGCTGACCAATCACAGAACACTTGCACTTTTGACTTTAAACAGTGGGTTGAGCCACAATGCAAACATTTAATTTTATTTTTATTTTTTAAAATAAATATTTCCTTATTTAAGAAAGAACTCACCGCGTGGAGGTAATATCTGTTGGCTTCGTCTGCATATCTGGCAACCTGAGTCAGGGAGAGTGGGAGAGGTTGCAGTACCACTTTTGGCCATATTTTTACATACTGCTCCTTTAATTGAGTGGATTATTTCTATTAAACATTGATGTAATATCCGCTGTGTCAGACTGTTGTGATGAAGAGGGAGCAGCGTCTGCAGTCAGAGCTCTCGAGTTGTTCCCACCCTCTGCTGATCACAATGACCTAATCTGTTTGGGATGCCTCCTGAACCTCCAGTACGCCTCCCTGGGGAGGTGTTCTGGGCGTGTCCCACCAGGAGGAGACCAGGGGAAGACCCAGGACATGTTGGAGCGATGTCTCTGAGATGAGCTTCTGCTTGTGAAGGCTCCACTGTGTTTAAAGCTGCTCTCTGTAACTTTGCATTCACTTATTTCCACATGAAAAACACACTTTTATCATAATTACATTTTATTCGGTGATAAACTTTTGAACAAACACAAAACTTTTGAAAATTGATGACGTCATACGTCTGTGATCCCATTGGTCCAGGCGAGGGCGCTACTGAGCACGTGCAGTGGGTCCTGACGTGAGCTTCGCCTTTTCACAAACGGACCAATGAGATGAGAGATTAAAATAACAGCCTCATAAATATTCAAATCTATGCAAATGAACTCACTACGGCAACAATCGTCATGGAAACTTCAGCTAAGTGCAGTCAGAGGAGAATCATGGGAGTTGTATTCTTCAACAGGAGCACAGTGGGAGTCGTAGTCCATTCAGCCCTTTAGTCTGCGCCTCAACAGCAGCTGCTCGGGGAGTTGTAGTCCTTCCGGAGCATTTGTAGTCCAATTTAAAGCATGGAATGTAAACAACTTTCTCCCAAACCAAATATGGGCGTAGTTTTTTAGAACAAGGTAGGAGTTGTAGTCCTTAGAGCATGGTGGGAGTTGTAGTCCTTGGAGCGAGGTGGTAGTTGTAGTCCTTAATGTGAGGGAGTATGGGAATTGTAGTCCATTATTCATCATAGATATAGATATATATTCATTTATTATAATAATTTCTCTATTGAAGCCCTGAAGAGACTGTGTGTGTGGAGCCCCATCGTTTGAACTATGTACAGACACACACGTCTGCTATTTACAACACATACACGCACGCACACATACGCACGCATCCGCGCACACACAAATCTATGTACACGTTTCTCACTCATGTTCGCACCACAGTCTGTGCACAGAGCGGACTGACTACATCCTCCTGACGCAAAAATTAAAACCAAGCAGCAACAGGAGACACGCGCAACAGGACGTCAAGTAGAAAGCATTCAGTTTACACCAGGGGCCTCACTGGGCTCCTCTCTCCGGTGATCTGCGGTGATGACCCGGATATGCCATTCATACAAATAGAACTCCAGTCTAAGGCCTAGAAGGTGCTTATAATAACACAAAAGTTTAAAGAAGCCTAGTACTTCTTAATGACCACACGCTTTGGCGATAACTTCCACCTTCGTCAGCTGTTTCCGGATGCGGCCAGTTTGACGTGATCCGTCAGACTGACCACGCCATCTCTGGAGAAGTGAGTCCCAAGTGTGAGCCAAGGTGACAATGACAATAAGTGAAAAGAGACTTGTCAGCTTTACCGAAAGACATCAGGTAATTAAGCATTACCCCAGCTTCTTTACACTTCTGTCTTTTTTACAAGAACCTTCTACGTCTTAACCGTAAACATGAACTTTATACATTAGAACTCCAGTCTGTTCAGAGGCGCGTCACATAATTCTGCTCGTTACCATCCGTAGATTTCACCGCTGCTTCTTAAAGTCAGGCTCATTACAATGAAAAGACGTGTTACTTGGGGGCTGTTTGATTTCATTTATTCTAAAATTTGAATCCAACACATAATTGTATATATATTTTTATTTTTATGGCCTCTGTTTTAAAAAGCCTTCTTCACCTTTGTGTTTGGTTTAATCCAAACTCACAGTAACTGAACTGATTTTCAACAGTAATGCTATTGTCATTACCATCATAATACCGTTAAAAATTAATGTAATAAAATCTATGAAAACCACTTTTATATTTTCAGCCGCTGACCAGCTCCTATTTAATTTTGCCCCACTCCCCCCCCAAAAAAATATTTTTTTGACCCGCCTGCTCTAGACTTTTTAATGGAATGGAAAAGCACCACAGTTATCAAAGTCTCAGGGAGCTCTACAGCGCCCCCTTTGGCTGAGTATTGTGTATCCAGAACATTGTAAACATCATTTTGATCTAAAACGATGTGATAAAAGAGATAAGAGCCCACTGCTGTCTTCAGTCCAGTCGTGTCCCTCTGCAGAATCCTCTTTCAAGGATTTGAAGATGATATTTCCTAAAAATGCGATGCATCGGCGTAAACGCGCAGTTCTGTCCGCTCGGTGCGCAGACTGTCGTTCACGCACACACATTCAGGTACATCCACAATTCAAGAATCAATAAATAAGAAGGGTATAAAGAGTGGGGTCCAGGCGCTGCGAGAGTCTGTCCGGCTGAGGAAGGGGTTGTCCTGTGGGGAGGTCCTGTGGCGGGACAGTCCTGGGAGGTCTTGGTTCTGGTCCTGGTTTTGTGGAGGTCTTAGGTGGAGGTCCCTTGTTCTTGGAGGTCCTGGGTGTGTGGAGGTCCTGGGTGTGTGGAGGTCCCCGGTGTGTGGAGGTCTTGGCTGGAGGTCCCCGGTCCTGGGTGTGTGGAGGTCTTGGTTCAGGTCCTGGGTTTGTGGAGGTCTTGGTTCAGGTCCTGGGTTTGTGGAGGTCTTGGTTCAGGTCCTGGATTTGTGGAGGTCTTGGGTGGAGGTCCACGGTGTGTGTAGGTCTAGGCTGGAGGTCCCCAGTGTGTGGAGGTCTTGGCTGGAGGTCCCCGGTGTGTGGAGGTCTTGGTTCAGGTCCTTGGTGTGTGGAGGTCTTGGGTGGAGGTCCCCGGTGTGTGGAGGTCTTGGCTGGAGGTCCCCGGTGTGTGGAGGTCTTGGTTGGAGGTCCCCGGTGTGTGGAAGTCCTGGATGGGTCCTAGGTGGGTCCACTGTTAGGGTCCCAGGGTGCAGGTCCCAGGTCCCTCTAGAGCCTCTCCCGTTGGGGCACCCAGATGTAGGGGCCGCTCTGCTCCTCGATCACCACTTTGACGTGATGATAAACCTCCTCGAAGCTGTCTCCGCCCACAACCGCTGGAACCACAACAGGACACGGTTATCATGAGACTCACTGTTTACACTGAACTCCCAGAGCAGTCAATTTGACGGATTTTAGTTTTGGAAGCGTAATGTACATTTTTGGCCTTCATAACTTTGTGACTTTTTCTGTAACTCTATGTAGTTTATCTCGAAATCACTTATATTCTTCCCAGAGTAAGTTATAGTTACCATAGCAACACACTGCAGCAGTTAGCATTTAGCCTTTCAATAAACTGTCTCTGTCTATTTCATTTATATTCATCTGCACTTATTACAAGATTAAAATCCTAATAAATAACTTACTTTTAATAAATCTGGAGGAAAAATTAAACATTTTTTTGGGTAATTTCTCAGAACTCCATGAATTTCAATGGGAGCAGTGAAAATGAGTTCTAATAGTACACTTGCGTCTTTTTGCACAATCTGAGTGATCCTATCGATGCCAAAGTGACATGTACATTTCTCCAGTGTGAGAAGAATAAAGTCCCTCAATCTTATCTTATCTTAGTTTTAGAATTCTGTGAGTCCAAGTCATAAACTGTCCCACTGCACTTGTTTAACCTTGTAAACCTCTGAATCAGCAGAACTATTTAGCTGAATAAACTCGGTTAAAAACACAGAACGTGAGTGAGCTAACTAGTGGGGGAAACTGGAACACCTGGAGGAAACCTAAGCAGACACAGGGAGAACATGCAAACTCTGTGCGCTTCAGAAGTAAACCCAGGAGCTTCCTGCTGTAAGGCGACAGCTCTGATCCTGGCATCAGATCAGCAGCCTTAACTGTGCACTATGGTCATTGAGTTACACACATACGCACACACACACACACACACACACACACACACACACACACACACACACAGCTCAAGAGTTTGTTGTTCCGCATGTGCGGTGAGACTCACCAGTGAAACACTGAAGGAAATCCTGCTCCAGCTTGATAGCTCGGTCCAGAGCTTTACGAGCCTGATCCTCGGAGAGGCGCTTGTTCAGGTCCCTGCGCAGACAACGTTTACTCAGCACAGAAGTAGTAGTAACAGTAGCAATTATAGTAGTAGCAGTAGCAGTAGTGGCAGTAGTTTCCTCCTTACAGGATATTCTCCAGCGAGCGCGGGCGGATGAAGATGGCGATGGGATGGAGCTGTGCCGCCTGCAGACGCCTCACTGCATTTGCCGACACGTCCAGGATGCAGTGTTTACCCTGAAACAACACAAACAACAACATAAACAAACACAAATACACACAAACCTCCCAAACTAAAGCCCTCTTCCTCTGTGACTTACGGCACCCTGCAGTCCCTCAGGCGGCCAGCAGGGCTCAGCGCAGAACAGCTCTAAACAACATCTGCAATAAACTTCCGCTCATCTGTTCCCAACCCATAGGCTGTTAACCAGGAGTGGACTGATGCTAGTTTTGCACCGTAACAGGGCCTGATGTGTTGCTAACGTGGTTGCTATGGAGTTCCCCACACGAACAAATATCTTCAAATACACGGTCCAGAGCGGTGGCCTCTCACCTGCTCGGCGACCTGCCTCACGCTCTGCACGCTCGTCCCGTACAGATGGCTGTTGTACTGTCCCGCCTCAATGAAGCGATGGGATTGGATGTCACGCTCCATCTGTTCCCGTGACGACACAAAGTGATAGTCCCGCCCATCAATCTCGTAGTCCCGCCTCGGACGTGTTGTGTCTGACAAATAAGGACAACAGGAAGTGAGCGCAAAGATAAGGACAACAGGAAGTGAGGGCCAAACAAGAACACAGTCGGCACTGGATCATATACGGAATCAAGACAGAAGCGCAAGTAACAATCTGACTTTTGAATTAGTTTTAGGTGTCCGGTTATGGTTAGGGTCAAGGGTGGGTTGGGGTTATTTTATGAGAATGGCTGGTTAAGTTTACTTCCGCTTCCGTCCCGATTCCGTTTATGATCTTCAGTAGTGCCGACCATAAGAACACTCACCCCTAAACCTAAATTTAGCCAGTAAGCCTTAGCATTAGCACACACTTAGCATTAGCATTGAGTACTCACGGGGGACGCAGGAGCCAAACTTGTCCGGAAACTCCGAGAGTAGATCATCGTTTATCCGGTCTTTGGTCGGACCCAAGATGATGACGGGGCGAGCATAGTCAACTGCAACAGAGTCAAGGATAAGATATTAAAGCAGGTCCGAACCAGGTCTGAATCAGGTCTAAACCAGGTCTAAATCTAGGTCTAAACTGTGTCTAAAATGGGTCTAAAGTGAATCGGGAGTTACCTTCAATCTGTGTGACGAGTTCGTAGCTGTGGACAAATCCTTCTCGCCCTGAGGACAGAGACACAAGTCGTGTTTGTGGAGGCGCAGTCAAAACCCTAAGGATGAGTCCCTGTGGGGGGTCCATCTGTGGGATCTGGGGCCATGGTTCTGGTTCAGGACTGTGTAGGACCATGAGACAGGTTCAGGACTATGTAGGACCATGGGACAGGTTCAGGACTGTGTGGGACCATGGGACAGGTTCAGGACTGTGTGGGACCATGGGACAGGTTCAGGACTGTGTAGGACCATGGGACAGGTTCAGGACTGTGTAGGACCATGGGACAGGTTCAGGACTGTGTAGGACCATGGGACAGGTTCAGGACTGTGTAGGACCATGAGACAGGTTCAGGACTATGTAGGACCATGGGACAGGTTCAGGTCTGTGTAGGACCATGGGACAGGTTCAGGACATGTGTAGGACCATGGGACAGGTTCAGGACATGTGTAGGACCATGGGACAGGTTCAGGACTGTGTGGGACCATGGGACAGGTTCAGGACTGTGTGGGACCATGGGACAGGTTCAGGACTGTGTAGGACCATGAGACAGGTTCAGGACTATGTAGGACCATGGGACAGGTTCAGGACTGTGTAGGACCATGGGACAGGTTCAGGACTGTGGAGGACCATGGGACAGGTTCAGGACTGTGTAGGACCATGAGACAGGTTCAGGACTATGTAGGACCATGGGACAGGAACAGGACTGTGTAGGACCATGGGACAGGTTCAGGACTGTGTAGGACCATGGGACAGGTTCAGGACTGTGTAGGACCATGAGACAGGTTCAGGACTATGTAGGACCATGGGACAGGTTCAGGACTGTGTGGGACCATGGGACAGGTTCAGGACTGTGTAGGACCATGGGACAGGTTCAGGACTGTGTAGGACCATGGGACAGGTTCAGGACTGTGTGGGACCATGGGACAGGTTCAGGACTGTGTAGGACCATGGGACAGGTTCAGGACTGTGTAGGACCATGGGACAGGTTCAGGACTGTGTAGGACCATGGGACAGGTTCAGGACTGTGTGGGACCATGGGACAGGTTCAGGACTGTGTAGGACCATGAGACAGGTTCAGGACTATGTAGGACCATGGGACAGGTTCAGGGCTCAGTCCTGCTGTCTGGACTCACCTTTGGTCTTCATCCGGGCCCACTCTTTACGTTCCACTCTGAACAGAACTCAGAGTTAGAATCAGCGGCAGAAATACTAAAGTGTAATTTCAATATCAAACACAGGCACGCACACACACACACACACATCAATTATGAATGAAACACAAACACCTTTTTATGTGACAAACGGCTTCACATGACAACTAACCATGAGGGAGAAAAGTGTTTGTAGAGTGATTGGACGCGCCTCTAGCTCCCCCTACTGTCTCACCTGTGTTTGGACGCGCCTCTAGCTCCCCCTGTTGTCTCACCTGTGTTTGGACGCGCCTCTAGCTCCCCCTGCTGTCTCACCTGTGTTTGGACGCGCCTCTAGCTCCCCCTGCTGTCTCACCTGTGTTTGGACGCACCTCTAGCTCCCCTTGCTGTCTCACCTGTGTTTGGACGCGCCTCTAGCTCCCCCTGCTGTCTCACCTGTGTTTGGACGCACCTCTAGCTCCCCCTGCTGTCTCACCTGTGTTTGGACGCGCCTCTAGCTCCCCCTGCTGTCTCACCTGTGTTTGGACGCGCCTCTAGCTCCCCCTGCTGTCTCACCTGTGTTTGGACGCACCTCTAGCTCCCCCTGCTGTCTCACCTGTGTTTGGACGCGCCTCTAGCTCCCCCTGCTGTCTCACCTGTGTTTGGACGGCACATATCCCAGCTCCTCTAGCTCCCCCTGCTGGGTCAGCCGCCTCGCTTGCCACCACTCGTCATCGGTGGAGTCGACCACGTGGAGGACTTCCCCAAAGTTAAAGTCCAGAGCCTGAGACAGAACTCCACAGTCCCATTGCTGGTCGTAGTCAAACAGGGCTCTGAGGACGAGACCAGAGTCAGGAATTATGGGTCCAGAACCAGGGATTAGAACCAGAGACCAGTAAGAACAAGACAATAGTTTATGTTACATAACATCAGCACGCTACAAAGAGCCTCTAGTTTCACAAAGTGGTGGAACACAGCTGAAAAATCTATCCTGTGGTAAGAATAAACATTCAGATTCTAGTTTTAGTTTTGGGGTAGTATCTCTGTAATTCCTGGAACAATCCACATGACAAACTTTCTCAATGATGTACTGTTAAATAATGATTACGGGAAATATTCCAACATTTTCCTTTTCAACATTTATTCAAAAATTATTTTTAAAAAGGATTCTTTCCCATAGAGTTGTATCGGCAGATTCTAAAATACTGAAAAACAAATTCTACATGATGTCCTATAGCACAGGGATTATATTAATTTTCCAGTCCTGACCTGATGTAGAAGGAGCGCGGACTCCTCAGGCTGCCCGAGCTGTTCATCATCTGCTCCCGCAAGTCGTGAATCTTTGCCTCAAAGCGACTGTACTCTGAAAACACACAACACACATTAGTACAGAGTTCCTACAACAGTCTGACAGTGTAGGTGTGCACGTGTAGTTGTGTCTGTGTACACGTACTGTATGTGTCGTTGCCCGTATGTGTTTGTGTGGGTATAGACGTGTGTGTGTGTGTGTATATGTGTGTCTATAGTTGTGTTACCATCAGGTCTGTACTGTGTGAGGATGGTCACAGTTTGCCCTGCATTCTTCAGAGCGGCTGCTGCCTGTTCATGGGTCGCGTACCTCAGGTCCACACCGTTCACCTGAGAGTGGGGGGGGGGGGGGGGGGGCAGAAGGGACAGAGAGTGGGGGGTTATACTCATACGTGTTAAGTTGTGTTCCTTAGTTATACTGGTTTGAACTGGATAATATATTTCTGACTTCCTTAAAAACACAACAGAGGAGACATTCTAGACCGGATCACAACAGAGGACACACTCTAGACCAGATTAAAGAGTGAGATAAAAAAAGTTGTTGGATCATAAACATTGGTTAAACTAATTAGACTGAACTGGTTACACTCTGTATTACCTTGACCCAGAGTTAGACTCGGGTGTGACCTGTTCTAACTTGAGAATAGCCCTTGTCCTGACCCTGATACTCACAGACAGGATCTGGTCGCCCTTCCTCAGTTCCCCGCTCAGGTCGGCCGGTCCCCCCGATAGGATGAAGCTGATGAAGATACCCTCGCCGTCTTCGCCACCCACAATGTTGAAGCCGAGTCCGGATGCGCCTCGCTGCACCAGGACGCGCCGAGGTTCATCTCCCATCATGCACCGGGACTCCTCTCCCATCATGCACCGGGACACGGGAGAGTAGCGGCGGGGGGGCGAGGGCGGTGGCAGGGCAGCGGGGTACTCGCACATGTAGTCCTGCTCCAGGTACGCTGTAGAGAGAGGTCCTGTTTAGTCTGGTACCAGTCTTGCTTATAGTCTGGTCCTAGTCCTGCTTTAGTCCTGGACTCACAGCTGATCTCTGGGGGACTATATCGGTCCTGGGAAAAGTGTGATGGCGCCACCTTGAGGTAAACCACTTCTCCAGTGTTTTTCAGCGCCGCCACCGCGTCTTCATGGAGCACCTCATCTAGACACATATGGTTCACCTGGAAACAGTTCTACTGATTATACTGGTAATACTGGCAACACTGGTAATACTGGTAATACAGGTCAATATGTAACGTGAAAAACATATATTCTATGATCCATAACAGAGGACACACTCTAGACCTCATTATTAGTAAGCTAATAAGTAAAAAATGTTGAAACGTTTGAAATGATGGTTAGTTCGTTACTCACAGCGAGGATCCGGTCCCCAATACAGAGGCGACCATCGCGGTGCGCGGCTCCGCCCTCGATGATCTTTGTCACATAGATGCTGTTGTCTCCAGGAACGTGCTGATTGCCCACTCCACCAGCAATACTGAAGCCTAGACCTGAAACCACAGCAAAACCAGGTCTAAACCAGGTCTAAGACAGGTCTAAACTAGGTCTAAACCAGGTCTAAATCAGGTCTTACCTTTGGGGCCCTTGAACAGCTTAATCTGCGTTGCGCGCTCTGGAGGTGGGCGTCGCCGCAGCACGTACAGTCGCACCACGGGCCCCGCTTCCTTCAGCGCTTCCACGGCAACGGAGTGAGTGACTTCACGCACGTCGACATCGTTCACAAACACAATAGAGTCGTTTACCCTGTGACATCATTAAAGAGGGACGAGATCCATGACTTCATCAGAGAGGGACAACAACAACAGTAACATCATCAGAAAAAATACTACTGCAGTCAGATCATTGAAAACACTATTCACCTGGACCAGAACCAGAACAGGATCTGGGTCTGGTTTGGTCTTCGTTTAGCTTGATCCAGGTCTTAGTCTTGGTCTGGCTTACTTCTGGTCTCAGTCCTGGTCTCAGTGCTGGTCTTAGTCCTGGTCTTAATCCTGGTCCTAGTTCTGGTCTTAGTCCTTGTCCTAGTCTTGTGTTAGTCCTGGTCATAGTCCTGGTCTGCCCAGAGTCTCCCGTCCTGAAGTTTAGGGTTACACAGATCCATGTAGGTCTGAGTTAGGTCTGAGTCTGGTATGGTCCAGTCTTGGTCTCCACTTGGTCTTGGTCCTAGTCTGATCTTGGTCTTAGTTCTGGTCTTAGTCCAGGTCTGACCTGAGTCTCCCGTCCTGGGATGCCGCTCCTCCTGGGATGATCTTTGTGATGAAGATACTGGGGTCATCTCCAATGTGAGGGTTATCTGTGCCGCCGGCGATGGAGAAACCAAGACCCGAGTTCCCCTGCGGATAAGAACGGGTTAGACCGGGTAAGAACTGGATCAGGACCGGACCAGGACAAGGACAAGGAACCGGACGATGGTAAAGCATGTGTCAGTTTTCCTGAGGGAGGGGCCACAGCCGCTCCTGGCTCTGCATCAGTGAGAGTGTTTTTGTCTGAATGTGAAAGAACCCATTAGCAGTCCATGTTATTTACAGTCTGTGTGTGTGTGTGTATCAGTGTGTGTGTATCAGTGTGTGTGTGTCAGTGTGTGTGTGGGTGTGCGTATGTGTGACTGACCCGTTCCAGGGTGATCTCCTCATACTCCAGTTCGCCGTCAGAGCCGTTCATCTGAAACAGAGACCAAAGACCAGTCTGATCCAGGTCTGAAGCAGGACTACAGCAGGACTGAAGCAGGACTAAAGCAGGTCTAAACCAAAACTGGAGCAGGTTTCTAGTAGGTCTAAATTAGATCTAAACCAGGTCTAAAGCAGGACTAAAGATAGGTCTAAAGCAGATCTAACGAAGGTCCAAAGCAGTTCTACAGCAGGTCTAAAGCAGGTCTAAAGCAGGACTAAAGGCAGGTCTAAAGCAGGTCTCAAGAAGGTCCAAAGCAGTTCTACAGCAGGTCTAAAGCAGGACTAAAGCAGGACTAAAGGCAGGTCTAAAGCAGGTCTAGTGAAGGTCCAAAGCAGTTCTACAGCAGATCTAAAGCAGGTCAAAAGCAGGTCTAAAGCAGGCCTGGAGGCAGGTCTAAAGAGGGTCCAAAGCAGGTCTAAAGCAGTTCTAAAGACGGTCCAAAGCAGGTCTAAAGACGGTCCAAAGCAGGTCTAAAGACGGTCCAAAGCAGGTCTAAAGACGGTCCAAAGGAGGTCTAAAGCAGGTCTACTTGCCGCAGCTCTATTTTTATGCAGAAAAACATTTTCCTTTGGTTCATGAGATGTGAATAATTGACGATCCTCAACACAGAAAAGCTTTCACCGCCCACCGATGCAAAAACAGCGCCCTCTGCTGGTGTCATGTGAGACCAGCACCCTCAGTCTGAGACCAGCGCCCTCTCCTGGTCTCATTAGGAGCATCATCCCCAATGCTAGCCCACACAGCTCTTTGAGTCTGTGCCGTATGAGCAGCAGAGGAGTGTGGCCTGAGGAGCAGCTGTCATCTGAGAATATGATTATGTAAGAGGGGGGGGAGGTAATTACAGAGACTGATTTCCCATGATGCTTCACTGGGTCAACATTAAATGAAGCTGCGTTCGCTACTTAGATTTGACAAACTCTTAAAGGCGAGGTACATACCTTTAGCTTCGCCTGACACAAAGAATCTTGTCAAAGTAAAGAGCTCATCGGCTTTTAACTTTTTTCACTTTTACGTCTGAAAAATCTGATTTAAAAAAAACTGGTGATAGAAATAAACTAGGAACCAGAGACATGGATTTCATTAGAGTGCTAGTGTTGTGGCCTGAAAGTTACGTACCCCAGCTTTAATCAGAATCATCATTATTTTATTGCCATTGTTATAACAGCAGGGGGTCCCGGAGGGTGGAGGTGAAGGACTTGAAGTGGGAGAGGGCCGCATGAATTCAGGACCACAGATGTCAGTCCCACAGGCCTGTAGTCATTAAGTGCAGTGATCTTCTTCTTGGGGACAGAAACAATGACGGAGGACTTGGAGCAGAACGGGACGTGGCGCGACTCCAGAGAGGCGTTAACGACGTCTGTGAAGAGCGCCGCGTCTCAGGGTGGCCGCAGGGACACCGCCGGGACTACAGGACCGTCAGGGTGGAGGGAGTGGAGTCCGAGGAGGTGGAGGGGGAGGAGTCTTTTGGGCAGATTCTCCTCCAAACAGACGCTCTGCTGTGAGTAAGTTATTTTCACTTTGTTTCATTCTCTGAGTGCTCTTTAACCTGAGCTGTGGAGATGAGGCTGAACTCACGGAACTGAATGTATGACGTCACGCTGCCTGTGTTTCACTGGATTCCATGTTACAGACTACAGCTTTAAAGTTACATACCTAAGCTTTGAAGTTACATACCTAAGCTTTAAAGTCACATATCTAAGCTTTGAAGTCACATACCTAAGCTTTAAAGTTAGAAACTCCAGCTTTAAAGTTACATATCTAAGCTTCAAAGTTACATACCTAAGCTTTAAAGTTACATACCTAAGCTTTAAAGTTACATACCCAAGCTTTAAAGTTACATACCTAAGCTTTAAAGTTACATACCCAAGCTTTAAAGTTACATATCTAAGCTTTAAAGTTACATATCTAAGCTTTAAAGTTACATATCTAAGCTTTAAAGTTACATACCTAAGCTTTAACCATAAGAACTCGTCCCTATGATTGTGGTGATATTATAATGTGGGAGACAGACACCGTCGCAGTGTGTACAGAAGCACTAACCCTGTATGATGTCGAGCCCCATTTCCTCTGTCGGGTACCGTATCCTAGCAACCTTTCCATAACAAACCAGTATCCATGGAAATGATGTGGTTACCATGGCGCCCAGCACACTGGGTAATCACTGACCGTTAGAACATCAGGCTCAGTTAGGGAGGGGGGAGCATCATGCTGTAAGGCTGAATGAAAGTATTAGAAGCACGGCTAACCACAATGAATGAATGCACTTAGAAGCTATGCTAACCACCACGAATGAATGTACTTAGAAAAACGGCTGACAACCACGAATGAATGCTCTTAGAAGCACGGCTAACGCGTGAGAACCAGACCCAAGACCTATGACAAGACCAGACCTGATCCAAGACCCAGACCAGACCCAAGATTAGACAAAAGTCTGGACCAGAACCAGACCAGACCAGACCCAAGATACAAAACCAGATCCAAGTCCCGACCAGAACCAGAACTAGCACCAAGTCCAGAACCAGACCAGAAGGAGGAGTAAAGAGAAGGAGTTACCAGGAGTCTCTGTCGGTGGCGTTTCGCTCGGCGTACGTTGTTGATGAAGCGGCGTCCCATCTTTTTGGCATACCACACAGATACGAACATGTGTGCTCCTCCTGCTGCTGCTCCTCCTGCTGCTGCTCCTCCTGCTGCTGCACTTCCTGCTGCTGCGCCTCCTACTGTAGCCCCTAACTCCTATGTCCTACCACACCGATCCGAACATGTGTGCTCCTGCTGCTGCTGCTCCTCCTGCTGCTGCGCCTCCTGCTGCTGCGCCTCCTGCTGTAGCTCCTAACTGCTAGCTCCTCTGTCCTACCACTTTAACGCAAACATGTCTCCTACCCCCTGAACATGCCTCTTCCTGAGTCCCTACATCTCATTTATTCGTCTCCTCTCCTCTGTTCTTGCCTCCTCATTTCCTAGTTTCCTCCCTTCTCCTCTGTCCTCTTGTGTTTCCCGTCTCCTAAGTCGTACCTCCTCTGCTGTCTCCTTGCTGGTTTCTTCTGTCCTCGCTCCTTCTTTCACCTCCTCCGTTACATCTCCTGTCGTCTCCTCTGTCCTAGCTCCTACCTGTGCCTCCTCTCTTGTCTCCTGTGTCCTTCTTCGTCTCCTAACTCCTCTCTTCCTCTGTCCTAGCTCCTCTCTTGTCTCCTGTGTCCTTGTCTCTCCTACGCTTGTCTCCTAGCTCCTTCTTCGGCTCCTAGCTCCTCGTTTCCTCGCGTTACATAAATGCCGTCGACAGCGAAGGCTGGAGCATCCTTAGAGGAGGAGGAGGAGGAGGTGTGTGTGCGTGTGTGGGAGGTTGAGGGGGAGGAGGAGAAGGAGGAGGAGGGTGAGGAGCACAAATCCAAATAAGAAAATAACAAAAGCCTTTTTCCAGAGCAAAGGAAACGAAAGCAACGCAGAAATTAAGGAAAGGCTTCGAGGAACGAGGAGAAGAGGAGAGAGGAGAATGAGGGGAGGAGGGAAAAGAGGGGAGGGGGAAGGGGAGAGAAGCCCCTCCCCCTCGTGACGTCACCGCCCACGGACAGAGCACTGTGTCACCATGGCAACCGCAGCCGGAGGAGAGGATGTGTGTGAAGCATTTTAGTGATTCAAGATTTTAAACAAGGAGACCAAGAACCGGTCCAGGACCAAGACCAGACCAGAGACCAGACTAGAAACCAGACTAGAGACCAGACTAGAGACCAGACCAGAGACCAGAGACCAGAAACCAGAGACTAGAGACCAGAGACCAGAGACCAGGGAACAGAGACTGGGCAAAACGAGAGACCAGATATCTTCCCAAAGACCTGGACCAGAGCCAGACCAAAGACCAAACCCAAGATCAGTGACCAGAGAACTTAACAACAGACCAGGACCAGACCCAGACCCACCAGTGTAGTTTGATACACTGCAGTCAGACCGAAGAGACAGAGATGCTGTGGCCAGAACTGAACACAGAGGATTTGATCTCAGATTGAAACTGGGACACTTTCCAATATTCCAAAGAATATACAAATATCTGAAATACTCCTGATACTGCAGCTGCCACAGCCGACTGTGAAGGGTGTCAGTATTTAACCCGTTTTATTTATTTTGAATTTTATTTATTTTGTTGGAAGAAACAAAGTGAAAACAATGATTGTGTCGTATTAATAAAACGGAAAGTGTCTTGCTCCAGACCCTTTTGTCTTTTTGGGTCTGCCTTTACGAGCCCATTCCTCTTTACAAAACAGCTCTCACTCTGTCAGATTAGTGGAGAGCGTTTGTGAACAGCAGTATTGGTCAGGACTGTTCTGACAGAATCATTGTCCTGTCCCTGCTGAAGAAAAGCAGCCGCACAGCATGATACTCCACCCTTCCTGCACCGAGGGCCACATAGTTGTTTACATTCTGTGTTTAACGTGAGTAAAGGTGAATGGATTCATAGAGAAATGTTAAAAATCTAGCACTCTGAGCAGTACTCCAGTTCTTTGAGCAGAACTGCAATACTCTGAACAGAACTTTGTCTGTCCTGCCGTCTGGCGATGGGACAAGAATTATTTTTAGCTCTCGCTGTTATTTTTGTCCCATAATGAATAAAAAAAACTTCAAAACAGAAACACCAGAAACTCAAACAGCGACAAGAGAATACTCCTTGAGCATGAGTACTTATTGAGTACAGTATTTAGGAGCAATAGTAGCAGTAGCAGTAGTAGTAGCTGTAGTAGCAGTAGAGTAGTAGTAGTAGCAGTAGCAGTAGTAGTAATCGCAGTAGCAAAAAAATAACAAAAGTAGCAGTAGTAGTAGCAGTAGTAGTAGTAGCAGTAGTAGTAGTAATAGTAATAGTAGTAGTAGTAGCAGTAGTAGTAGTAATATCAGTATCAGTAGTTCAGAGTACTTACGGTGAGGGAGGGGTATCCGTCCAATCGCGGATGAGAGGAGGCGTGGTCTGAGTTGCGTCCTTGGGTCATGTGACCAGGGCTGGGATCAATAGGCGAAGTCTCATCGTCGTGGTAACGATACTTCTGCAACAGCAACATTCAAATTAACAAACCAATTAGAGCTAACTCCCACAGGCTCCATGAGGATTAGAGCTAACTCCCACAGGCTCCATGAGGATTAGAGCTAACTCCCACAGGCTCCATGAGGATTAGAGCTAACTCCCACTGGCTCCATGAGGATTAGTGCTAACTCCCACAGGCTCCATGAGTATTAGAGCTAACTCCCACAGGCTCCATGAGGATTAGAGCTAACTCCCACAGGCTCCATGAGGATTAGAGCTAACTCCCACAGGCTCCATGAGGATTAGAGCTAACTCCCACAGGCTCCATGAGGATTAGTGCTAACTCCCACAGGCTCCATGAGTATTAGAGATAACTCCCACAGGCTCCATGAGGATTAGAGCTAACTCCCACAGGCTCCATGAGGATTACAGCTAACTCCCACTGGCTCCATGAGGATTAGAGCTAACTCCCACTGGCTCCATGAGGATTAGAGCTAACTCCCACAGGCTCCATGAGGATTAGAGCTAACTCCCACTGGCTCCATGAGGATTAGAGCTAACTCCCACTGGCTCCATGAGGATTAGAGCTAACTCCCACTGGCTCCATGAGGATTAGAGCTAACTCCCACAGGCTCCATGAGGATTAGAGCTAACTCCCACAGGCTCCATGAGGATTAGAGCTAACTCCCACTGGCTCCATGAGGATTAGAGCTAACTCCCACTGGCTCCATGAGGATTAGATCTAACTCCCACAGGCTCCATGAGGATTAGAGCTAACTCCCACAGGCTCCATGAGGATTAGAGCTAACTCCCACAGGCTCTATGAGGATTAGAGCTAACTCCCACTGGCTCCATGAGGATTAGAGCTAACTCCCACAGGCTCCATGAGGATTAGAGCTAACTCCCACTGGCTCCATGAGGATTAGAGCTAACTCCCACAGGCTCCATGAGGATTAGAGCTAACTCCCACAGGCTCCACGAGGATTAGAGCTAACTCTCACAGGCTCCATGAGGATTAGAGCTAACTCCCACAGGCTCCATGAGGATTAGAGCTAACTCCCACTGGCTCCATGAGGATTAGAGCTAACTCCCACAGGCTCCATGAGGATTAGAGCTAACTCCCACTGGCTCCATGAGGATTAGAGCTAACTCCCACAGGCTCCATGAGGATTAGAGCTAACTCCCACAGGCTCCATGAGGATTAGAGCTAACTCTCACAGGCTCCATGAGGATTAGAGCTAACTCCCACAGGCTCCATGAGGATTAGAGCTAGCTCCCACAGGCTCCATGAGGATTAGAGCTAAAGTCCACTTGGAGCTTCAAAGAGCTGAGGGTTACACTGTCCATCTTTTGATGTACTGATATGTGTCTCGCTCTCAGACAAACCTTAGTAGACATTGATGTAAGAATGTTTAAAGTATTGTATTTCTATAGTACTTCACTTGTTTTTAAAAATCACACATCACAAGTGTGTGTTTGGCTTCCACACATATCGGTTTGAAGGTCCCCTCCTGATAGAGTTGACTCGTGTTTGGTTTTCTACTGCTCTTTTCATGACATACAGTGTCATACACTTTGGTGATAAACTACTGCCACAGCTGCCCTTAGGCAGACTGACAGGTGAGAGGCAACCTGTCTGTGTGATTGGCGCTTCGGATCACCACAATCATACACACGCACACGCACACACATACACACGCACACGCACACGCACGCACACACGCACACACACACACACACACACACACACACACACACACCAGACTAATGTGGGTGAAGCGTTTTGCCTAAGAACACAACAACAGTTTGGCACTTAACATTTTTACTTTTTTACTTTTCACAAACAATCTATTATGAAAGTATTCCACACATGAAGCTGAGGTACGTCATTTTAAAGCTGGGGTGTGTAATTTTAAAGCTGGGGTATGCAACATTCAGACCACAACAACAGAACTCTGTAATAAAATCCATGCTAGTTCCTGGCTCTAAAGCCTAGAATTAAACTAGTTTTCACAGGGGCCTGTTTCAGACTCAAAAGTGAAAAAAGGAGAACCAGCCCCACGCAGCCAATCAGCTTTCAGCCCCAAGAGTCAAATAGTGACTCACAGGGATCTTACACACAAGATAACATGTTTTCTTACAAGATGAAGACAGTCGGCTTGTGCATAACATTTTACTTTTACAATACTACATTTGTTATTTATGAAGCTAAAGTTACATACCCCAGCTTTAACACCAGTAGAATGTGTGTCTGCAGTTAGACATGAGAAAGCCTCAAACACTAACTTTACAAACAGAAATGATACTTTGGAATCAATGCTCTTTTTCAAATCAACGAACCGATTGTCACAGAACCACTGATACCAAGACTTAACCATGACTAAACCGGGTCTACACCAGGTCTAAACCAGGACTGAACCAGATTCAAACCAGGAAAAAAACAGGAATGAACCAAGTCGAAACCAGGACTCACCCAGGACTAAAACAGGTCTAAACCAGGACTGAACAAGAACTGAACCAGGACTGAACCAGGACTGAACCAGGATTGAACCAGGACAGAACCAGTACTGAACCAGGATTGAACCAGGACTAAACAAGGACTAAACCAGGTCTATACCAGGTCTAAACCAGGACTGAACCAGATTCAAACCAGGAAAAAACCAGGAATGAACCAGGTTGAAACCAGGACTAGCCCAGGACTAAAACAGGTCTAAACCTGGACTGAACAAGAACTGAACCAGGACTGAACCAGGATTGAACCAGGACTAAACAAGGACTAAATCAAGTCTAAACCATGTCTATACCAGGTCTAAACCAGGTCTAAACCAGGTCTAAATCCAGTCCAGACCACGTGTTGTACCTTGGTGGTGACGATGCAGAGACAGTCCATGTCCCCATCACGTCTTCATGTCTCCTCCTCCTCACGCCTCCTACCTCCTAACTCCTACCTGCTACCTCCTCGTCTCCTTCCTCCTCGTGTCCTTTCCTTCCTCTCGTTACCTTCCCTCCTTGTCTCCTGTCTCCTATATCCTTGTGTCCTAGTTCCTAGCTCCTAGCCACTGAATGGCGCTGCTGAAGCTGCTCCTCTCTCTCTCTCTCTCCCTTTTTTTTCTTTATTTATTTTCTTTTTCGGAGGACTGGGACTGTTGCCATGGAAACCTGCAGCTGTTGCCGCGGTGACGCTGCTGCAGCGGTTTCCAAGCAACAAGAGGCTGTAGGATTCAAGGAGACGAGGAGAAATGAGCTAGGAGACAGGAGCTAGGAAAGAGGAGAAAGGAGACTGACGGAGGAGCTTGGGGAGACAGGAGCAAGGAGGCATTCTCAAGGACAAGTTCTCCTCATCATTAAAGCTGCTCTCCATAACTTCCCTCCTCTGAGTGTCTCACACTTCAGCTTTAAACTGCTGAGTCCTGTCTTGGTATGGTCTCATCTGCTCTAGGAAGGGTCTACCCTAGTCTGGATCTAGTCTGGATCTAGTCTGGATCTAGTCCGGGTTTGGTCTTGGTCTCACCTGGTCTGGGTCTGGGTCTGGTTCCGTGTGGCTCTGGCTTTCACAAATGCTGAGCTCATAGAACTCCTGGATATCTGCAGAAAGAGACAGACTTAAAGCGTACGTAACTTTAAAGCTGGAGTATGTAACTTTAAAGCTGGAGTATGCAAGATTAAAGCTGGAGTATGTAACTTTAAAGCTGGAGTATGTAACTTTAAAGCTGGAGTATGCGACATTAAAGCTTTAGAGCTGGAGTATGCAACATTAAAGCTGGGGACCATGTGCCAGGACACATCATAAACACATGTGAACAATGGGGTTCCACAGGGCTCTGACCTCGGACCTGAGCTCTTCTTCACATACACTGTTCTAAAGTCCAGACCTGAAACTATTCAAAAGCCACATGATAAAGTGTTTTCCAACAGTAGTACTGTGATGGGAGACCTCTGGGAACACCAGGTGCCACACTGGGGCTGCTGTAAAGTGCCAAACTGCCATTGTGTCCTTAGGCAACACACTTCACCCCCATTGCCTAGAATGAGTCTGGTGTGTGTGTGAATGGTTGGTGGTGGTCGGAGGGGCCGATGGCACAGACTGGTTGCCTCGCTTCTGTCAGTGTGCCCCAGGGCAGCTGTGGCTACAGCAGTAGTTTATCACCACCGTGTATGAAGTGAAAGAATAATGACATGTGAAGCGTCTTTGAGTGTCCAAAAAAGCGCTATATAAAACCAATGCATTATTATTATTATTATTTATTATTATAATGAATATGTGTGTATATGTACAAATAAAGAAGGCAGTACCGATCTCAGGAGCGCTCTCACCAATGTATCACCTCAGTTTTCACAGAACGCTTATAGGAGTAGCTCTGCCATATTTGAGTAGAGAAAGTAGTTCTCTGGAAAGGTGAAAAGGTTGGAGATAAAAGTACCAAGGACCAGAGAGAGACCAGAGAGAGACCAGAGAGAGACCAGAGAGAGACTAGAGAGAGACCAGAGAGAGACCAGAGAGAGGCTAGAGAGAGACTAGAGAAAGACCAGAGAGAGACCAGAGAGAGACCAGAGAGAGACCGGAGAGAGACCAGAGAGAGACCAGAGTGAGACCAGAGAGAGACCAGAGAGAGACTAGAGAAAGACCAGAGAGAGACCAGAGAGAGACCAGAGAGAGACCAGAGAGAGACCAGAGAGCGGCTAGAGAGAGACTAGAGAGAGACCAGAGAGAGACCAGAGAGAGACCGGAGAGAGACTAGAGAGAGACTAGAGAGAGACCAGAGAGAGACCAGAGAGAGACCAGAGAGAGACCAGAGAGAGACTAGAGAGAGACTAGAGAGAGACCAGAGAGAGACCAGAGAGAGACCAGAGAGAGACCAGAGAGAGGCTAGAGAGAGAAAGAGCATCACTCAAGGCTTCACGACTCGTTACGCTGTCATAGCACAAAGTATTGCCCCTGGAAATACTTGTGTGTAGTTTTATACCTTGTTCCTGTGACCCACATGTAAGCAATGGCCTACACCTGTATTTGTTCTGAGTGTTACGACTGAAGGCGCCTCGGCAAAAAAACTATGTTGCAAGGCGGGTTAGAGGCCCAGTCGTTCTGACACACCAGCTCGAGTCCTCAGAGAGTGAGGAAGAGGAAACGGGGATATAGGTCAGTGGGAATGAGACTATAGACTGTAGGGTTCAGCAGAGCCAAAATGTCCTCTCCTCGGCTTCAGTCCATGTTCTAGTTCAGCGGGGTCTAACTCATTTTGGTCAGGGGCCTGATTAAACAAAATGAGCGGCTGAAAGAATAGAAGGGATTTCCTTGTCCTATAATTGTATTTTAAATTATGAAGGTATTTTGACAATACTTTTATGTTACATTTCACTATTATTGCCTGTTTTTAAAAGTTTAAAATTTAACACATTGTTGACACATTTAACGCATTTCATTTAACTTCTAACGATGTATAACATGTCTCGGTAGAGCTTCATGTTAATAATAATAATTGAAAATAGTTTTAAGGGGCACTAAAAATTGACAGTTTGTCACGCCTGCTCTAGTTCATGAATAATAATGCATGGATTCTACAGTACATAGCGCTTTTCAGGACGCTCAAAGACGCTTGACATATTAAGCGGGGTAACTAGTCTGTATCATCAGCCCCTCCAGCCACCATGTGGATGAAGTGTCTTGCATAAAAACACAATAACAGTTATGCACTTCACAGCCGCAGCTGCCCCACTGTGGCACCTAGTGATCTCAGAAGTCTCCCATCACAGTACTAACCAGGCCCTGCCCTGCACAGCTGGCCACAAATGTTGTGAGTGCTATGTTTCTTATTTGTAAATGTCCTTTCTGTAAGTTTCCCTTCTTCACAGTTTTACCACAGATCCGACTCGTACCGATCAGAGCCTGGAACAAGTCGCTCTGGAAAACGTTGAGGAGTTTTTCGGCACGACCTTCGACCCCTTCGCCGTGCGCCGCTGCCTCCATCAGCGCCTTCTCCGTGTCTGCGTAAAGTCCAAATATGGGCATGAGGGTCACATCCACAATCAAAATACTTCGACAGCAGTAATGTTACATGCTCCAGCTTCAGTCGGCGTATGTAACATGAAAACTGGGGTTTGTAACATTAAAACTTCACTTTCAGACTGCAACGACAAAACTGGTTCTGTCACATTTTAAGATTTATCAGACAGAAAAGTGAAAAAGAAAGGACCACCCTCACTCAGCCAATCAGCTCTGAGCCCAAAGAGTTAAATAGTGACAGACTGGACTCTTTCTTACACAAAAGATATTATGTTTGGTAAAGATGAAGACAGCATGTAGTGGTCTGATTTGTTTTACTATAACAAGACTCTTTCTGTCAAACTAACAGGATTAAAGTTACTTACCCCAGCTTTAATGTGAACCAGAGCTACAAGTGTGAACGTGGCCTCAGTTAAAAACACAATTTCACAGAACACAGTTTTCAACAGTGTAAATTTAACATTGATGTTCTCTGTGAACTCTGAGAACAGGAAAGAGACGAAAGACTGCCCTTCAGTACCGCCAAGATGCTGGGGTTCTGGGTTCTGGGTTCTGGGTCCTGGGTTCTGGGTCCTGAGTTTAGGGTTTAGGGTTTAGGGGTTGAACAGACGAACAAATAAACTCAGGGCTTTCTTCTGTTCTGACACTGAACGCTCTAATGACATGTTTCTGTTTCCAAACAGAAGAAGCCTTGAGTTTATTCAAAAGCAGACGTCATGAAGGATCTAAAAGTAAAACTCCAAATGTTTACCGTCTCGTCGCAGTGGCATCATGTCTCCTCTCATAAATCCTCTTTAGGGATTTAGCTCCAGTGCATCATGGGAGCTGTAGTGCACTAATCCTGCTGCAGTCTCAAACCCTCAGCCTCCTGCTGGGACTGAGGAGCACAGGGACTGGCCTCCTGCTGGGACTGAGGAGCACAGGGACTGTGGGCCACATCTCTGATAATGTTTAAGTCCAGGTTAAAAAGGTCTCCTTATATTCTGTTCTTAAAACTGATCAATACTGATATTGATCATAATCAAACTGATGAATTAATGAGTCATAAGCAATCAAATAACATTTTTATTTCTGTTACTAGTAATTATTCCTATCAGAATCAGAATCATTTTTATTGCCAACGTAAGTAACGGGAGGTCACAGACTTGGAAATTGCTTTGGCTCAGTGCAACAGTCAAAAAGAGATAATAAAAATAAGAATAAAAAACACTTCTAAAGAATAAGAATGCAACAAGAGCCCCACAAGCATTTCAAATGTCAATACACACTTTGTTAGTGGGCATATGAAGCTTCAAGAAATAAACCTTTTCTCGAATCTCAGATGGATGGATAGGTTCAACACTTCATGAAGCTTCATCATCCCATCACTACCATTCATGTTCCTGGTTTTATAGCACATTATCCAATCAGAGAGCAAGAGGAGGAGGCGCTCGTTTGGGTTTGTGAGGTGAAATTCGGACAGAACATAATGTCACCCGTTTATGTTGGTTTTTGAATAGTTTGTTGTGCCATATAAATAAATGTATGTGTAGGACAGGAAGAAAATGGGCCATGACAGCGCCCCCTGCTGGACTGTTCTGAGAACACGGATGTGTATGCTGTCAGACTGTTCTACGAACACATATGACCCTAAACATGTGTTACTCACCCGCAGTAGTAACGTGCATCCACTGAACTTTCTCTATCTACTGTGGTTGTCTCCACATGGTCCTCATCCCGCTGTGTGTTTGTTTTAGGCCTTTATGAAGCTGCTTTGAGTGTAATTACACTTTAATACTTTTATACTGGTGCCACACTCATACTTGTCTGATGGCCCACGAGCTCTAACCATGAACTGTAATATTAGCTCTTCATATTTACAGTCTTTGCTCTCATCTGGGAAGCCTCTGTCCCGTCTCCTGCTCTGTGATTGGTTCTCAGCGCGAGACAGCCCCATCTTCTTTTCTATGATTCGGTCCCAGTGATGTCTGTCTTACTTCCTGCTCTGTGATTGGCTCTGAGCACTGTCAGCCCTGCCTTCTCCTCTGTGATTGGCTCTTAAGGCTGCCTGTCCCGCCTTCTGATTGGTGATTGGCGCTTCTAGTCCAACCCCCCACACATGCGCACTGTGCCCTGTGCTCGGCCCCGTTAGCCTCTCACTGGGTTGTTGGTTTGTCGTTTCCCGTTACGGTTCTGTTTGTTTAGTCACATTCACGCACGTGCACCCACCTGCACTGGAGAGCGTGCACGTGTGCGCGTGCACTGCCGGTAACGGGCGCGTGTCCGCGGTGATAGTCGAGTTTGAGGAGAGTTAGCATCAGAGGCTAACGTTAGCTCTACGAGGATTCATGACGTCACATGTGTAACACGCACGCGCACGGATCTAAACAAACAGCTGACGTCACAGTGAGTAACTTATGATGTGCTGTTGTAACTTATGAGGTAGCTACTACTGTAGTAACTTATGAAGTACAACTGTAGTAACTTATGAAGTACTACTGTAGTAACTTATGAAGTACAACTGTAGTAACTTATGAAGAAATACTGTAGTTACTTATGAAGTACAACTGTAGTAACTTATGAAGCACTACTGTAGTTACTTATGAAGAAATACTGTAGTAACTTATGAAGTACTACTGTAGTAACTTATGAAGTACAACTGTAGTAACTTATGAAGTACAACTGTAGTAACTTATGAAGTACAACTGTAGTAACTTATGAAGTACTACTGTAGTAACTTATGAAGTACTACTGTAGTAACTTATGAAGTACAACTGTAGTAACTTATGAAGTACAACTGTAGTAACTTATGAAGTACAACTGTAGTAACTTATGAAGCACTACTGTAGTTACTTATGAAGAAATACTGTAGTTACTTATGAAGTACAACTGTAGTAACTTATGAAGTACAACTGTAGTAACTTATGAAGTACAACTGTAGTAACTTATGAAGAAATACTGTAGTAACTTATGAAGTACTACTGTAGTAACTTATGAAGTACAACTGTAGTAACTTATGAAGTACAACTGTAGTAACTTATGAAGTACAACTGTAGTAACTTATGAAGTACAACTGTAGTAACTTATGAAGTACAACTGTAGTAACTTATGAAGTACAACTGTAGTAACTTATGAAGTACAACTGTAGTAACTTATGAAGTACAACTGTAGTAACTTATGAAGCACTACTGTAGTTACTTATGAAGAAATACTGTAGTTACTTATGAAGTACAACTGTAGTAACTTATGAAGCACTACTGTAGTTACTTATGAAGTACAACTGTAGTAACTTATGAAGTACAACTGTAGTAACTTATGAAGTACAACTGTAGTAACTTATGAAGTACAACTGTAGTAACTTATGAAGCACTACTGTAGTTACTTATGAAGAAATACTGTAGTTACTTATGAAGTACAACTGTAGTTACTTATGAAGTACAACTGTAGTTACTTATGAAGAAATACTGTAGTTACTTATGAAGTACAACTGTAGTAACTTATGAAGCACTACTGTAGTTACTTATGAAGAAATACTGTAGTAACTTATGAAGTACTACTGTAGTAACTTATGAAGTACAACTGTAGTAACTTATGAAGTACAACTGTAGTAACTTATGAAGTACAACTGTAGTAACTTATGAAGCACTACTGTAGTTACTTATGAAGAAATACTGTAGTTACTTATGAAGTACAACTGTAGTAACTTATGAAGCACTACTGTAGTTACTTATGAAGAAATACTGTAGTAACTTATGAAGTACTACTGTAGTAACTTATGAAGTACAACTGTAGTAACTTATGAAGTACAACTGTAGTAACTTATGAAGTACAACTGTAGTAACTTATGAAGTACAACTGTAGTAACTTATGAAGTACAACTGTAGTAACTTATGAAGTACAACTGTAGTAACTTATGAAGTACAACTGTAGTAACTTATGAAGTACAACTGTAGTAACTTATGAAGTACAACTGTAGTAACTTATGAAGTACAACTGTAGTAACTTATGAAGTACAACTGTAGTAACTTATGAAGCACTACTGTAGTTACTTATGAAGAAATACTGTAGTTACTTATGAAGTACAACTGTAGTAACTTATGAAGCACTACTGTAGTTACTTATGAAGTACAACTGTAGTAACTTATGAAGTACAACTGTAGTAACTTATGAAGTACAACTGTAGTAACTTATGAAGTACAACTGTAGTAACTTATGAAGCACTACTGTAGTTACTTATGAAGAAATACTGTAGTTACTTATGAAGTACAACTGTAGTTACTTATGAAGAAATACTGTAGTTACTTATGAAGTACAACTGTAGTAACTTATGAAGTACAACTGTAGTAACTTATGAAGTACAACTGTAGTAACTTATGAAGTACAACTGTAGTAACTTATGAAGTACAACTGTAGTAACTTATGAAGTACAACTGTAGTAACTTATGAAGTACAACTGTAGTAACTTATGAAGTACAACTGTAGTAACTTATGAAGTACAACTGTAGTAACTTATGAAGTACAACTGTAGTAACTTATGAAGTACAACTGTAGTAACTTATGAAGCACTACTGTAGTTACTTATGAAGAAATACTGTAGTTACTTATGAAGTACAACTGTAGTAACTTATGAAGCACTACTGTAGTTACTTATGAAGTACAACTGTAGTAACTTATGAAGTACAACTGTAGTAACTTATGAAGTACAACTGTAGTAACTTATGAAGTACAACTGTAGTAACTTATGAAGCACTACTGTAGTTACTTATGAAGAAATACTGTAGTTACTTATGAAGTACAACTGTAGTTACTTATGAAGAAATACTGTAGTTACTTATGAAGTACAACTGTAGTAACTTATGAAGCACTACTGTAGTTACTTATGAAGAAATACTGTAGTAACTTATGAAGTACTACTGTAGTAACTTATGAAGTACAACTGTAGTAACTTATGAAGTACAACTGTAGTAACTTATGAAGTACAACTGTAGTAACTTATGAAGCACTACTGTAGTTACTTATGAAGAAATACTGTAGTTACTTATGAAGTACAACTGTAGTAACTTATGAAGCACTACTGTAGTTACTTATGAAGAAATACTGTAGTAACTTATGAAGTACTACTGTAGTAACTTATGAAGTACAACTGTAGTAACTTATGAAGTACAACTGTAGTAACTTATGAAGTACAACTGTAGTAACTTATGAAGTACAACTGTAGTAACTTATGAAGTACAACTGTAGTAACTTATGAAGTACAACTGTAGTAACTTATGAAGTACAACTGTAGTAACTTATGAAGTACAACTGTAGTAACTTATGAAGTACTACTGTAGTAACTTATGAAGTACTACTGTAGTAACTTATGAAGTACAACTGTAGTAACTTATGAAGTACAACTGTAGTAACTTATGAAGTACAACTGTAGTAACTTATGAAGCACTACTGTAGTAACTTATGAAGTACTACTGTAGTAACTTATGAAGTACAACTGTAGTAACTTATGAAGTACAACTGTAGTAACTTATGAAGTACAACTGTAGTAACTTATGAAGTACAACTGTAGTAACTTATGAAGTACTACTGTAGTAACTTATGAAGCACTACTGTAGTTACTTATGAAGAAATACTGTAGTTACTTATGAAGTACAACTGTAGTAACTTATGAAGCACTACTGTAGTAACTTATGAAGTACAACTGTAGTAACTTATGAAGTACAACTGTAGTAACTTATGAAGTACTACTGTAGTAACTTATGAAGTACTACTGTAGTAACTTATGAAGTACTACTGTAGTAACTTATGAAGTACAACTGTAGTAACTTATGAAGTACTACTGTAGTAACTTATGAAGTACAACTGTAGTAACTTATGAAGTACACCTGTTGAATAATAATGTTTTTCATCAACGGAACATGTGCTCATATACCGCTAAGTGCACTCATTCACTGTGGTTAGCTAAGCTTCTCAGGTTAGACTGTTAGGCTTCAGTTCCACAACTTTTGTATCTCGTCATAATTTTCTGTGTGAAACATCTATATATAGATAATTCTATAATAATGTTGTTTAACAGATTAAATGTACAGACTTTTATGTACAAATATATACAATTATTCAACAGAAATGTATACATGTTTATACCACGGTCTGTGAGGATTCCAAGTGTATTACTATTGATGAATACATTTTAAAAGTTAATTTACTTCATATCACGCCACCTGAGGCATCACCAAACAAACGGGACAGAGCACAAACAGTTTATCTACAGTTTCTTTACAAAGTTACTTAGGTCTGTCAAACAGCAGGATATCACCTCCAGCTTGCTTTAGCAACCATCTTAGTAACGCGTCCCACTCTGTCAGTCCACTTCTAACATACTGCTCAGGTGTTTACTCCTTACCTATCATATATTCAAGGAGCTATACCCGTTTCTGCAAGGTTTTTCAGTTTGAATGTTTAGGACCGCTAAGCTTGATTTCTTCTTTATTATTTTTTTCGCTTTAGTTCCCTCTTCTCCTCTTCACTGTTGCGTTGTTTGGGCTGTTTTGCTGTGTATGCAGTTACAGCCACTTTCTGCTAACATGCTGCTGTGTTTTCCTGCGCTGCAGACGCTAGAGGGGGCGTGGCCTGTTTGGAACAGCACTGCTCCTCGTTCTGCGATTGGAGGAGAGCTAGCATCATGCTAAGTTTCTACTCAGCACATTTTACGTCCTGAATTCATGCACAAGCTGAATCAATGAGCTCTAGTTTTCAATTAAATTATGGATTTTAATACAACTTGTATGTAGTAATACGCATTTTTATGAACTCCATTAGAAAATAAATTGGGTATAGCTTCTTTAAATGTGGTCACATTCTAAAACTAATCATCCTGTTCCTTGTATGGCTCTGTCTCTTCCTTAGCTGTGATTGGTGGACGATGATGTCACTGGACAAACCCTCTTCTATGGTCCAATCAGAGGCCTCGCTCCCAAAGCCCCGCCCCCTTGGCTCCTCTCAGCCAACAGGGAAGCGGCGGGCCTCGATGGGTGGCAGCTTCCGGGCCAAACGCCGTCGCCGAGGAAACAGCGAGAGCCAATTGGAGCACGTCTTGCCCAGCCACTTCCTGTTGGGCGGGAACATCTTTGACCCTTTGAACTTGAACTCCTTGATGAATGAGGAAGTGAACCGGTAAGCCTCCGAGTGTAAAACTGTGCCTGTCTTTCTAAAAAAAGGTTGGAAAGTGTCTATATTGCTCCACATGGGTCCATCATAATGTGAAGGAGTGAGTCCACTGGTCCATGTTCTCCTGCAGTCAGTGAGACATAGATCTGAGTGTCGTCTGCATAGTTGTGATAGGACCTGTTGTTACTGCACATTAAATGACCCAACGGCAGCATGTAGACATTGAACAGAAGAGGTCCCAGGATCGACCCCTGTGGCACTCCGCAGGTCAGGGCCGTAAGTACTTCCTGTCTTCTAGATAAGACTTAAAGAAGAGTGTCAAGAGCAGCACAACCTTGACAAGAGCGGTCTCTGTGCTGTAGTTTTTAGAGTGTGGATGATCACCTTTGTCCTTGGACCCTCCTGCATCGGCAAGGAACAACTCTTAAAAACCAAGGATCACATGATTGAGCATGACGTTAAAGAAAACAGGATAGTGGTCGGAGATATGGTCTCTCTCTGGTCTCTCTCTGGTCTCTCTCTGGTCTCTCTCTGTGCTCTATGGTCTCTATAGTCTCTCTAAGGTCTCTCTCTGTGCTCAATGGTCTCTCAACCTTCTCTGGGCTCTTTTTGTTCCTGGGTTCAAGCACAGTACAACAATACACAATTCAATTTGTTCTCGTATAGCCCTAAATCACAACAGCATTCATCTCAGAGGGCTTAACAAAACCATTGAAGTCACCAACACAGATCAGAGAATCAACAGTTGAGACACAGAAAATAAAGAACACACATGTATTGGTCCATAGGGAGGGACCAATGTCCATGAATGTTGATAAATGTCCAGTGACTTTCGACGGCTTAATTTGAAAGTGGAAAGTTTGGTTGGGAAACGCTCCTGTCTCTCTGTGGGCGGAGCCTGGTCACACGCAGCTGAACAATCCAAACTCATGTGGACATTGTTTAGTTAAATATAATGAAAACCGATTCTGATGTAAGATGCGCCTCAAAGATTAAATACATAAAATAATGAAGCATTGAATAGGTGACTTTGTTGGAGATGACTGGAACTTGTTGTTCTTTCAGACTGACCAATCAGGAGACCCCTCAGTCCTCGCCCCTACCACAGCGGGGGGGAGACCCTGTGGAGATCTTGAGGCCACGTGACGTCACTGACCCTCTGAACCTGAAGGGGGCGCCGCAGAGGAAGAGGAAGCACAGACACAGGCACTCGCATAACAACGATGCGGGTACTGCGGGTACTGCGAATACTTCAGTGAATACGGCAACTGCTGAGGACACCGAGAGAGCCGCATCCATCACTGCAGGTAAACAAATGCTACAAAGTAATCAGACTACATTTTCAGGTAACAGTAGTAATATAGTACAGTGGTCCTTCACTATAACGCGCCTCATACAACATCATGTGACCGCTAGTACATCATGTCACTTACTTTTATTTGAGGTCAGAAGAAAACGTTTGTGGTTTGGGTGAACCACAGTTGTTTGTTCAGAGGAGGACCGCGGTGTTCCTGTAGCCCTCAGTCCTGCTCCTGCCTGTACAGCTGTATTAGTATGCACGGCTTTTGACAGCTGCAGCAGCGCTACAACGAGGTTTGATATCTTTGTGATTGCACTTCAGCAGTCGTGAGTTCAAGTGAATAGAAAATGTGTGGTGAGGGGTTTTATAGCCTGAAAACATACGGTACGGATTTAGCTTATTGGGTGTTATTTTTAGATCATAACCTCCACAATAAACAAGGGAATACTGTAGATATAAAAGCCGTTCTGTCTTCCAGACTTCTCTCCTCTGTGGTGTGAGCTGAACACGGCTCTCACCTGTAGAGAGGACTTGGCTCCGTCCTCTAAGCGTGTGGCTCAACCCCCACATCGCAGACACACCCATCCCCCTCTCCGTGGTAACCGACGGCAACGATCCTCCTCCTGCCTTGCCACGGCAACAGCCAAATCTCGGCAGCCAATCTGCTTCGAGACGCCCCAGATGGGAGGGGTCAAGCCGGCGACCAGGTGAGTGCAGCCTCTCTGTCTCTTTTCAAACTGGTTACACTGGTCGTTCTTTAGACCGTGATATCGTAGACGGCTGTTCTCGCATCACGTACGTCAGTTACACGGCACCATGTTGGATTTATTATCAGAGCAAAATATGGCCATGCTCCTCAGCCTGAGTCCAAGTGAAAATCTGTGAAACTGCTATTTGCAACCGCTCTCATCTAATCTGACGGAGAGCTTTGTTTTGTGAAGAGGAATGGCCAAAGTTCAGTCTCTGGATGTGCAAAGCTTGTAGAGTCACGCAAACTATTCCTTCATGTATGAAGGCTGGAGGAGGGTGGTTTTGTGGAGTAAAATCCCCGCCACTGACGACAGGTGCACTAGCAATAGCATCATTATTAGGCTTAACTGTGTATCTGTGCTCGCTGTCACGACACAGATTGTCCGAAACTAACTTGGCCTGCTTGACAATGTTAGGCGTTTGGAAAAACCAAGTAAAATTTTTCTCTTTTTTGCATTTTTAGGCTAAGATTAGCAGCAGCTAACGGAACGGCCACAGACTGTAATTGTTTGAAAAGTGTAGCCTACCTGTTGTCCTGTTCGCACTGATGTGGTCTTCCTCCCCGGGGAATAACCACCAAGAACCCTGCCTTGTCATGTCAAAATGACCCTACATTAGGTTCTAAATGACCCAGGGGCTGGGCGGGTCAAGTTATGAAAAGTAATCTAAATTTTGCTCAAATTTTTGGTATATTTTAGTCACTGGTGGGTCGATTGGATCCGAGGATAGTACAAGGGTTAAGCACCTCATTTTTGCCCGAGCTGCAGCCACTACCCGCTGTGATGGCTTGTGGTTGCTGCATACGCAACAACTTGGCTCCTGCTTGCGCCTACAGTTCGTTTACATGTGATTGGCCAGAGGAAGATTCTGGTGGACGCACTGTTGATGACATCATAGGCTATCGCTACCCAGAATACACTGCAGAAGAAAATATAAACAATCCCTTTGTAAAGTTCAACATTTAAGTGTTTTTAAGAATTTTGAGAGTGAATATGAAGCAAGCCTAATGCAAAATACTTGAGCAACATTTTGAATGAAGTCATTAGACCGAAAGAATAGGTCGTTTTATTTATTTTTACCAACCGTAATCGACAAGGCCAAACCAAAGTAGCCCTATTTAAAGCACCTGGGTCAGTTGTTCCATCTTACATACAGTCCTTTGGATAGAACTGCTGCATTTAGATCTCGCATCTCTTGATCCGGCCGGGTTCAAGTGTCGAGGTGTCGTGTCCAAGGCGTGTTCCATAGTGTGTTCTCCACCGTGTGTTCTCCACAGTGTGTTCTCCACCGTGTGTTCTCCACCGTGTGTTCTCCACAGTGTGTTCTCCACAGTGTGTTCTCCACAGTGTGTTCTCCACAGTGTGTTCTCCACAGTGTGTTCTCCACAGTGTGTTCTTCACAGTGTGTTCTCCACAGTGTGTTCTCCACAGTGTGTTCTTCACAGTGTGTTCTCCACAGTGTGTTCTCCACAGTGTGTTCTTCACAGTGTGTTCTCCACAGTGTGTTCTCCACAGTGTGTTCTTCACAGTGTGTTCTCCACAGTGTGTTCTCCACAGTGTGTTCTCCACAGTGTGTTCTTCACAGTGTGTTCTCCACAGTGTGTTCTCCACAGTGTGTTCTTCACAGTCCATACAGATGCAGTGTGACTAACCCTCTCTCTCCCCCTCCCTCAGCTCTCGCTTGCCCTGTCGCCCGCAGAAGCTTTCTGGTCGTTACGCCTTCGGTAACCACACCCCCTTCTATGGTTTCCGTGGTTGCTACGGTGACAGCGTGGTGGTGGGTGGGGCAGACTTGCGATTGCCATGGTTACAAGAGGCTTGGTTTCGTGGGCGCCGCGTGCTGGACGTGGGCTGCGGTGCAGGTCATGTGGCGCTATATGTGGCACGCTCATTTAGCCCCGCCCACGTCCTGGGGGTGGAGCGTGACTCGCAGCTGGTGCGAGCGGCCAATCAGAACGTCCGGCACTTCCTGTCACATGACCTGGTGAAGGCGGAGCGAGCGCGGCGGCGACGAGGAGCACAGGTCAGTCACATGTTCACTGATTGGACGAAACAGATCTTTCAGATTAAACATCAGACCAGACGTCCTCATTGGTCCAGTCTCCACAAAACAGGAAGCTGCTCTCCTGGAAAATCAACAACAATGTAATCCAATCCAATCCACTTTATTTATGTAGCACACCGTTTTCTTAATGCTGCACAATAAAATACTAATAACCAAACAACAAATCCATGTAAAACAGTAAAAAAAAATTTTTTTTTAACAAATGTGTGCATATATGTATAAATATAAAAATAACAATAAAACTAAATAAAATAAAAGGACCACTCACGCAGTTTTAAAAGCCACAGCATAAACCCACATGGTCCACAGTGTCAAGTCTAAAATCACTAAAACAGAAGAATTTCCAGAATCTTCCAATAAAAACAGGTAATATAGATACTTTCTTGAGCCCTGTAGGAGACAGGTGTCCAGCTGCAGAAACACGACCAAACAAACAAAGACATCCTTCTAAAAGTATCTAACGATAGTGTTAAAGTGCACCAGCAGCAGAGGTTGTGCTGCTGCTGGTGATGAGCTGCTTCCTCTGGTTGATGTTTGGACCATTTTCTCTGCTCTGGTTCAGAGTGACATTCTGAACACTTTATTAGCCTTTTTTCTAAAAAGATTACAATTCCTCCAGGGGATTTCAGCTTGATCTGTTTGGTTGGGTTTGTGCATCTTCTCTGCTCTGGTCTGGATCAGTGTGAGACCATGGGCACTACTGCAGCAACATTTACAGATTGACAGAAAAATAAAGATTGTAAAACAGAAAATGTGTTCCGTAACAAACCATTCAAGCTCCACTTCTGTTCAGGACAAAGAAGCAAGCGAGACACAGCAGAGTCCAGAAGCAGACCAGGACCAGGGTCTGAACCAGGACCAGGGTCTGAACCAGGACCAGGGTCTGAGCCAGGACCAGGGTCTGAGCCAGGACCAGGGTCTGAACCAGGACCAGGATCTGAGCCAGGACCAGGATCTGAGCCAGGACCAAGATCCGGACCTGTCAGACTTGCGGAGCATCCTTGCCTCTCTGTCCTTCCCACAGTCCTTCAGACTCAGCAGAGGTCCACTGTGTGCTCCAGCCATACTGGGTCTGGACCAGGACCCAGTCCAGGCCGAGAACCAGACCAGAGATCAAAGCCGGGACTCCTCTCTGAAGGGATTCCCTCACAACATCACCTTCCTACAGGTTTGTCTAAGTAAAGCAGATAGAAGAGCTGTATTAGCCGTACAGCACAGACAGAAGGGCTAACCATTGGGCGTGTCTCTTTCAGGGTGATTACGTATGCACAGGGGAGGCGTGGCCTGGGCGGGGCATGTATGATGTCATCATGTGCCTGGGCGTGGCCAAGTGGGTGCAGCTGCAGGGCGGAGACGAGAGCGTGGTCACTCTCTTCACACGAGCCTATCAGAGCCTGTCGTCGGGCGGAATATTCCTCCTCGAGACGCAGCCGTGGACGAGCTACTGCCACAGCAAGAGGAGCTCAGTGAGAAATACTGCTACTACTACTACAACTAGTACTACAACTAGTACTACAACTAGTACTACAACTACTACTGCTACTGCTACTACAACTGCTACTACTACTACAACTAGTACTACAACTACTACTGCTACTATTGCTGTGTGTGCGTGCGTCTGTCCGTCCATCCTGTAATGTATTTCTTGCTTGTTTTGCGTTTCCAACTTTTACTTATCTAAAAAAACAACTTGTTGGCGATATATGAAATGAATGAGACGTTTGGTTTTTCATATAAATATTATCTATAATCAAGCACAGGACGGACGGACGGACGGACTATCTACGCTCGGACGGCTGTAGTCCTAGCATGGATAGTCCGAGCCTAGTCCGAGGCGGTCCGCTCCCCCAGGTCTCTCCAGAGGATACGATGTAAGCTAGCTATATTCATCTGGGCTTGATTTCTTCTTTGATCATTATTTCTCTTTAGTTCCCTCTTCTCTTCCTCACTGTTGCGTCGTTTGGGCTGTTTAGAGGAGTTAGCCACTTTCTGCTTCCTGCTGTGATTACTTGGGCTGTAGACGCTGGAGGAGGCGGCCGGTTCTAAAAGTGCTGAATTCATACACAGCTGAATCAATGAGCTCAAGTTTTCAATTCATTTATGGTTTTTAATACAACTCGTATGTAGTCATAAGCATTTTTATGAACTCATTAGAAAATAAATTGGGGATAGCATCTTTAACGGGAGTTTTTCCTCAAACACTTTTTTTCAGCACAATTGACTGAAAGCTCAAAATAGTTCATGAGGATCATTGGTCGTCTGCTACTACTACTGCTAACTACTACTACTACTGCTAACTACTACTACTACTGCTAACTACTACTACTACTGCTAACTACTACTACTGCTGCTAACTACTACTACTGCTGCTAACTACTACTACTACTGCTAACTACTACTACTACTGCTAACTACTACTACTACTGCTAACTACTACTACTACTGCTAACTACTACTACTGCTGCTAACTACTACTACTACTGCTAACTACTACTACTGCTGCTAACTACTACTACTGCTGCTAACTACTACTACTACTGCTAACTACTACTACTGCTGCTAACTACTACTACTGCTGCTAACTACTACTACTACTGCTAACTACTACTACTGCTGCTAACTACTACTACTACTGCTAACTACTACTACTGCTGCTAACTACTACTACTACTGCTAACTACTACTACTGCTGCTAACTACTACTACTGCTGCTAACTACTACTACTACTGCGAACTACTACTACTACTGCTAACTACTACTACTGCTAACTACTACTACTACTGCTAACTACTACTACTGCTGCTAACTACTACTACTACTGCTAACTACTACTACTGCTGCTAACTACTACTACTGCTGCTAACTACTACTACTGCTGCTAACTACTACTACTGCTGCTAACTACTACTACTACTGCTAACTACTACTACTACTGCTAACTACTACTACTGCTGCTAACTACTACTACTGCTGCTAACTACTACTACTACTGCTAACTACTACTACTGCTAACTACTACTACTGCTGCTAACTACTACTACTGCTGCTAACTACTACTACTGCTGCTAACTACTACTACTACTGCTGCTACTACTACTACTGCTAACTACTACTACTGCTGCTAACTACTACTACTGCTGCTAACTCTACTACTGCTGCTAACTACTACTACTGCTGCTAACTACTACTACTGCTGCTAACTACTACTACTGCTGCTAACTACTACTACTGCTGCTAACTACTACTACTGCTGCTAACTACTACTATGCTGCTAACTACTACTGCTAACTACTACTACTGCTGCTAACTACTACTACTGCTGCTAACTACTGCTGCTAACTACTAATACTGCTGCTAACTACTACTACTGCTGCTAACTACTACTACTCTGCTAACTACTGCTACTACTGCTACTGCTGCTGCTAACTACTGCTGCTAACTACTACTACTGCTGCTAACTACTACTACTGCTGCTAACTACTGCTGCTAACTACTACTACTGCTGCTAACTACTACTACTGCTGCTAACTACTACTACTGCTGCTACTACTACTACTGCTGCTAACTACTACTACTGCTGCTAACTACTACTACTGCTGCTAACTACTACTACTGCTGCTAACTACTGCTGCTAACTACTACTACTACTGCTGCTAACTACTACTACTGCTGCTATACTACTACTGCTGCTAACTACTACTACTGCTGCTAACTACTACTACTGCTGCTAACTACTGCTGCTAACTACTACTACTGCTGCTAACTACTACTGCTGCTAACTACTACTACTGCTGCTAACTACTACTACTGCTGCTATCTACTGCTGCTAACTACTACTACTGCTGCTAACTACTACTACTGCTAACTACTACTGCTAACTACTACTACTGCTGCTAACTACTACTACTGCTGCTATCTACTGCTGCTAACTACTACTACTGCTGCTAACTACTACTACTGCTGCTAACTACTACTACTGCTGCTAACTACTACTACTGCTGCTAACTACTACTACTGCTGCAACTAACTACTGCTGCTAACTACTACTACTGCTGCTAATACTACTACTGCTAACTACTACTACTGCTGCTAACTACTACTACTGCTGCTAACTACTACTACTGCTGCTAACTACTGCTGCTAACTACTACTACTGCTGCTAACTACTGCTGCTAACTACTACTACTGCTGCTAACTACTACTACTGCTGCTAACTACTACTACTGCTGCTAACTACTACTACTGCTGCTAACTACTACTACTGCTGCTAACTACTACTACTGCTGCTACTACTGCTACTACTACTGCTGCTAACTACTACTACTCTGCTAACTACTACTGCTGCTAACTACTACTACTGCTGCTAACTACTACTACTGCTGCTAACTACTACTGCTGCTAACTACTACTACTGCTGCTAACTACTACTACTGTGCTGCTAACTACTACTACTGCTGCTAACTACTACTGCTGCTAACTACTACTACTGCTGCTAACTACTACTACTACTGCTGCTAACTACTACTACTGCTGCTAATACTACTACGCTGCTGCTAACTACTCTGCTGCTAACTACTACTACTGCTGCTAACTACTACTACTGCTGCTAACTACTACTACTGCTAACTACTGCTGCTAACTACTACTACTGCTGCTAAACTAACTACTACTACTGCTGCTAACTACTACTGCTGCTACTACTACTACTACTGCTGCTAACTACTACTACTGCTGCTAACTACTACTACTGCTGCTAACTACACTACTGCTGCTACTACTGCTGCTAACTACTACTACTGCTGCTAACTAACTACTACTGCTGCTAACTACTCTAACTACTGCTGCTAACTACTACTACTGCTGCTAACTACTACTACTGCTACTATACTGCTGCACTACTAGCTACTATGCTGCTATACTACTGCTGCTAACTACTACTACTGCTGCTAACTACTACTACTGCTGCTAACTACTATACTACTGCTGCTAACTACTACTACTGCTGCTACTACTACTACTGCTAACTACTACTACTGCTGCTAACTACTACTACTGCTGCTAACTACTGCTGCTAACTACTACTACTGCTGCTAACTACTACTACTGCTGCTAACTACTACTGCTGCTAACTACTACTACTGCTGCTAACTACTACTACTGCTGCTAACTACTGCTGCTAACTACTACTACTGCTGCTAACTACTACTGCTGCTAACTACTACTACTGCTGCTAACTACTACTACTGCTGCTATCTACTGCTGCTAACTACTACTACTGCTGCTAACTACTACTACTGCTGCTAACTACTACTACTGCTAACTACTGCTGCTAACTACTACTACTGCTGCTATCTACTGCTGCTAACTACTACTACTGCTGCTAACTACTACTACTGCTGCTAACTACTACTACTGTTGCTAACTACTACTACTGCTGCTAACTACTACTACTGCTGCTAACTACTGCTGCTAACTACTACTACTGCTGCTAACTACTACTGCTAACTACTACTACTGCTGCTAACTACTACTACTGCTGCTAACTACTACTACTGCTGCTAACTACTGCTGCTAACTACTACTACTGCTGCTAACTACTACTGCTAACTACTACTACTGCTGCTAACTACTACTACTACTGCTGCTAACTACTACTACTGCTGCTAACTACTACTACTGCTGCTAACTACTGCTGCTAACTACTACTACTGCTGCTAACTACTACTACTGCTGCTAACTACTAATACTGCTGCTAACTACTACTGCTGCTAACTACTACTACTGCTGCTAACTACTACTGCTGCTAACTACTACTACTGCTGCTAACTACTACTGCTGCTGCTAACTACTACTACTGCTGCTAACTACTACTACTGCTGCTAACTACTACTACTGCTGCAACTAACTACTACTGCTGCTAACTACTACTACTGCTGCTAACTACTACTGCTGCTGCTAACTACTACTGCTGCTAACTACTACTACTGCTGCTAACTACTACTACTACTGCTAACTACTACTACTACTGCTAACTACTACTACTGCTGCTAACTACTACTACTGCTGCTAACTACTACTACTGCTGCTAACTACTACTACTGCTGCTAACTACTATACTACTGCTAACTACTACTACTACTGCTAACTACTACTACTGCTGCTAACTACTACTATCTGACTACATCTACTGCTGCTAACTACTACTACTACTGCTAACTACTACTACTGCTGCTAACTACTACTACTGCTGCTAACTACTACTACTGCTGCTAACTACTACTACTGCTGCTAACTACTACTACTGCTGCTAACTACTACTATTGCTGCTAACTACTACTGCTAACTACTACTACTGCTGCTAACTACTACTACTGCTGCTAACTACTGCTGCTAACTACTAATACTGCTGCTAACTACTACTACTGCTGCTAACTACTACTACTGCTGCTAACTACTGCTACTGCTGCTAACTACTGCTGCTAACTACTACTACTGCTGCTAACTACTACTACTGCTGCTAACTACTGCTGCTAACTACTACTACTGCTGCTAACTACTACTACTGCTGCTAACTACTACTACTGCTGCTAACTACTACTACTGCTGCTAACTACTACTGCTGCTAACTACTACTACTACTGCTAACTACTACTACTGCTGCTAACTACTACTACTGCTGCTAACTACTGCTGCTAACTACTACTACTGCTGCTAACTACTACTACTGCTGCTAACTACTACTGCTGCTAACTACTACTACTGCTGCTAACTACTACTACTGCTGCTAACTACTGCTGCTAACTACTACTACTGCTGCTAACTACTACTGCTGCTAACTACTACTACTGCTGCTAACTACTACTACTGCTGCTATCTACTGCTGCTAACTACTACTACTGCTGCTAACTACTACTACTGCTGCTAACTACTACTACTGCTGCTAACTACTACTACTGCTGCTAACTACTACTACTGCTGCTATCTACTGCTGCTAACTACTACTACTGCTGCTAACTACTACTACTGCTGCTAACTACTACTACTGTTGCTAACTACTACTACTGCTGCTAACTACTACTACTGCTGCTAACTACTGCTGCTAACTACTACTACTGCTGCTAACTACTACTGCTAACTACTACTACTGCTGCTAACTACTACTACTGCTGCTAACTACTACTACTGCTGCTAACTACTGCTGCTAACTACTACTACTGCTGCTAACTACTACTGCTAACTACTACTACTGCTGCTAACTACTACTACTGCTGCTAACTACTACTACTGCTGCTAACTACTACTACTGCTGCTAACTACTGCTGCTAACTACTACTACTGCTGCTAACTACTACTACTGCTGCTAACTACTAATACTGCTGCTAACTACTACTGCTGCTAACTACTACTACTGCTGCTAACTACTACTGCTGCTAACTACTACTACTGCTGCTAACTACTACTGCTGCTGCTAACTACTACGGCTGCTAACTACTACTACTGCTGCTAACTACTACTACTGCTGCTAACTACTACTGCTGCTAACTACTACTACTGCTGCTAACTACTACTGCTGCTGCTAACTACTACTGCTGCTAACTACTACTACTGCTGCTAACTACTACTACTGCTGCTAACTACTACTACTGCTGCTAACTACTGCTGCTAACTACTACTACTGCTGCTAACTACTACTACTGCTGCTAACTACTAATACTGCTGCTAACTACTGCTGCTAACTACTACTGCTGCTAACTACTACTACTGCTGCTAACTACTACTGCTGCTGCTAACTACTACTGCTGCTAACTACTACTACTGCTGCTAACTACTACTGCTGCTGCTAACTACTACTGCTGCTAACTACTACTACTGCTGCTAACTACTACTGCTGCTAACTACTGCTGCTAACTACTACTACTGCTGCTAACTACTACTACTGCTGCTAACTACTACTGCTGCTAACTACTGCTGCTAACTACTACTACTGCTGCTAACTACTGCTGCTAACTACTACTACTGCTGCTAACTACTACTACTGCTGCTAACTACTGCTGCTAACTACTGCTGCTAACTACTACTGCTGCTACAATGGCTATTCATATTTTTATTTTACCTTTTTACTCAAAGAACCAATTTTTGAAAATGTCTACTCTCTCATCGTTTCCTAGGCAACGACCTTCAGAAACTTCCAGAATATTCGTCTTCGTCCAGAAAATTTCACTTTGTTTCTGACGCAGACGATCGGCTTCAGCTCCTACAGACTCCTGACACGCACCGGTGAGAGCGGCGGTGGGGTTATCATTTGCATAATTGTAAGAAAGAACCCTGTGAGTCACTATCTGACCCTTTGGGCTGAGAGCTGATTGGCTGAGTGACAGTGGTCCTCTTTTTAATTATTCTGTCTGAAAAATCTGATCTTAACATGGGACAGAGGCCAAAAAGTACATGACTGTGTAAACTAGTGATGGAACCAACTTTACAGCTTTAAAGGTGCAGTTAGCGATGTTGTTAGCTTAGCCGTAGCACCAACTGGAAACCTCTACCCCCTCCCCTCGCCTCTCCACCGAACCAAACATCCAGCATTTTCTTTTGTCACAACAGGGAGAGTGGGCGGCAAACGTGAAATTGGCCTTTTCTGTTCAGCCCTTTTAGGTTTTAGAAAATAATCTGATAACTCCGGTGCGAACACTCGCGAGAAACAGGAAGAGGGTGAAGGGGGTAAACGTTGGTTCGTTGGGGATGAACAAATCCCAATGGACAGCACGGACAGCATCTTTAAAGTTACGTACCCCAGCTTTAAAGGACCTGAGCTCAGTTGAGAGTGAGGAGGGAGCCCAAAACATGCTGGAGCCTTTTCTGGGCAGAATAATTAGCACAGTATTTTTATTTTCAGATGGACTAGCCGAGTGCTAATGTCACCATAAGCTAGCTGGAGCCAATTTCCTTTTATGGGCATTTCCTCTGACAGCGTTTGATTTGCGTTGTAACAGGGGCAGACGTGTTGCTAAGATGGTTGCTAAGGCAAGCAGGAGTTTCCCCCGGCGAATGAAGGCATCTGATAGATAGATAGATAGTTAGCGGGTTAGCATTGTTTTAGTACTTTTCTATACTCAACATCCCTAATCTTCAAACCCTTTTCGAACTCTGTCGGTGTTTGTATTTTGGTTTACAGGTCCCATAATGCACTTTGCAAAATATGGGACCTTTGAAATATGGGACGTTTTAAATAAATATAATACAAAAACTAAACTTACTGTAAATATTGTCACTGTTTTCTGCAGGAAACCGTCGCTGTTTTTACCTGTTTCACAAAGGCCTCGTCCACAGGAAGTGACCGGCCCCGCCCACACAACGCAGGACTCTGAACAGTTTCACCAGTGAGCAGCAAAGCATTGTGGGAAATGAGGTCCCCACAGCGACAGGAACTGACACGACTGAGTTCGGCCAATCAGACACTTATCTGAGAATTATTTGTGTGGAATAAAAACATGATTTAATCCGTTTTTTATTCAGTGTAAAATAAACGTGTTCAAACTGAGTCTCACTTTCAAATCGTCTGCACCAGAATCTGTTTCTATTTGCAAAAGTGCAACTGTTTTCCTTACAGCGGTGATTTCAAATGTCAGATTGAGTTTAAAAATAGTTTCACCTCTTTTGAGCTAGCCTTGAAATGACTGCAAAAAACCGTTAAAACTCCTGCGAACTGAAATATCTGTTTGTACCATAGATTGTATTTTAGGAGTGGATCGACCAAGTGCTGACGTCACCTTTGTGTTTGCCTTAATGCGGAAGAGGCAAATTAGAAATAACTCCAACGCCCAACGGGCTCTTTGAGCGGGAATATGGAGCCCAATGTTTGCAAGTTTGACCACAGAAGGCTTCTGATTTGTCAGTTATTATGGCACTATTTGGATTCACAAAGAGAATATAAACATCAGGATCATGGAGCGTGCTAAGCCCAAAGTGTGACACAAACGGTTACTGAGCTTCGAGGTTTTTTTTTTAATGTATGTCAAAAGGATCCAGACTTCACTATGAGCTCTTCCCTTTTGGGCTTTATTGAGCAAGCAGGGATCAACTGGATGGATCTGCTGAATTTAATCCACCTCAACCAAGTAAGGAAGTACCACAAACGGTGCACCTACACTGTAAACCCTGACAAGTAAAGTTTACTTGAAAAAACCATGGAAATAAATTGCGTATTAACTTCACTTGAATTCCTCGAGTACATCGTTTACTTGATATTACCAAGTAAACTCAGGTGATTGCAATAAAGTTTAATTTTCTACTTATGCTCCGACTGGGATTCGTACTCAGAACCCTGTAGTTGAGAGGCAACGGTGCTACCCACTCAGCCACCAGGACACCCTGCCATGGTCACACCTGCGTCATTAAAGACTCTACACATCAAAATGTCAAAAGTGAGGCTTACTTGAAGAGAAACAGTTAAATTCAAAGAAAACCCTGAGTGACATAGGCAAGCTTTAAATAAACTAACAATAAATGAGTAATATCTACTTACTGGGAAAAATCTATTTAAAATAACTTTGATATCTAAAGTAGGATTGAAGTTAGGGTTTACAGTGTACTGCACAGACCGAGGTCCAGAGGGGCCAACATGTGTCTAATCCTTCTCCACAGTGAGACCATGTGCCCTGAGAACAGGTTCCTGATTTGAACCGGCCGATACTTTGGGTCGTGTTCAGTCGATGGCTTTGGCAAATTTACTCATCAAATGTACAAAGTTATGACAGAGTTGGGTCTTTAGTGATAAAACAGCCCTGAATTGTTCATTTCTTTTTGAATGTGCTGAAAACTGCAGCAAATCCAAAGCTCTGAGGCGGTTGTTTTGTGATTTACAATAATTACTTTTCTTGCCGTTTTCAAGCTGTTCATTTTACTGCAGTATAGTGTACAGTGTTTTACACTGGTCCAGAGCAGAGGATGCACGAACCAAACAGATCAAGTGGAAATCCTCTGGAGGAATACTTTTTTTTATTGCTAATAAAGCATTCAGAATTGCAGACTGTTTCTCTGGAGCTTGTGTGCTTTATAATCAGTTCCTAAATCACTTATGAGGCCAAACTACAAGCCTGTTACTACTTATGAGAAGCCAAACTATAAATGTGCATCAAAGTCAAACTCAATTTGTAGCAAACAACATAAACTTTATTGTTTTATTAATTTAGACATTTAAATATATTTATTACAAATTCATGCAAAAGCTTCACGGCAACAAAATGAGGAAGGGAAGCAACCACAAAGCCATATAAGTTCCTAACGTCGCCACGGTAACATGCACCAGCTCCATGAAATTCTACAAGACCAATATCCTGTTTCCATATGGTTCTCATGATTGAGGCTGTGTCCACATGGCTCTCTAGTTTGGCTTTAACGTTTTCTTGTAGGGGGTCCCGCAGGGGTCAGACCTGGGACCAGAGCAGTTCCTAATGTAGAACTGTTTACTTAAACTACGTCACATTGCATTTGTTTGAAATTTTGGAAAGATGTCAAACTCCAGTTGTAGAATTACGATAAATGGTTAAACTTCTGTTTAACATGTTACAATCTCCTTAATGCAAACATGACAGAATATTAGAGCTTTTTGACGGGTTTAAGCTTTGCTTATTGAAATTTAAAAGATACAGACTTCTTTTAGTGAAAGTGATTTTAAATCATTTATGACTCCAACTGCTGATAGAGCGCAGTTATAAACAATTACAAATTAGCAGCGTACAGAAATGTGCGGAGTAAACAACATGGCCCTGCGGTCACCAGTCAGACTCGTCCTTATATGGCTCTGTGGGAGGAGCATTACAGTAAAAACACATGACTGTTCTTGAAGCTGATTGGCTGAAGTATAAACGTGAAGCTTGTTAAGACTGTGTCCAATTACAGCGCAGCACACAGCGTGCGTTACAATAAATAAATGAACCGTCGCACGGAGCAAACCGCTAGCCTGTGCGCTAAAGTGGCTGTGTGTCCAGCCCCGCCCACATGGTCAAGATCCACCCACTTGGCTTAGCCCCACCCACACCTCTGTATAGAGTGAACACACAAAGCCCTCGATCTTTAACAGCCCCGCCCACAGGGTTTAGCCCCGCCCATACCTCAGTAACAGGAAGTCAGCAGCAGATTGAACCTCGTCTGTGGACCGTCTTGATAAAGCGGCCGGAGCAGGAATGGCAGTGGAGCAGTGATATCTGAGCAGTGGTTCTCAACTGGAGGGCCGCGATCATTCGTAACGTAGGTTTGTATACTTCAATTAAGAAGGAAAAAAACTAGTGCTGTCAAAGGATTCAAATATTTAATCCATACTTCTCCAAACTCTTCATGGGACAGGAGCAGCAGACTAGCAGAGGTGCTCGTGTTAATCACTTGATAAAAAAAATGACGCCTAAATATGTGTTTGTGTTAATTGGCGTTATCAACGCATTTAACTGACAGAGCTAAAAAAAAAAAAACATCTACTGAAAATTGTACAAAAGTAAAAGGTAAAACTTGGTAAAAAAAATTGCCATTAATTCATTTTCTTCTGCTTTATCCGTTGCTGGGTCGCAGGGGCAGCAGTCTTAGCAGGGATGGCCTTTCTCCCCACACACACCTCCAGCTCATCTGGGGGAATCCCGAGGTGTTACCAAGCCAGCTGGGAGACGTGGTCTCTCCAGTGGCCTGGGTCCCAAACAGATGCCCATTCCACCTCAACTGGCCAAATCCAGATTTCTAGAAGCAGCGGCTCTACCCTGAGCTCCTTTTGTGTTACTGAGCACCTCATCCCATCTCTGAGGGAGCGTCCAGCCACTCTGCAGAGGAAACTCATGTGGACCGCTTGTATCTGCAATCTCATTATCCAAGGCTCGTGACTATAGGTGAGGGTGGGCTCTAGAGCTCTGACTGCAGACGCTGCTCCCTCTTCACCACCTGAACAGGACGATAAAGGTTCTCCCACTGGCTTACAACGAATTCCTTATTTACAGAGTCTGTTGGAGATGTTGTGTTTATCATTTTTCTTTGTAGTATTGTCGGTTGTTTAAAAGTTCAGTATTTTACATGATTATGAAGTCAGTTTTGTGTCTTGGTGTTGTGGGGATTGTCCCGAGTCCCGACACCGTTCCATTTGAGAACCACTGCAGAGTATCACAGCTTTAGCCTGTCCCAGGACGTCCCCAGAGGTCACCTGTGGTTTTGCAGTGTCCCTCACACACCTCAGTGTTAGCGACCAGAGCAAACAGGAAGTGCAGCTTTCACAACAGCAGCTCTCTGTCGTCTGTAAACGTTCATAAACCTTTATATCATTTCACACGTTTGCCCCAAAAGCAGCCGTCCTGGGACAGTGTGAGCTGCTTTAGTGAGGGGGACTTCATGTGGTCTTAAACTGTAGATAAAATGGACTATTTCAGTTTGTTTGCGTAGGATGCTGACTTGGAACCTTTTTAAGATCATGAAGTACAAAATGTAAACAGTTTTTCATCTGGTCAAACAAAGCTGGGGTACGTAACTTTAGTCTCAAAAACAGAAAGTCTTGTCAAAGTAAAACAACAAATCAGACCACAACATGTAGTCTTCCTCTGATTATAAAAAGGTATCTTTGTGAGGCACTAGACTCTTTGGGCGGAGAGCTGAGTGAAGGTGGTTCTCTCTTTTTCACTTTTCTGTCTGTGTGGAAAATGAAGATAGAAGCAAACCGTCTTTAGCGGCAGGGACTAGTGACATGGACAATAGTAAAGTTCTATTGTTTGTGTCTGAAAGTTACATACCCAAGCTTTAAAGATGTGATGCAGAGTAAGTGCGTGTCTCATAATGTCAGTGGCAGTGTGTTAGCAGTGCTTTATGGGGACCTCAGAATTCTCCAGTACATTAGAGACTATGGAGAGTATTTGAAGTATTTGCATGTACATTCAGTTCTGGGATAAGGCTCGGGTCAGAAACACGTTTATGTGGTGAGGCCTCGCCGCTCCAGCTCCCGGCTCTGCTTCAGCTCCGCGATCCTGGAACACAACAGCAGATCAGTGTTCATCAGAACCAAAATATCCTGTCCTCAGCTCTGTGTCCTAGTTCATTTGAGCCAAAATGTCCTCTGCTTTATCCAAATTCTAAATTTTTCCGTCATTCACACTCAAAACTGACGAATGTTTGAGTCACATAGTACATTTCCAACCCAGAATAAAGAAAACTTTTTTTGGTTTTTCACTCCTCAATCACAGCTTTACGTGAGGCTGGTCTATACCCTTAAACTGGACTAAAAGAGAGATCCGGTTTCACTAGAGCTTTGGAAACCACTCATATGTTTGGGCCCCACATGACCTGTGTTTACCTGTGACGACAGCGGCGCAGAAACCTCATGATCTTCCGAGCGGCTTGGTCCTGCTTCTTAGTGAGAAATGACCCCCTGAAAAACACAAGATAATTACTGCACAAAAGTGATACATAATGTGGCTTATTTTATTAATGATTGCATTGTAATGTCCCTTTTCTTAAAATTAAAAGCTGTATTTGAATCTATGATTGGAAACCTCTGTTAACTAAAGATGTGACAGAGGCCAAAAATACAAAACTAGGGATCAATCCTCAAACTGTTCTAGAGACATGGTATGGCCTTCACTTACCCTTAGCCCCGCCCCTAACCGCCCCTCACCGGCCCTTAGCCCCGCCCCTCACATGTCCTTAGCTCCGCCCCTCAAATGTCCGTACCTCTTCCCCTCACCTGTCCTTAGCTCCGCCCCTCACCTGCCCTTAGCTCCGCCCCTCCCCTGCCCTTAGCTCCGCCCCTCCCCTGCCCTTAGCTGCGCCCCTCACCTGCCCTTAGCTCCGCCCCTCACCTGCCCGTTAGCTCCGCCCCTCACCTGCCCTTAGCTCCGCCCCTCACCTGTCCTTAGCCCGCCCCTCACCTGCCCTTAGCTCCGCCCCTCCCCTGCCCTTAGCTCCGCCCCTCCCCTGCCCTTAGCTGCGCCCCTCACCTGCCCTTAGCTCCGCCCCTCATCTGCCCTTAGCTCCGCCCCTCACCTGCCCTTAGCTCCGCCCCTCACCTGCCCTTAGCTCTGCCCCTCACCTGCCCTTAGCTGCGCCCCTCACCTGCCCTTAGCTCCGCCCCTCACCTGCCCGTAGCTCCGCCCCTCACCTGCCCTTAGCTCCGCCCCTCACCTGCCCGTAGCTCCGCCCCTCACCTGCCCTTAGCTCCGCCCCTCACCTGTCCTTAGCCCCGCCCCTCACCTGCCCTTAGCTGCGCCCCTCACCTGTCCTTAGCTCCGCCCCTCTTGCGTTCGTACTCCTTGTAGCTCCGGTAGTACTGCTGAATCAGGACTGCGGCGCGGCGACTCTGTTGGAAACGCTTCTGTTCGTAATAAGAGCGAAACTTGGACTGGATCAAGATGGCCGCCTGCGTCATCTTCTTGTACAGAGCATACTGGGGACAATAGGGAGGACGTCAGGGACAATAGGAGACAATCAGCACAAACACATAATAATAACAACTCCGACCAATAGTATTTTAGACTGTTTCCTCATTCAAAATAGACAGTCTCAAACACTGCGCCCTCTGCTGCAAGTAGATTTTAATTTTAATATTTTAGAAATGTATGTAGTTTTACCTTCAGAGCAATCCAGGTCAGCTTTAGAGACAGGTTCAATTGGTTAGCATCAGTTAGCACAGGTTAGCATCAGTTTGTACACGTCAGCATCAGTTTGTGAACGTTAGCATCAGTGAGCACATTCAGTCAGTTGGTCAGTCTGTATCGCCGTGGTCGCTGTGGTCAGTCTGTATTGCCGTGGTCGCTGTGGTCAGTCTGTATCGCCGTGGTCAGTCTGTATCGCCGTGGTCAGTCTGTATCGCCGTGGTCAGTCTGTATCACTGTTTCACCTGTTTGTATTTGCGGTAACACCTCTGGATTACTGCAGCTGCCATGTCCTGCTGCTCCTTCAGCCGACGGCCCTGAAACACAGCAGATGTTCACCTCGTGTCTCCTCGTCTGCAAGATCCTCTGCACTTCCTCAAGTTGTGATTGATTGTTTTTTACCTTGTATCGTCTGAACGCCGTCTGGATGATTCTCGCTGCTTCATAAAGTTCTCGTTGTTCTCCGTCCGTGAGCGTGAGCAGTGCAAAGTCTCGTTCTATCTTCCCATTGGCAGAGGCATTCAGAAACTCCGCCCACGCAGCGGAGGAGGGCGGGCGCAGGCGGTGGAGCGCCAGCGCGGAGAGGGGCGAGGGCGGACGGAGACGCCTGAGAAGAGAGAGGCTGTTACCACAGCAACAAGGCACGTTTAGACCGTGTTTATACCCGGTGGCACAGCGGTTAAAGCTGGGGCTTCAGTGCAAGAAGGTTTTGGGTCGATTCCAGGTCGTTCTGTGTGGAGTTTGCATGTTCTCTCCATGTCTGCGTAGGTTTCCACTACCACTAAAAGCATGTACAATAGGTCTGAATGTAATGAGTGATTGATGGATGGTGTTGGCTGGTGATTAGTGCCCTGCATGGGCCTATTATCTGGGCCCTAGGGGTTGGAGCGCCAGCCCAGTCTGGTCTGACAGGTTTTCAGAATTCTCAGGCCCAAACCCGTATCAAGCCAGACTCTTTTTTTTATTTTTTACCTCCTATAACAATGTTTTAGCGTAGTATATAGTGCCGGCTACAGGGCGGAGGTATACATGGTAGTGATGTGTTGCAATGAGTTCTGTGTGTACGAGTGAACGGCTGCAGCTGTATGATACACAGCTGTATGATACACAGCTGTATGATACACAGCTGTATGATACACTGCTGTATGATACACTGCTGTATGATACACTGCTGTATGATACACAGCTGTATGAGACCCAGATGTTGCAATAAACTACAACACACTTGAAGGTAACGCTATGTGTCGTCAATGACAACACTAAACAAAACAACAAAATACTACAGCTTGATAGAACGCTGTATTTATTGGGTGCTTTCGTAAATGTAATCTGCCGCTCTGAAAATTAATAACTAAAAGTGTCCGATCCCGGCCCGTATCCAAGGTAATTATACGGCCATCGGTCCTCGGGCTGTCGGGCCCCTCGGGCCTAGGTCTCAAGTGCAGGGCTCTACTGGGGATTTACCAGTGTGTTCGGTGTCTCGCTTTAGCCATCACCGTGTGGAGAGGATGGAAGAATATCTGATCTCTGAACATTGTAAAGCGCTTTACCCAGTATGGACCCAGTAAACTCTCACCTTAACCGAATTTTGTCACCAGAACCCTCACCTGGGCGGGTCCACAGTTTCCAGATAGGCACCGAGCCATGTGTCCTGGAGGTCTGGATTGTCCTGCCTCTCTCTGAGCGCTGACTCCGCCCCCAGAGGGAAATCCTCACGCTTGATTCGCTCAGGAGTTGCCTCAATGATCTGCTCTGCAAGGGCCGCAACGTCCACCTGAAACACACCATGGGGCAGGTTAGCATGTCAGTGACACGCTGTTAGCATGTCCCTGTTCACCTGCTGTGTACATGTGTTAGATAATACTTTACACCTAGTGTGTTTATGTGTTATATCAGTTGTCCCCAACCCCCGGTCCGCGGACCAGTATAAGGCCGTGGGACATTCAAACCAGGCTGCAAAAGGAAGAATTTTTATTTCAGTCTAAACAATCCTGTAATTTGAAACATGACCGTATTCTCTCTCTGTGTCACATGACACGGTATCCCTGAAATGTAAACAAACGTCCCTCCACCGCACGCGCATTCTGAAGAGGCTCCCGCGTCCTACAGAAGAGGCTCGTAATGGAGTTTTACAAATGCAAATGGTGTAAAGATGCGTTGAGAGAAGTATGAGGCGCCTGTGTGGAGTCAAGAGCGGGAACGGATTCAAGCCAAAACCACAAAGACCAGAGGAGCCAGGACAGTGCCCCTTAGAATGAGCATACACATCCGCAGAGCCTAGCCGAAGCTAGGCTAATGCTAAGCTTCACCCCGGCATCGGGGTGAAGCCCATAGTCCTGCCCAGAGTCCTGCCCAGAGTCCTGCCCAGAGTCCTGCCCAGAGTCTATGGGGATTTTGTGGGGATTCTGTGTGCTTTGCATATTTGATGCTTGTCCCTTGGATAAGTTTTGTTGAACCTGTTGGACATAGTAGTTGGACTAATTCTCAGAGCCGGGTCAGAACACCCTGAAAGCTTGTGTTGCAGATTCTGCCATGCCTGTTGTGCAAACTACAGCCATGTGCCTCCTGTTGTTGTCTGCCTGTTTTTTTGTCAGGCAGAGGGGGGGTGCGTTTGGGTGCCAGTCTGTGCAATTGTTGTTTGACGTTAAACTAAAAGGATGGAGATAGCTGTTAATTCAAAATTGTTGTTGTGTAGAAAGGCAAGACACATTGCCTAGAATGAGTCTGGTGTGTGTGTGAATGGTTGGTGGTGGTCGGAGGGGCAGATGGCACAGACTGTATGCCTTACTTCTGTCAGTGGGGCTACAGAAGTAGTTTTATTGAAGCATCTTTGAGCGTCCAAACAAGCGCTACACTAAACCGATGCATTATTATCATTTTATAATTCTTCACTGTTGTAGTTCTACATCACCTGTAGTTCGTCGTCCTCCAGTAAATCTTCGTTCTCGTTGTTTTCGCTCAGACTGAGAAACTGCTGCAGAGATGAGTGTGCACGGTGCCCGGGGGAGTGCACGTGGGGGGGTGGGGAGTTCTCGAAGTCCATGAGTTGAGACTCCACCCCCCACAGCAGATCCGGCGAATCCGAAGGAGACTCTGGAGGCGAGGTGTCCATGGGGGCGAGGCCTATGCTGGAGTAGGCGGAGCTCAGGGACGACGAAGAGGCGGAGTCAAAGGGCGACGGTGAACTGCTGTTGGACGAGCTGAGGCGACTGGAGGAACTCAAGCCTGAGACCGAGCAGAAAACAGTTTAAAACCAAGGAGAAAAACAACAAAAACACCAAAAGACGACACTTCAAAGCTGGGTACGTAGCTTTAGTGTCACTATTTGACTTGAGCTGAGAGTTGATTTTCCGAGTGAGGGTTGTAGTGGAAAATTACTATCATTCAGTTTATTTTTCATCATGCCACAGCATAAATTCCCCTTTCAAACAATTAGACTGCATGACTTTCATTTCCTAAATCACGAAAGACACCATGACAGGGTGATCTGAAAGAGCTGATCTACAGATGTGACAGAGGCCAAGGATACAAGGATACATGTCTGTGAAAACTATTTAAAAGCTCCCGGTTCCCCTCGTGAGCCCCACGCTGCAGGTCAGCGGTGTCTGTCACCCAGGACGTGGGCTTGGATTCCAAGATGGTTTTCTAACAGTTTCTAATCAGTTTTAAGCCTAGTTTATACTCGCGCAGCGCGGAGCTTACGGAGGTGACGGGACGTCACTTGCGCAACGCGTTGGTCACCGCAAGGCCCTTACGTCGCCTGCCGCGCAGCATCGAAATTTTCTAACTACGTAAGGGTCGCCGCAAGGAATCTCCGCTGTGATTGGTCCGTGTGTGTGTATTGGAAGGAAGCATGAAGCGGCTGCAGCAGGGACATGGACGAGGGACAATGGACGAGGCACTATGGAGCAGAGAGCTTTGTGCTTCGAAGGAAAAGCAGTTTGGGCTCAGAGCCTGATATACAGGAGACTGTGGACTATCTAACATATATATAACTTATATCTAACTTATATCTAACATATATATAACTTATAAACTGTGCAGTCGTTTGTTTTGCACTGTTCCTGTCTTTGTTTGAATCGTAGCTGCGTTTGTTGCTTTCCTCCTGCACTCGTAAATCGTTCATGTTTGTCTCAGATATTTACCACTATTATTGTTTTGCTGTTTGTGCTGAAAACTATTTAATAATAACTATGTTTCCAACAAGAACTGTGTCTTTATTCACAGCATCACAGTTGAAATGACTTATAAAATAATGAATCCATAAAACTATCACATAAACCTACAGTAGAAACACATGTAATGAGCTCAAACAGCTTTGTTTGTTATTGTTGTTCTGAAGAGGACAAAGTAGCAGCGTAAATGGGACCGCTCCTGTGTGATCGCCCTCATGTGGTTTGTTGTGGGATTACAACATTCTCCTCAAAACTCCGTAAGGGGAACGCGCCAGTATAACATCAATTGTGCTTACGTAGGTCCACCGCAACCGCTAACGTAAGCCTCGCCGCGCAAGTATACTCTAGGCTTTAGAGCTGGAAACTAGTGACATGGAATTTATTTATGTATGTTTTTATTTAATTGGTGTGGTCTAAAAGTGATGCACCCCAGTTTTAAAGTTACACACCACAGCTTTAAAGCATATTTGCCTAGGGCACGGCCAACCCTAGGTCATCAGGCGAAAATATGTCATGGCGCCCCTTGCACACTTGTAGAGGGCATCAGAGTGAACAAGTGTGCAGTGATAGTAGTCGCAAACCTCCTTCAGATTTAAAAACAAGTTTAAAAGCAGTAGCTCAGTTGGTAGAGCATTGGCCTTTGGGCCTGAAGGTCGTGGGTTTGAGCCCACCGTAAGACCTACTTCACGACTCCCACTGATGACTGCTGTTGTTGTGTCCTTGGGCAAGACACTTAACCCTACTTTGCCCAAAGCCCCAACTGAAAGATCTCAGCTCCTGTGGACTCACCACCTGCAGGAGGATCAGTGAGGGGCTGGTGCTCTGTGACTGGGTGCAGCTCTGACTGCCACCCCCCCGACCCAGAAATGGATTAAGGGGAAGAAAATGGATGGATGGATGTAAGTTTAAAATGTGCTTTTTGGCCGCTCATCCCCGGAGCTTTCCTTTCCACAAGAAACAGCCAAAAAGAGCCACATCAGGAGTTACTTCAAAAACATAATATATTACATATTACTTATTACTGTTATTTCAAAAGAATTTATTACACTACAACATTACTGTATCTGAATTGTAATGCATTACACAACAACTGCAATACTTTTAAGTTACTTTATCCAAATATATATTGTAAAAAAATAAAAAAAAGGATTAGGATTAAATCATCTCAAATTCAATTATTATATATTACTTACAGTCTAATAATTGAAGGGGTTGTTAAACTGGTTAATCCTGGTTTATCCAGCTCTAGCAGAGGGCCTCTCAAACACTGAAGATTTGCGGTAATTGAACGATTGCAATTGAAATTTCCTCACCTGTGTCTGGGCTGGTGGACAGAGGGGACAGGGCCTGAGGAGAGTCCAGGGACAGGTCTCTGGACTCGGGCTCAGAGAGGGTCAAGCGAGGCTCCTCTGGGTCCACACTGATGCTCTCCTGCTGCTGCTCCTGTCTGCTCCTCTCCACCTCTTCGTCTCTCCTCCTCGCCTCCTCTTCATGTGTCCTCCTCTCTTCCTGCTCCCTCGTCTCCTCGGCCTTTAGATGCTTCTCTTGTCCGCCCTGTTCACTTTTGCAGCCTCTCTTCCTGGTGCCCTGTAGAGAAAGACGAGGGAAGTTTATTTATTCAGCCCGAATCAGACATTTGTCATTCAGCCAACTTCAGCTCCGTCATATGGGAATCAATGAGGACATGTCGTACGTCATGTTAAAGCTCAGCACAGGGGGACCCAGGCAAGGCAAGTTTATTTGAAAAGCACAGTTCATGCACAAGGCCACTCAAAGTGCTTAAAAATGAGATAGAAACAAGATAAGGCATTCAAATAATAAATAATCACAGAAATTAAAAAAGAGTGAAGATACAATCCTTCAGTTCTATGCACAGCTAAACAGAACTGTTTTTAACCAGGAGAACACTTCTGTCTCACATTTTCATAAAGACTGTTCCAGATTTTAGCAGCTTGAGAGAGACCTATACACAAGCCTCTGACTTCATGAATAGTTTTATGATCTTCTGCTGCGAGTCTCACCCCCAGCTCCTCTGTGGCACTGTGCTGCTGCTCCTCCTCACGTTTGACTGGACTCCGGGCCTCCTGCTCCTCCCTCGTCCTCTCTCCCTCATCTCCTCGCGCTCTCCCCTCCATGTGCAGTCTCTCCAGGGCTGTAGCCAGGCGGGTGTGGCCCCTGGACCGAGCCACAGCCAGGGGGAGCCGTCCCAGCGAGTCGGGGATCCCCAAAGCAGAGCTGCTCCAGGAGTACAGCAGCTCTGCGGAGGCCTGGTGCCCGAGCGCACACGCCCACATCTGCAACCACAGCACACCCGCTCAGAGAGGTAGAAAACTATACTGTTGAAGAAGAACTCATGCTTTATTTGTCCCACAGCGGAGACAGTGTTTCATCACAAACGACAGAACACTTTGATAGATTAGAAAATCCATTATCAATTATAGCACAACTCAGTTTTGTATGGAGGACCAAAAATGACTAAAGTATAAATAAATAAATAAATAAATAAATACAGGAATATATTAATAAATACATTCATTTTGGACAATAAAAACTAAATATTTACATTGATATGCTAAATATTACTCTGAAATCAAATAAATATACTTTTATTTAGGTTATTTATCAATATCTACATTTTTTCCTTTATTTATTTATCCATTTATTGCATATATTTATTTATGTATTTCTACATTTCTTCATTTATTTATTTATGTATTTCTACATTTCTTCATTTATTTATTTATGTATTTCTGTGTCGCTACATTTCTTCATTTATTTATTTATGTATTTCTACATTTCTTCATTTATTTATTTATGTATTTCTGTGTCGCTACATTTCTTCATTTATTTATTTATGTATTTCTACATTTCTTCATTTATTTATTTATGTATTTCTGTGTTCCTGTATGCTAATTAGGTGGGCGGTGCTGAACTCAATCTAGAACAGGATTGGTTAGGATTGCGTGAACTCTGGTCTCGATCATTACTGCCCCACATTACGGTACTCTGTTAGCTAGCTAGAGATCCTCTGTGCACTTTTGTGTGGTATGATGGCAGTTTCGAATGTAAGTTTTTTAGGAGCCATTGCTCATCAATTAAGAGCATTAGCAAATGATGTTAATGATGTTGAGCATAATGCACCTGACGACTATCTACTCTTTCGGCTGGAAAGATGTTTTAGTTCATCACAGTGCTGACCCAGAGGTAGACTTTGATGCAACTGTGCTGGACGCTCTTCAACAAGCTATACAGCAGCTTCACATCCTCTCACAAACCGAGAAGGCTAACTTTGCTTCTGTCTGGTTGCCCTGGCTGACCTACTGCCCACCAATCCTGCTATTGATTGAGTTCAGCACCGCCCGCCTAATTTGCATACGGCAACACAGAAATACATAAATAAATAAATGAAGAAATGTAGAAATACATAAATAGATAAATGAAGAAATGTAGCGACACAGAAATACATAAATAAATAAATGAAGAAATGTAGAAATACATAAATAAATAAAGAAATGTAGCGACACAGAAATACATAAATAAATAAATGAAGAAATGTAGAAATACATAAATAAATAAATGAAGAAATGTAGAAATACATAAATAAATATATGCAATAAATGGATAAATAAATAAAGGAAAAAATGTAGATATTGATAAATAACCTAAATAAAAGTATATTTATTTGATTTCATAGTAATATTTAACACATCAATGTAAATATTTAGTTTTTATAGTCCAAAATGAATGTATTTATTAATATATTCCTGTATTTATTTATACTTTAGTCATTTTTGGTCCTCCATAGTTTTGAAATAAAATCTTCAGCTTAATAAACACAGTATTAAATATTTAACGAGTGTGTAATAAAAGTGTACTGTTGAGAACTAATGCTTGAAAAGTGATGATGATGAAGAGATCCTTTATTGGTCCCACTCTCTAGAAATGAGGAGCACGCAACACAACAATAGTTTAGCGGAACTCTATTTTTTTTTTAATATAATATAAAATGTCTCTTTAGCTTAATAAAGAAGCAAAGTATAAAATACAGGATACTCTAGTGCAGTGCTTAATATGGGAAGTCCGGGAACGCAGCGGATTAGTTGTTCTGGTGAGTCCCATTTGGTGGGATCACTGCAGCCTCTGACTAAAGTAACAGTGGACACATGTGGGTCCATATTGTACATTCTACTTTGTATGTGTGAGCGTAAGTACCAGAGGCGTGCAGGAGAAGTGGTCAACATTCAGAGGGTCGACCTCCTGCTCCAGCTCCAGACTGTGTCGGTGCACGCACCTGGAACACACCATGTGTCATTCCTCACACCAGTGTTCTCACCTACAGTAGAACAGTGTCTGTATGAGTTGAGTGCACATGGTTCTCACCTCCAGCAGATCAGCTTGTATATAAGTTGTGTGTATCCCTGTGCAGCCGCTAAGTGCAGTAAAGTCATTCCCCGGTGTGTTGCCGATCTGTTGAGTCTGTCCCCGCCTCCTTTGGCTTTGGCTCCGCCCCCTGCTGACACTGACGCCCTGCCCTCCTCTGCTGTGGCGGAGGACGACCACCAGCAGGTGCTCTTCATCATACGCTCACACAAACCTACGATGCGCTGCTCAAACCACTGAGGACGGAAGAAAAACACATTCTCACACACCAGGAACTGTATGTGTAACAGCTCCGTCTGTTCATAAAGAGGGGGACTGTGTTTATAATTCAAATTAATGTATTTTTGTATAGCCCAAAATCACAACAGTACATATCTCTGAAGACCAAGCCGTCAATTCGCCAACACAGATTAGAGAATAAAACAAAAACAGGAAATGCAATAATGAAAAACACATAGAAGCAGATGAATAATGTCCATAAATGTCGTTGAGTGTGGAGTGTCCTGGGTCATCACCACTGCGCTCGTCGATACAGGAGGGTCTGACCACAGAGGATCCAGGACACTCCACCACATTCAACGACATTTATGGACACTGGTCATCTGCCCATTATGGACCGATGGCTGAGTGTGTTTTTCTATCACTGCATTTCCTCCGTTTGAATCGTTTTATTCTCTGAAGTGTTGGTAAATCGGCAACTTTGTCTAGTCCCCAGAGTTAACTGATTTAGGGCTATACAAAAACCAACAGAATTGAATGGGACGGTGCTTATAATGTACTGTATGAGGACTCGAGATGTAACTAAATACATAATGAGGATCATAACCACAGAGTGTGAATTATACACATGAAGTACACTGCTACAATCATAAAGGACCATGATCTAACCTGCTGTGTTTGCATGGTCTGAGGGGGGTGCAGAGAGGGGGGTAGAGGAGGCCCGGTGCTCAGCTGGTTCCCCCCCTGGTGCTGATACTGGTGAGTTTCTCTGGACGTCATCTGGGTCATCCTCTGCTCCATCTGCTCCAAACGCTCTAGGATCGACATCCGGAACTGATTATCTACAAGAGACACATGCATCATCCTCTGGTCCTGCTGTCTACCTATTCATACACACAACTATACACTTCTTACACTACAATATACAGTATTTGCTTCCTCATTAGATGGATAAATACTTTATTTATCCCCCGTGAGAGAGATTCATTATGCTAAAGGGTATTATGCTAAAAATAGAGACTATATTTATTAAAGAGTTAAGCCTCGTCCCAATTCTCACCCTAGCCCTTAATTTGTTCCCTTACCCTAGATTTTGTGCGTGGCTGCGGGGGTGTAGGGTGTTCCAATACTTAGGGAGCAACGGCGAGTGCCCTCTCACCCTTAAAAAGGCCCCTTTCGCACAAGTGAGAATCTAATGATGTGTTAGGAGAGTTGGTGAAGTCGCTGTCGGGAAAAGCGGCGCCACAATGAAAGAAAACAACATGAAACACCCGGGTGCAGGTTTGTGCAGAACGTGTAGAAGCTTCGGAGCGTGTGCGAGTCATTTAGACATTTTTTTTTAAAGCGTGTGTTGGTGTCGCGTGTGGTGGCCTTCAAAGCCTTTGTGATCTGCTGCTGTGTGTGTGTGTGTGCCTGTCTCAGTGTGTGTACGCGTATATCTGTCTGTGTGTGTGTGCGTGTGTGTCTCTGTGTGTGTGTGCTTGTCTCTGTGTATGTGTGTGTCTGTCTCTGTGTGTGTGTGTGCGTGTGTGTGTGTGTCTGTCTCTGTGTGTGTGTGTGCGTGTGTCTGTGCGTGTGTCTGTCTCTTTGTGTGTGTGTGCGTGTGCCTGTCTATGTGTGTGTGCGTGTCTGTCTCTGTGTGTGTGTGCGTGTGTCTGTCTCTGTCTGTGTGTGCGTGTGTCTGTCTCTGTCTGTGTGTGCGTGTGTGTGTCTGTCTCTGTGTGTGTGTGCGTGTGTCTGTCTCTGTGTGTGTGCGTGTGTCTGTCTCTGTGTATGTGTCTGTCTCTGTGTCTGTCTCTGTGTGTGCGTGTGTCTGTCTCTGTCTGTGTGTGCGTGTGTGTGTCTGTCTCTGTCTGTGGTGTGCGTGTGTGTGTCTGTCTCTGTGTGTGTGTGCGTGTGTCTGTCTCTGTGTGTGTGCGTGTGTCTGTCTCTGTGTGTGTGCGTGTGTCTGTCTCTGTGTATGTGTCTGTCTCTGTGTCTGTCTCTGTGTGTGCGTGTGTCTGTCTCTGTCTGTGTGTGCGTGTGTGTGTCTGTCTCTGTGTGTGCGTGTGTGTGTCTGTCTCTGTGTGTGTGTGCGTGTGTCTGTCTCTGTGTGTGTGCGTGTGTCTGTCTCTGTGTGTGTGCGTGTGTCTGTCTCTGTGTCTGTCTCCGTGTCTGTCTCCGTGTCTGTCTCCGTGTCTGTCTCCGTGTCTGTGCGTGTGTCTGTCTCCGTGTCTGTCTCTGTGTCTGTCTCTGTGTGTGTCTGTCTCTGTGTGTGTGCGTGTGTCTGTCTCTGTGTGTGTGCGTGTGTCTGTCTCTGTGTGTGTCTCTGTGTCTGTCTCCGTGTCTGTCTCTGTGTCTGTCTCTGTCTCTGTGTGTGTCTGTCTCTGTGTGTGTGCGTGTGTCTGTCTCTGTGTGTGTGCGTGTGTCTGTCTCTGTGTGTGTCTGTGTGTGTCTCTGTGTCTGTCTCCGTGTCTGTCTCTGTGTGTGTGCGTGTGTCTGTCTCTGTCTGTGTGTGCGTGTGTCTGTCTCTGTCTGTGTGTGCGTGTGTCTGTCTCTGTCTGTGTGTGCGTGTGTCTGTCTCTGTGTGTGCGTGCGTGTGTCTGTCTCTGTGTGTGCCCGTCTCTGTGTCTGTCTCTGTGCATGTGTCTGTCTCTGTGTGTGTGCGTGTGTCTGTCTCTGTGTGTGTGCGTGTGTCTGTCTCTGTGTGTGTGCATGTGTCTGTCTCTGTGTGTGTGCGTGTGTCTGTCTCTGTGTGTGTGCGTGTGTCTGTCTCCGTGTCTGTGCGTGTGTCTGTCTCCGTCTCTGTCTCTGTGTGTGTCTGTCTCTGTGTGTGTCTGTCTCTGTCTGTGTGTGCCCGTCTCTGTGTCTGTCTCTGTGTGCACTTGTTTTCAACTCCTGGTGGGTTCCATAACCTGAGATTCCACTCACGTCATGGGGACTGGTTTTACGTGGTGGGGCCCGAACACCGGACCCCACTGGTCCAAGCTTAATAATCAATGGGTAATGCTTTTCTAACGGTCCTTATGCAGTCTCTGTAAAAATATGGAAAGGACCCCTGGAGGTTTACTTTCCTGAAAAAAGTGTGTTATGTGTCGGAACCCTGGTGGTGGGTTGCGGGATATCAAGGAGGGGCACACTGGGGCAATTTCAGTCCAGCAGGCTGGAGCCAATCATGGAGCAGCACAACAGAGGAAATCAGGTGTCAGGCTAGAAAAAGGTGCAAGTGTGTGGTGCATTAGGCTGCAGCCAATCACAGAGCAGCACACTGAAGCGCACGCTTACAAACCACTGGTAAGTGCTGACTACAAGTCATGACTTCAAATTGTTATATAGAATGATTACAAATTATTTGTTGTTTGTGCAGCTTAGTCAAGAGTCCCTAATTGATGAAGTCGACTCAGATTCTGACGATTTAACTGTCAAGAGGAAACCTGTAAAAAAGTATGGAAAAAGAAAAATCAAAAACACTTTTCTTCAAGACTCGGAAAGTGACGAACCAAAGGCAAATAAGATTGTTATCATGCAGCTGCAAAAGAAGAAAAATGGGGGGCGAGTTTATAGCAAGAGACACTTCTGCCTCTACTGTTCAATGTCCTGCCACAAAATGTCCCGTCATTTGACTAGAAAACATGGAAATGAAAGTGACGTAGCCAGAGCATTGGCTCTACCTGTGAAATCTAAAGCACGTAAACTTCAGTTTGATTTGATCAGGAATAGTGGAAACCGTGAGCACAATGTTGAGGTTTTAAAGGCCGGCATTGGAACTTTAGTCCCAGCTAAACAGCCAAATTGCCCAGTTAAATCCAGTGAGTTTTTGCACTGTATAGACTGTGGGGCATTGCTTAAGCGAAAGTCGCTGTGGAGGCATGTGGCCAGGTGCCGGCTTTCACAGAAAGATGCCCAGGCTAAACCAGGTAGAAGTAGGGTCCAGTCCCTCTGCTCCCTAGCCCAGCCTGTACCGGAGGGCATCAGCAAAAAGCTGTGGTCTTTAATTTCGGCAATGCATCAGGATGAGGTCACGGGTGTTGTCAAAGCAGAAAAGGGGATTCTGAGACTCGGAGAGCACCTGTACTTAAAACACGGGCATGATAAGACTAAGCATGATTACATTAGGCAGAAAATGAGAGAAGTCGGTAGGTTAATTAACGAAGCAAAAACTGCAGGGAAACTGAAAACAATTAAGGATTTCTTTATTCCTTCCAACTTTAACCATGTGATTGATGCAGTCAGGTCTGTGGCTGGATATGATGAGGAAACAAATCAATACAAGACTCCATCCTTGGCCCTCAAACTCGGCCATAGCCTCAGAAAGCTAGCAGATATTCTTGAATGTGACTCAAAAATGGAGCATTGTGTTGATGAACTATTTATTAAAAACCTCCAACGAAGCCGGCTGCTTTTTGAGAAGAGGTGGGACGTCTGTGTTTCTTCTGCTGCCCTACAGACCCTCCGGCAAGCCAAGTGGAACACTCCGGACCTGCTCCCTCTGACTGAGGACGTTAGAGCCATGCATGCACATATTGAGGTATGTCGACCTGAATATGTGCAAACCCTAATAAGTGAGCCAACGTCTAAGCATTGGTCTAAACTGGCAGTTTTGACTCTTTGTGAGGTCATCATTTTCAATCGAAGAAGGGAAGGTGAGGTTTCAAAGATGCCACTGACAGCCTTTACCTTAAGAAGTAAGACTGGGATCCATTCTGACATTGCTCTGGGACTGTCCCAACTTGAGAAAAAGCTGTGTCAGCATTTTCAACGCATTGAAATTAAAGGGAAAAGAAGTCGGAAAGTGCCGGTTCTTTTGACTCCTGAAATGATTGCTTCGATGGAGGTGCTGGTGGAGAACAGAAGGGCCTGTTCCATCTCTGACCATAACCCATACTTCTTTTCCCGCCCGGGCGCAGACACCCACATCAGGGGATCAGACTCCCTACGGCAGGTAGCCAAAGAATGTGGTGCGGTGCATCCAGAGATGCTATCCTCAACCAAACTTAGAAAGCACATAGCTACTATGTCTACAGTTCTCAATATGAAAGAGAATGAGATGGACATACTTGCCAACTTCCTCGGCCATGACATTCGCATCCACAGGCAATATTACAGACTACCAGAGGGGACACTGGAGCTGGCCAAAATCAGCAAAGTGTTGATGGCCATGGAGCAGGGAAGAGTGACGGAATTCGAAGGAAAGAGCCTCGACCAGATACAAATTGAGCCTGAAGGCAATTCTTGATATTATTAAAATATGTATGATTTTTTTCCCCTAAAGGCCACTTGTATTTTTATTTTCTGTGCGACAGGGAGAGCAGTAGAGATCCTCTCACAAACGGACGGGCTAAAAGAAACTTCAAGCGGAGAACCTTCAACCATTCATCCAGATGCACCCCATGGTAGTGGCAGTGCCCCTTCTGGTAAGTGTACCAGGTGGGGGATTACAGCCAGGCTGCTTGGTCCTAACCCTGGGAGTGTATATTGCTAATATATTTTTATTTCTCTCCCCAGAACGTGTAAGAAAGCCATGGTCTGCATCTGAGGTGAAGGCTGTGGAGAAGACCATGACGCCTTTCATACAGACTGGAACGGTCCCTGGGAAGTCTCACTGCCTGGCCTGCATTAATGCCTCACCAGATGACCTTAGACATCGGACATGGAGTGGCATTAAATTCTATGTCAAAAATAGAATCACTGCAATTCGAAAAAAAAATCTAAAATAAAATTCCTTTAAAATAGTTGTTTGGTTTCTATTGACTGTTTTGTATTACTTAAAGTAGTCCCAGTAAAAAAAGATTATGTCTATGGGTCCCATTCTGAACGGCCCTGTCAAAGGGACCCACCAGGTAACAAAAACGTGTATGTGTGTGTGTGCATGTGTCTGTCTCTGTCTCTGTGTGTGTCTCTGTGTCTGTCTCTGTGTGTGTGCGTGATGTGGAGCAGTCTTGTACTTAATAATAGCTAATCTAATTCTTGAAATCCAATTAATAACGTTTCACTTTATTTAATACTTTGTTTCATAAAGTCTTATCTGCGGTGAAAACAGACACGTCGATGTTGCGTGTGACATGGAACACGTTTGCGTCGATTTACATTCTTAGGAGTGTCCCATTTCTTAGAGAGAATAACAATATCGAGGGCACTCACAACTCCCTTATAGTTCACTTATCTGGTGCTGTGTGCCTCTTATTCCAACACTGACATTTCCCCACTGTGGGACGAATGAAGGCTCTCTTAATCTTAATCTACCAGAGACGCACACATCATCCTCTGGTCCTGACTAAAGTTAGGTCCAGTCTCCATGCCCCACTGTGAGCCTTGTGCTGCTTTCAAAGGCGTCTGTAATCTTTGCCTCAGCGCTCACACTTTAAAACAGACATTAAAATAAAATGCCTCTCATATCAACAGTAGAACACACTTTTGTCAAATGTAATCACAGATGTTGTTACTTTGAGCGTTGGATTTTCCCCCAGGTTGAACTGCAGCAACACAAGTTTTTGTTTTGTCCGCAAGAAAATTAAACGTACCGTGTGTCCAGCTTTTGCCTCGCGTCACAAAACCAAAATACAACATTGACATGTCTCGTTCTGTGTGCTTCATCACATGAGCAACACGAGGGAGTGGCCTTTAAGCTCCAAATACATACATTTCAAATACACTGCTCACAAAAACTTAGGGCACACCCAAAAAACACAATGTAACTCCAAGTCAGCCAAATTTCTGGGATATCAGACTGTCCAGTTAGGAAGCCACACTTATTGTGACTCAATTTCATCTGATGTTGTGGAAATTAAACAGACAACAGGTGGAAATGTGAGGCAATTAGCAAGATCACTCCAAAAGAGGAATAGTTTTGCCTCTACCATTTCCCTTTCTTAATCCTTTGTACCGTATTTTTGGAACACTTTTACATTTGTCCAGTGTTCTTACCACTAGGTGTCATGAGGAGGCATCTACAACCCACAGAAGTTGCTCAGGGAGTGATGCTCATTAAAAATGGCACGTCCATTCGTGCTGTGGCAAGAAGGAGTCCAGAGCATGGAGGAGATACCAGGAGACAGGCCAGTACACCAGGACACCTGGAGGGGGGCCAACCGAGGTCAACAACCCAGCAGCAGGACCGCTATCTGCTCATTTGTGCACAAAGAAACAGGAGAAGCACTGCCCGAGCCCTACAAAATGACCTCCAGAGGGCCACAAATGTGCATGTTGGTACTCAAACGGTCAGAAACCGACTCCATGAGGGTGGTATGAGGGCCCGACGTCCACAAGTTGGGCCGGTGCTTACTGCCCAACATCGTGCAGCCCGATTGGCTTTTGCCCGAGAACACAGCGATTTGCAGATTGGCCAATGGTGCCCTGTGCTCTTCACGGATGAGAACAGGTTCACCCTGAGCACATGTGACAGACGTGACAGAGTCTGGAGACGCCCTGGAGAACGTTCTGCTGCTTGCAACATCATCCAGCATGACCGGTTTGGTGGTGGGTCAGTGATGGTCTGGGGAGGCATTTCATTGGAGGGCCGCACAGCCCTCCATAGGCTAGCCAGAGGTTCCCTGCCTGGCATTGGGTACCGGGATGAGATCCTCAGACCTATTGTAAGACCATATGCTGGTGCTGTGGGCCCTGGGTTCCTTCTGATGCATGATAATGCCAGGCCACATGTGACAAGAGTGGGTCAGCAGTTCCTGCATGATGAAGGTATTGATGTTTTGGACTGGCCTGGCCTGGCCCAGACTTAAATCCAATAGAGCACATCTGGAACATCATGTCTCGGTCCATCCATCAACGCCACATCGCACCACAGACTATCCAGGAGCAGACTGATGCTCTAATCCAGGTCTGGGAGGAGATCCCTCAGGAGGACCTCCGTGGTCTCATCAGGAGCATGCCCAGGCGTAGGGAGTGCATTCAGGCACGTGGAGGACACACACACTACTGGCGATGAAAAAGACTCATTTTGAGGAATTTCTACAGAGATTGGATCAACCAGTTACCTCATTTGTCAGTTTGATTTTGACTATAATTTTGGATCCAGACCTCCTGGGGCTGAGAATTTGATTTCCATTTATCATTCTTATGTTATTTTGTTCTCAACACACTATGAATAAAGATTTTCATCCAAAAAATCAAATTGATTGACATCTAGGATGTGTTTTTTGAGTGTGCCCTAAGTTTTTGTGAGCACTGTATAAGCATGGATGATCCCTGTGCTCTTAAATGCACCATATCTTAGTAGTATTGTATAGTAGTAAAGTAAAGTAAAGTAATACGGTCTGCACCCCAGGCATCAGCTCGCTCCCCTCCCACCTCATACCATCCAGGGAGAGCCAGTCGAGCTGGGAACTGGGCAGAGAGCTGGCATTTCGAGCTCTGTACTCGAACAGAACCGAAGAGGAGACAGATCCTCCAGACTCCAGCACCTGAAGACAGACCAGTCCTGCCTGGTGAGCTGCGGGGGAGAGAAAGAGACGGGTGATACTTCAGTGTGGATAAGTAGTGTGAAGTAGTGCTGTGAATGCGTCGTCCATGTTTCAGATTTTATGAATGAAACACAAACACTCATTGTTAGTGTTTGTGACGCCTATTGTCGTCAAATAAATGTGTTTTGTTTTTTCTATGGATGACATCATTGAGCTGCTCTGGGGACATCTGAAAAACATTCCAGACACCAGAGAGGGATAGAGAGAGACCAGAGAGACCAGCGAGAGACCAGCGAGAGACCAGTGAGAGACCAGCGAGAGACCAGCGAAAGACCAGCGAGAGACCAGAAAGAGACCAGAGAGACCAGAGAGAGACCAGAGAGAGACCAGAGAGAGACCAGAGAGAGACCAGAGAGAGACCAGAGAGAGACCAGGGAGAGACCAGAGAGAGACCAGAGAGAGACACCAGAGAGAGACACCAGAGAGAGACCAGGGAGAGACACCAGAGAGAGACACCAGAGAGACCAGAGAAAGAAAATAGAGAGGGCGTGTTATAGCAAAGCGCTCTCGCTAAGCCTGTTCCAGTAGTATGAAGGGCAGTAGTACAGTAGTAGTATAAAATATTACCAGGGCAGTAGATTACAGAAGAAGTATAAAGTATACCAGGGCAGTAGCAGCGCAGGACTCCAGGCTGGATCAGAGACGCTGGAACCACACTCTGGTCAAATACACACGAGTATCTGGCAGACGACTCGCTCCAGGAGCCGGTGATGAGGACTTTTACTCCCCCCTGAGAAGAACGGGATCAACTTACACCAAACTCACTGTAGAGACTGTGTGAAAGACCATAGGGACTGACTCCAACCTTTGCCCAAAAACTATAACTTTGGGGCTGGGGAGCTACTGGTAGCTCCTGAGCCACAGGTTGGCGCCCCTGCTCGATAGGACTGTCTCTAACAGACTCTGGGGATAATAATGATCTCACCTCGGGATACGACCACTCAGGGCTGAAGTCGGTGATGGTGGCGGTCCGTGGCGAGGGGCGGGGCTGTGGGAATGGGAGGAAGGATGAGGAGGGCGAGGGAGTGGGTGGGACCATGTAGCGCACGCCAGTGGCTAATGGTGGTGTGGCTAATGCTAAAGACGGCGCCGTGGAGGTGTCGTCCCCAATGAGGTCCGATATGAGGTCTGGGAACGGGGAGTCAAAGGACAGGTCGAGCTCCGCCTCCTCCACAGCGTCGGTATCCATGGAGATAGAGCGTGGAGGCGCCGTGTCCACAGAGATGATGTCAGAGCCACGCCTCCCGCTCTCCTGCTTCACATGCGTTAGGTCGTCGCTCGCCTGCGGCTGATCGGTCGGTGGAGAACCATATCCGACCAATAGGAGCGGAGCACTGCTCTGTCGTCGAGGAGGAGAGCCACAAATGGACTGAAAGAAAAAAGGACAGAGGGTCGAGGCGTTCACAGTGGATACTTCACTCAGGGAGCGTTCACACTCGTTCATCTGGTTCACTTTCACTGGACCATCTCTGCTAACACGAGAACTCCCACAGCAATCAATTTGACAGCTACAGTGGGGCCAAAAAGTATTTAGTCAGCCACCGATTGTGCAAGTTCTCCGACTTAAAATAATGACAGAGGTCTGCAATTTTCATCATAGGTACACTTCAACTGTGAGAGACAGAATGTGGAAAAAAAAATCCAGGAATTCACATTGTAGGATTTTTAAAGAGTTTATTTGTAAATCATGGTGGAAAATAAGTATTAGGTCAATAACAAAAATTCAACTCAATACTTTGTAATATAACCTTTGTTGGCAATAACAGAGGTCAAACGATTACTATAGGTCTGGTATTTTGCCATGCTTCACAGTAGGTATGGTGTTCTTGGGATGCAACTCAGTATTCTTCTTCCTCCAAACACGACGAGTTGAGTTTATACCAAACGGTTCTACTTTGGTTTCATCTGACCACATGACATTCTCCCAATCCTCTGCTGTATCATCCATGTGCTCTCTGGAAAACTTCAGACGGGCCTGGACATGCACTGGCTTCAGCAGGGGGACACGTCTGGCACTGCAGGATTTGATTCCCCGTCGTCGTAGTGTGTTACTGATGGTAACCTTTGTTACTTTGGTCCCAGCTCTCTGCAGGTCATTCACCAGGTCCCCCCGTGTGGTTCTGGGATTTTTGATCACCTTTCTCATGATCATTTTGACGGGATGAGATCTTGCGTGGAGCCCCAGATCGAGGGAGATTATCAGTGGTCTTGTATGTCTTCCATTTTCTGATAATTGCTCCCACAGTTGATTTGTTCACACCAAGCTCTTGCCTATTGTAGATTCACTCTTCCCAGTCTGGTGCAGGTCTACAATTCTTTTCCTGGTGTCCTTCGACAGCTCTTTGGTCTTGGCCATAGTGGAGTTTGGAGTCTGACTGTTTGAGGCTGTGGACAGGTGTCTTTTATACAGATAACCAGTTCAAACAGGTGCCATTAATACAGGTAACGAGTGGAGGACAGAGGAGCTTCTTAAAGAAGAAGTTACAGGTCTGTGAGAGCCAGAGATCTTCCTTGTTCGAAGTGACCAAATACTTATTTTCCACCATAATTTACAAATAAATTCTTTAAAAATCCTACAATGTGAATTCCTGGATTTTTTTTTCACATTCTGTCTCTCACAGTTGAAGTGTACCTATGATGAAAATTACAGACCTCTGTAGTTATTTTTAGTGGGAGAACTTGCACAATCGGTGGCTGACTAAATACTTTTTTGCACCACTGTAAGCATAATTACTCAGTGTATGTACCTTTGTGGTCTTGACCTTTATGGTCTTCTTTTTCTGGATTCTATATGTAGATTTTTCTATATCATTTTAAAAATTAAAATATATCTTGAGATGTCAGTAGCTCTACCTTTAACTTCATTACTCTAAAAACTAAATTCTACCGGTTCTGGTTCTGTTTGTTTTTCTACCAGAGAAGAGCGGTACACGGTTATGTTTTATTTTTAAGACAAAATCCCATGGCATTGGGCAAAAATAAATGTAGGTACAAATTTCATTTCAGATTCATCTGTTTATAGATGGAGAAAAACACTCACCTGGATCAGAGCCACAGTGGACCCGCTATGGTTGCGTCGGTTCTTTGCCGTCTCGTGGTTGTCCAGCTCCAGACAGAGAGGGAGGACGAGGGGGGAGGAGTCTGGGACCAGTGGGGCGGAGTCTGTGGAGCTGAGCGAGGACAGCGAGGAGGCGGGACTCGGGGCCAACGCAGAGTTCTGATTGGACAACATCTGGCGACCGTACGTCTGTCCCTGTTTGGGTGAATTCAGGAAGGCGTCGGGATCAAAGGAAGGGGGCGTGCTCTGAGGGCCAGGAGGCGTGGTCTGTGCAGGAAGGGCCAGGGTCTGAAGGGCAGTGGCTTGGGCTGGAGGAGGTGTGGCCTGACAAGGAGGAGGCGTGATCTGGCATGGTGGGGGTGTGGACTGTCTCGGAGGGGGCGTGGCCTGAGTGGGCGGGGTTAGAAGTGGGATCAGGGCCACAGTCTTGTTGCTGTTGTTATTTGCATTGGAGGCAGTGGGAGGTGTTGCCGCCACCACTATGACGGCATTCTGGGGTAGTGCCACCGTGGTCAGGTTGCCGAGGCGATCAGTATAGTTGCCGACGGCGATGGCAGTGTGCGGTGGGGAAGGAGAGGACGAGCTGAGGAAGAGAGAAACTATGTGAACTTTTTTCAAGTGAACAAATACATGCAAAACAGCGTCCCCATATCACAGATTTAAGAGCGATAAGTCAAGACCACAGACTGACCACAGACTTTTATTACAGAGTTTTAGATCAATATGAGATTTACACAGTTCTGAAGATGATAATGACCACAGGGGTCAGGTTATCACTGTATAAGCAGGCCACGCAGACTGCACACATCAACCAGAGGATACCCCTCCTCTGCTGCACTTTGTTACTATTGTAAATAACTTAACATTTCTCATGCGAGGATCAATAAAGTATCGTTCTACAAAAATAAACCTGGTGGGGGAATGGTCTCACCTGGTGGGAGGGTGCGGCGAGGGGGCAGGGCAGTGTGATTTGATTGGTGCAGGTTTGGTCTTGTCCAATTTGGGGGAGATGATGCGGTGTTTGGTGTTACAGCGGTGGGGAATGTTTGCTCCAGACGTGGCTGAGGACGAAGCAGAGAGAGAGGGAGAGGGTCAAGTCCCAGTCCTGGTTCAAATAAGCACATTCACTCAGCTGTAATATACAGGCAAGACAAGTGTGTGCGTGGTTACAAGTGTGTGCGTGTTCCAAGTGTGTGCGTGCTTTCAAGTGTGTGTGCGCTTCCAAGTGTGTGCGCGCTTTCAAGTGTGTGCATGCTTTCAAGTGTGTGCATGCTTTCAAGTGTGTGCATGCTTTCAAGTGTGTGCGTGGTTACAAGTGTGTGCGTGCTTTCAAGTGTGTGCGTGGTTACAAGTGTGTGCGTGCTTTCAAGTGTGTATGTGCTTTCAAGTGTTTCAAGTATGTGCGTGCTTTCAAGTGTGTGCGTGCTTCCAAGTGTGTGCATGCTTCCAAGTGTGCGTGGTTACAGTAGCTGAATTAAAAGAGACTTGATTCAAGTTACAGAGCAGTAGGAACAAAGAGCACACAACACAAAATAAGTTAAACTAAATATTTACTTGTATCTTTGCATCTACAAATAAATCTATAACACTCTATAACACAACTGAGTGCAAGAATAATGAAGAAGTCATTAGCTGTGTGTGTGTGTATTCACAATGACGATACTGCTGCAATCCAGCTGAACGTGTCTACGTAAAGTGACAGTGGACGGTCCCATATTGCATTATTGCACAGTATTGTACAGATGCATGACTTTTGAGGTCATGCATCATGCAATATGTTATGGTGTGTGTGTGTGTGTGAAGACCGCAGTTACAGGCAGGTGAGAAAAGTTACCGTGGTTACACAGACACGCATGTGTGCGTGGCTGAGGTCTGCTTCTCTGGCGGTCCAGGATGTGTTGGACCAGGTCCTCAATAGACAAGTCTCCAGGAGGAACCTTCACACTGTGGACTGAGACAAGACTGGGTTAGTACTAAGACTAGGACTAGTTCCATGGTCCCTATCCATGTCCCTGTCCTGGTCTTGGTCTTGGGGCGCATTTTTGCACCAGCTCCTCTCAATCTTGCTCTCAGTTCACCTTAGGTCTGTGTCTTTGTACCGGTCTCAGTCCTGGTCTCAGTCTGGGTCCTTACACATGGGCTTCAGCTGGCTCAGTAGATCCTCTCGGCTCCATCGTGTGCTGCTGCTGTGGCGTTCAGCACAGATCAGAGGACTACATTTCCCAGAATCCTCAGGGGTCGGGACGTTCAGGTAGTGTACCAGGACGATGTCAGGGTTCTGAAGAAAGAAAGTACTTCAACTACTGCAGTATAACGAGTACTTTTGAAGTACATCTGTTGAACTCTCCTTTTATTCCATCTGCACTTTTCGGCTGGGGCAGCGGAGGCTCTGTTTAAGTATGTGGACATGCAGTAACACTTTATGTAGAGAACCTGAAGCACTGTACTTTCGCCACTGGGGGCAGCAGAGGTTCTTACCTGCAGGAGCCAGTAGCAGCGTCTGTGGAATGTGGGCACAATGGAGGAATGCACGTAACAGCCGTAGAGACACTGGACAGAGAAAATTTAGGTTATCACTACTGCAATAATCCTTCTGTGCAATAATATGACAACAGCAGGCGGCGGTGACACAATGAATAGGAATCAATGCTCAATCAAAATATGCAACTTCATGAGTGCTACGATGGTATGTTATACCTCATAATAATTAATCATAAACATTCATCCGTCCACAATACTGAGCCTTCTTTGTGCTCAAGCAAAAAATAAATCTAAAAGACGACTAAGAATAATTTACTGAATTAGAAATTGTAAAAGGTCAAAACAAAATGATGTTGATGTAAAGGATCAGCAAACATGCTAACACACACAATGATAACCTCGGATACCTTCAGGTTTCCTTCTACCTTCAGGTTTCCTTCTAGCTCAAGCTCAAAAATTTGACTTTCAGCTCCATGTGGTCCTCTCCCTCACCTCCATGCCCTGGACCTTCAGCTTCATGTGGTCCTCTCCCTCACCTCCATGCCCTGGACCTACAGCCTCATGTGGTCCTCTCCCTCACCTCCATGCCCTGGACCTACAGCCTCATGTGGTCCTCTCCCTCACCTCCATGCCCTGGACCTTCAGCTTCATGTGGTCCTCTCCCTCACCTCCATGCCCTGGACCTACAGCCTCATGTGGTCCTCTCCCTCACCTCCATGCCCTGGACCTTCAGCTTCATGTGGTCCTCTCCTCACTCCATCCTCCTTTCCTCCCTCCATGCCCTGGACCTCAGCTCATGTGGTCCTCTCCTCACCTCCATGCCCTGGACCTTCAGCTCATGTGGTCCTCTCCCTCACCTCCATGCCCTGGACCTTCAGCTCATGTGGTCCTCTCCCTCCCCATGCCCTGGACCTACAGCCTCATGTGGTCCTCTCCCTCACCTCCATGCCCTGGACCTTCAGCTCCATGTGGTCCTCTCCCTCACCTCCATGCCCTGGACCTTCAGCTTCATATGGTCCTCTCCCTCACCTCCATGCCCTGGACCTTCAGCTTCATGTGGTCCTCTCCCTCACCTCCATGCCCTGGACCTACAGCCTCATGTGGTCCTCTCCCTCACCTCCATGCCCTGGACCTTCAGCTTCATGTGGTCCTCTCTGGTCGTCTTCCCGTCTTTGCGTTTCTTCCAGCTGTAGCCATCTTTACGATATTTCACCTTTTTGCGGTTGTACAGAATGATGCTGCCGTTCTTAGGCCTGTGACACGCACACAAGACACAGAAACACACACACACACACATTTGAATCCTTGTGTCACCTCTTCACCAAAGAATGTGTCAAAATAAAACAAAGACAGGAGACTGGAGAGCGAGACCGGAAAGCGAGACCGGAGAGCGAGACCAGAGAGCGAGACCAGAGAGACATGCTCATCATCAACACACACACACCTGGTCTTGAGTGAGCAGCAGAGCCACTCATCGTGTCGTTCAACGGAGACGAGGAACGAGGCGATCTCCTGAACACAGACAAACACACGTGTATAAGTATAATTCATGTTTTTACAACACACTCTTACAGCCACACTCCTGCTGCCTCAGCCACTTCAGACCAAAAACTCTGTCCTCTGTGCTGTTCCACCTCTCATACATAGGGGGCGCTCTCACCTCTGTAGTGTTCCACCGCAGCCTTTCCGGCGGCAGACATGAGGACCGCGGTAAACACTCCATCAGTTTGTTCTGGACAAAGACTTTCCTCTGATTCTTGTTCTCTGAAAACAAACAAGGAGCAAGCATTAAAGCACGGGTACGTAACCTTAGCCAACCACCGAAACATGTCAGGTACTGGTGTCTTTACACGTATGACTCATTAGAAGAACTTTCTAAGCCTTTTTTATCCTTCATACATAAATTATACTGATTATTATTTCACTAAAACATGAAAAGGCAAAGGAAACAGTCTCATTTTAATTAAGAAGAATAAGCAGTTCTTCTAAGAGTCATAATAGGTCGTTATTGTGGAGACTCACCACTCTCGGGACACTTGAGCGCCCCCCTGTGGCTCATGTCGACAGCGGCACTCATGTTTCAGAGACACACAATCCGAACACGAGGGAACACGCTAACCACATCTGCAGAGAAGAGAACACGCTAACCATATCTGCAGAGAGGAGAACACGCTAACCATATCTGCAGAGAGGAGAACACGCTAACCATATCTGCAGAGAAGAGAACACGCTAACCACATCTGCAGAGAAGAGAACACGTTAACTCCATCTGCAGAGAAGAGAACACGCTAACCACATCTGCAGAGAAGAGAACACGCTAACCACATCTGCAGAGAAGAGAACACGCTAACCACATCTGCAGAGAAGAGAACACGCTAACCACATCTGCAGAGAAGACAACACGCTAACCACATCTGCAGAGAAGAGAACACGCTAACCACATCTGCAGAGAAGACAACACGCTAACCACATCTGCAGAGAAGAGAACACGCTAACCACATCTGCAGAGAAGACAACACGCTAACCACATCTGCAGAGAAGAGAACACGCTAACCACATCTGCAGAGAAGAGAACACGCTAACCACATCTGCAGAGAAGAGAACACGCTAACCACATCTGCAGAGAAGAGAACACGCTAACCACATCTGCAGAGAAGAGAACACGCTAACCACATCTGCAGAGAAGACAACACGCTAACCACATCTGCAGAGAAGAGAACACGCTAACCACATCTGCAGAGAAGAGAACACGCTAACCACATCTGCAGAGAAGAGAACACGCTAACCCCGTCTGCAGAGAAGAGAACACGCTAACAATATCTGCAGAGAAGAGAACACGCTAACCACATCTGCAGAGAGGAGAACACGCTAACCATATCTGCAGAGAAGAGAACACGCTAACCACATCTGCAGAGAGGAGAACACGCTAACCACATCTGCAGAGAGGAGAACATGCTAACCAGATCTGCGGAGAAGAGAACACGCTTACCACATCTGCAGAGAAGAGAACACGCTAGCCACATCTGCAGAGAAGAGAACATGGTAACCATATCTGCATAGAGGAGAACACGCTAACCATATCTGCAGAGAGGATAACACGCTAACCCCATCTGCAGAGAAGAGAACACGCTAACCACATCTGCAGAGAAGAGAACACGCTAACCCCATCTGCAGAGAAGAGAACACGCTAAACACATCTGCAGAGAAGAGAACACGCTAACCCCATCTGCAGAGAAAAGAACACGCTAAACACATCTGCAGAGAAGAAAACACGCTAACCATATCTGCAGAGAAGAGAACACGCTAACCACATCTGCAGAGAAGAGAACACGCTAACCACATCTGCAGAGAAGAGAACACGCTAACCACATCTGCAGAGAACACGCTAACCCCATCTGCAGAGAAGAGAACACGCTAACCATATCTGCAGAGAAGACAACACGCTAACCACATCTGCAGAGAAGAGAACATGCTAAACACATCTGCAAAGAAGAGAACACGCTAACCACATCTGCAGAGAAGAGAACATGCTAACCAGATCTGCAGAGAAGAGAACATGCTAACCAGATCTGCGGCGAAGAGAACACGCTAACCACATCTGCAGAGAAGAAAAAACGCTAACCACATCTGCAGAGAAGAGAACACGCTAACCACATCTGCAGAGAAGAGAACACGCTAACCACATCTGCAGAGAAGAGAACACGCTAACCACATCTGCAGAGAAGAGAACACGCTAACCACATCTGCAGAGAAGAGAACACGCTAACCACATCTGCAGAGAAGAGAACACGCTAACCACATCTGCAGAGAAAGGGCACAAAAGTGTGACAAAAGACCAAAAGATGGATTTTAATAATCAGAATATTATGTTTTTCATGTGTCCAAACACCCAATCTGTCATTAGAAGTTGCTAAAAGATAAAAGTTTTATACATTAGTAAAGTTTCCCATAGCGGCTCTGTTTATTTGTGTAACAAACGTGATGCTTTGACGGAACGCTGAAGTTAGAGGAAATAGATTCTATTTTTTACACAGAGTAGAAACAAAGTCATGACTTTCATATAGTAAACCAAATAAATGTAAAACCCGAACATTTCTTTTTTTCACAAGTTTATTTTTAAGAAAGAAATTGATCCATGACGTCTGTTACACATTTTCAGGGGTCATTTAAATTTGTGTACATGTTGTGTTAGCCATGTTAATCTTGTGGAAGTTCATCTGCCGCTTTTTCAGACTGAGGACATTTCATTTTCTGAGAATGGTCAAATCAGAGGCTGATCTGGTTCTTGAACATTTTGCCAAGAATGTGTTTTTAATCTTTTCTTTTGACTTTATCCACACTATCTCTTTGATATGTCTGTGTTTGAAATCTTTTTACCATCAACGCTTTTGATGGTATCAAAAGCGTTTGATACCATCAAATTTGGGCAGAGTTCACCAAACTTGGCAAAGTGGCCCGGATCGTCGCTACAGGGGTATGAAGGCAGCCTGTGGTCAGAAAGGTTTATTTTTTTCAACCGTGCCATTCCAAATGAGGTGCAGTCATCCCTATTGCTGTCAGACCATACAACAAGACGACCTGTACTAGGACTGCAAAGTTTGCGCCGCCAATGATGTACATAAGATACTTTATATCTTTAATACTTTACTGTGTGCACATTTTCTGACTGTTCACACCCTGATCTTATTGAGGCTAATTGTAACATGTAAAATTCACCGCGCTGTGAGATCAATAAACCTTTATCCTAACTTATCTTATGGCGAGGTGTTGCGCTTGGTTGGCTCGGAAAACTATCCGAGAGGGAAAGAACAACTCAAATCTCAACATAAAACTATCAAATGTGGAACACCACAGGGTTCAATATTAGATCATCTTCTTTTTATTTAGAGATAAATTACTAATCTCATCCAAACTCATCCAAAATCTTACAAAAAATTATTTTACAACATGCTAGCCACATGTGCAGAGAGAGAAGAGAAAGCCAAAATTCTCCCACTGCTGCGGATTACACAAAGAAGACTGTAATAGAGCTTGGAAGTGGGCAGAGCTTCAGTGTTTAGAAGTACAAATCCATGGCTTTCTGAGGCCAAATGGATTTCGGAATAACTCTAACTACGTTAAACCAGTTGTGATAAAGCGATCTTAAAATCAGATGTAGGGGAAATGGCACACTTCAGAGCAATCTCGTTGAGAACAAAAATACAGAGCAAGAAATCCAGCAAGGAGGTAAAAGACTGTTCTATACACACTGCCTTTGTGTTAATATGAACCAGGGGAACACAACTCTAAAGCTGGGGTAAGTAGCAGTTAAAGCTGGGGTACGTAACATTAGAGACCACAACAAATAGAACTGCAATGAAATCAATGACACTAGCTCTAGAGCTCCTGGCTCTAGAACAGTTTTCTTCTATCACTAGTTTTCACATGCATTATTTTATTTTTATTTTCTCTCTTTCACATCTTTCCAGTAAAAAAATAAAGAAATACCTTCACTCAGCCAATCAGCTCACAGCAAAAAGAGTGCCATAGTTAGAGAATCAAAGTTCTTTCTTACACAAAAGATAACATGTTTTCTAACTAGATGGACGGCAGGTTGTAGTCTGACTTATTCACATTTTACTTTTACGAGACACTTGCTGATGGACAAACGAGATGTTATTAATGCGACTAAAGTTACGTACCCCAGCTTTAATAATGACATGTTCATTGATTCATAATATCATGGCAGATGCATAGGCCTTTCTTAACCCCAATCACAACATCATGTAGACAGTAATCATGTTTCCGCGGGATGACAGTGATGTTAAAGCCGTTTCTCTGCGGTTTGTTTGGGTTAGCATTAGCATTAGCATTAGCATTAGCTCCGGATTGAGAGCTCAGAGCGGCTGTGTGAGAGGCTTTACCCCGGGGGACAGAGAATGGGGACATCCAGGGGACCCAGACGGATCCACACACCTCCAAATCTGCACCCGAACCCCGCTGTTCCGAAGCCCAGAGCGCAGACACAAAACTGATCTATTCGGTTTTACCTTCCGCCTTCAACACCGCCGCCATCTTGTCTTCTCTGACGTCATAACTTCTGTTTTTAGTTTTTAGTTCTCCTGCATTATCCATTTAATAATAAGTGAATCCGTGTCCATGTAGTCTCCATTCACTTGATACTTGCATGTCTGTAATGTTTGACTCTGAACGTATTGAGTATGTTTTGTGTACATTATGTATTATATGTATAACATTATGTAATAAATAAATAAAATACACTAGAAAACTTTCTGCTCTGCATAAGGGGAATAGTGGATGTTCCGCTACCCCACACTTCAGACCAGTTTTCATCAGTTGGACTTGGCCACACTCTACTCTCTACTCCAGCCATTCCCAAACTCAGTAACACCGAGGCCCCCTTAAAAATCTGACGGGTCTGCGTGGCCCCCCAAAATAATAACCAAGAAGACAACATTAAGAATAGGCTCTTCTGGTTATTTTATTTTGGGGAAATAGCCTCTGCTACAAACATTGTAATACAAAAATGATTACAGTGGATTATTCAAGTCAAATAATGAACACAAATATTTTAATATTACAAACAAAACATTATAAATTTAACATTAAATAATTATATTATTATTATTTTTTTTTTATGACCTCCCGCGGCCCCCCTGCAGTACCCTCGCGGCCCACCAGGGGGCCGCGGACCCCACTTTGGGAGACACTGCTCTACTCTATTAGGGCCAGGGAGAGTAGAGCCAAGCAGAGGAGAATAGAGCCAAGTAGAGCCCCGTTTCCACCAGGTCCACTTGGCACCCCCCCTCTACGCCAAGTAGAGTAGAGCAGAGCAGAGCAGAGCCAAGAAGGGCTGGTGGAAACTGGGCTTTTGTCTTTCGATGTCTTATTTATAATTGTATAGTAGTATATTCTGTATTGTATAAAAAAATATGTATTTTGTAATTTAAATAATACACTATGACACAGTTCCTATATGGGATGCTTTGATTATACAGCACCGTTTTCTACATGATGAAAATTATTTTTAATTAGGGTTACGAAATCCTGATTTCAAGCCATTTACGATGACTAGACTGGACATGTTTGCGTAGGTTTCCTCCAGGTGCTCCGGTTTCCCCTAAAACTAAAAACATGTACCATAGATCTGAATATACAAAAAGACTGTTCTTTGAAACCCTGTATCACAGTCACTGAAACGTCCTTCAAACAGAACAACTACGCCAACCTTATCTACAGCACTCGGCTCCTTCATTTGAGTAAATCTGCTGAAGACACACAGCAGTAAACACAGATGAGCAGTAAAAACACAGGATGCGGTTTCATCATTTTCTTTATAAAAATGAAATGATAATAAACTGTTGATACAAAAACAGTAGAAAAGTGCTAAATATAAAGTCCTTTACGTAGCCGCTGCTTCAGACACAGGGAACTAAACCAGGCTTTATTTCTCTGTAGAATAAAACATGAAATGACAAAAACATTAACGTTTATATTTAATTTAAAAAGTCCTGTCCATGAGCACAAGGGGGCAGCACTGTACCAGAGCGTCGTGCACAAACTGGACCCATATGAGACAGAATATGACATCTGTACATTAGTGTTTCATGTGTGATTATTCTTTAATAATAGCAGTCTTTTGAGGATTAAAAAGTGACGTCACGTTCATCAGGCCTCGCAAATGCTGCTAGTGGCATATTTTTATTATAATATTGTAATATTTTTTACCCTAACTCTCCAGGTTATCAGGACAATGGCCCAAAGCACAAGTACTGCAGAAGCTCCGAGTTTCAGGATTTGTCCCTCACATTACAGCCCGTTTGTCTCGCTGTTCTCTCTTTGGTGATTCAATTCTTTGGTTAAATTCATTATTTCCGTTTTTAAAAGTTCTGTGTATATAGATTTTAACAGTTCCATGTTTGTAGTGTTTTTACCGTTCCATGTTTGTAGTGTTAACAGTTCCATTTTTGTAGTTTACAGTTCCATGATTGTAGTTTTTAACAGCTACATGTTTGTAGTTTTTAACAGCTCCATGTTTGTAGTTTTTAACAGCTCCATGTTTGTAGTTTTTAACAGCTCCATGTTTGTAGTTTTTAACAGCTCCATGTTTGTAGTTTTTAACAGCTCCATGTTTGTAGTTTTTAACAGCTCCATGTTTGTAGTTTTTAACAGCTCCATGTTTGTAGTTTTTAACAGCTCCATGTTTGTAGTTTTTAACAGCTCCATGTTTGTAGTTTTTAACAGCTCCATGTTTGTAGTTTTTAACAGCTCCATGTTTGTAGTTTTTAACAGCTCCATGTTTTGTAGTTTTTAACAGCTCCATGTTTGTAGTTTTTAACAGCTCCATGTTTGTAGTTTTAACAGCTCCATGTTTGTAGTTTTAACAGCTCCATGTTTGTAGTTTTTAACAGCTCCATGTTTGTAGTTTTTACCAGCTACATGTTTGTAGTTTTTAACAGCTCCATGTTTGTAGTTTTTAACAGCTCCATGTTTGTAGTTTTTAACAGCTCCATGTTTGTAGTTTTTAACAGCTCCATGTTTGTAGTTTTTAACAGCTACATGTTTGTAGTTTTTAACAGCTACATGTTTGTAGTTTTTAACAGCTACATGTTTGTAGTTTTTAACAGCTACATGTTTGTAGTTTTTAACAGCTACATGTTTGTAGTTTTTAACAGTTCCATGTTTGTAGTTTTTAACAGCTCCATGTTTGTCATTTGTAACAGCTCCATGTTTGTAGTTTTTAACAGCTCCATGTGTGTAGTTTTTAACTGCTCATGTTTGTAGTTTTTAACAGCTACTTGTTTGTAGTTTTTAACAGCTCCATGTTTGTAGTTTTACAGTTCCATGGTTGTAGTTTTTACAGTTCCATGGTTGTAGTTTTTACAGCTCCATGTGTGTAGTTTTTTAGAGTTCCATGTTTGGAAAAGCTGTGATAATCAGATACTAAAATCACATAAGGATGAGGGATTTAAAGACAGCTGCGCCACATAAATATTCAGTTAAACGCAGCGCAGCCCCCGTTTTCAGACATGACTTTATCATTTAGAGCTCATGGCATCTATTAGGGCAGTATAACGCATGAGGGAGTGTGTACGCCACTTTTAAGGCATGCTCCTTGACAGAAGAGCTGACCGAGTTTGATGTGAGAAACTTTTTGACTCGAGTTTCAAAGGTTTTTGTGCAGGTTTCTTCAGAGATTACAACACGTCTATATTCTCAACGATACTCTTACTAGTAAATAAATAAAACCTAAATGTCATGATTGTTGTCCATCATTTGTTCATGATATAGAATATGATGTCTTTTCTTAAAGCTGCTCTGTGCATCTTTTCTACTTGCTTGTTGCCATGGCGAGGTCATTTCCTGCTTGAATGCGCCTCAGTCCGACGTAGACACTTTTTTTTTACTGCTTACAAGGCACTGAGCTGCTCTCCTCTTCACAGATGTGACCTGTATCAGTAATTTAACGCCATACTGTGCAACAACCCCAATATTATTTAGATTCACAGAACAGCTCTGTCCATGACGTCCCAGTCGGAGGGTTCGTCACAAGTTTGAAAACAGAGCAATCAGACAGAAGAGACAGGGGGATGGAGCTAAACACAGCTGCAACTACTAGATGAGGAGCAACGCCCTGTCCTGCTGTGTACCTGCTCCAGAGACTGATAGTTTGACAGTCGGAGCCTCCATTTAAGACCTATCCTTATGTACAAAATGTCCTTTGGAAATTTTTGAATCAGAGTAAAGTGTGTAACATAGGGTGTATACTAGGAGTGGACCGACCGAGTGTGACATCACCATAGTCAAATATGGAAATAGCACATTTGAACATAAGCTAGCTAGAGTCATTTGCCATTAGAAGCATTTCTTCCAACATTGGCTTCGTGCTGTAACCGTGTTCCTAACATGGTTGCTAAGGCAAACTGGATATTCCCCGAGAGATAGCTCTTACCTGGATTTACAAAGAAAAACACCTGGATCACGGAGTTTTTTTTTTTTAAACGGTGAGGAACTGAGCAAGAGGAATTTACTTTTCAATCTAAATCAATTAGATTATACACCATGACTACTTCCTTTTTGGGCTTAGTATGTATAAAGATGGACAGGTTAGCATTGACCATTTGTATACATTGTGGATATTCATGTATTGTTTGATTTCACCTTCAAATACTACATAGGCTGTGCAGCATTTGGTCATTTACAAACCCTGAAGAGAAATCAACTGGAGACGTCTTCTTTCATCAGTAACATCTTCTGGAAAAGTCTAAATATTCCCACAGGCGTTTTCAAAAAGGAGAAAGTAAAAAAAAAAAAAAAAAAAGACAAAATGGCAGTCATCGAGGCAAGAGCGAAGATTTTGGACCTGCACATAATAAGGACCAACCAGGAAGTTAGCTCCACTTCGAGTTGTGATTGGGAGGGTTGGTTCCACGGAACAATAAGAGACGAGGAGGAATTCCTGAGCTGCGATTGGTCGTAGACCTGAGTGTTTTCCAAAGCAGTCTCCGATTGGTCAAAAAGCGGCCGCAGTTTCCTGATTGGTTAAAAATGAAAGGCAGTGTTTGTGAAGTCTGGGAAGGGCGGGGGTCGGGCTCTCGTGGTCCTGGAGCTCTCCGATTGGTCAGTAGAGCAGTGTGGGAGCGTGTGATTGGTCGGAGGAGCGCAGCGTCTGGATGGAGGAGAGGATCTTCTTCTGGTGTCCAGCGAGAGTCACTCCGGCCCGAAGGAGATCTCTGCAAAGACACATACGGCAAGTGAGACTCAAGCACAACCAGAATCATTGAGCTGCTCTGGAGAGATCTCACATGTGCACTTCATACAAGGTGGTCCAGGAATTTACAGGGACTGGAAGCTTTTTGTAAAGAAGAGTAGTCAGCTTTATCATCAGAGAGGGTAAAGAACCTTATTGACAACTACCACAAAATACTCCAAGCTTTCAGATCTTAAAGGTAATGTCATCTCATCAACTTTCAGGTAAAACGTTTGTTGTGAGTATTAATAGTTTCTATACAGTAAGTGTATATAACTCACTCAGTTGTGAGGACGGACACCTCCTCCAGTGTACACAGGCCGTTCTGAAAGAAGCTCTGTTCGTACCGCTCCATCTTTATGGCCCTGAGCCAATCAGAGACTGAGGAGCAGGAGGAGAGGCGTGCAATTGGCCGCTGGTCCAAGAGCGGCTGCGACGAGCTGGAAACAGGAGGAAGAGTATTCACATTGAAACAAGTTTGAGTGTTAAAGATAGAAGGGTCTGGGTCTGAACCGGGTCAAAACCAGGTCTGAACTAGATTTGAACCAGGTCTGAACCAGGTCTAAACCAGGTCTGACCTAGGACTGAAGCAGGTTTAGACCAGGTTTAACCCAAGTCTAGGACCAGGACCTGGACCTCTGACCTCCAAAGCATCTGTGCATTTCTCTGTCAAACATCAGACCTGGTTCAGATTCACATTAGACCAACTTGGACCTGGCTCTTACTGGGCGGAGTCTGTGTTCTTCAAGGAGGCGGGGTTTCGGATCAGCCTATCCAGCCCAGACACCACGTCACAGAAACGTGGCCGATTGGCTCGTTCCTTCTGCCAGCAGTCGAGCATCAGCCAATGGAGAGCAGCGGGACAGTCAGTGGGCGGGGGCAAGCGGTAGTCCTGTTCAATGGCATTGATGACCTGAAAGTACGCAGAACCGTAAGTACTGCGAATACTACAAGTACTACAGAATACAACAAATACTAGTAAGTACTACAAGCACTACATTGAATTCCTAGAGGAATTGCGGATCATAACAAAAAGTGGAACTTCAGATTACTTTAGTAAATGAGTACTCATGTCATGGCATGTCAGAGTAATACATTCACATTACTCGAGTAATCGTAGTACTCACGTCCTGGTTGCTCATGTCCCAATATGGGCGTTCCCCGTATGACATAACTTCCCACATGACGATGCCGTAGCTCCAGGCATCACTGGCCGAGGTGAACTTCCTGTGGACGAGCCAATCAGAGGAGAGTATTAGAGAGCAGCCAATGAGAGAGTAGGTCAGTGAGGGGGTGGGGTCAATGAGGGGTAGATTCAGTGAGGGCAAAGTCTATCAATGAGAATCCTATGTAAGGTGTAATGATCAAGGGGCGTGGCCTAAGGGGGCGTGGTCTCACCTGTATGCGATGGCTTCAGGGGCGGTCCAGCGGATCGGGATCTTTCCTCCTAACGAGCTGGTGTACGTGGGGTCTGAAGAGTTCTCTGTGAGGAAACGACTGAGACCAAAGTCCGAGACCTGGAACCAGTGACCAGAACATAATATCAGAATAATTTTTTTTTAATATGAGACCAGAGAGCGAGACCAGAGAGCGAGACCAGAGAGCGAGACCAGAGAGCGAGACCAGAGAGCGAGACCAGAGAGCGAGACCAGAGAGCGAGACCAGAGAGCGAGACCAGAGAGCGAGACCAGAGAGCGAAACCAGAGAGCGAGACCAGAGAGCGAAACCAGAGAGCGAAACCAGAGAGCGAGACCAGAGAGCGAGACCAGAGAGCGAAACCAGAGAGCGAGACCAGAGAGCGAGAGAGACCAGAGAGAGACCAGAGAGAGGACTCGGCCTAGACTCTGCATGCACTGACCTTGCAGACCAGGTTGGCGTTCACCAGGATGTTCCGGGCTGCCAGGTCTCGGTGAACATAACTCATGTCAGACAAATACTTCATCCCAGCTGCGATTCCACGGAGCATCCCCACGAGCTGGATCCCAGTAAACTGACCGTCATTCACCTGTGAATCAGAATCAGAATTATTTTTACTGCCAGGAAGTCACAACTAGGAATTTGCTTTGGCTCTCAGTGCAAACAAGTTGAAAGATAGATAGATAGATAGATACTTTATTGATCCCCCGTAGGAGAATAGTGTCATGCGGAGGGTGTCTGGAGTTACCCGCCCTGCATTAGAGCCCTCATCCTTCTCTCCAGCACAGCTCCCACAGAGTCCACACTTCTCCCCATCACAAAGACACATTTCCTGATCAGCCGGTCGAGCTGGTTAAAGGCTGGATGTTGTTAAATACACTGGAGAAGTCGAAGAACATCAGCCTCACATAGCATCCAGGGCCATCCAGGAAGGACACGGATCGATGGAGCATGTAGAGGACTCCTATGTTCTCCTGATAGAACTGCAGGGGGTCAAGAGCCTGCTCCACCTGTGGCATGAGCAGTCGGAGTACTATCCTCTCAAAAGTCTTCATTATGACAGATGTTAGTGCCACTGGTCTGTAGTCCTTGCATCCTGTCGGCCTTGCTACCATAGGGACGGGTACCAGGGGGACAGGTACCAGGCAGGAGGTTTTCCAGCGGGGCACATCCAGTCTGAAGACTCTTGTTAAAGATGGTATGGAGAGACTCAGCTAACTCTGCTGCACATTCCTTTAGGAGCCTTGGTGTTATCCCAAGATGTATACAACTTTTTTTTTTATTTAATCTATATTTAACCAGGAAAGTCCCACTGAGATTAAGAACCTCTTTTTCAAGCGAGTCCTGGACAAGAGTTACATACAATTACAGATTATAAAAACAGTCACATACATATTTCATAAAATTACTGATTATAAAAGCTTGATCTAAAAGCATTCAATGAAATAACGACCATATAAAAGGCATGCATAACAAAAATATGCATTAGAACTCTTAAAAATACTATTACAAGTGCACCAAGTACATGCAATAGACATTTAGCAGTGCAGGATCTGGTCTGGGTCTGGTCTCTGGTCATTGTCTTGATCAGGTCTCTGGTCTCACCCTCAAGAAGCTGTCCAAGGCCCCGTTCTCCATGTACTCTGTGAGGATCATGGCGGGACAGGAGGAGGTGATGACCCCTTCCAGGTGGATGATGTTGGGATGTTGGAACTGGCCCATGATTGACGCCTCTGACAGGAAGTCCCGCCTCTGCTTGTCCGTGTAGCCGCCCTTCAGCGTCTTGATGGCAACGTAGTTCTGAGGACGGCCGGGAACGTGGAGGCGACCGCGGCACACTTCACCAAACTCTCCTGAAACCATAACATATGCCAGAAGTGAGATAGACCAGAGAGACAGACAAGAGAGACAGACCAAAGAGTCTACAGAGAGAGACCAGAGACAGACTAGAGAGACAGACAAGAGAGACAGACCAGAGAGTCTACAGAGACAGACCAGAGTCTACAGAGAGACCAGAGACACACCAGAAAGTCTACAGAGAGAGACTACAGAGACCACAGACAGACCAAAGACAGACCAGAGAGACAGACAAGAGATAGACCAGAGAGTCTACAGAGAGAGACCACAGACAGACCAGAGAGTCTACAGAGAGAGACCACAGACAGACCAGAGAGTCTACAGAGAGAGACCAGAGACAGACTAGAGAGACAGACAAGAGAGACAGACCAGAGAGTCTACAGAGACAGACCAGAGTCTACAGAGAGACCAGAGACACACCAGAAAGTCTACAGAGAGAGACTACAGAGACCAGAGAATAGAAGAGAGACTAGCGAGAGAGACCAGTAAACAGTGACTTGTGAACACAGCGTACATGAGAAGAACTGGGCTTGTGCACGTCTCTCGCACACGTTTTAGAATCAGAATCATTTTTATTTCCACGTAAGTAACAGGGGGTCACAGACTTGGAAATTGCTTTGGGTCAGTGCAACAGTCAGAGAGAGAGAATAAAAAATAAAGAATATAAAAACACTTCTAAGGAATACATTTAAAATAAAAATGAAAATAGAGTTACGATTACTATAAACAATATACAGTGCACATGGTGCACACAATGTAAGGTGACAGCAGTACAGTGAGGTAAGTATGATGGGCAGTAAAGTGACTTTATAAAGGGCAGTAAAGTGAGGGTTATGTTTTAGTCGGCGTTCCCAAAAGCCAATTCGTTCTTAAAATTTGGGAAAATCCTCCTATACTGTCAGACTGTCAGTCATCACAGACTGTCAAGGAAAGAACCCTTTACTTTGATCAATGACCGGATCTCTCGGGCACTTGACAATCGAGTGGAGGCGACATGTAAACAAGAACGCGTTGTGAAGCGGCACCCGCTGCACAGAGGCAGCAATCTAAAAAATCTTTACACAACTGTGGTCCTCCATGGTTCTTTTATATAACTGTGATTGTCCATGGTTCTTTTATATAACTGTGGTCCTCCATGGTTCTTTTATATAACTGTGGTCCTCCATGGTTCTTTTATATAACTGTGGTCCTCCATGGTTCTTTTATATAACAGTGGTCCTCCATGGTTCTTTTATATAACTGTGATTGTCCATGGTTCTTTTATATAACTGTGGTCCTCCATGGTTCTTTTATATAACTGTGGTCCTCCATGGTTCTTTTATATAACTGTGATTGTCCATGGTTCTTTTATATAACTGTGGTCCTCCATGGTTCTTTTATATAACTGTGATTGTCCATGGTTCTTTTATATAACTGTGGTCCTCCATGGTTCTTTTATATAACTGTGGTCCTCCATGGTTCTTTTATATAACTGTGGTCCTCCATGGTTCTTTTATATAACAGTGGTCCTCCATGGTTCTTTTATATAACTGTGATTGTCCATGGTTCTTTTATATAACTGTGGTCCTCCATGGTTCTTTTATATAACTGTGGTCCTCCATGGTTCTTTTATATAACTGTGATTGTCCATGGTTCTTTTATATAACTGTGGTCCTCCATGGTTCTTTTATATAACTGTGGTCCTCCATGGTTCTTTTATATAACTGTGGTCCTCCATGGTTCTGTTATATAACTGTGGTCCTCCATGGTTCTTTTATATAACTGTGGTCCTCCATGGTTCTTTTATATAACTGTGGTCCTCCATGGTTCTTTTATATAACTGTGGTCCTCCATGGTTCTTTTACATAACTGTGGTCCTCCATGGTTCTTTTATATAACTGTGGTCCTCCATGGTTCTTTTATATAACTGTGGTCCTCCATGGTTCTTTTATATAACTGTGGTCCTCCATGGTTCTTTTACATAACTGTGGTCCTCCATGGTTCTTTTATATAACTGTGGTCCTCCATGGTTCTTTTATATAACTGTGGTCCTCCATGGTTCTTTTATATAACTGTGGTCCTCCATGGTTCTTTTATATAACTGTGGTCCTCCATGGTTCTTTTATATAACTGTGGTCCTCCATGGTTTCTTCTTCAAACTTGTGAAGGCACGGTGATAGCAACAACATCAGTAGAAACAAAAACGCAATTCTCGCATCCTTTTTGTCCCTTATCCACCACCGTATTTCAGGATGCATTAACCTGGATAGTACTCTGCTCTCATGGACATTTATAAGTTAAATAAAAACACCTATGAATACAATAAAAAAAACATGGTGGAGGTAAATATTCTTAAAAAGGTCACATTTGTTTTAAGTTAACATGTTTTTTCATATGGAGCAGCCGTAAAAATTACACAGGGTGGCTTTAAGGACTGGAGTCATATACTTTTATAACATTTTAGTGATCAATGATTAGTTTAGATGGTCTGCTGCTGTATTATTTTATGCATGAGGATTAGAGCTAACTCCAACAGGCTGCATGGTTGGGGGGGTCTCGTACCTGCTCCAATGACCTCCTCGATCTTCACACAGGAGGCGTCAATCTCTCGAGTGAACTGTCGGACGGCGAGCTCAGGATCCTCGTAAGTGAACGGGTCGATGTACAGAGTCATGTCTGCGAAAGAGGAGCAGTCTGAGTCAATGGCTAATTCTAAAAGCTCATGTGCTGATGCTAAAGGCTCAGTGATGATTAGAAAAGCTCTGCTAATGCTAAAAGCTAAAAGTGAATCGTGCCCAGTGAGGGCGGGTCCCGGCTCAGAAGTGGCCAAAATGACGTGCGCTGACATGCTGCAATACCACCCCGGGCCGATGGGGGTGGACCAGAAGAAGAATTAGCCAATGCTAACATATAGCATTGGCCGACTTTGTGATTTCATAATCACAGTTTTTAGAATGTAATTTATGGACTACATATAAAAAAAACAAATCCTTAGTCAAAAATTAAATTGAATAAATAAGTGAAACTCTTTGGCTGGTTGAGGACCTCTTCAGCCCGATTGCGCCCCATTCGGGGTCCGCCCCCCCTTGCTGCAGCTTGTCCGGACCGTAGCTGACATATACATCAACTGACAATCACATGTTTCACATCCTCGTGTTCGGACAACTCTCAGCTACAACATTATCCACTTCAATTTCAGTTCAACAGACCCAGGTTCAAACAACAAACCACAATCTGACAAATCGTCATAAAGCACATGTCGAAACAAATGTTTGCTTTGGCGTCACAAGCGCCCTCAAAACAATAAGTAGCCATGCTGTCAGCATACCATTAGAAAGCCCTCTCCGAGCTGAACACAATGATATTAGTCTGGTAACGCTAGCTCTAATACTCGCTGACCAAGCCGCAGACGAATGCCAGAAAACAAAGCCGTAAAACATCAGCGTTGAAGTAAAAGTCGACTTACTTTTGCTGTTTTTTCATCACAAGTCATTTCCATAGGAATAAAAGTCCGTTTTTTCTTGTATTCAACCTCATAGCGAGGCTTTCTAGCGACCTGGCAGATACCAGTTACTTCCTCCTTCTGTAAGAGGCCCTTTGTGATAGGCTGCACCCGTGCGTCATGTCACGTACCTCTGTGTATCTCTTCCTGTGATTGGCCACAGGTGCTGTCCATCAATACGTTTTCAATGGTTTTTGATAGCCGAAGGTGTGTTCTTTCCAAAATGGTATAACATGCCCTGATTGGCCAAAGTACCGCGGAGGCGTGTACATGCGTATAGTTGGGGCAGAAGGAGGCTGTGCGCAATGCCTTTACGCACGGCAGGTACTCGGAATTTTGACGAAATTAAAAATGGCAAAACAGCGTTATACACGCGAGGAGGTTGTAGAGCTTCTTGCTAGGGAACCGGGTGCCAAAGTTTATCTCGATGACTCTACAGACATGTTTGTGCCATTTGGCACAATTTTGGCACAGTTGGATTCCGCCTGGACTTTTTTTCCAATTCCATGTACAACTCTGCAGTGGTTTGTTTATTTGGCACAATTTTTGCTGGACTGGTCCAAAATATCGGGAACTGTCAATTTTAGTTCTTATTTGCTACACCACAGACAGGGAAAAAGCTTTTTTGAGGGAAAATATGTGTTTTTTTTTTAGGCGGAAGTTAGAATTGTCTGTTTCAACCTAATTTTATTGGCAACCAATACAATTTATCATCTTTTTTCACTTCCACAGCAATCCCCAAGGTCCACCAGGTAATTTGGTACCAAGTTTGGCCACATATCTGGCTAAATACTATATGAAACCTTAGTAAATGTAGATTATAGCTTTTTCGGGAAAAAAGGCCTCTGGGCTTAAGAGGTTAATGCATTCTTATTACTAATAAAAAATATAAAAAAGACAAATGCTGCAACATACATTATTTATGTATTTTACAGTAAAGACCATTTACTGTAAAAGCAAATAAAAAAATAAAAACATATGTATTCATTAAAAAAACTCACAAATGTTAAAATCAAAGTCTGTAGCAGTTAGACATGGTCATTATTTATATTGTCTGAGAGTTTCGTGCGTGTACATGGCTTCAGTAAAACCTATTGTTCGTTTACAGCTGGTCTGGACATTTGTTGACGGTCCCTAAGCGCTTTTCTCGGCGCTTGCAGTGAACTGGATTCAATGGATTTCTCTGCATTGAAACAGCGCACTGGATTTGAAAATTATAGCCATTTTAGCACAATTACTTTTTTTTTTTTTAACAAAGTAGTTTTTGTGAACTATTGACCTCGGAAGTCCGAATCTAGGAATATGACGCTACATTACCCATGAAACTTCTGCTGTGATGATGCTGCGGGAGCGGCCCACACTGGCGCCTGTCAAAATTAATTTAACCAATTTAACCAATGTATGTGATCAAGCCTACGCCCATTTGACTCTGATTGGCCGATAGGTAGACGCTTAAACTGTGATTACTGTGTGCGCGTGTGACATGCAGTGAGTGAGTGATGGATTTAAGGTGGCTCTGAAAATACGGGACAAAAGCCGTCCCGTATCCATTCAATACGTGACACACATAGTGTTTCTTTAATGCGGGACAATTCCGTATTTAAAGGGACGGTTGGTAACCCTAATGAAAGCCCAACTTTTGGCTCAATAGTTAGAACGCTGCAGATAGGCGTGACTACGTCCGTTAATATAATAGGTCTATGATAGTGCCTCTTTGAGCCTGCTCATGGCTTTAGTGTTTGTGACATACTCTGGTTCATCTGGAAACTGCTCTTGTCCCGCGTCGGCCGCCGTTGTGTCCTCCTCCTACAGAACAGAAAATACAAAATATGAGCGTGTTCAACCTGCAAACATAAGAGCGAGCTAACACACTCTCGCTCAAGCTACAGGTGAAAGTCTAAAACTGAAATCAGTCCTGTTAGACTGAATGTACAGGTTATGTCTCGTTTCAGGGAGAGTAAATTCTCTTTTTCGTTAGAGCTCTTACCTGTAGCACAGCGCCGCCACCATAGCCCCGCCCACAAGCAGAAGGATTGCCATAGTAACCAGCACTGCAATCAGCACCAGGTGAGACTGACCTGTCAATCAAATATATCATGTGACACGAAGCTCCTTCCCCAATCAGATTGCTTTTATGAAGCATGCTAGCTTCACGCCATTAGTGTGCCGTTAGCATGTCTTTAGCGTGCGATTAGCCTCTTGCTAGCATGTAAAGAGTATTACCTTCAGGCAGAGTGCTGACACTGGTCTCAGCGCAGAATGGTCCAAACCCGGTCACGGCTCGAGCCCGGACTTGGACCAGGTACTGAGTGGACCTCCTGAGACCCAGCAGCACCACAGAGTGCCCCCTGGAGGACACGTACTGCCACTGCATGGAGCCCTCGCCCTGCTGAGAGAAGAACGTTCATCTGAGCCAATGTGTCTTCACTTGAGCCAAAATGTCCTGTTTGTCTGATACAAAAAATGCTGATCCAAAATGTCTGAGCTTGCCTCTCCACAGAGCCGGTCTTACCTTAGGGCAGTAGCGCAGCTGATAATCCAGGACTCGTGAGGCGGTCTTGGTCTGGTCTGGGTTCTGAATCAGACTAGGGGGGGCCCACTCCAGAGTCAGTGAGGTCTCAGAGGCAGAAGTCCTTCTAAGTCCAGACACAAGACCTGGGACTGAAACAAGACCAGGGTTAGAACAGAGTCCAGAGACCAGAACTGGGACTGAGACAAGATCAGGTTTAAGTCAGAGACCAGGAGAGGGCAGGCGCTTACCATTGGTGTTGGTGGTGACGTTCACTCGCACGGCGGAGGGCTGTGATTGGCTGAGAGCGGACACGCCATTCAATGATTGGACGGTGAAGACGTAGAGCGCTCGTGGGCGGAGTCCCATCACCATGACGCGTGTCTGAGTGACGGTTGTCGACGGACCAATCAGAACGCTGCCCTCACACGGCGAGCACACGTCATCATGGCAACGCTCACAGAGCACACGGTACCACACGTCAGAGCGCCCCCCGAAGTCCAGAGGAGGACCCCACTCCAGAGAGAGGGAGAGGGACGAGTTCAGCTGTGCCACAGGCGAGCGAGGGGCCGAGGGAGGCTCTGGAGAGAGGGTTAACACGTTAGCATGCAGCACGTTAGCATGCCGCACAGTGATAATGTTTGTATGTAGCAAGGGCTATGGTCAGCACCCATATAATTTTAGTATGGAAGCAAGAAGCACAAGGCATGTTAGCATGTAGCACAAGTATCATGTTAGTAGGTTAGCATGTAGCACAGGGATAATGTTAGAATGTTAGCATGTAGCACAGCTAAAACAGATTTAATCTAATAGTTGTAGTAGTAATAATAGTACTCACTCGAACAGGCAGCGCTAGGCGAGTCTGAGTCGGCGCGTAAGTATCCATGGCGACAAAGGCAGTAGGCGGAGCCCGGCACCTGGGTCCCACTGAAGTCTGGACAGGAAGTACACGTCCCCAAACCAGAGGAAGGTTTAAAGTGACCTGCGGGACACGCTGTGGAGAGGAGGAGAACTGCAGCGTCAGGACACAGCGGCCAATCATACTTTTACAATAAATTTAAGTTTGCGCCAAAACTGAAAAAGATAAGATAAGAGAACCTTTCTTCCTCCCACGGTGGGGACACACATACAGACATACAGGACATTAGTAAGAGCACACAGGGAGCACACAAAATATACATGTAGCTGCTATGTTTCTTAGCTAGCTGTAAAAAAGTCCAGAAAACTTGACGAACGATGAAAATGTGACGTTCCTGATCCAGTGATCTGTATTAAGGAAACATCAAATGAACCGGGATAAAGACGCTAAGAGCAAGGGCGTAGGTTTGCGTGGGGACCATGGGGACATGTTCCCACCAATATTTGGTGAGGACTAAAAAGTCCCCACCAAAATGACATGATGTCCCGTGACCCGGACGGTCCGGGACACATGTCTTCCGTTTGTGCACACGTCGCGCCTCCTCCTCGCCTCCAGAGCAACAGCAGCAGCAGCAGCACGTGACCCGTTCCGTTCTCTGCAGTGATTGGCTGTCTTCTTCAGCGCCAAACTGAAGCACTGAGCGACTGTTTAATTTTTAAAAGTTAGCCAGCGTGAAGCAAGTGTTTTATTTCGTTCCCTGAGCGTTGTAGCACGTGAGTAATCAGAGGAAAGTACTGTAGATCTATTACCATTCAAAGTACTTACGTTATTTCTAATCTGTCAGCGCACTGTTTAATGTTCCGAGGAGCTCACACGGCACAGAGACAGAACAGAACTGGCTCCAATAAAGAAACAGGTTGGTTGAAAGGCTGAAAAAATACTTATTGTGCTCTTACTATCCAAAATGTATAAGTGGGTGTGTTGTGTGAATCAGGATAAACTAGGGATGAAAATATTCCACGGATCCACGATTTACAACCTTTATCTGCTGATAATGTAATTTGTGTGAAATGTGTGACAGCGGGCACTTGCTGTTATTTGCTCTAAGCACATTCAAGCGATGCACTTGAATGTGCACGTCCTGGTGCAGCTGCTGCCGCTTTGTAATGACAGCCGCGGCGCTCAGTGAAAGCACAGCTCTAACATGGTACCGAGCTCGGACCATATGCAGACAGAACCATGTTGCAAGTGCGGGTCTCCCTCGTATCTCCCCCGTTTCTCCCCTGTGTCTCTGACATGTCTCTCCCCTGACTCTTCCCAAAGCGCAACCAGCGCTCCCGAAATTAAAGCTCGGATACCTAAATTTTCCATTGCGTTAACGATGCATGCTGGTTGTGCGCAAAACACACCACAACAGGTCATTTAAGTTTTTATTTTGCATACTTGAGAGCCCTGTGAGTCATTACTTGCCTTTTTGGGTTGAGAGTGGAAAAAATATATATATATATATAGAAAAATCCACACTGTTACTTATTGCCAAACTCTTGTTAACTCATTGTATTGAGAAATACTATGTAACTTTTGACATTGGCCAAGTTATATAAATGATTCTGCAGTTCATGTATATGAATGTCTGTTTTTGATTTTCTATACCTTCTTATATAATTTAGAAAAAATGCCACCTCCACAAAAAAAGATAAAAGATATCAGGAGCTTTTTTAACAGTTGGAAAGTAAGTAAGAGAAAGCACAAGTAATAGCAAATTATGAATTGTGATGATTAATCTTCTGTTAACATACATAGGAAACTCAACCACCAAGAGAGAACAATATAGGGAATGTTGAGGTAGAAGCAACAGGCCCTTCAGTGCATCAGGCGAGGTTGGAATTTTGTAGGTATGCATGGGACTATGAATTGTTTTTAGAGATTGATCGTATATGTCAAACAATGTAGTGAGCTACTCACTGTAGATTCTAATTCAATATTTTCTCCTCTGTTTTTATTTATTATAGGAAATTGAAAGATCAGAGCATGATTTATTTCAAGTATCGAGAGCAGTTCCTAGAGCCTCAGGTGAGGGCTATTATGTAGATTTGGATTAGGTTTAAGTCAGTATAGAATCATACTAAAGTTAAAGAACATCCTTTGGTTGGAAATTACCTATGCCAATTACAACATATTTTACTACTATAATGATGCAAAAAGTGTTGTCTGAAATATTTTACTAAATATAGGACACTCTGAGAGATATAATGGAAATTCAAGAAGGAGATAAAGACAAGGACAAGACAGGACTCCAGGTGAGGTTAGGATTAAGCAGTTAAAATCTTAGACCCATCAACCAATCCTAGTTTCATGAGATATTTAGCGACTGGTGTACCATGCCTAGGTTTCATTTTATTCAATGTAGAATGTGTGTTTTTATTAATACCATAAAGGAAAGTCAGACAAACAGGGAATGTGCAGTGCTGGTAGAGGATGAGGAAGTGGCTGGACCTTCAGGGCTTCAGGTGAGGTTGAAAGTATTTATTTGGTTTTGTCGGTGGTAGAAGGCAACACACTATTGCAAATATAGTGTGTGATTACACAACAAATTCTGGGGGAGAAACTCTGGACCCCGTGTCAATGGGTGTAGACTCAGGTCGTAGTGAATGTCCCCACCAAGATTGGAACCAAACCTACACCATTGGCTAAGAGTTATATATTATAGTTATTTAGTAAGATAATTATTACAAGTTACAGATCATCAATTACATTAAAAAATAGATAGAAAAAATAGACTTTTATAGATAAATAAAAAGTCCCAACGAGCCGCAGACATATTCTTTTTTTAGACTCTTCCTGACGCCATGTTAACATTCCCTGGACCGCCGAACCTTGACCCCTAACCTCGCAAAGAATAACAGGAAGTGCACCGGGTGGCGACAGGAAATAGAGAGCGCACGCCGCGAGTCATCACAGGAAGCTGCGGATGACATCATCACAGAAGCACAGACAGAAGCTCCCACCGAGCGAAACCCTCGGCCTTCAACCCGCCTTGCGACCAAGTCTAAGCGTGAACACTGCTACTAAATACGGGGGGAAATGTAGACATAATACAAACTAAGTTGACAAAAAGGAACTGCATTATCGTCAACAATAAAAGACATCCCCAGCGTGGTGTTGTTACTAACAGCCTCAGTGACGCTTGACGAGATACCAGCATTTTCTCGTTTCGGTCACAGTGAATCAGGCGTCTCAAACTTTATCTGGGGCCGCATGAGGTCAAGTCTGGACGAAACTGGGCTGCCTTTCATCACTGATGAAATGGTACAAAAGCAACGCACTGCTAACAAAATATATAACTGAAAGATTACCGCTAGTTTCACGTCCGAGCGCAGATAGTCCGAGCGTAGATAGTCCGAAGTCTCTCCAGAGGATACGATGTAAGCTAGCTATGTTCAGGGCTTGATTTCTTCTTTGATAATTTTTTTCGCTTTAGTTCCCTCTTCTCTTCCTCACTGTTGTGTCGTTTGGGCTGTTTTGCTGTGTCTGCAGTTACAGCAAGAGGAGTTATAGCCACTTATGCTAACATGCTACTGTGTTTAGCAGCGCTGTAGAGGCTAGAGGACGCAGCCTCGTTCTGTGATTGGAGGAGAGCGGGCGTCACGCTAAGTCTCTACTCCGCACTTTTATACGGCCTGAATTCATACACAGCTGAATCAATGAGCTCAAGTTTTCAATTAAATTACGGATTATAATACAACTTGTATGTAGTAATACGCATTTTTATAAACTCATTAAAAAAAAAAAAATAAATTGGGTTTAGCATCTTTAAGTGGTTATGTGTTACCACGTGTTTGTGTGTGTGCTGAATATATAAGAAGGTTTCAAATAAGGCCGCACATCCCTATAGTCTGAACAAGCATGCCGGATTAAAGAGGTGCAAAACGTGAAATTAAAGACACTGACTGGGAGCAACATATCTGTGCGGATTTTTCACTATTTTCACGTTGTGCAGAATTTATAAAGGTCGGGGCAAACAGATCTATGCAGACGCAGAGATAGAACCAAACCAGTCACATTGCACACGCTATTTTACTTTGCTCACGCAGTTTAGCTCCTGGATAAATATAATAAACCACTACATTTCACACCGTGCATATTCTCATTCTTTAACATTAACCCTTCGTTGTTTGTGAACTGTGAAAAAAAAGAGCCCTTTAAATGATCTTGTTTTGAAACTGTTTTAGTCGATCCATTTCACAGGGTCAATTGTTTCCTGTTTGGTTTGTTTATTTCTGTACTTTTAACCTTGTTATATTTATGTTCTCGTCTTGTACACACTGGGGACTTTCACAAATGTATTCGTATGTGGTTTTCACTGTAAATGGAAAATAAATTCATCTGAATCTGTATCTGACTCTTTATAATCATGAAGGTATTTTGACCAAATAATTACTTGTTGAATATGAGTGAATTATGCAGTTATAATGCACGGCTCCCAGTTGTTTAATCCGCTTATACCATGGTCCCGTGAATTTAAGTGTGTAACAAATGTTTATTGACTTTACCAAACTGGCCAAATGCGTACAGTTTGTCACCTGATTGACAGTTAATTTGATCCAGGTGATACAGTTACTATGGCAACAACTGTGGCGGAGTAATTGCTGGGTTGCAACCACGTGACCAAAAGGGGGCGTGGCAAGGGGCCGTAGTACAGGAAGTATTTTTCTCCAATTAAATAGAACGGGAGATGCGAGAAAACGCACACACAGAAGCTTTTCGCGGCTTAGTATCACTCTTATTTTTAGTGAAAACTATTTTAATTCAGCGTACGCCTTGTAGAGTTTGAATGAGTCAATTTTTTTCAACAATGAGGAGGATTAAGGCTGTTATAGTGACGACAGTAGAGCTCGTCACTCTTCTATCAACAGAAACACGTCTGAGATAATAGTTCTCGGTTCAATAATACAATAAATATGGCACAAATGTTACTTTAGACAGCATTTGAATCGAGAAATATGACCCTTTATTGTCATTTTGGTGATTTGTTGAGCTGTCAACAACAAAAAGTTCGGACTGGGAGGAGATCCGTAGCGTTAAGCTAACAGCAGTAAGCTAACAGCAGTAAGCTAACAGCAGTAAGCTAACAGCAGTAAGCTAACAGCAGTAAGCTAACAGCAGTAAGCTAACAGCAGTAAGCTAACAGCGGGGGCTGCTACGAACGCAGCCGTCCTGGGGGCACAAAGCTCGAATACAACTTCAGACATTACCCTGGTCCTCACCGTCCATGTCGTGGAAATAACGAACAATGACTAGAATATATGTGAGAAGACTGATTGTAAAGCCTACTTTTAGCTTTGTTACACATGTACATGTTGGTTTGAGACAACTTTTGGCATTAAAAATGTATTTAACAGTTCTCTCTGTTCCCTCGGTTACTACAACCGTATACTACACAAAAATACTGCATTGTATCAATGAAAGTCAGCTAAGTAGAGACCGCGGACTGTTAGCTTTGTCTGCGGCCGCAGATGCTATGTAGGCTAATGCTAATGCTAACGCATTTCTTCGCATTTTCCAAAAACCGACACCCGTAAGTGAAATACATTTTAGCAAAATAGAGACTCCATAAGTTCCCCACTTGATATGAGAAGTTGCCACAACTGCACACGCCACAGAAAAAGAGAATTTTGACTCGGAATCAGTGCATTTTTACATTGTTCTTAACGGGGAGATTTACTTCCTGTCCCTCGGAGCATTTTTGCGCCGCTGCGTGACGTCACGCGCAACCCAGCAATACAGAGCATGATTTTAAACTTACCGGACTACGTGCGAGCATTGGAATTCTCACAGACCATGGTATAAAACATAATCATTTATAAATATTTCTATGAACATAATGAGTCCAGCTGCTGCGACTGAAACAAAAATGGACAAAAAGCTCAGTGTTGGAGGGTGAAATAATGTTTACTTTGAATTATTGCTTATTGCATTCAGGGTTCAATGTTTATGGTAAAAACATGTGGTTATTTTCACAATAAAATTATCTTTAAAATGATGTATACCATGCCATTAAAGTTAAACACTGCATTTTGCATAGTTTTTCCCTAGCATTAATTTAAAGCTCGGCTTCTTAACATTTGATAAGACAAAAGAAAGTCTTATAAGATTAAAATGAACCAGACCACAACATGCCATGCTAACAGCCTCATCTTTGGGCTTTAGGTTACAGGTGTGGGGAGCAGCTGACACGGCTCCAAACAATCATCTACACTTAGCCGATTACCTCTGCAGCGGGCGTCGCCGTCAGCCTCGTATCCAGGGCGACAGGAGCAGGAGGAGGAGGGGAGCCCCGCCCACTGGCCATCCTCCCCGCACAGCATGCTGGGAAGTGTAGTGTGTTCTCCTGGGGGTGTGACCGCATTCTCCACACAGACACCCACAGCCTGCAGGGGGCGCAAGAGAGAGACAAGGCTTAGCCTGCAGGGGGCGCAGGAGAGAGAGACCAGAGAGGGACCAGAAAGAGGCCAGAGGGAGAGACTAGGCTGTTTGGACATTTAATACATTTGATCAAAATGTTTATCTTTCTTTACTTTTAGTCACTTTTTAAAACAATTGTAATTAAATAATTTGTAGTTGATGCAATTTTCTACTTGCTAATACCAAAGACATCAAATTGGATGCGATTCATTGCCGCCTACAAGTATGTACCAGCCAGTACTTGGCTGGTATCTGGATGGAATGACCATCCAGATACCACCAGTTCATGGTATTTTGTCATTCCCAACTCAAAAATACAAATTAGATGTGATTGTGATTCACCGCAGCCCTACAAAAAGGCCTGGGGAGGCCGCGGAAGAAATGATTTCAACCTCTGCTATCACAGAGTTCACACTGAATCTGAGGTCTGAGGTCTGAGGTCTGAGGCTGAGTCTGAGGTCTGAGGCTGAGTCTGAGGTCTGAGGCTGAGGTCTGAGGTCTGAGGCTGAGGTCTGAGGTCTGAGGCTGAGGTCTGAGGTCTGAGGTCTGAGGCTGAGTCTGAGGCTGAGGCTGAGGTCTGAGGCTGAGGTCTGAGGTCTGAGGTCTGAGGTCTGAGGCTGAGGCTGAGGTCTGAGGTCTGAGGCTGAGTCTGAGGTCTGAGGCTGAGGTCTGAGGTCTGAGGTCTGAGGTCTGAGGTCTGAGTCTGAGGTCTGAGGCTGAGGTCTGAGGTCTGAGGTCTGAGGTCTGAGGCTGAGGTCTGAGGCCGTGTCTGAGGTCTGAGGCTGAGGTCTGAGGCTGAGGTCTGAGGCTGAGGTCTGAGGCTGAGGTCTTAGGTCTGAGGTCTGAGGTCTGAGGCTGAGGTCTGAGGTCTGAGGCTGAGGTCTGAGGCTGAGGTCTGAGGCTGAGGTCTGAGGCTGAGGTCTGAGGCATATACGTAGACTAACTATGTTATAAATATGAAGCGGCCGAATATATTCCTAATTCTACTTTAATTCACCATCAATAAAAGACAGTTGAATCAGGATGCATCATGATCAGGTGAATATAGAACTGAAACTAAATAAATATATGGGAAAGCAGCAGGTTTATCAAGAACATGTGAATGGTTTTGGTCTCAGTCTGGTCTCAGTCTGGTCTCAGTCTGGTCTCAGTCTGGTCTCAGTCTGGTCTCAGTCTGGTCTCAGTCTGGTCTCAGTCTGGTCCACTTGTGTTCAGACCTGCTGCACCAGCGAGTGGGGGACGGTCTCAGGGAACGTGGCAAAGGCGACGGTTAGGGGCGGGCACTTCCTGTAGAACACTTTGAGTGACAGCAGGGCCATGCATGTTCCTTGGCTCTGAATGGCCAGATAAAGCCCCGCCTTCTTCACGCCATCCAATCGCAGCAGCCGCGTGTTGGAACGCCGCGCACCATCCCCGCCACGCCGCAACAGGAAGTCTGCCGCTACCGTGGCAACCTTCTGGAAGGACTCCGGTGGGGAGGGGCCAAGGGGGCCGCGAGAGGGCGTGGCCAAGTCCGACTCATACGAGAAGACGGTGAAGGTCTCTTTGCACTGACGCTGATTCAGAGACGAGCACTCCATCATGGTGAACCTGAGGAACGGAGCAGACCAACAGTGTAAGCTTTAAGGCTGGGGTACGTTGATGTCGTTTGTCCAGGTAACATTTTTTGTCATGCTGCGTCTCTTATTTGAAAACACATATTATCTTCAGTCAGTAAAATATGTGACGGCAGTCAGAGCTGCACCCAGTACACAGAGCACCAGCCCCTCACTGATCCTCCTGCAGGTGTGAGTCCACAGGAGCTGATATTGTTCAGTGGGGGCTTCAGGCAAAGTGGGGTTAAGTGTAGTAGTCGTCAGTGTGAGTCGTGAAGTAGGTCTCGAACCCACAACCTTCAGGCTCTAAGGCCAATGTTCTACCAACTGAGCCACAGCTTTAAAGTTATATACCATAGTTTTAAAGTGCCCCAGCAGTTCTCAGTTAAAGCTCAGATTGTAAGTTCAACTGATTTTCTGCTAGTTTAAGATTGTAAGTTCACCTGATCTCCACGTAGAGGGTGGTCCCCGTCTTGCGTGGGACCCAGTTGGTGCGCAGCCAGTGGTAGGTGGCGCTGTTGGGAGTGCAGATCTCGAAGGTGCGCACCGTGTTGTGTTCATCGTCCAGAACGCTGACCTCGTCCCACTGGGGGTCAGAGCCGGGGTACACTGACCACTGCAGGTCAGAGGTCACCAGCTTAGTGTTCAGGAGGACCTCTGGAACACACAACACATCCATATAATAGATACACACACATGGCACACACACACCATTGTACTGCAGACTTGAATGTGACATTGGTCTCAGAGGAATACAACACTTGTCTGGTTTAAATCCTATTTATCTCATCAGTGTGAGTTTGTAAATGTGAACCAAAACGATACCCGTGTGCCACAAGGCTGGGTTCTCGGCCCAATACTCTTTTATGCCTCCATTAAGCACCACAGTGACTTCCACTGTTACGCAGATGACACGTCTACACCTGTTTGTCTATGAAACCAAATCAGACCCTCAAATAATCCCACTCGATGCTGCTAGCGTGGCCACCGTTGACCAAGATTTCTCCTTCAGAGCACACATCAGCCAAGCAACAAACGCTACAATTTCCATCTGTGCAAAACTTAGGAGTATCCTTCTACAAAGTGATGCAGAAAGACTGATCCATGCATCAAGACTTGACTACTGTAAACACTGCCTGCTGGCACAGGGCCCTAAATCTAAAAAAAGCTTCCAGCTCCTATATAATCTAATTTAATATCCTTCTTTTGACATACAAGGCTATAAATACATACAATTTATTTGTGTATAGTCCTTACAATAATCTCGGAGGACATTGTCGTTTCCTCAACAATAGTTCAAACACAGGAAATGCAATCATCACAAACAATACAGATGAGCAATGTCTATTAATGTTAAAAACTGTCCATAAATGTCCTTAAATGTCTTGGATCTTCACTGTTTTAGACTCTACTGCATCGGGACGGAAGGGAGTCGCTCCCACAGAAAGACAGGACTCAGGACATTCTCCAAGACACATTATTATCATCTGGAGCACAAAAGTAGAAGTTTAAACTAAAGGCATTTCTAGTTCAGTAGCGCTGTGATGGAGACCCCTGCTGGAGAAGTATGGTCACAGCACTCTGCGCTCTCACTCATCACTCTGACTTCACTGTCCATCATTCACACAACTGTAAACTCTTTGCTCTGGCCATTTGTAATTATTCTTTTTCATACATTGGGGCCGGGTTAGGGTTATGACTCTCACTGATGAAATCGGAGCTAACTGCCCCGAGTGTCTCACAGTGATGATGTCACCAGAAGAGAGGGATGTCATCATCCTGCTGCAGGCGCCGGCTCCACAAACAAACGGCAAACAACAAGAAAGTGTTCTAATGTGTGGATACTGTGTCACAGCTGAAGCCCCTTTCCAGTGCACACCTAGAGGCCACACATGGTACTGCAGCCTCCGGCCTACAGGCCACACGTGATACTGCAGCCTACAGGCCACACGTGGTACTGCAGCCTACAGGCCACACGTGGTACTGCAGCCTCAGGCCTACAGGCCACACATGGTACTGCAGCCTCCGGCCTACAGGCCACACATGGTACTGCAGCCTCAGGCCTACAGGCCACACATGGTACTGCAACCTCAGGCCTACAGGCCACACATGGTACTGCAGCCTCAGGCCTACAGGCCACACATGGTACTGCAGCCTCAGGCCTACAGGCCACACGTGGAACTGAATGGTAAAAGATGTCTTGATGATGTAAAAGACTGGATTTCTATCAATGTTTTAAACTTTAAACTCTGAGCAGCCTCTCTTGCACTGTCCCAGGTCTAGACTAAAGACCAGAGGAGACCTGTCCCAGGTCTAGACTAAAGACCAGAGGAGACCGAGCCTTTGCTGTGGCATGGCCCAAACTCTGGAACGCTCTCCTTTATTGTGTCAGAGCGGTCCCCTCTGTAGAGAGCTTTAAGTCTAAAGACACATTTATTTGCTCTGGCTAAAATTAAACTTTTATGATAGTGACTTGTATTTTATCTTTGCACTCTATCTAGTGTTGTATTTTGTAAATGTCTGAAAGCACTTTGTGACAGTCATGTCTGATTTTTAGAATGTGCTATATAAATAAACTTGACCTTGGCTGACAGGAACCATCCGGTCATGTACGATTGTCCAGAGAGTTTATTGGACTGATGTCTCTCATGTGCATGTATGAACCAATTGTTTCACAGGAAAATTCTGCAAGAAAATGTGAAAAAACGCAAGGCTGTGAAGCCGTTTTTGAGAAGAAAGAAAGTGTGATTAGAATTAACTGGATAATTATTTTTCCGGGTACAACACCGTCAGCGCATGTGCTCATGGACCTTTTGATCCGGAACCCGCCCCCACTGCTTCAACCTCAGCGAATGTTCATTGACACAGAATGAGGAATGTCATTGCCACGGCAACACAGTGAAAAATAAGTCATGGGTCTCATTGACTTTTTGGACTGAATGCCAAAACAGAATTTTGTGCAGTTCCGCTGCTCGTACATGTTTAACAGGACACAATTCTGCAGCTAACTTGCTCCACGTGTTTAGAAGATGTGGAGCGATTTTTAGTCAAATCAGTGAAGCGACCAACGTGGCGTCGCTTTGGACATAACAAGAGAGAAAAACACCGATTTTAATTTTTCCATTATCAGATCAAATTGATGGACTTCCTGTTTCATAAGAGGCGCGGCATACGGACTTTTTTCATATCTTCAGTTCACAAATAAGTACAGAATTTTGTTTCGCCCGAACATTCCAGGCTGTTCCATGTTCCATGTTCCAGTTTGTCCATGTCCTGTACTCATTGACGTATGGTCTCACCATAGTCCTCTGGTCCTCAGAGTCTGTGCTGAAGTTGCACCATCTGAGGTACTTCTGCACATGTGAGCGTTCCGATCAGTCAGCGCTGACTACAGAGAGCCGCACAGTGCGGCGCTGGTGCACGGTCTGGAAGTGTTAAGAAGGAGACGATGACCCTGTGCAGACTAGGGCTGGGCGATATGGCAAAAAAGTAAAATCTCAATTTTATTTCCTGCTCTGGACGATTTCGATTTTAAATCGATTTTCATTAACGTCACCGAAGACAGACTTCGCCCTTAAAAAATATTGTTTGATCTTTCTGCTCAATATTTAAGTTTCAAAACAATTTTTAATTTATTTCCCCCTAATACGTATTACCAAAGTCTTGTGACTGTGCTGATATTGCAAGTATAATTGACGTGGTGGTGGAACTCTCAGAATATCCTCCATTTCGATTTCACGATTTTCACATTTTGTGATTAATTGCCTAAATTCGATTTATTGCCCAGCCCTAGTTCAGACGCAGATTAGAACGAGTTGAATTTGTTGATGAAATGAATTTCAAACAAAAACGTTCACAGCTCACCATAACCCCCCACTAAAGCTGTAGTTTTCCTGGGTCGCTCTGATGAATTTATTCTGCAGTACTGCATTCGACCACAGTGTGGAGCCCAACAGCAGCAACTCCAGGGAAGGGTTCAGTACATGGATCTATTATAATAACTGGATAGGGCATTACTGCAGACTAAACCAGACTAAATTCACGTGGGCTACCCAGATATTTTCCCCATAGAACTCAATGTAAACAAAAACAGCTCGACCTCAGCTGACAGAAAACCTGACACAGAGAACCTACAGCTTTAATAAAGGTCGGATTTTGTGGGGATTTTAGTGTCCCTTGTCATCCTGAACTTTTTTATATTCTTAAATCCTTTGGTTTTGTTTAAATCCACACTTTAGTGCCACAAACTCTGCCCTTCTGGCTCCCGCTCTAACTCCCGCTCTGATTGGCCAGAGCGCGGCCGAGCCCCTCTGTGCACGTGCATGAGAGGGACACGCGCGTATTTGGCGCAAAGCATCATGGGAGCTCCTCCACTGCGCAGAACTAGCAGGACCAGACAATGGTCAAATATAGGCGAGTTCCTCCAAAATGTCAGTAACCTTTCCGGCACTTACGCCACTGAGCGTCGTCGCCATCTTGGATCGCCGGGGCTTGGTTCAGTATTACAGCTCTACAGCGCCCCCTGTGGCCATTATAAATCTAGTAATGACCGGAAACCTAGACCAAAAAGTTTCTCCGGATCGCTCTGAGATCTGCCCCTTTAAACCCGGGCATATCAGAGAACATGCAGGCTCCGCTCAGACCACAGATATTTTTTATTGCAGATTAAGTCACAATCTTATGAACAAAACGTTTTGGCTCAGATGAACACTCACCCTCGTCCCCATAGCAGCATAGCAGGAGCCGCAGCAGTAGCAGGACCCGCTGCAGCGCCATGACGTCAGTGCATCTGAGGGACGTCATCCCGAGCGCCGTCCTGTGACGTCACACGGGGCCACATCCGCCCCAGAAGAGGACCCCAGGGTGAGAGTGGGGTCTGTGTCTAGTGAGAGGGGGCCCTTGCAATTTACCAAAACGTAAATAGTGAAATTACTGAATTAATTCTTATTGAATAAAAATAAATCTAGTTTTGTATTGTTAAAAGATCGTGTTCTTTCCTTGAATCTGAAACAGGACCCCCATGTTCTGAGACCGCAGCAGTGGACTAGAACCAGGTCTAAACCATGTGTAGAAACAGGACTGAACCAGGTCTGAACAAGGACTAGAACCAGGACTCAACCAGGTCCGGACCAGGACTGTTTCAGGACTGAACCAGGTCCGGACCAGGAAGTAAACTCAATGTTGTCACGAAACTCGATTTCAATACGAGATTAAACAGCGAATATAATTTATAAACTGTTTTTGTCACTTTAAACTGAACTTTTCACTTAATTATTTATGATCCCAGATGGTTATGCACACGCTTTACTGTGAGGTTTCAAATGTAAAACTATCAGCTTTTGTCAATGTCCACCCCATTGGATTATAGAATCTGCACTTTCTCAAATGTGGTTGTGGGATATATCTCTGCTGGTTCTTCTGACGTCACTGCTGTGTTCTCTCCAACACAAAGCTGCTGCGGTGATGTTCCCTGTTCATGATCGAATCTCAAAGTCTGCGCTTTAGAAAAGAAAATATTCCCAAAACATGCACACGCGCGCGCACGCACAAAATGGAGGCCAAAAAGTCCCGAAGTCAAAACGAAGAGTCCCGAGTGTCCTGAGCAGCGCTGATGTGAGTCCAGAGCATTAGTAAGGCTTTAAAGTGCGGATGGCCTGTGTGAGGGTCCACCGCGGGGCCCCACACTCAGTCCAGGGGCCACACGCTCCACGACCTCGCTGCAGACGCGCTGCTCTGGGCTGAAGCTGTACTCCACTCCCGAGATCCAAATTTGATCCAGAGGGGTGCAGGGTCCCGGGACGGCCTGCGCGTTCGTGTGCGGTCCTGCTACGTCCCCGTGATCCCGGTAATCCCTGGTTATTCCCGGTATTCCTGGTTAAAAAAAACTCTGGGTATTCCTGTTTTTCGCGTGCGTTTCGCTTCAGATCCACAGCGGCACAAGTTTAGGACAAAAGCAGAAAGTTGGCCCCGAAACCCCGCCCCCCCTGGCTGAGCTGGGCTGGGATTGGCTCATGAAGCTGTCAGTAAGAGGCGTGCGGCTCCAGAGGAATGTGCCCCCCCCTCTCCTCCTCTCCCCTTCGTCTGGAGCTCATTATAGAGAAGGATCAATACAGCAGGAGCACTCGGGCTGGGACTAGAACACATATGTATGAAGTTCACACGTGAGGAGGAGGTGTGTGGAGCCCCTTTAGGCCTTTTGCATTTTGGGGTCTCAGGCCTTGCACATCTAGAGACTGAAAGTGTTGGCTGTTCCTCTACACTCTCTGTCACACTGAGGCTGATGAGCTTGATGCTGCCCCCGACCCTTCTTCCACTCGTTCATAAAACCAAATCAATGTTGTCTGTTATAACTTTGTTGTGGTTTTTCAGAAATAACTTTTCTCAGATTTAAGTCCTGGTTCAGACAAGGTCCAGACAAGGTCCAGACAAGGTCCAGACCTAATCCAGACCTGGTCCAGACCTAATCCAGACCTGGTCCAGACCTGGTTCAGTCCTGATGCATATTCAGATTCTGGTCCAGTCCTTTCCAGACCTGGTTCAGACCTGGTCCAGTCCAGTACGGACCTGGTTCAGACATGGTTTAGACCTGGTCTCAGCCTCAGTCCTAATGTGGGACACTGTGTTTCTTCTTTTGTTTCCAGTGTGAAAAGAAACTTGAGCTCAAAGCTTAAGTTTCACACCTGAGTGAGATCACAGCCTGAACCAGGTCTAAACTAGGTCTACAGCAGGTCTGGACCCAGTCTAAACCAGGTCTACACCAGGTATGGACCTGGTCTACACCAGGTCTACACCAGGTCTACACCAGGTCTGGACCAGGTCTAAACCAGGTCAAATTCAGTTCTGAACCAGGTCTAAGGTCTGATCTTGGACCAAGTGGGACGGCAGTGGCTGAACAATTTTGAACTGTCATTGTGTCCTTAGGCAAGACACTTCCTCCACATTTCCCAGAATGAGTCTGGTGTCGCCAGAGACATGTTTCCTCTCTTTTGCCAGTCTTACTCAGGGCAGCTGTGGCTACAGTAGTAGTTTATCGTTACTGTGTACAGAGTGAAAATGCTGTATTTTTCACACCCTTAGGCGCGGACAAAAGTCTTTCATTTTAACAGTGCGCCCTATAATCCGGTGCGCCTAATGGTGGTATATGAGGTGTCATGAACCCTCCCAACGGGAACTGCATCAGTCCAGCACCACGCGGCCTTGGTCCTCGTTGTACAGCCTGAGTGCGTATGGGCCCTCCCGCAATGTGGGCCTCCCCGAGGAGTTTTACTTTTTCACAATGTTGTTTTTTATATTCGAGTTGTTCCTTGCCGATACAGAGGGTGATGATCCAGAACATTTATGGAATTTGTGGATATTTGTACACAACTTTGTAAAGTCCTCCGAGAAAACTACGGTTGAGATTTTGGACAATGCAAAATAAATTGAATTGAATGGAGCGAACAGCACTGTACAGTTTGCATTATTATTCACATTTGAAATATTTGCTGATGAAGGGCCCTCGAGCTGTGACCATGAGATTTTGGTGACCTCAGGGACATGTGAGATACACGACACATTATGTATCCTGAAAATACTTTTTTTTTTTGCCTTTAGCCTGTTTGTACACTTCTTTCTTTTGAACAAATCTTGAGTGATTCTATCCATGCCATATGTGACATGTGCATTTCTCCTGTGTGAGATCAATAAAGTTTATCTAATCTTATCTTATCTTATGTATGTACCTTAGACAGAACATGTGAGACACACGTGTGGTCGTAACATGAGAAAATGCTTCTTAAGTTGAATTTAGTTTATGATTAGGACTTATAAAGCCACCGTTTCATTCAGTACTCAGACATGTCTGTGTGATGGCGCCCTCTGCAGGACACTAGTGGTTTCACAACTCATGCACCTACTGCAGTTCTTCTTCCCGACCGCAGCATGGCGTCCTCTGTTCATCTTGAGAGGAAAACACATGGATGGGATTTTCAAAATAAAGTGCAGCGACTGTGCTCCTCAGAGTACCAGCAGGATACCAGTCCCTGCGTGTAGAAATACCAATAAAACATACACTGAACCCAGAGCAAAGCATAACTTTGACCAGGATCTATGAAACAAGAAAAACTGTACAAAGCCTTGAAGCAGCAGAAATTCCTCAAATATTTTTTTGTACTCGACTTACTCGAAGAATCGTTTCAGCTCTACTCCCTTTAAGTTTGGCTTTCGTAAATCACTTTGACTCTGGTCAGTGAAATAAAGATTACTTTCTTAATATACCAGATCAAACATGGACAGAGGAGGTGTCGTAGGTTCAGGGTTTAGTGCAATAACATACTTTAGATTTTCTAATCCTTTGCAAGTCCTTTGTAAATGGTAATTTGGTGGCTAAAATCATACCTTGAAAAGTGACAGAAATTTAGCAGCAGAAACACATCCACCCATACAAACAAATACATCATTCTAAAAGTTATATATATACCACTTTTATTGTGTCGGCGCGGCGGAAGTGCTCAGACCGTGCGCAGGCCGCGTCAAAACAATGAAGGACTGACGCGCTGCACGAAGCAAACACAACAGCGCAATAACGTGCATTCTAACGTGCATTTACAGCCGGATTTCACCGCATTTCACTGGGATTTATCTGCACTTCTACGCCGTCATCTGTGGAGGTTCTGTCGAGGACAGCGGCTCTCCTGTGTCTGCTACGGGCCTCTCTCCTCCGTGAACAGGGACCACAGCCCGGGACCCTCCTCCTGCTGCTGCAGCTGGGACCACAGCTCTGGACCACAGTCTGGGACCACAGCTCTGGACCACAGTCTGGGACCACAGCTCTGGGACCACAGTCTGGGACCACAGTCTGGGACCACAGTCTGGGACCACAGCCTGGGACCACAGCCTGGGACCACAGCCTGGGACCACAGTCTGGGACCACAGTCTGGAACCACAGTCTGGGACCACAGTCTGGGACCACAGCTCTGGGATCCTACTTCTTCAGTGCCTCTTGTTTCTCCTCTTTCATGACCTCACGTTTCTTGTTAAAGCTGCTGTCCGTGATTTTCTAACCTCAATAGAACCACGTGTCTGCCTTTTATAAACGTTAGAGCGGCATCAGCATCAGAAGTATTCACGTGCAGGACTTGTCCTCCGTCACAGCGTCAGAGCAGCCAATCAGCGCTCAGCCCAAAGCGTCATAACATGACGCTAGCGGCCCGTTACTACAAGTGTCATACCACATTTCAAACTCAACTTTGATACTATTGCAGATTCTCAATACCACATCGATTATTTATAAAAAGATATTCCTGGGCAATAAAATGTTTTTAGTAGTTCAAAATAATTATTCTTGTTGCCACAAGTTTTCTAATTTAATTTTTTTTAAAGAAATGCTGAAGAATGATCAAATATGGTCCCGTTTAAGTCATTTCATACAATAACGATTAATATAATATCTACTTTTGAAAACTTTGATCACAGCTGTTTTAAGTTGTAACAAAATCTATTATGAGACAAAAAGTTGCATATCTGAGCTTTAAGATAAAACTTCACTGAGAATAATGACGTGCGCTTCAGAGCATGTTAGCATTAGCGTTGGGATATTTTCGGGTTTAAATACATTTTGGGAAAATAACAAAATTTGGAAAAGTTCATGATCTATGTCTTTTTTTAGAGTAACTAGAAAAAAAGATGTAAACTCTTGCCGTGTTTGCAAACGACACACTACACAGTAATTCAACACCAGTTTGTTTTGAGTTGAGACTGAAACTGCGCAGATGAAGCGCGAGGATTGGATCCACTGGAACAACGTGAACTTTGATCATTTTTGTGTTTTTCGATTGTGAGGCGTTTGTGGACGTGGCTTGATACAAACAGATGCAGGATTCACGTGCACGTCCTGGCGCTCTGCTCTGTGGCGGCGAGCTGAACGTTCACAGATTATGTTTAGTTTGAACATCTCTGCAGATCACTGGCTTCACGTGTCGCCTCTGGATGGTGTTTGTGGCTGCGCTCTGAGCTCCTGTGATGTCACACACTTGTCACTGTGATGTCACACACTTGTCTCTGTGATGTCACACACTTGTCTCTGTGATGTCACACACTTGTCTCTGTGATGTCACACAGCTCTGAACTCTCCTGAACCTCACGCACTTGTCTCTGGAGTCTGTGATGGCGCGTCGCTCTGTGGCCGCACTCTGCCGCTCGCTCGCGCTCTCCACGTGGCTGCTCTCCTTTTGTTTTGTGCACTTCCTGTGTCTGGACTTCACGGTGGCGGAGCGCGAGGAGTGGTACACGGCGTTTGTGAACATCACGTATAGCGATCCAGCGAGCGCAGAACTGCGCACGGAGAAGACCGAGTGCGGCCGATACGGCGAACACTCGCCCAAACGCGATGCCCGTGGAACGCTGCTGCTGCCCGGGGGAGTGGGCGGAGCCACTGCCTGCGACCCGCGCCTGGCTCCGCCCCCTGTTGGACCCTGGGTTGCCCTGGTTGCACGGGGAAATTGTACATACAAAGACAAGATCCGACACGCAGCGGCCATGAACGCCTCTGCGGTGCTAATCTACAACGTGGGCGCGGCGAACGCCAACGACACCATCACCATGCCACACCCAGGTGAGAGACGCTTGTGTTACGTGTAACAGATGTTTCCAGTGCGTTGACAAGCGGCGGATGATGTGGTCTAACGTGTGCGCTCCTTCTCAGGCACGGGCGATGTAGTTGCCGTCATGATCCCGGAGCCCAAAGGTCGGGAGCTCGCCGCACTGCTGCAGAAGAACGTATCGGTTGCCGTGGTGATCTCCATCGGCACCAGGAACCTGCAGAAGTACGTGAGCCGCACGTCGGTTGTGTTTGTGAGCATCAGCTTCATTGTCCTGATGATCATATCGCTTGCCTGGCTCGTCTTCTACTACATCCAGAGGTTCCGATACGCCAACGCGCGCGACCGTAACCAGGTAAGCTAACAAGCAAATACCGCAGGTATACTCTAACACAGGTAACCACGGCCCTCGTGTGGCTCATGTTCTGCATCCAGAGGTTCAGATTAGCCTACGGATGCGACCTCATTCACACAATCCTGCTCCAATTCCATAACTCCTGGCTTGTCAGATGCGTTGGAAAGAGAAGCAGTAAATGGCATTTGCGTGTGTGTCCTCTAGCGCCGCCTGGGGGACGCAGCCAAAAAGGCGATCTCTAAACTGCAGCTCAGAACCATACGAAAAGGCGACACAGAGACGGACGCTGACTTCGACAACTGCGCAGTTTGTATTGAGGGATATAAGGCCAATGATGTAGTGCGCATCCTGCCCTGCAGGTGAGTGTGTGCGTGTGTGAGTGTGCGTGAATGCATACGTGTGTGTATTAGGGCTAAGACTTGAGCTCAAAAAACATATTTGAATTTCATTGTTTTATTAATAATAAAATTTGAACATATTCAAATATATTTTATTTTTTTTACCAAAAAAATCTTCTAATATCTCCCTGGGTGTAAATATAACAGGAGCTTGGCTAAGCTATAGCTTATTATTAAGGGCTGTCTAATCTTGTCATAATGTCATTATTTGTGTTAATATTCAAATTTTGTTTGAATATCAAATTTTAGTTTTTCCCAGTCTGAGTGTGTATGAGTGTGTATGAGTGTGTATGAGTGTGTATGAGTGTGTATGAGTGTGTATGAGTGTGTATGAGTGTGTATGAGTGTGTATGAGTGTGTATGAGTGTGTATGAGTGTGTATGAGTGTGTATGAGTGTGTATGAGTGTGTATGAGTGTGTATGCGTGTGTATGCGTGTGTATGCGTGTGTATGCGTGTGTATGCGTGTGTATGAGTGTGTATGAGTGTGTATGAGTGTGTATGAGTGTGTATGAGTGTGTATGCGTGTGTATGAGTGTGTATGCGTGTGTATGTGTGTGTATGCGTGTGTATGAGTGTGTATGAGTGTGTATGAGTGTGTATGAGTGTGTTTGAGTGTGTTTGAGTGTGTTTGAGTGTGTTTGAGTGTGTTTGAGTGTGTTTGAGTGTGTATGTGTGTGTATGAGTGTGTATGTGTGTGTATGAGTGTGTATGTGTGTGTATGTGTGTGTATGAGTGTGTATGAGTGTGTATGTGTGTGTATGTGTGTGTATGTGTGTGTATGAGTGTGTATGTGTGTGTATGTGTGTGTATGAGTGTGTATGAGTGAGTGTGTGTATATGTTCTAGTAAGAGCTGTGTGGACCCCTGTCATCTTGATCATCTCATACTCCATTGTTTTGTCCCCAGACACCTGTTCCATAAGAGCTGTGTGGACCCCTGGCTCCTGGACCACCGCACCTGCCCCATGTGCAAGATGAACATCCTGAAGGCCCTGGGCATCGCGGTGCGTATGAGCTCTTTTCCTCCAAGAGAACAAGTCCCCACCCCCAACGCCTCCACATGAATAAACATTTAGTACAATACAGGTGTGACCCCACCTTCATTCCCTCTCTCCACGAGAACACATCTTTTCTCACAGTGCAGAGTGTGACCCACGCGAGTGAGAACTGACATAGTAAAAACATGTTACACTTTGTGAAAAAAAGATGAAACTTGACCTGACACTTTTTTGAGCACACTCACACAGACAACCCCTTTACGTCTCATCAAGAAGTAAGTAAGTAAGTAAGTAAGTAAGTAAGTAAGTTTTTATTTATATACCGCCTTTTCACTGCAGATCTGAGTCTCAAAGCGGTTTACAATTGTTAATTTTGGGCATTTGTCTCTCACTCCACACAGAGATGGGAGCGGGGTCGCCAGTACAGGAGGCGCATGCCAGAACTATTGGACATATTTTTAGTGGTAGGGGAAACCGGAGTACCCGGAGGAAACCTACGCAGACACGGGGAGAACATGCAAACTCCACTCAGAAAGGCCCTGGCCCGACCGGGATTCGAACCCAGGACCTTCTTGCTGAGAGGCGAGAGTGCTATCCACTCAGCCACCGTGCCGCCCAAGAAGATCCTGGGTTTCGAGTCTTGGACTAAACGGGGCCTTTTTGGGTGTAGTTTCTCCCTGTGTAGGTTTCCTCCGGGTGCTCCAGTTTTGTTTTGTTTCAAAGAATGGGAAGGTTTGGTCTCAAACCCGTATGAAAATGAAGGTAGAGCAAATTCAGCAAACATCATAAAAATGAGCCACTCGATTTGCAAACTCGCAGATTTCAGACCAAACTCCAGAAAACTTTCAGAAAACTGTTGTTTTCTGAAAATAACTACTTTATTTTCAGAAAACTACTTTTTCTGAAGAACAAAGGCCCCTTTTACTAACAAATCTATGAGGGTCAAATTTGACCCTAACACCACCAACGTCCATCCATCCATTATCTTCCCCTTAATCCATTTCTGGGTCAGGGGGGTGGCAGTCAGAGCTGCACCCAGTCACAGAGCACCAGCCCCTCACTGATCCTCCTGCAGGTGGTGAGTCCACAGGAGCTGAGATCTTTCAGTGGGGGCTTCAGGCAAAGTGGGGTTAAGTGTCTTGCCCAAGGACACTACGACAGCAGTCATCAGTGGGAGTCATGAAGTAGGTCTTACGGTGGGCTCGAACCCACGACCTTCAGGCCCAAAGGCCAATGCTCTACCAACTGAGCTACTGTCGCCACCACCAACGTAACTATTATTAATATATTAATTATAGTTAGAAAACATTATTTTCTATGGATTTTAAATTTAGTAAATTATGATTGAAAAAACCTTATTTTCAGCTTAAAAATAAGGGACAAGATCCGTCCGAGGGCCATAAAATAAAATAAAAAATAGATGTTATGACTTTGAATGCATATAATGTTAGTTAAGATGTAGTATTAACTATATCAAGTGAGACTAATTTCTTTTTAGTGTTCAGGACTGAGTTAGGCCCCGGGTCAAAATTGACCCGCTAACAACGGGCAGTGGTGCCGGTTCCTAACACAACATGAGGGATAATTAGGCAACACAGAGACTAAACATCAGGTGACCACTATGACGTAAACCTGAACATAAGAATCAGAATCATTTTATTGCCATGTGAGTAACAGGAAGTCACAAACTAGGAAATTGCTTTGGCTCTCGGCGCAAACAAGTTAAAGCAGAATAAAAACCAGAAGGAGCTAATATTTTAGCTCTACTCTTCTTAAGTTCTACTCCACCTGGTTGTGTTTCCATAATGGTTTAGCTTCTGAAATACACAACCTACACACAACAAACCAGTATCAATGGAACTTCCAGCAGCACTCTGGCCAATCACTGTCAGAACCCTGAATAGAACCAGGACTAAGAGGGACTAAAGAAGGACCTGGTACTGGTTTAAAAAAGCTGCTGGTACACTCCCTGTAGGGTAGAGAAGAGGTTTGCCAAATTGACTGGATTGGTCCAGCCCTTCACGATATGACGATATCCCAAAGTGGACCCCCAAAGACAATGATTGCCACCCCTGGTTTAAGGTGATCTGGGACATTTCCCACATTTCTAAACATTTATGGACAGTTTCCTGTCTTTGCATTTCCCGTGTTCGAACGGTTTGATTCTCTGATCTGTTGTTGGCAAATTGACAACTTTGTAAAGTCCTCTGACATACAAAAATACGTTTTATTAAATTAAATGTAACCATATCAGCCGCAGGGTTTAAAGAGTTTGTGTGCGTGTGTTAGTGTGTTATTGTGTGCGTGTGCTGTATTGTGTTACTGAAGCGGTTGCTTTTTGTGTCGTCTCAGTTAAACGCAGACTGTCTGGACGAGCTTCCCCTGGACTATGACATCGCTCTTGGGGGCGTGGCTCTGGAAGTGGTCGGTCCTTTGGGCGGCTCCAGTGACGGGTCGGCAAGCGAGGGCGGAGCTTCCTTGGTGTTTGAACCGGGCGTGGCCATGTCGTTTGACCCGGGCGTGCGGCGCATGGAGCTCCCACAGGACCACGAGCCCGAAACGCTACGAGAGCGCCACCGCAACAGCCCCGTGACGGTCACCACGGATACATGCACAGGTACGCACATATGCAAAGGTACACACACACACAGAGGTATGCACACAGGAACACAGGTACGCACATATGCAAAGGTACACACACACACAGAGGTACGCACACAGGAACACAGGTACGCACATATGCAAAGGTACACACACACACAGAGGTACGCACACAGGAACACAGGTACACACACACACACACACACACAGAGGTACGCACACAGGAACACAGGTACACACACACAGAGGTACGCACACAGGAACACAGGTGCGCACACAGGAACACAGGTACACACACACAGAGGTACGCACACAGGAACACAGGTGCGCACACACGCAGAGGTAATAACATGCACGTAACCCCAACAACAGAGCGCACATGAATGTATGTTGCACACCCTCATCATACGTAATAATAATAATGCATCAGTTTTGTATAGCGCTTGTGTTGCGTCGCAGCTCGTGCACTTTTCAGTGTGTGCGTCCCACGCGGTTCTATTGCATCAGTTATGCCTCCTAATTAACGTCTGCATTTGTTAAATACAAATCTTTGTTTGTTTCAGAGTCAATTGCGTCACTTGTTGTTGCCGTGGAGACGGGTCTGTCCGATGAGGAAGCCGCCGTGGAGACGAGCCATTTCCACGACCGGCCATGACCAAAGACTGAAACAGAACCAGTTCTAAACCAGGACCGGCTCTAAACCAGGACTAAACAAGGACTTTCAGAGGTCTACCTGGGATTGTCTGCTGGCCTGATTTAAAATGGCCGCCCTCTTGATTGAACATGGAACATGTGGAGAACATGCAAACTGTATCAAAGACATTGAGACGTTTGTCTGAACGCAGAGCTCTGATTGGTCGACGGCTCTTCACTTTGACAATCACACCTGTATTAATGATGTGTTATTTTTAAAACATTTGAACTTTCTTTCATCACAGTGGTCTCCCATCATTACCCTCTCTTGCTTAGCATAAGCCGACACCCCCTTCCTGACCTCATGTAACGTGCGAGCCGCGTGTTTGGTTTCCCGTAGGTCTGCTCCTGTTTCCTGTCTTCCCCGCGGTGATGCGCAGGGTACTCTGCGGTGACGCGTAAGACAAGTTTATTTGTTTAGCACAGTTCCTGCACGAGGAAAGTGCTTCGATAGAAACAACCGCGGGATTAAAATCATAAATAATCACACAGACAAAATCCCTCTGTTTTATGCAGCTAAACAGAACTGTTTTAACCTGGATTTGAACTTTGTCAGAGTAGAAGCCTGTCTCACATTTTCAGTGAGACTGTTCTGGGTTTTAGCTGCATAAATATGAAACGCTGCCTCCCCATGTTTACTTCTGACCCCCCCATGTTTACTTCTGACCCGGGCACCAGTGACAAATATCACTGACTGGTCTCAGCGTCCGTATCTCACTGTGGAGAAAACTTCAGGCTCATTACGGTGAGAATCTCCCGGACAGATCCTGCACGTCTGTTCACGAGCCCAAGACGTATCCATGTTATGGTCAGTGATACATTTGGGGGTGACCCGAGTTTGGTTTAGTTTAGTCTTATTTTGAAAGGGCCCGTGCACAGCGACATTAGGCCCAAAGACTGATATACTGTATGTTCTGAACCAGATTATAGCTCTACGGCTAATCTCCATCTGCAGTCCCCGGTTACATGAGAAAACGATACAATGACATCAAATCAAATTACAACAATAGCCCCCCCTCCTCCCCACAACTATACACACACACACACACACACCTGTACATTACAACCACTGATAAAACCATAAAATCCATACACACATTTCATACTGTGGTCCTTAATCACATATTCTCACACATATATACATACAACACATAAATGATGTATTATATGCTCTCCAATCGTCTATTTCTGATCAGTGACTGCATGAGCTCCCTCTTCCTCATCAAACTCAGACCTGGAGTTGGTTTTAGCTCCGCCCATGCTGATAGATGGGAACCATTCTTTTCATGTATTGAAGAGATTGATCTCAAATATCTTTTCTATTTAGTTTGACCAACTCTAAACAAAAGGCGTGCATTTATTCTCTAGTCTGCCTATCTCCTGGAAGTTCCACATCTTCAGCAAACGTCAACTATAGCCTCAGTATTTCCTCATAAAGTTGGCTAAAAAAGTGTTGTCGATATTCAAAACCGTATGCATGACGTTGGGCAGTAGAACGGCCAACTATCAAACAATGATCTGGGAAACAGGACATTTTCTGTTTCCAATTTTTCACAAATGTCTTCTTTAGAGTTTTGGCTCCTGCTGAAAGACTGAAATACTCTTTTGCGGTCCTCAGAGGGCGCTGTAGAGCTGTAAGCACGTCATAAGTTACAGTGTGAGGAATGAAGAGTGTTATTTTGATACAGAGGAGATATTTTTGTACACACTCGCGCCATCGACTCCAGCGTGAATGTCCCGGCGTTAAAATAACCGCAATTTTTCTCATGTGTGGATATTATTATTATTATTGTTATTACTGTTAACTTGCTGTTTTTCTCTGAGCACTTCTTCTCAATGTTCTTTTACAGATTTAAATGTGAAAGTATTAAACTGGTGAAAAGTGTGTTCCCTCTCTTCACTCTGTCCAAAAGCTTGTGAATACCATTCCATTCCATTCCATCTTCTTCCGCTTCACCCGTTGCCGGGTCGCGGGGGCAGCAGTCTAAGCAGAGACGCCCAGACTTCCCTATCCACACACACTTCCTCCAGCTCGTCTGGGGGGACCCCAAGGCGTTCCCAGGCCAGCTGAGAGACATAGTCCCTCCAGCGTGTCCTGGGTCTTCCCCGGGGCCTCCTCCCGGTGGGACGTGCCCGGGAACACCTCCCATGGGAGGCGTCCAGGAGGCATCCGGAACAGATGCCCGAGCCACCTTGTGAATAGTGACAAACAAAAGATGACGCCAACGAGAATAGCACTGCCCTCACTTTAAAGCTGGGGTACGCAACTTTAAGAAATCAGATATCTTATCGAATCCATGTCACCGGCTTCTGGCTCTAAATAGGTTTGCTTCTATAATTAACATTAGTTTCACATGCATGCATTTCACATCTTTGTTATGTTGGTGGTGTAGAAGAAATAAGAAACTTAGTAAGTCTTTAAGAACGATTTACTGCGGAGATCTCAGGAGCATGGTCATAGCATTTTCTTCCATTGCATTCCTCTCACTCTATCCTTATCCCGCTATAACATGGTACTAATGCCCTCTGTAGGTCAGGCGTATGACTATGTTATTACAATGCTTGTATGTAAACACAACATCTCCCCTGTTACTCATAAAAGGCAACATCTCCTATTATAGAACTTATGTAAAAACAAGTGAAATATTCTCCTTATAGAACATGTGATTTAAGGTAGTTTTCTCATCTTTAGTAATTATAGTAATTAGCTGCTATACATTTCTCTTAACTAAAATCTGAGTATAAACTTAAAGTGAGCAGCTGAAATTACAATCTTGCATTACAATTATTAATGAACAATAGTTGTAACAAGGGTGGTATACGTTTCTTTTGTTATCTTAATCTTTGATGTTATTTAATTACAAAGTCTTTAGTCCATGCTGGTGGTTTGTGCGCTCTTCGTGGGATGGCCCGGTTTGGAACAGTCTCTGGCAAGCTAGTGTTTTGTCCAGAAGTGCTAGCTTGAGATGGTGATTCCTCCGCTCTTCCAGGGCAAAGAGAAAGACGTGTTGCATTCCACCTTTTCCCGTCACTTAAGCTGAAGGTGCTGTATCCGGTTTGTTGTTGAATGTTTATAGGATCAGTGTACTGTCTCTCTCCTTTCCCAACATGAAAAGGCTTCCGTATGCGCACTTTGTCTCCCACTGCAAGTTTAGGAGGTTTAGCACCTCGCTTTTTGTCAGTGTATTTCTTACTTTTGGCTTGCTGCAGAGCGACTCTGGATCTCACTTTGTCGTAACGTCCGGTGTCATCACGTTGTGGCAGAATGTGGAGCTTGGTTCTCATAGGTCGTCCTCTGAGCAGCAGGAATGGAGACTCGTTCGTTGTAGCATGGGGTGTGGCTCTGTAGCTTTGGAGCATGGCAGTTACTGTTGGCTTCCATGGCTTTTGCACAGCCTGTGCTCCCTGGATACAGTCTTTGAGCACTCTGTTGAACCTTTCAACACTCCCATTGGCTTGAGGATGGTACACGCTTGTTCTGATGTGCTTAATTCCTCTCTCTCTCATGAAGTTTGCAAAATCACCAGATGTGAACTGTGGGCCGTTATCAGTAGTAATTGCACAAGGATTACCTTCACGCGCAAAAACAGTTGACAGGAAGGTAATGACAGTAGCTGCAGTTGCATTTGGGGTAAAAGCTACTTCAGGCCACTTACTAAAGTAGTCCACCATAGTGATAGCAAACCTACAGTCCTGAGGTCCACGTTCGAAAGGACCGACTATGTCCACAGCCACATGCTGGAAGGGGCCTTCAGGAAACTCTACAGGTTGTAGCGGAGCAGGTGACACTTTGGCAGTCTTGTCACAGGACTGGCATACTGTACACGAGGAGAGGACACTATGAACTAAGCTGTCCATGTTTGGCCACCAGTAAAGTTCTCTGAGGCGTTGCTTCGTGCGTACAAGTCCCTGGTGTCCTTCGTGTGCAAGCTGTATTATGCGCTCTCTGAGTGAGTCGGGGACTACTAGACGAGCACCTCGGAAAACCAGTGGGGAATCTACTGCAAGCTCATGTCTGATAAGAAAGTATGGCTGTAGGTCACTGGATAATAACTTTTTGGTTTTTGGCCATTTGGACTGACTGATCTGCCTTAGCTTTGTGAGTATGGGACAGTCCTCGGCCTCTGCTTTAAAGTCAGCGAGAGGCAGTGCAGTAAGGAGCTCTGAGATTTCAGCTATCTCAACAAACAAGTCAGGTTCAGGTTCAGTCAGTGGAGTTGACTCAAGGGGAACACGTGAGAGACAATCTGCCAGCACATTTTGGTTTCCAGGGCGGTATTCAATGTCGTACTGAAAGCACATTAGCCTGGCTGACCATCTGGCAACTCTCATCCCTGCTCTATTCATACCTTTGGTGTTGAGGAGCGTAGTCAGGGCCTGATGATCTGTGCGGAGTGTGAATCTGCGTCCGCAGACGTATGTCCTCCATCTCTCGACAGCCCACACGCATGCGAGGGCCTCCTTTTCCGTAGTGGAGTACTTCCTCTCAGCAGGCGTCAGTGTGCGTGAAGCAAAAGCCACGATGCGCTCTGTATTGTCTGAGTGAATCTGCGTCAGGACAGCTCCTAAGCCATAGTCAGAAGCATCTGTTGTGATGACAGCTGACAGTTTTGGATTGAACATGGCAAGAGCAGGACTGTCCAGTAGTAGCCGTTTCAGCTTTGTGAAGCATTCATTCGCAACATTGTCCCAGTGTAGTTTAGCCTGCGGGCTAGTCTTGAGCAGTAGTCGCAGGGGTTCAACAAGTGTAGCATAGTTAGGGACAAACTTGCTAAACCATGAAGTCAGACCTAAGAATGAGCGCAGCGCTGGCATGTCTCTTGGTGCAGGTGCTTCAGCGATAGCAGTAAGGTGGTCTGTGCTCGGGCGCAAGCCTTCTTTGGAAATGACATGGCCCAGGAATGTAATCTGTGTTTTTGCGAAGGCGCTCTTCCCAAAGTTGATCTGTAGGCTGGCCTCACTTAGGCGGTTGAGGACTGCTTGTAGGCGCAGATCGTGTTCCTCTCTTGAAGCTCCATAGATAATGATGTTGTCCAGGTAGTTCTGTACACCCGGTAAGTCCTTCAGTATTGTCTCCATAATTTTTTGGAATGCAGATGGAGCGGAAGCAAGGCCAAAGGGGACTCGAGTGAACTGGAATAAGCCGTCATGGGTTATAAAGGCAGTCAGTTTGCGGCTCTCTGGGTGTAGAGGCAACTGGTGGTAGGCTGAGCTTAAATCGATCTGGCTGTAGTATGTAGCACCAGACAGTTCAGCGAACAGGTCCTCCATGTGAGGAAGCGGGTAGCAGTCCATGACGACACTTTTATTTGGTTCACGCAAGTCGACACATAGGCGCAGAGCCCCTTGCCGTTTTCTTCCCGCCACAAGGGGACTCACCCATTCAGATGCATCAATTCTTTCAATGATGCCTGCTTGAAGTAGTCGGGTAAGTTCTGTAGAGACCTCTTTGCGTATACTGAGCGGCAGACGTCGTAGTTTTTGGCGCACTGGACGCACTGCATTGTTGACTTGTACTTTATGAATAAATCCTTTGACACACCCGAGTGTTTGAACTGGAGTAGAGTCAATGTTGTGCACTGCACCTTCAGGCTCCCCAGCAGGTGGCGTGTTTGCACAGTCCGTGTTGAGGATCACTTTGCCGTCAATGATGCTGACCCCCAGGGCTTTAATCAAATCCAAGCCCAGCAGGGGAGATCCGGCTTCCACAATGTAGAAAGTTGCTGGCACAGTACTGTCTTGTTCAGTAGTTGTAGTTTCTGCACGGAGACAACCAAGTACAGGTAAGTGGCCCTTGGAATAAGTAACAAGCCTAGCTTTTGGCTCTTCGAGTGTGCAGCGTCCAAAATATTTTCTGTATATGGACTCTGGCAGTATGGACACAGCAGCTCCGGTATCCACTATTAACTCAAGTGAATGTCCATTTCCTTTTGGTGCTTCAATATTTACTGTGCAGGTTAATTTATCAAATGCTGCTGCGGCTAGTTTTACATCATCAATCCGGAGAATAGCGAGTTCTGGCACAACAACATCTTGTATTTCATTCACTGTTTTGGTACTTGATCTGCATACCTTGGCAAAATGTCCCTTTTTCCCGCAAGAATTGCATTGTACTGAAGCGGCGGGGCAGGTTCTGTCACTAGCCAAGTGTTTGTTCGATCCACATCTGAAACATTTGCGTTGTCTACTGGCATTGGAAACCTGCCTGGTACGGTCATGTGCAGAAGTCTTGGCGGGATTGGTGTCTCTCCTGCCGCGAATAAATGAGCGGGACGCTCCGACTGCCTGTATTGGCGCAGCGGGGACGTGTCTGTTAGCGGTCAACAGTGTGGCATTTTTTACTGCTGCCTCCACTTGTGTAGCAACTGTTACTGCTTTATCTAAAGTCAGATTGTCCTCCAGAAGCAGTTTATCACGCACTGCACTGAGGTATGTATTAGAAATGAGTTGATCGCGTATCATCTCCCCCTCCATTGTACCAAATGCACATGACGCAGCCAGGTCCCTTAGCGCGGCTACGTACTGTATTGCTGTCTCGTCCGAGCGCTGAACACGTTGTCTGAACGTGTGTCTGCATGCTACGACGTTGACTTTAGGCACAAAGTGTTTCTCCAGCGCAGCCATTGCAGAATCCATAGAATCACCTTGGTCCGGTAAAGTGTAAAAAAGGCGTTGTCCCTCTGGTCCAAGGCAGTGTAGTAGCACGGCTCTTTTCCTAGCATCAGGCCATGCATCTCCTGTAGCATTGATGACTAGCATATAATTCTCGAACATCCTCCGCCATGTAGCAAAAGGTATAGGCGGCTCACCAACGTGTGGAAGAAAAGACGGTGGCCACGGTACAGATGCACTCATCCTCGTCGCCAATTTGTTATGTTGGTGGTGTAGAAGAAATAAGAAACTTAGTAAGTCTTTAAGAACGATTTACTGCGGAGATCTCAGGAGCATGGTCATAGCATTTTCTTCCATTGCATTCCTCTCACTCTATCCTTATCCCGCTATAACATGGTACTAACGCCCTCTGTAGGTCAGGCGTATGACTATGTTATTACAATGCTTGTATGTAAACACAACAATCTTTTGATCAGTTTTTACAGACATGGACCTCCCTGGACCCCCCTCACTCGACCAATCAGCTCTCAGCCCAAAGAGTCTAATGGTGACTCACAGGGATCTTTCTTACACAAAAGAGTTCTTGTTTTCTGAGAAGATGAGGACAGCATGTTGTGGTCTGATTTGTTCACAGCGTTTTACTTTGACTCTTTCTGTTGGACAAACTACATGTTATTAATGAGGCTAAAGTTACGTACTCCAGCTTTAATTAAATGTATGAATGAGTGTGATTGAAAACTTAAGACCCAGTTACAGGCTTTGCTTTTAAACAAACGACAGACATAAACACATCGTTTTGTATAAAAGTTTATTTCTGGTCTGATTCAGACACGTCTCACACACAGAGGTCTGTTCTGCCTTTTTCACACATGCATGTTCTCCAGGTCCTGACCCTGTTCTAACGGGACATGTACCCTCATTAACCTTTCTGGACAGGGGTCGGCCCACTCCCGTTGGACCATTGGCTTCTGGGTGTTTGTAGCATTTCCTATGTTCTTACTGATCTGTTGTACATTGGAGGCGGGGCTTACATTTAGGGGTGCTGGTGTGCAGACCTCCGTGACTCAGGGATGTGTTTTTTTTCCCGTTCCAAACATGAAACAGTCGTCATGGTTATCGTTGCAAACACAGCAACAGGTCATTCATGGTCACAGTGCGGACTCATCGCACAGCGTTAGAATAATCTAATCAACAGCCATATAAGGGTGTGCGGGACTGGTCTCCATGGTGACAGCCACTCATTATTTACATCAAGAATTCTGCTCTTAACGTGCAAGATGGCCGCCACAGTTAACTCGGTGACCGTCCCTTATATGGAGGTTACTACGGCGACACTGTCGCTAACAGCCCAATCCACTGATGGAGCCGATTCGGTCCATCTTCATCCCAAAGCATCCTCTTCCTCCTCCTGCCACGGATTTCCGGCCACGCCCCCTCCACATCCGGCCCTGCCCCTTCACCAGGTCAAGCAGAAATTGAGGGCTCTGGGCCAATGGGAGTGCAGGGAGGACAGGGCCTGCAGCGGAGCCCTCTGTGACATCACGCGGAGGGGGCGGGGCCATGATTAGTGCCGACAAACGAGCGCCTAGTCTTGAGCGCAGACTCTGAAACAATATAATTATGATATCAGCTTAATCATGATGTCACTACAACAAAACATTCACAGTATTAGTACTGCAAAACAGGTGTAGCACAGTAGTACTGCAGTACAGGTGTACCGCAGTAGTACCAGGGTACAGGTGTACTACAGCATTATTGCAGTACTTCTGTACTTATGTATTACAGTAGTGGCACTGACCTGGTGTGACAGGGTGGGGGCGCCGTGGACCAGGGACACATATACGAGCAGCAGGCACACACACTTCATCTGAAAAATAATTTAAATGGAATATGAGACGATCAGAATGAGAACTTCTTCCTCTAGTGGAAAAAGTGTGAAACTACGCTCAGCTTTTAACATGGAGCTGTGTAACCAACAATACGTCATGTGACTGCAGGACACAACTGTGCAAAAGCCCTGTTCTCTATCTGGCCTTTCACAACCACAAGGATCTCCATCCAGAACCTCGTGATCTGACATCTGGGATTCAGGTCATAGATGTGGAGTAATCTAGACTCAAAACTCTGTGTAACTATGTGCAAAGGCAGGTACAAACCCATCTCTTGATCTTGATACAAACCTAGGCTCAGAAATGACAGTACCTTTATGTAAAGTACCGTGAAAACCCATCCAACTTTATACAGGCAGATTCAAAACTCACAATATTTATTTAAATGTGGTTAAAATCTCAACATAACCTGGTGTGTGGTACATAACTATAAAACTGGTTGGGATTTTTCAAACTATAACAATAGATTTCTGTGATTAAATCTAACTATTTCCTGGCTCTTAAACAGTTTGCTTCTGTCACTAGTTTTCACGTGCATGTATTTTTGCCCTCTCCCTTTTAAAGTGAAGAAGAGAGGACCATTCTCACTCCCCGCTGACCAACAGTGACTTACAGTTGTTATTGTTTGTGTAAGTCAGATGAAGTCACCACAACAGTCTTCCAAGATGGAGATTGTTTTCTACTTTGACAAGACTCTTTCTGTTGGACAAACTACATGTGTAATTATTATTATTGAGATTAAAGTACATACCCCAGCTTTAAAATCAATATCTATCAAACCAATAGTTTTTGTTTTTAGGATCAGATTTACACTTGAGACATTAAAAAACAAAACAGGTTCATAATAAACGTGTACCATCTGGTTCTAAAAGGCTCCAGGAGGTTCCCCACTCAGAAATCTCTGTACTCACAGCTTTAGATGAGTTTTTGAGTCCACTGGAAGACAGTTTCTCCAATCACCTCTCAGGTTCTCTCTGGTCCTCTCTGGTCCTCTCTGGTCCTCTCTGGTCCTCTCTGGTCCTCTCTGGTCCTCTCTGGTCCTCTCAGGTCCTCTCAAGTCCTCTCAGGTCAGGGTTTGGTCCAGGTCTGGAATAGAGTCTAAGTTCTAACTTCAGTTTCTAACCAGTTTTGGTTCAGGTCTTAGTCCCAACTGAGTTCTATTATGGCCTCTGATATGAGTCCTAGTCTGGTTCTGGTTTAGTCCTGGTTGATGCGAGTCCTGGTCTGGTCCAGGATGAGTCTGGCGGGGATCCGTAAACTTCGCCCTTTTATGGTCGCCACTGCTGATGTCATCGCCTCACGCCCTTACATGGAGATGGCGCTTGATGTCACTACATAGCGCGAGTGTCGCCATGGTTATGTCTCATTCACGCATGGAGGGTGGGCATGGGGGTCAGGGTCCGTGGGGGTCCAGACCGTGTCCAGACCAGGACTAAAGGACTGAAGATGTGGAATGCATCAGGAACACGTTCTGTAACAGGCCTGGTCCTAACCAGGGTCAAGGTCCAGACCAGATCCAGGGTTAGGTCACATGGTCCAGGTCCAGACCATGGTTGAGGTCATATGATACCGAGTCCAGACCTGGTCCAGGGTTAGAGTCCTATGGTGGTGCAGTGGCTTGTGCCCGACAGCAGGAAAGTCTTGGGTTCGATTCCACCTTCAGACTGCTGTGAGGAGATGCATGTTCTCCCCGTGACTGCGTAGGTTCCCTCCGGGTGCTCCGGTTTCTTCTGGGTGCTCTGGTTTCCTTTACCACTAAAGACATGTACAATAAGTCTGAATGTCAGGAGTTTTAGCTCACCTTTTAGCTCACCTGCTTGAAATATAAAGTAAAAACTAAAAAAGTGAAGTAAAAAAATATGAAACTTATTCACCCAGTGATTTGTTTTAACTCCTCAACATCGATCGAGGAACGGTTTCTATTGTTTATTACTTTTGATACAAAATGTAGTGACATTTATTATGAAACCATGTGTTTTACTTGTTCCTCTCCACAGTTCCATTCATCAGCGACATCACGTTTTATTGTTAATAATACATAATGTTTGTGTCGTCACCAAAGTCAATGAACTTCTACATGAATAATGCGGGTCCCAGGATCGACCCCTGAGGTCAGTCTGCACAATCTGTACTTTTTTTTGCTCATCCCACAGTTCACATTTTGTTTATGACATTATGATCATTTACTGATATTATTTTATTTGGGCAAGCCCCTGGATATGCAGCATCTCATTTTAGAGAAAGTCCTGTGAACATAAAACAGACAGGATATATTTAGCAGTAGGTTGGTTTTGCCTAACACTGGAATTTGTGGAATGAACTGTATAAAAAATAGAAAAAGTTACTTTCTTTAAGTAATTACAATCACAAAACTACAGGCCTTCAAATTGACTGCTCTGGAAGTTTTAGTGCTAAACCCAAAGCAATAATATTTCCGGTGTTTTGTAAAACTACAGCAGGAGAAGAGGATTTCCGAGGCGGCGTTTGTCTCCTTTGGAATAACTTTTCAAGTTTTCATTTGAGAAAGCCGTTTGAATGAACAGTGTTACACTCTGTGTGAAAACATTCGACTCTCTGACCTGTGACCTGACTCGTAAACAGTTACCATGGCGGCCGCTACTCGTTAAGAAGCACTTGCTCTGAAGGGGGCGGGGTTGAGCGACACTGGCCCCGCCCCCCTATTCAGCAATGACGTCATCAGCCGTAAACAACACAATGAGCTGTCAGCCACAGTACAATAGTACTGCAACTACTGCATTTGATAGTACTAACTACTACATGCAACACTACTACTACTACTACTACTGCAACTACTACTACTACTGCAACTACTACTACTACCACTAAATTTCCTGCGTACGAGACCCTTCCACACTACTACATACACCTGTGTTTGAAAGTTTACACTCAGACACAAATCTACATTCATCTGGATCCACATTTCAGAGATTATTCTGCCAAATAAACGTGTTTCTATTTTCAAACGATGTTGACAAGATACTGGTCAGCTGTTGTCATGGTGATCTGCTGATGGCACTTGGTGACTCTGGTTTGTGATAGGCGCTATATAAAATAAAAATTACTTACTTACTCATGGCAGACCTGGGTCTCAAGGCCTTCTGCTGGCAGCGGACCTGATTTGTTCAAGACCCTTGAGTATGTGAACATCCTTTCACAGTGTCAACCAGCCACCTTCATCTCTGCCAACATAGACCTGTTGTACTTCATTGAAAAACACAGAATCTCAAGAATCCAGCCATTTATTTGTATATTCTGACATGTGTTTTTGAATGCGTTACAAAATACTGCATATGGCACCAATGTTGCTGGTGAGAAACATTTGTAATTCAGCCAACTTCAGCTTCAATATGGACATTTCAAAGTACATCTTGAATCCAGTAAAACCATTTTACAATCTGTGTTGTCGGCCCCTGAACCACGGCACATAGCACTTTATACAAACTTGCACTTTACAACCAGCATTTCTGTTGGATAAACTACACGTGTTATTTATGAGACTAAAGTAACATTCCCCAGCTTTAATCAGTTCATTCACAAACTCAGCCCTAGGACTTGGGAGCTGCTCTTTGTTCTTTTCAGCAGTGAAACAGCAGCTTTTTAACTTTCCATCTAATGTGATCAAAGAATAGACCGGGTCTAGATGCAGCTCTGGCTCAAGTCCACGTTGATCAGTCAAAGTCAGACTCAAAACAAAACACATTCAGACAGCGGGCAGAGATCAGGGCGAGGACGTCATCACAGAGGGGGGTCATTCTGCAGCCGGCTCCTGGAGACCTTCAGGACTGTAGGCTGCTCTCCAGGATTCTCCAAACTTACTTAAATTCATCCACCGCACATGCCACAACTTCTGCACCAGGTTCAGATTCAGAATAAAACGAAGATCGAACTAAGAAGTGAATTACCTCTGCACCTGGAACGTTCATCTCGTGTGTATGACCAGGGTAATAACGGGAGTAGTTAAACACATATATGAAGTTTGTTATGCCTCCTGTGTTTAAAGTAGCAATATGTAAGATTTTCATGTACAGTCATCATTAAAGGGCCTTAATAAGTCAAAAGGCATAAATAAAACATGGTCTTTTCGAAAATGTCTTTAACTGAAAACAGTAGTTCAGAGATATTTGGATTTCAAAATTGGATTTACAGCCCCTAAATCTTGTTATCGTTTTCATTTCGATGTACCACCCTCCACCATTCTACCTTTCAGAAAGTCTGTTATCCGGGTTGCCAGAATTCACTGCGTCGAGCTAATCTCACTGGTAAAGTAACATGTGGCCACAGAACTATAAAAGGTCCTGTTCTGATTCTCAAATCATTAATGATAAAACCAGGATTTCTATTTGTGTGAACAAGGTGTTGGTTATTGACAAAACTCTTTTCAGATATTCAGCTGTTATGGTCCCAGCTGGATTCGTCTGCATATCTGGCAACCTGAGTCAGGGAGAGTGGGAGAGGCTGCAGTACCACTTTTGGCCACATTTTTACACACTGCTCCTTTAAGGCTTGGAGGTAAACAGAAGCTTCTTTACACCTTTGTCTTTCTATAAAAACCTTCTCTGCCTTACATGAGAGTTAGTTCTGGTGCTTCTCTGAGCGAATCCACATCATAATCTGCATTTTTACTGTTTCAACATCTGTAGCAGGTTTTCAGTTGTAAAGTCGTAACATGGGAACTCCAAGCACATGGTCTGAGACGACGAGTACATTCTGCAGCAGTTTTCTGTGATAAGCTTCTGTTCAAACCAAACGTGGATTCCACCGTAGTGACACACAGGGCCTTTCTGAGTGGAGTTTGCATTTTCTTCCCGATATTGTGTAGGTTTCCACTTCCACAAAACACTTGGACAATAGGTTCAAATATAATGTCTGAGGGTTTGGCGTCTCGCTTCTGTCATCGCAGAGTGTGGAGTGAGTGGTAAATATCAGATCGACAAAACATTGAATATATGAATAAGCGCGAGGTCACCCAAAGCGTTTAACAATATCAATCAATCTTTATGGTTGAGCGCTTTTCCTACACAAGGTAACGTGCTCCATAAACATTTTAATCATAAACATTAAAATCTACATAAAAATTAAAAAGCCCACGCGAGACCTACTTCACGACTCCCACTCCCCAGGGGAAGAAAATGAATGGATGGATAAACATAAAAAATTAGAGCTCAAATATTTTTCCATTTACTCCACACACACACGGAAGACGCCGAACACACTGGCGCATCAAGGCCTCCAAACCAACACCATCCATTCACTCACTACATTCATACCTATTGTACATGTTCTACGTCGACACAGGAAGAATATGGAAATTCCACACAGACAGACCTGGAGGTGGAATCGAACCCAGGACCTTCTTTCTGTGAAACACAAGCTCTAACTACTGAGCCACTGTGCTGCATCACCATCATAGACTGTAAATATAATCGGACGTAGGGACGACGCCTTTTTCATCAATTTTATGTGCCACAGGCGGACGGATGGGCATTTTCAAAATGATCGCGGGCGCTCTCCAGCAGTAAAATGTGAAAAAACACATTTGCGCATGCGTTAGCGCACAAGTTCCATTTATTTAAGATATTCGTCTCACAGTGGAGACATTTCAGTGTCATCGATAAGCACATTACAGCAGGGAAAGACGGAATTAAGAGATATAAGAGCACTTAGAATCAAATAGTCATAAATTTAACGAGTGCATTCAAAAGTCCACAGTGGCTAAACTAGACTGGTCCAAAAATAAATTCTCCCCTCCGCATTAACAAACATCTGGAACGTAGAGTTTGGCCAAGAGCCACTTTTGGACCACTCTGTAAAGCAGTTTTTGAGAGGTGTTGTATTTATAAATAAGTGACATTCTAAAACCATGTGTTTTATGATCTATCGACCTCTGAGTGGCAGGCCAGTCCTTTTTATTTTAATTTTAGGGGTCTTCTTGGGGGACCAGCTTAATAACAGGTGGGTTCTGCTGTTTGGATTTTGTCCCCCTAGCCTTGGCCCCTGCTGACTTCTGCATTATGGACCCCACTCCATCAGGAGTGGGTTGACACTGGAGTCTGCCAGTCTACTCACTACTTGTTTAGACAAGCAGGGATGAATCCAGACCAGAGACAGCTGCCCGGAGACACGTAGGTTAGAAAAGGATGAATTCTTTTTAGGTGCAGACTGGAAACGGAGACCAGATGGAGGAAGGCGGATCACGGGACCCTGGAAGCTGCCTGATACCACGCCCCTTCTTCCCCATGCACATTTTACTTATAGTAGATAGTTTGAATGTGTGGTTAGTTAGTTTTTTCTGGACCAGGGGCAGTGTGTGACTTGATGTGGAGCGCCCACTCAAAGTCATACTTTTATATTTTATATAGAGAATAAGGGATAGTTACTTTTGGTCCGAACAGCTGTTTTAGATTCTTTTTGTATTAGGGAAATAAACCTTTTTGAATTTAACTTTCTGAATCATGGTCATCTTTATAAGGGATTTTGAACACGTCATTTTTAAATACGTTAGAGGACATAATACGTCATTAGAATTCATTGAATATTTCTGTTTCCGGGTTCAACACCATCGGCAAGGAGTCAGATTGCAAGGTTCATGGATCTTTTAGTCACTGGTCGCCGTGCATTTGACACATCCAGCTGAACTGAGTTTGGTCTTCAGACCCAAGTCCTCCATCAGCAGAAGGCCTTCAGTCCCAGGTCCTCCATCAGCAGAAGGCCTTCAGACCCAGGTCCTCCATCAGCAGATGGCCTTCAGACCCAAGTCCTCCATCAGCAGAAGGCCCTCAGACCCAGGTCCTCCATCAGCAGAAGGCCTTCAGACCCAGGTCCTCCATCAGCAGAAGGCCTTCAGACCCAGGTCCTCCATCAGCAGATGGCCTTCAGACCCAAGTCCTCCATCAGCAGAAGGCCTTCAGACCCAGGTCCTCCATCAGCAGAAGGCCCTCAGACCCAGGTCCTCCATCAGCAGAAGGCCTTCAGACCCAAGTCCTCCATCAGCAGAAGGCCTTCAGACCCAGGTCCTCCATCAGCAGAAGGCCCTCAGACCCAGGTCCTCCATCAGCAGAAGGCCTTCAGACCCAAGTCCTCCATCAGCAGAAGGCCTTCAGACCCAGGTCCTCCATCAGCAGAAGTCCTTCAGACCCAGGTCCTCCATCAGCAGAAGGCCTTCAAACCCAAGTCCTCCATCAGCAGAAGTCCTTCAGACCTAAGTCCTCCATCAGCAGAAGGCCTTCAGACCCAGGTCCTCCATCAGCAGAAAGCCTTCAGACCCAAGTCCTCCATCAGCAGAAGGCCTTCAGACCCAGGTCCTCCATCAGCAGAAGGCCTTCAGACCCAAGTCCTCCATCAGCAGAAGGCCTTCAGACCCAGGTCCTCTATCAGCAGAAGGCCTTCAGACCCAAGTCCTCCATCTGCAGAAGGCCTTCAGACCCAAGTCCTCCATCAGCAGAAGGCCTTCAGACCCAGGTCCTCCATCAGCAGAAGGCCTTCAGACCCAGGTCCTCCATCAGCAGAAGGGCCTCAGACCCAGGTCCTCCATCAGCAGAAGGCCTTCAGACCCAAGTCCTCCATCAGCAGAAGGCCTTCAGACCCAAGTCCTCCATCAGCAGAAGGCCTTCAGACCCAGGTCTTTGAGAGGCATGTGCGGTGGTTTTATGTTTAAAAAAAATTGATCTAAAGATGTTAGAGAAACCATCACCCAGGTGCAGAGATGCTCACAAGTCTCTGACCCGCAATTCCAAGTCAAGTCCAAGTCCCTAGCCCAGGGGTCCAAGTCAAGTCCAAGTCTCTGGACCCGCAAGTCCAAGTCAAGTCTAATGGTGCTTTCAGACCACCAACGCTGAAACGCTGAAGCCCTGCTCACCAGACACCCATTCTCTAGTTTTCAATATGCAGCTTTGCAGCGTGTCTTTGCTCACAGACCTTCCACAGGCTTTATATAACAGTAGTATGTGTTCACGGAGGTGCACCCTACGTTTTTCATATTATTAAACGGTATTTCCGCATCGGTGAACACACTCGAAGCAGTTGCATAAGGTCACGGGAGCATGACAACGCATATTTTCACAAGCACAGAGTCCCCCATTGTCAACCCTGGTTTGAGTTCTGGTGAAGTCTGGTGTGGGTCCTGTTTTGGCTGTTTATGAGTATTTTCAGTCTGCTCTCTCAGTCCGCTAATGTCCCCGTGACCTCTTTGTGGCTCTCCGATTGGTTGTCGCACGAACGTCCCAAGGAAAGGAGGAGCAGAATACAGTATTCAACATAGGCAGTATTAGTTCTTTGAACCTTGTGATAGATTTATCATTTAAGGTTCTTTTCTTTATGGTTTTATCTTGCGGCGCAGGAAAGTCCTCCAAATCGAGATCAAACGTGATCAAGAAATGGTCAGACAGCAACGAGCTTTGACGCTGGACGTCAACATTGGAGACATCACAGCCGTAGGTCAGGACAAGGTCCAAGGTGTGGTTATGAATGTGAGTAGGTTCCTCAACATTCTGAGTAAAACCAACACCATCTAGTACGGCGCTGAAAGCTTTGTTTAAGCTGTCAGTGCTGTCGTCCACATGTATATTGAAGTCTCCAGTTATAACTATGTTTTCCCATTCCAAAACTAGGTTTGAAATGAAGTCAGAGAATTCTGTTAGGAACTCGCTGTAAGGACCAGGAGGTCGGTATAAAACTATAAATAGCACCCCTTTTTGTTTTCTCCACCCAGGACAGGTGATTGAAAGTGTTTTCAAACGAGTGAAAGGCATTGTTGGTTTTGGGACTAAGAACTAAGTTGGTGTGTGATATAATCGCAACGCCACCGCCGCGACCTGTAGTTCTTGCTTTCTGGTAGTTAACATGCGTCGGAGAAGTGCACTCATTCAATCTAACGTAGTCGTCCTGTTGGAGCCAAGTCTCCGAGAGCGCAAACAAATCCAAGTTTTTGTCTATAAGTTCGTTTATGAGAAGCGATTTAGACGAGATTGATCTGACGTTCATTAAACCACATAACAACCCTACTGTTAGAACTTTGTCTGAACTTTTATTAAGTTACTGTGTCTGAGGGGCTATATCGATTCTTGATATATCTTGCATATGTGATTCATGATCAAGTAATGACAACCTAATTCACATTTTATTGGCAGGAAATAAAGAAAGGCTTAAAGGTAAAGGTGCACTTTATTAATCCCCGTAAGGCAATTCATCCTCTGCATTTGACCCATCCTGATGCCGCGAAGGCTTACGTCAGGAGCAGTGGTCGCTGTAGTGACAGCACTCTGGTACCCATCTCCATATGTTGATTCTTGGCTTGGTCAGGACTACCAGAGCGAGAGGATTTAACCTAGTGAGCATGTTTAGTGGTAGGGGAAACCGGGGTACCCGGAGGAAACCTACGCAGGTACGGGGAGAACATGCAAACTCCACTCAGAAAGACCCTGTTCCGACCAGGATTATAACCCAGGACCTTCTTGCTAAGAGGCGAGAGTGCTATCCACTCAGCCACTGTGCTGCCAGATCAGTTTAAACATTTACTAAAACTACACGTCTGCCACAAAATGTGTTGTTCTGTAGCGTTTCTCAGATTGCAAGTGTCAGTCATAACGGCTTAGTGTCATATTTGTCACAACGCACTCACCTCATTTACTACAGTATACTTCGACCCCGCACGCATTTGCGGTGCTTTGTCCTTTCCAGAATGCGCGTGTCAAAACGTGTTGGAGAGGCTGGGGAAGCGGGATGACATTCTTGGGCTTGTTCATGCACCTCTGATGCGCAGGTTTGTTCTCGCATTCTAAAACACCATTTACACTACAAATATTCCAACCTCCATGGTAAGACTACAGGCCACTGATTTGAATGGCAGACATCTTGGGAAACAAAGTATGGTGATCTGTTCCGTGTGCTTGTGCGTTTCGAACTTAGCGTTGGGCTGAACTGGACTGAAAACATGGCAACCCACTTTAGTTGGGATTGGACAGAACTGTTCCACTGGAGAAAACGAGATAAAAATGTTATTTGTGGCACTTTTAGGACACCCTTTACAAAAGAACCAAAAAAATATCCGATTGTGAAGCATCCACAACCACTGACTTTTTAAAATGTATTTATTGATAAACTTTGTATTTGATAGAAAACTTTGTTGGAATCCCTGCAGCATTAGTTTACTTTGGGACGTCTGTAGTCTTTCCCCGCAAACTTTGCCTTCTCACCGAGCTCCTCCTCGATCCTGCGGGAAGAGAGGAGTGTTTAAGACCCCATCACCTCATTCACATCCTGAGTCCTTATATGGGCATGTGACTCACCTCATGAGCTGGTTGTATTTGGCCAGTCTCTCTGACCTGCAGGGGGCACCAGTCTTGATCTGGCCAGTGCATAGTCCCACCACCAGGTCGGCGATGAACGTGTCCTCAGTCTCACCAGAGCGATGACTCACCATGACGCCCCAACCGCTGCTCTGAGCCAGCTTACACCTGCGGCCAATCAGAGAGCAGCTCAGACACGTAGGTCATTAAGATAGAAGCTTACACCTTACAGACTTTGAGACGATTAGGGTTAGCATTAGCCCTAGCTTAGGCCTTAACTGACAGTTGGAGCTGGGTTAGGGTTAGCATTTGCCGCGTTAGCTTACGCTTTGATGGACTCAGTCACGGAGCCGATCTGGTTGACCTTCAGCAGGAGACAGTTACACGCCTTCTTCTCCACGGCTGTCTGGATCCTCTTGGGATTGGTCACAGTCAGATCGTCTCCTACGATCTGATTGGATAAGATTACTTTAGTTTGTACAAAAGTCAGGTCACCTGACTCTGGTCATGCTCCACACACCTGGATGTCGGTGGAGGCGGTGAACTTGGTCCAGTTCTCCCAGTCGTCCTGATCAAATGGGTCTTCGATGGACTGGACTGAGGACAAGAGTTTAGCGTCAAAAACTTCCTCATGGCCCTTCCCCCTTGCCTCGTTTGCCCCCCTCACTTGGGAAGCCTTTCCCTCTAGTCAGACCCTCCCTCACCTGGGTAGCCTTTGACGAAGCTACGGTACAGGTCTCCCAGCGCCTCTCCGCTGATGTGGCGTGTGGGGTCGTCCGGTGACTTGAAGTCCAAGTCGTACTTTCCGGCGCGGTAAAACTCAGAGGCCGCCACGTCCATCCCCACGATGATCTTATCGGGGTAACCTGCCTTTTCGATGGCCGACTTCAGCAGCTCCAGGGCTGAAACACGCATGTAAAGCTTACAAATGGGAAGAACTGGATGACCAGCAGCTCCAGGGCAAAAACACAACAACTGCTATTAAAGAAGCTATACCAGATTTTGTCTTCTATTGGGTTAATAAAAATCTGTATAACTACATACAAGTTGTATTAAAAACTGCGGCAATCTTTCAGTTATACATTTTGTTAGCAGTGCGTTGCTTTTGTACCATTTCATCAGTGATTGCAAGTACCTGGGCGTTCATCTGAATCACAAACTGGACTGGACTCATAACACAGACGCCCTCTTCAAGAAGGGCCAGAGCCGCCTCTACCTGCTGAGGAGCCTCAGGTCTTTTGGAGTGCAGGGGCCACTCCTGAAGACCTTCTATGACTCTGGTGGCATCAGCCTCTTGTACGGTGTGGTCTGCTGGAACAGCAGCATCACAGAGAGGGACAGGAAGAAGCTGGACAAGGTCATCAGGAAGTCCAGCTCAGTCCTGGGCTGTTCCCTGGACACAGTGCAGCAGGTGGGGGACAGGAGGGTCCTGAGCAAACTAACATCTATGCTGGACCATGACTGTCACCCCCTGCAGGACACTCTCTCTGCTCTGGGGAGCAGCTTCAGTGACAGACTAATTCACCCTCGATGTGTGAAGGAGAGGTTCCGTAGGTCTTTCCTTCCTGCTGCTGTCAGACTGTACGAAAATGTAACAGGAACTGCTGAGTCTGCACAAGTGTCACTGATAATTCACTAGTAACTTTGTCACTAGTCACTTTACCCGTTATCAGTACTACTGTATTATTACATATCTGATAATTTTGCCTTTCACCGTCACTTTACCTGTTGATATTATTTCTGATGTTTATTCTGCTCATATTCATATTCTCATATTCTCCGCTGCTAATGTATAATATAGACATCTGTAAATACTTCCGAACCAAGTGCAATTATAGCCCAGAGTTTCTCATTTTATTTTATTTATTTTATTGTCTATAATAGACTTGTTTGATGTGTGCAATCTGAGATGACAACGATGACACTGAAATTTCTCCACTGTGAGACTAATAAAGGTTTATCTTATTGTTGAACAGCTTAAGTTGCGCTAATGCTAATGTTTGCATATGCATCAGATCGCAAATAAAACCAGATGGCTCCGTGGGATGAGAGCGTAGGGGAAATGAGACTCCTCTGAGAGAGTTGGGGGCGGTGCTAAACATTCAAACCTTGCAGAAACTGGTATAGCTCCTTTAAAGCTGCCAAGTGCAACTTTAAAGCTGGGGTACGCAACTCAATTAACAGGAACCAGTCACCAGGAGCCTGGAACTAGTCACACGAGTTGCTTCCACACTAGTTTTCCGGTCAAATCTTTCAATCAGCTTTTTCAGACTGAAAAGTGAAAAAGGGGTCCACCCTTCACTTGAGTTGAATAAAAGGCTCTTGAACTAAAGATGGCGTGTTCAAGACTTCGACATTATTTTTTGGATTCAAGTTACTTACCCCAGCTTTAAAAACATGAAATGCGTGCAGGAGGCATGTGTACATTCAGGACACTGAAGGCCTCATCATCCCCATGTTACTTACCTTCGTTATTCTCCAGAATGTTGGGAGCAAAACCACCCTCGTCTCCCACGTTTGTCGCATCCTTTCCATATTTGGCTTTAATGACGTTCTTCAGGTTATGATACACCTGCAACAGCCAATCAGAGAGCAGCATTTAGCAGGGATTTTAACTAGCTCGAAGGTGGAAGGAAGTGGCTCACACACAGGAGGCGGGGCTCACCTCTGCTCCGATGCGCATGGCCTCGTGGAAGTTGGCGGCCCCTACAGGCAGGATCATGAACTCTTGCATGGCAAGTTTGTTCCCGGCGTGAGAGCCACCATTGATCACGTTAAAGGCCTGAAAACATGAGACTGGGTTAAAGCTGGGATGCGCAACTTTGGATGAGCCAATCTTTAGGAAAATCTTTGTATGCATCCTTGAATCATTAAGTTTAAAAGTTACTAGTACAACAGGATATGCTAAAGACTGGACAATTTGGCCTCAGATGGGGACTCACCGGCACTGGCAGGATCACGTCCTTGTTACCAGCCAGGTCTGCAATGTGTCGGTACAGAGGGACTCCCTTCTCCGCAGCACCGGCTTTACACACAGCCAAGGACACGCCCAGGATGGCGTTCGCCCCAAACTGAGCTGAGGAGCAAGAGAGAAAGAGAGAGGACTGTTACGGTTACTTAGACGACGATGTGAGGGTACCAGACTTACACTTGTTCTCAGTTCCATCGAGCTCCAGCATAAAGTTATCAATCTTCTCCTGGTCCACCACGTTAAAGTTCTGCACAGAGGGAAAGTACTTTAGCTATAGACTGGTACTACTGCAAACCAGAGTACTGTCAATACTCTGAGTACCTTCTCGATGAGCTTGGGAGCGATGTCCTTGTTCACATGATCCACAGCTTTAGTAGTCCCTGAAACAGAAGCAGCCAATGGGGCCAAGTTGGAAATGCGGCCGAGTATGCGGTCTAAAGCAAGTCTCGAGCAGGTCTAGAGCAGGTCTAGAGCAGGTCTAGAGCAGGTCTAACCTTTCCCCAGATAGCGGCTCTTGTCTCCGTCTCTCAGCTCCAGAGCCTCGTGGACTCCGGTGGAGGCTCCGCTCGGGACGGCTGCTCTGAACAGACCTGAGACAAACACAAGACACAAAACCGCAGTGTTGTCTTTAATCTGAGGGATTTACACCACAATCCAACACTGCAGGAATTCATTAAACGGGCATTTGCTCAGACGGCTTTAGCTGCGCTCCGTTACAGGGGCAGACGTGTTGCTAAGACAGTTGCTAAGGAATTCTGCAATTTCCCCCACAAATGAAGGCCTCAGATTGGTCAAACTTTATGGCTCATTTCTGGATTTCCATTCCTCCATTCATTTTTTTTTATTTATTAAAAAAGGGACAGTGCATATTAATATACATTATACATGTAAATATGGCAGAATTAGCCTAAGGACCATTTTCCATCTGTATCTTTAATCCATTTCTGGGTAGGGGGGGTGGCAGTCAGAGCTGCACCCAGTTCACAGAGCACCAGCCCCTCACTGATCCTCCTGCAGGTGGCGAGTCCACAGGAGCTGAGATCTTTCAGTGGCAGCTTTGGGCAAAGTGGGGTTAAGTGTCTTGCCCAAGGACACAAAGACAGCAGTCAGTGGGAGTCGTGAAGTAAGTTTTGTGGTGGGCTAGAACCCACAACCTTCAGGCTCTAAGCCCAATGCTCGACCAACTGAGCCACTGTCACCCCCATTTCTGGATTTACAAATAAAATATCATTAACACCAGGATCACAGAGAGCAGGTTTTTAAGCCCAAAATGTTGTGTGACAAACATACTTCTGGAGAGACAAAAACTGAAAGTTTGTTCATAGCTCATAAATTGCACCTGACTTTTTATAAATCAGAGTCTTTTATATTTTCACCAACAGAAACTGGATCAAAGGCAATGAAGGTAGAAGTAATCATTTATATAGCGCCTCTCAAAGACCAAAGTCACAAAACTGTTTACAATTGTGGGCATGTCTCCACACAGATGGGAGTGAGGTCTCCAGTACCAGAGGCGCATGCCAAATCTATTGTACATGTTTTTAGTGGAAGGGGAAGCCGGAGTACCTGGAGGAAGCCTACGCAAACGCGGGGAGAACATGCAAACTACACTGAGAGGCCCTGTTCTGGCTGAGAATTGAACCCAGGACCTTCTTGCTGGGTCACTCAGCCTCCAAGGCATAGTATTGCTTACACAGCTTAACGTTTGAATTCCGTCCTATTTTTGTAATGCTGCTTAATGTGAGACGGTTTTTGTCAATACCCACAATCCTTCAGCAATGTGGCCATGTATTGAAACTTCTGAATTAAATTAAGACAACGATTATTTCATCTTGATTTAACCTGTAATTTCCAGCCAATGTTTGCTTGAATTTTGATCCCTGCGGCTTATATGCCAACGCGGCTAATATGTGCTTGTTTATTGTGGTAATGTTGTCAGCAGAGTTCAAGGACATTATTTAGACTACATCCATTTTAGTACCCATAGGAAAATTGTCAAAACAAGAGTTGTGGATAATTCCAGGCATAGAAGATCATGTTTACGCTGTTACACATGCAGCTTATATTCAGGTGTGGCTTATATGTGGACATGTGTGGGTACAGTGATTTCTGTATCGTGCAGAATGTTATCATTTGTTTAGTTTGGCTCAAAATAAAGTACTCAATAAAAAATTGATTTTTTTTTTAATAAACTGCAGGTGGTGCAGCTTATATAAGGGTGTACCTTAGTCAGTATAGTATATTAAAATAAGACTGTATATTTGTGTCCATCCACCTTTTATCCAAACAATCTGACCAGTGTACGGGGTAAATAGAAAGATACATCCAGCCCTAACACAGCCAGATGATACATGTGAGAGGCAGGTGGTAGAAGCAGTTGTGGCAGCAGTAAGAGCAGGAGTAGCAGTAGCACCAGTACATCACCTTTGGCAGTCCACAGATCCACCTCCACTGTGGGGTTTCCTCTGGAGTCCAGGATTTCTCGAGCATGAATCTTTGTGATCGACATTTTGACTGAAAAGCAGAAAATTGTAAAAGAGTTAATGACTTCAAACACGTAACTGAGAGACAGGAGGAGAGAGTTATCAGCTGTCCAGCCGCCTCTGCATCGACCTGTGACTTTTGAATGTCAGTTATAAAGAGAACAGACAAGAATGAAGAGCACGTGACCCACCCTCACTCAGCCCAGAGTCTCACAGGGACTAAAGATGGACTGATCCCTGTGGGCTGATCTCTTCATCATAAGATTTTACTTTTATAAACTCTTTCTGATGGACATGTGTCATTTATGAGATTAAAGTTACATAAATTACATAAACCAAATATGAATCCTTAAGGTCAGTGTTTTGGTGAGCTCCACAGGCTGTGTTCTTCCAGGGAGATTACTTTTTATAGACTGCAGGAGACACTGGTCCTGAACAACAGAATGAACTCAAACTGGAGACATTAAAAGCTCTGAACTCTGACATTACCGCGCATATTCTGACGTCATTCCGTGTTTGTCCCACGCACGTGTTCTGTTCCTCCCCGTGCACTTTGACCCCGGTCTCCTGTTTAACCTTCAAAACATTCAGCATATGGTGAATGTGAAGAATATGACCTAAATAGTAGACTATACACTCTCTGAGGGCCTACTAAAGAGTCCAGACCGGGACCAGAGACTTCCGCAGAGGAGAGCGACAGTCCAGAGCAGAGATACAAATATAGAACTAATATATAAATAACTAACACCGAGCGCAGCAGCAGCAGCAGCAGCAGGAGCAGCAGCAGCAGGAACAGGAACCAGGGGCGGATCACACGGAAAACTCCAAACACCGAGTTTCATAAGGAGTCCGGAACTGTACCCTGTGTTCGGGGACACTCGGGTCCGCTCGGGTCCGCTCGGGTTAGTACAGCAGTGCAGTGGTCAGAGAGGTCAGTACCTGAGGCTGTTGTCGTGTGCACGCGCCCTGTTGCAGATCAGACCGGGAGTGACGCACGTCACCGCGGAGTGGATTTATACACGTGGGGGCGGGGCTCTGAGGCGCGCACGCGTGGTGCACACACGCACACACACACGGAACGGTTGTGATTCCACCACCAGGCAGGGCCTTTCTGTATGGAGTTTGCATGTTCTCCCCGTGTTTGCGCAGATTTTCTCCGGGTGCTCAAGTTCCCCCTACCACTAAAACCAAGTATAATATGTCTGATTGCAGTGAGAGTGAAGGGACAGTGATGGTCAAATGCTTCGATCCCCAGAGTGTGCTGTGCCTCGCCTCTGTCCTCACCGTGTGTGAGGTGAAAGCAGATTACTGGTGCTTTATGTGACTCTAGTCTGTGAAATGTGCTATATGAATAAAGACTACTTACTTACACACATTGTTGCTCCTTATTGCCCTTTGGGGTTTGACTCTACAAACTTTGCCATATTTTTCTTTCATCACTCTCAGCTTCATGGTGCTCTTTAGTGAGTCTTTCTGCCTCAGGGCAGCTGTGGCTGCAGTCTGCCTCCGGGCAGATGTGGCAGCACTAGTGCAGTGAGCTCCTCTTCCTCCAAAGAACAGAGGTCAGCCCCTCCTCCTCTGACCCCTGTCCTTTGCTGTGTCCTTTCAGCGGCTAAATATAACCACAACATTTGGATCTAAAAATGTCACGAGATTATATCCAGAGAGAGGGCCGAATCTGGCCCAGAAGGAAGAGGGTCGAGACTGGTCCAGAGAGAGGACTGAGTCTGTGGTCTAAACAGAGTCTGTGGTCTGAGCAGAGTCTGCAGGGCCTGTGGTGTGAGCAGAGAGACTGGACACAGGAGTAAAGGCCTGTCTCTCTTATTTCATCTTTTTGGATCAATATTAGATTTACAATGTTCTGTAAGTATAACATTGACCACAGGGGGCGCTACAGAGCTGTGGAGACAGAAGGATCAAGTCATTTCTTCAATATCTTTCATAACTCCATGAATGCACTTCCAGTGGTGGAATAAGCAGGATAGGTGCCGTGTCCTTTGGCAAGACACTTCACACACATTGCCTAGAATGAGTCTGGTATGTGTGTTGATGGTGGTTGGCGGGGCAGATGGCCCATAGTTGCCTAGCTTTGTCTGTGTGCCCCAGGGCAGCTGTGGCTACAGAAGTAGTTTATCACCACCGTATATGGAGTGAATGAATAATGACACATGTAAAGTGTCTTTGAATGTCCAAAAAATGTGCTATATAAAAAAAATACCATTATGATTTAATTATTATCATTCTTCTATTCTGAAACAAATTTCACACAGTGAGAAAAGTGCAGTGTTGCAATGGATGATATAGAAGTGTGGCAATTACACAGAGAGGGCTTTTAAACTATTGGCACACACTAGTGGTGTGCCATCTGATTATTTTCAATAGAAAAGGTGTGGCATGGGTCGAAAAGGTCCTGGAACACTGGATTAAAACCATAGACTGTGAACTGCCATTGACTGATTAATCCATCCGTCTGTGTACCCTGTGTCATACATGTCTGGGGTTTGGCTGTAGACAGTGTTTTATTGAGCCAGCAGGTGGCAGCAGAGCTCTGTGGGGGACTGTCTGAGGCCGTGTGCAGAAGAGACAGGAGAAGGACGAAGACGAAGGAGGTTTACAGCCAGGGAAAGGCTTCTTTTGAGCATTAAAGGTGTCTCTGTCTAGAGCAATCAGAGACCATGTGGAGGGTTAGAGCAGTAGACAGAGACCATGTGGAAGGCCAGAGCAGCAGACCAGCGCTGCACCTGGTGGGGGCGGGTCCTGGCTCAAATGTGGCCAAAATGACGCAAGCTGACATGCTTGCAATACCACACCGGGCCAGAGGGGCTGGACCCGGAAAGGGAATTATTCAATTCGAATGTACGTGTGGGAAAGGGGACTTTTAAAAAGGACTTTTAACTGCTTTTATTTTTGTGATGTGTTTTGTGTGTTTTTATGGTTTTAATGCATGCATTTCATCACTGTTCCCTGGACACTTCCCCTAACCCGCACCTGTTTTAATCAAGAAGACTACCTTAAATTGGGGAAAGACCGGGATGTGCCGGCTCTCCCCCGCGGGTGCCCGGTGGCGACTCGTGGTTGGCGAGCGGCTGGCGGGACTGCGGCCCGGTCCAGGGACTGAGAAGAGCGGAGGCCAGTGGGGAGGAACGAGTGGACTGCGGGTTTTTCGTTATAATCTTTTATGGATCCTTTTTGTATATATTTTATTAAATATTAGGTGGCGCTATATTTATGTTAATAAATTAACATAAATATAGCGCCACCTAATGGATGAATACTGGCCATTCTATCTGGCATGGTTTGTCATGGGCTCCACTTTCAATATGTGAATTTTGTGTGTGCTATAAAACTTATTATTCTACATCAAAAACAATTTCTAATAAGTTGTTTTTGTTGAACTAGTTAAACTAAATAGCAGAGGTGTGGACTCGAGTCATGTGACTTGGACTCGAGTCAGACTCGAGTCATGATTTTGATGACTTTAGACTCGACTTGACCAAATGTAAAAAGACTTGCAACTCGACTTGGACTTTAACATCAATGACTCTGACTTTCACTTGGACTTGCGCCAATTGACTTGCAAAGACTTGCGTAACCCGGGCCATTTTTACCTTTCTCCGCATCTCTCTTTCTATCTATGCCGTCTCTGAAGAAACAAAGCCTCGCGGTAGTTGTAGCGCTCGCGAGAGAGTTCGAACGTGAGTTTCCCGCAGTTCGCGCAGCAACACTTCCCTAAACAAGCGGACTGCATTCACCGGTGGGTGTGTTGTCTAGGGGAGCTGGAAATGAGCGAGCTGCAGGTATTTATCGCGACCTAACGTCATATTTTGTTCTACAAACCGTAATTGATATGCTTTCACTACAGGCGCCTCATACAATTGAATCGACGCAGTTGTCACACTGTGTGCCGTGTTTTAAAGAGGAACTGGTGAGTCAAACTAGCGCTAGCCTGCGCTGCTCTGTTGGCTCTTTCTTATATTTTTCTGTGTGGGCGCCGAGGCCTATTATTATGAGTATGTTTTTGCTGTGCTCCTCCTGCTAAAGTTTGCATACATTAGATTGATTTTGATTATGTGCACTAAGCTAGATTAATATTTGCACTATTGTTTATGGTGCATTGATATTAGAATCAGTGCTTTGACTGATTGAATTAATTTATATGAGACATTTTATTATGTAATGATATATTGGTAATTATGAGATATTACTAATGCTGGTCCAGTTCATACAGGCCGGGGTCCTTCCCCTCCATTGGTCCCTTCAGTCCTTTGGAACAATAACCACTACGGACATTAAACTGATTATATAGATACAGGTCCTAACCCAATACTCATATTCATATATGCTGCACTGCTGCACTTGCTACTTCCCATTAAAAATCCCAAAGATAAAAAGTATGTTGACATGGACTGCTCTGATTTTATGTGTGGTCTGTGCATGTGTAACTGAGCCTGCATCTGGCACAACATCCAATTAGATCACGTAGATAGTTTTGATTTACCAGCAGCCAACGACATGGAACAAACTGTTAGTCCATGGGTCAGAGACCAACGAGAATGCACCAGCAAAATGATTCCTAACATTATTTTGTTTGCCTACAAAAGTACGTGGAGACCAACAAGAAACAAATCGCGGTCAAAAAGACTCGAGAGGACTCGAAAGTCAAACCGTAGGACTTGGGACTGACTTGAGATTTGTTGGCCTTTGACTTGGACTCGACTCGGGACTTGCCTGTCTTGACTCGTGACTTGACTCGGGACTTGAGGGCAATGAATTGAGACTGACTTGTGACTTGCTAAACAATGACTTTGTCCCACCTCTGCTAAATAGTGTTGCAATCACTTTTCGGCATGGTTCGTCTGTTTTCACAAACTCCTGATTTTCTCAGCTTTTTGTCCAAGACTGGACATTTCGTCACACTTCCCTCTTTTCGACGATTACAGGAGAATGAAACAAGCTAGAATTTTTTTTTTTTCTGCTGAAAGAAGACAGTCCAGTCTATCACAATCATATCATATTTCACATAGTCATAGCACACAATATTCTGTGGGCCTTGAAAATCAGTGAAATTATCAAAAATTGATGTAGTCACGCATAACTTCACCATTGAAACTTATGTGCCACCACTTTTGCCCCATTTGTTTAACGAGAGCCTTCTGAAGTCCACAGAGGCTAAACTAGACGTAAAACTCCCCACAGCATTGACACACATCTGAAACGTAGCGTTTGGCCAAGAGCTGACTTTTGGACCATCCTGTGAAGCCGTTTTTGAGAGGAAAGAAGACGCCATACAAAAGCATTGGGTGATTCTGTTTCCGGGTCCACCCCCACACCTTATTTATTTTTATTTTTTACCAATTGTTATACCTACTGACAATAGAAATCATAAATTGTTGAATCTCACTCGCGTAACTTTTCCCCAGTTCAGCTGCTGCACAAAGTGTTCACTGTCAACCTGTCAGACTTACTTTGGGGAAAATAACATGCGTTGCTATTGTTTTTCTCCAAATCAGTTCTGTTGGTGGGTTATTTTAATGGACATTTTCATTTTGGATAAATATAAATTAAAATACACATTATTTTTTCAGGCAGTATTCTTTTGTGCACATGTTTTGTGTAGTTATGGTCAGTGTTTGAGTCAGCCACTCATTCACCTGTCAGACCTACATGAGGGAAAAAATCCTGGTACTCCGTTCCTCCCGTGCCGAGTGGAGTCACCTTGCCCGAGCTTCAGCTGCATTTCTCGGGGTGAAACCTTCTATATCCCCGGCCCCTTTGCACCGTGACACCGCATCGCAACACAGCCGACCCCCGGGGCCCCACCATGGCCGAAGCGAAGCCCAAAACGTCCCCCAAAGCCGTCAAGTTCCTGTTCGGGGGACTGGCAGGGTAAGCACGACGCTGTTAGCTGCATTAGCCTCTTGTCTTTAGCTCCCTGTTATTTCTACGGTGAAACCTGTTAGCTCAGAGGCTAATAGCAGCAGCGGTCACTTATATTTGTTTTGGAAATTCTGTATCGACATATTCTTTCTTTGCTCACACATGCGTTATTTTAATGGCAAATTCACCTGTAACGTTCTATTTCTAAGCTATTATTTTGTTTACTAATTCATGATATTTTCATGATTTGATGGTTTTTGGTCTATTTAATGACTACTGTGATGTATGTAAATGTCTGTGGGCTATTTCTGAAGCATGCAAACCTCTGTTCCAAGACCAAGTTCTCCTATGGGAGAGAATAAAGGAATATTTTATCTTATCTAATCATCGTTGTTGAAAATCTGGCTTATGTCCTATTGTAATAAAAACAAATGACGCATAACACCTGATTACAAATAAAACATGCAACGATTTTAATACCACTTGATTTCAGCCTGTTCGCTTGAACTTTATGAATACACCAGTGACTAACACTGATGTATAATCTCATTTAAACCTGTCACAATGTTGGTATTAAGTCTTTCTTTACCCCCCCTGGTGGCCGCCAGTGTAACGACTGACACCTGACTGTAAAGGTCACATCGGCCAAATGGTAAAAGGTCATATATGTTATATTATAGCTCTGTGGAGTGTGACTGGTGTGTGACAGGTCTGGAATCAGTGTGGTGGATCACCTGGTCGTGTTGCCTAGCTGTATTTTTGGTGAAAAGCAGTGGAGCAGGTTATTGCAGTGCAGCGTTTGTGTCTTAAGTCTAAACATGTGAGGTGCTGGTTCCAGTGCCACGTATGTGCTGCTGTTATTACAGCTGATCCATTCAACTGTGTGAGAGGAGGGCTGATCACAGGCCTTAGGATTCCAAGTCCCAGGGCTCTAGGTCCCAGGACTTCAGGCGCCTTACAGCTGTAATACAGAACTGACCAGAGCCTGTCATTTTCAACAGTATACATTTTTTTCTGACTCAAAAAGCAGTCATTAGGACCAAGTCAAAAGTATATCTGAACCAGGTCTTATCAGCTCCGTATCTGGACTAATCTAAAGTTCACTCTGACTGAATACTGCTGTACCTTTACACTGTACTTTACCCTAGAGGACCCTTCCCAGCTGACAGACATAAATGATTGGGCTAATGCGAATTCTCGTTTGCAATTAGGACAATTTTTAGATGTCATCATGACTTGATAAAGTTCTTTCAGTATGGGAGCCACAAGTTCATGCAGCCTCTGGACCATCTTCAGAAGTTTCTGCAGTAAATGTTTTTGTAGTATTCAAAATAGTTATAGTATTTGAAGTACATTCATGTATACTTTCAGGATGGGGGCCACAGTGTTTGTGCAGCCCTTGGACCTTGTGAAGAACCGGATGCAGCTGGCCGGCCAGGGAAGCAAAGCTCGGGAATACAAGACCAGCTTTCACTGTCTGACCTCCATTCTGAGGACCGAGGGCATCGGGGGCATCTACACTGGGTAAGAGAGCGTCTAGAAGGCAGAGGACAATATAAGTCTGTGGGAAAGAAAGCTAAGAAATGTGTCAAAAGAAAATGTCCCGTTGTTGCCAGTAGAAAGGACTTCTAGATAAAAGAATAACAATCTGGTTTTTCCAGATTGTTATTCTTATATCTAGAAGTCCTTTCGACTGGCCAACATCATCGTGTCACCCCTTCTAGACACCATTTATGAGAAAATAATGAGACCATAGTTGATATGTGCTGACGTTAAAAGATCTGTTTCATCTTGAGTGTTCCAGGAATGAGAGACATTGGCTCTAAACTAAAACTGGAATCTGACTATTGACACTTACCGGGAAAGATGTTTCAGCTCTGCTCAAACACTGTGAAACTATAGGCTCTTTGGAACATGCTGATGTCACATGAACACAGACTATGAGTATAGTAAGGGCTTTGAGAAGAACAACACAATCAGTGTGTGTGTGTATGCGTGTGTGTGTGTGCGTGCGCGTGTGCAGACTCTCCGCTGGGCTGCTTCGACAGGCCACCTACACCACCACACGTTTGGGCATTTACACAATCCTGTTTGAGAAGATGACCTCTGCTGACGGGAAACCGCCCAACTTCTTTATCAAGGTCTGTGTGGTAACATAGAGCTCTGACTGCAGCCGCTGCTCCCTCTTCACCACACTGTATGTAAACTGTCTCCCCCTGCAGGCCGGCATCGGGATGACAGCGGGAGCTATTGGAGCGTTTGTGGGAACTCCAGCTGAAGTAGCACTGATCCGGATGACAGCAGACGGAAGGTTAGTCCTGTTTAGACCTGCTTCAGACCAAGTCTGGGTGACCCAACATGTCTGACTATTGACCCCTTGCATGTGACGTCCCGGCCACGCCCACTCTCCATGACAGACGGCAGAAGTCTAACTGCGAGCCTACGGACACCTGACCAAAACAACCTGTTTCAGTGCATTACAGCCAAAACTGTGACATTTTGCAGTGCGGTTGATTATAACAGGCAAGGACATAAGCTTTTTTATCTGATACCTGCTCGTCATGAACACAGAAGACGACGATGGCGGCAATCAACCAAAAGGACTGGGACCCATCCAAGTACTCCCTAATATGCAGTGAACACTTGTTACAAGATAAAGCAATCACAAGTTTGTATTTATTTTATTTCCATTAATTTGGAAGACAATGACACACGTCAAACGTGTCTCTTACTACTGTCTTGTATGTGCGCTGCAACATTGACATTTTTATCTTTTAAGTCAATTGCATGTTTCACTATTTTCCTCTCCGTCAGTACGTATCATGTTTGGCTGTAGACAGAAAAGCCACAGAAAAGTGGATTATTGCTGATGCTACCAGCAAAATGTACATATAAATCTGCTCCAGTGTAAGGGGATGCATTGTTAACGATAAAGATTAAGATCATGTAGGGCGTATTCGGGCAAAAATAGACATTTTATTTAATCGATAAAATTGACTGGGGGGAGAAGGTACGGGTCAACATCCAGTTAGGCGATCCTTAACTTCTCCAAATACCACTCTTTGTGAGCCCTGACCTGATGTCCTACTTCCACCTATAACGTAATCGAACATGTGCTTGAAGCAGCCACTTCTCGATTTAGGAGAGGAAGCTCCGTTTTTAAGAATTGTGTCCGTTTTGCTCTCGCAGCAATGCTAGTTTCCAATACTTCCGCCGTAAGCTCATTCACAATCACGTGACTGGATGACGTTGATGCATCTGGTCAATAATCCTCACATAATGATAGGTACGTACCGCAGCTTTAAGTCCCACTTTCAGTTCCTGTATGTGCTTGTGTGTTGCAGACTGCCCGCTGCAGAGAGGAGGGGCTACAGCAACGTCTTTAATGCTTTGGCTCGAATCACACGAGAGGAGGGCGTGACGACCATGTGGAGGGTGAGTCTGCTCTTTTCATTAAAGCTGTGGTACGTAACGTTAGTCAGATTCAGATTCTGCATCTAAACTAGTCGTGTAGTTTGTCTCGATCAAAAGAGTCTTGTAAAATAAAATAGGAAAATATGACACTGCAAATTGCATGAAATGGCCCAGTTTTACTTATGCATAAAATATTTGTATAACTCATTTATTTGTGCGTTTTTGTGCTCAGGGCTGTGTCCCCACTATGGCCCGAGCTCTCGTGGTGAATGCAGCACAACTGGCCTCATACTCTCAGACCAAACAGGCTCTGTTGGACTCAGGTCTGGACCGCTGACCCCTGCACACTCACATATCTGAAATGACTGTAATCTCAGGGTTTAAGACATATGCAACAGTGATTTGTTAGACCACTGACATACAATATTAAATGTTTTGTTTTGAGATATTAATGATGTTTTCAGTGTTGAAATTAAATGAGATAATGCTCACCTAGGCCCAGTCCCAACACCCACACTGCCCCCTACACTCCTCTGTAAAGTGTGCGTTTGTTTGAGGTGCACACAAGGGTTGGAGTGGCAGGTTACAAGCAAAAAAGGTGGAATTGGGACAGTGCAGGTTATGTCATCGACTCGTCAAGAGATGGTCATTTTAAGACCTAAACTTTATAAAAATGAAAGGTCATTGCGTCCGACCCTGTGGGAAACGAAACAAAAGTAGTTGAGTTGCTCCACACGTTAAAATAAATGTAGAGAATGTTGAGATAGCTGTATAATTTTAAGTTAAATGTGGGTAACTGTTATCTGGTCAGTTTTTATACATCCTAAATGTATTGCACTAAGTGTAAAGTTTAATTGAATGTTATATGAATGCTTGCTTTAAAAAAGTTATGACATTTTTTGCATAGAATGTCCGTAATTCTTCATCAGACTTTATCAACATAGCAAAACTTATCATCACACATACTGCATATATTTCAAAACGTACACTTAAATGCATTTTGCCGACGTTTTGGTGTGTACCGCAAAGAATTATGACTTCGCCAGAGTCCGCATAGATGCAGGCTACAGCGAAGTGTGGATCAAGGGCGCAAAGGGGGCGGGGCCAAAGACCTCCCTGGAGAATTGGGACACCCTACGCACTCGCACCCATCATTGGGAATGTGGGGCGTGAGGGTGGGAGTGCGAGTATTGGGACAGGGCCTAAACCATTGTGCCTCAACTAAGGAAAAGAAGACTGGACTGTCCTTTTCCTTTATTTGATAAAACAACTTCACTCAATGAAGTTTCTGTGTTTCAGAGCTCTAAACACAGGGACAGCAACACTATAATATTCTAAATTACTGCAGTTTTTAAGACTCTTGTGCTCTTGTCTCAGGGTACTTCGGCGATGACATCCTCTGCCACTTCTGTGCCAGTATGATCAGTGGATTGGTGACCACTGCTGCATCAATGCCTGTGGACATCGTCAAGACCAGGTATGAGTTACATCATCACTTTTGATAACTCTTTATTATGTTGAAGCGATTGTCTGGAGTTTGTCAGAAAATAGAGAGAGGTACATGATTTATGTTTCCGTAACAATCAACACATATACATGTTAATCAGAGAACACATTATACACATACATTATTCATACACATGCACAGAAGTTTTCAGAATTATTTGTTAATGTTTTCATGACAAAAATAATGTTTTAATGCACAAAAAAAGCTATCGCGGTAAAGCCGGAAGTAACATTTTAGGAACATCTGCAGAGGATCTGATTATGGATATAGGTTCAGTATATAAATGATTATGGATATAGGTTCAGTATATAAATGATTATGGATATAGGTTCAGTATATAAATGATTATGGATATAGGTTCAGTATATAAATGATTATGGATATAGGTTCAGAGCCTTTATTGAGGCTTGATTCTGAGGCTCCGTGAAAACAAACAACTGAGCATGAGCAGCTGCGAGCATCAGCGCCGATGATTGACAGCCCTTGGCATAACTCGATTGGTTAACGTGGACGGCATCGTGGATTTTGAGCTATAGCTAAGAGAAGGGAAGGCGGGACTTACCTGTAATATTAGAATTCATAAAATGACTTATTTTATATCAACATTTAAGGCCAGGAGGTCAATTTAATACAATTCTTAACATTTGTAATTCATTTAGAGTTCCAGACTATCACTTTAGTTAGAGTAACTATACATGGAAGCAGCTGCAGTGCCCCGTGTGGCCATGAGTTGGAGCCATTTCCCCAGTGTTTGTGCTCCAGTCTGAGACCAGTTATAGTCCAGACTCAGATCTGACTAACCTAACTCTGTTCGCAGGATCCAGAACATGAAGATGATCGACGGAAAACCAGAGTACAAGAACGGACTGGTGAGTTTCAGACCTGGTTTTGTCCTGCTTTAGACTTGCATTAGTCCTGCATTAATCCTTCTTTAGTCCTGTTATTATTCCTGCTTTAGCCGAATTAGAACTGCATAAAATCTGGATTAATATTGAGATTGCTATTCTTCAGGAAACGTTGCTGTCACTTTTTTCAAAGTCACAAGTTTACACATCCTTTATTCTCGGTCCAGACCTGACCAAGCCTGGTTCAGACCTGACAGTGGCAGACCCTGGAGGCCCCTGCTGGCCCTTGCTGGCTGCACTTCATGTTATAGTTTTCCTCCGTTGGTTGTGTAGCTTCCAGCCCCAGGTCGAGATTTGGAGAGCTGTTTGTTAGTTTCCATCATGTGTTGCCATAGTCCAAAATCTGTCTTTAGGCCTTCAGAAGCAACAGTGCTGGCTCTAACCAATCAGCATCAAGTTGGCTTCACTGAGGGTCAGCGAGCGCCCACAGCAAATGATTGGATACAGACACATGCGATGAACAGAAACATTTGTGTAAACCTTCTCCTCCTTCAGCCATTGTGGGTTGAAACAACTCAAACAATTTTGTTGGTTTATTACATGGACATGTCTCGCTGTATTTTGTATCAATATTATTGCTGTAGGCGCTCGCTGACCGTCAGTGAAGCCAACTTGATGCTGATTGGTTAGAGCCACACGTTCATTTTCATTAACTTTAAGCTCCATGGGCCAGCACGGTTGCTTCTGAAGGCCCAAAGGCAGATTTTGGTCTTGCTGGCTTTTGATTTCGCCATTGGTTTCAGACCTGGGTTCAGACCTGGCTCAGACCTGGCTCAGACCCGGCTCAGACCTGGCTCAGACCTGGCTCAGACCTGGCTCAGACCTGGCTCAGACCTGGCTCAGACCTGGCTCAGACCCGGCTCAGACCCGGCTCAGACCTGGCTCAGACCTGGCTCAGACCTGGCTCAGACCCGGCTCAGACCTGGCTCAGACCCGGCTCAGACCCGGCTCAGACCCGGCTCAGACCCGGCTCAGACCCGGCTCAGACCCGGCTCAGACCTGGCTCAGACCTGGCTCAGACCTGGCCCAGACCCGGCTCACTCATGTCTTTGATCTCTGTAGGACGTCCTGATGCGTGTGATCAATAAAGAAGGCTTCTTCTCACTCTGGAAAGGCTTCACTCCGTACTACGCTCGTCTTGGACCTCACACGGTGCTCACCTTCATCTTCCTCGAGCAGATGAACCGTCTGTACAAGAAATACATGCTGGACAGTTAGAGCGCTTCCAGACCTGCCAACAAAGACCTGAGGAGGCCCCCCAAACACCTCTGTACAAACACATTCTGGACAGTGAGACCACACCCAGAAGGTCTTCACAAACACCAAACGTCTGAGCAGGTCCCAAAAGTCCCAAAAGTCTCCAGGGAGCTCAAAGACTCCATGATTTCCTCAAGGTTCTCATTTTGCTTATATTGGTGCGATAGCGTGTTATCGTTTTACCATTGTCCCTTTTTAATTAGCATCTCATTAAGATCATGTCGTAATTGTTTTTGGGTCACCTCCAATGGTCAGCTGAAGAAGTTAATATCTCCGTGGGAATGTTCCTCTAGTCCCAAACAAGCCCACCTCATTATTTAATTTAACCAGGAAGAGGTCAGAGCCTGATCCTCACCCAGACCCTGACCCCGGTCCTCACCTGAACCCTATTTCTGAAAATCCACCATGAAACCAGCTGCCCCCAATCCCCTGGTCTTGGCTTGGACTCTCTCTGGACTCTCTCTGGACTCTCTCTGGACTCTCTCTGGTCTCAGCCTGGTCCCTGGGCTCTCTCTCTGCTCTCTCTTCGGACTTGGCTTGGTCTTTGATCTCAGCCTGGTCTAAGGTTCGTCAGTATTACTCATATTATCGGATTGTCCAAACAGAACAGAGGATAAGCTGTAAGCCCCGCCCTAAAGCGCCACGCCACCAATCAGACGCACACAGGCTCCAGCTGCACTTGAGTTTTTTTATCTGAAATTATTTAAATAAGAGAGAGCGACCAATTGATATTCAGCCATGCTAATGAGTGTCCTACATGAGCAGTGCCCCCCAGAGTGAATGTGAATGAAATGGAGCCCTGTGATTGGTGGTGCAGTCTTTAGGGCGGGTGTAGTGCTCAGGCTGTTCTCTGATTGGCCACAACCCCTTCCTCTGCGCACTGACTGGTCTATTTGAACTTCTGATAAACTGACACGTTTTTTGTTCTAAGAAAACTGATGGAAAAATAAAGAAACCTAAGTCTTAAATGTGTGGTTTCTATAAAGGGTATTACAGGGTTGATAGTTGACCATGGCATGTTATCTAAGTCTCTTGAAAACAACCACATCATTTAGTGGTGGTTCTATTTGGTCTCAGTCCTCAATTCTAGGGGCCATTCGCGGCCATTTAAAAAACTCGGCCAGAGGGAAAAGTGATCACACAAAGACGAAGATTCATTACTATATACAGTCTATGGGACACACATGTTGCTAAGACGGTTGCTAAGGAGAGCTGTTTCCCCTCAAAGGAAGATATGTCTTCATTCATTGGTCATTCCTTATATGCCTCACACCTGAATTTACAAAAACGACATAAAAATATGAACACATTAGCACAGATTACTAAGCCCAAAGAGTGCGTATTGGCGTTTAAGTATAGACTCTGTTGCCTTACCAAGTGATGAAGGAATGAATGTTGCTTACGGTCAGCAGAAAGTATTAGCCTGTGCTCACCCTGCCAGGATGCCTTCCCACAGGCGCACACATGCCCATCTTAAACCCAACACAGGTGCAGCCTAATTGAAAGACACCACTCCGTACAAACACCCGGTGGACAAACTAGGACAGAGTGTTAGCCCTCACCACGCAGATTCCAAGAAATAGGAAAAACTAATTATTACCAAGAAATAATTACCCACCTCTACAAATATGAAGGAGATACACAAAACAAAAACTGTCACTGTTCTGCTTCCTGTAAAAGACAGATCTTAGTGATTGGTCGATCAAGTACGCTCTTTTTAGTTTGAACTCATACAGTCCATTTTTGTCAGCAACACTACTCAAAGCTCTTGCTAAAATCCATGCACCTCGAGAGGCCATATTATCCAAAAGCATAATGACGTCTCCGGGCATAACATTTATTGGGTATTTTCCACTTCTGGCGTTCTTGAAGAGTTGGAAGGTATTACTTCAACCACCGTTTCCAGAACAGATCCAACACGTACTGCACCTGCTCCCAACGACGATGCGCAAACACGTCAGCCTTGTCAAGTAAACCAGGAGGCAATGATGGCTGTGACTTGAGGAGCAGGAGATGGTTGGGGGTTGACGCCTCCAAATCGTTGGGATCTGTAGAAGCCTTTGTTATTGGACGTTAATTTAATTCAATTCAATTTAATCTTGTATAGCCCTAAATCACAACAGTAGTGATCTCAGAGGGCTTAACAAAACTGTTGAAATCACCAACACAGATCAGAGAATCAACAGTTAAGAGTAATGTGTGGATCCATGGCACGCACCACCTCCCATGGCCCCGACGCCTGAGGTACATTGGTTCAGATTAGAATATTGGCATCAATTTCCTGAATACTTACGTTTCTCAAGTGTGGGTCGGAATGTTGCCTCTGTGCTTAGGCAGGTTCCTTGTGTATAGATCTCTGGTAAATCATAAAACGTATCAGACAAGCTACTTCTAAGTCAGACGACAAGTAGCTGTCCACCACCTTCTCTTGCCCCATTGTTCAGAGAAGAATTCCCATTTTCCTTCCTGCACGATTTATCCTAGTCATGAGCCTCTGTACAAAACGTAGCAGTCCTTCCAGTGTTTAATAATCCATATGTCCCGCTTGGACTTCACTCGGACAGGCAGGATTGACAACGGCCACTACAGCACCTCGGCCGGCTGGCCCATTTGTGCCACTATTCTGCTTTTGTTTTGGAGTGGAAATGCAATAAAGTAGCGTGCTTAAGATTGCAAACTCTTCCAGTCAGACATTTCCTACAATCTTTACTTGTGTGCCCAATGCACAGACAACCAAAGAAATTGTTTTCCTTCAAAAAAGACAACTTTTCTTCTTGTGTCTTATCCAATAGAAGGCAAACATCCAAAGTATGTCCAGCCCTACAAAATAAACACACTGTCAATGTAAATGTAACGGTGAAAGTATCATCACTACACTGTCACTTTGAGTTTGGGTGTGATTTCCTTTGTTTGGTGTGGGCCAATCGCCATGTTTTAATTAGTTGGCAGCTGTGGTGAGCAGTACTTCCTGCTTTAAAAGCTCAGTGCACCTTTTCCTCTCCCTGACACTCTCCCTCTGTCTGGTGTGAAACAGGTCAGTCTTATCTCAAACATTCATTTTAATTTAGAAGACTTTTTACTTTATGTTTATTATTGTTATCCTTCCCTGACACTCTCCCTCTGTCTGGTGTGAAACAGCTCGGGTCCTCCAGGCGGTCTGAAGGCCAGCGGTTCTGTGCAGCATCTGGGGCCTGCTGGGGACAAAGCCATACCAGCACGGCCAGCCCAAACTGCTTATTGCCTGGACCCTGACATCCTGTTTTTTAAAGCTTGCACCCTTAAGTTTTAGCTCCAGCCTCTCCCCCCTCTGATTTGAACCTGAACAGCTTTTATCTCCCCTGATTTTAATCATACTTTTTAAAGAGACTTTTTTGTAATAAATCATTTTAAACTTTTAACTGTCGTGGTCTCCTTGTACCCTGGTGATCAGAAAAGATTGACTGTGTTACATAAAGTTCTTTTCTCCCTTATGGACTGGTGCAACCTATTCTCTACAGGCGCTATTGTACAGGCGCTATTGTACAGGCGTCCGTCACGCACGGCCACCATTTGCATTCACCACTGTGAAAGCAATAGGCCCTTTCCCCGTTCGGGGCTCGGACCTAATAAAATGCAACAGCCCTTCAGGTCACAGCAGCAGAGGTGGAGTAGCCGCTTGGTTTGGATCATTTTCTCTGCTCTAGTCCAAAGTAAAATGCTAAATGCTTCATTAGCCTTTTTCAAAAAGTTAGTATTCCTCCAGTAGATTTTCACCTGATCCGCTTGGCTCTGACCATGAATCGTCTCCGCTCCGGTCTGGTCCAGTGCAAAACCATGCACACTGTACTGCAGTGCGGGAGAATGCGAAAGTATGCGACTGCAGGGACTACAAGAAGGTCCTGAGTGCGATGGGTTCGTGTCTGCGAAGGTTCCTCCGGGTGCTCTGGTTCCCCCTTCCAACTACCACAGCTAGTTCAGTTGTTTTCACGGTGTTGAGCTGTAGGTTAATGATTTTCCGGTAGGGATGTTCATTATTGTCTAAGATGAGTCCAATTATTGTTGTGTCATCTGCATATTTGATGATTGAAACAAAGTCATGAGTGGAAGTTAGAGAATTAGTGTAGAGCAAAAACAGCCAGGGAGAGAGAACACACCCCTGTGGGTAACACAGCAGGTTAGGATGAGAGCGCATTCATCCTAACCTGCTGTGTTCTCTCTGACAGGAAGCTTCTGATCCAGTGGCAGTGAGCAGTGTCAAGTTTATTGAAGAGATTTACTGGATCTATGGTGTTGAATGCAGAGCTGAAGTCCAGAAAGAGGACCCAGGTGTAGGCGTGTGGGTGTTCAAGATGGTGTAAAATCCAATGAAGGACCTGTTAGCTCTGTATGCGAACTGTGAACTGTCCATTATGGGGGTGGTGATGTCCTTAAAAGAGCTATACCCGTTTCTGCAAGGTTTGAATGTTTAGCACCGCCCTCCAACTCGCTCAGAGGCTTCTCATCTCCCCTACGCTCTCATCCCACGGAGCCATCTAGTTAACATGCCTATATCTAACATTAGCATTAGCGCAACTTAAGCTGTACAACAATCACTGATGAAATGGTACAAAAGCAACGCACTGCTAACAAAATATGTTACTGAACGATTACCGCTAGTTTTGAGTCCGAATGCGGTCCGAGCATACATAGTCCGAGGCGGTCCCGCAGGTATGGGGTAAGGTTACTGTCAATTAGGACCTGCATGTCTGAAAAAAATGCGTGCATATTTATTGGTATTTGTGCATAAAAATATTTTATTAATTCATGATTAAGATATTACAAACTAAAAAGACAAGGAATTTTGTGATTAAGAATAAAAAAATATAAAACTGTATGTGTGATCGCATACTTCATACGTCACTGCTCACAGACATTAACAATCTAGCCTGCGCAGAGTTGATCATGGCAGAGGGCAACAACATTAACAACGTGGCTCAAAATCA